TCTCCCCCTGCAGCAGGTTATCCTGACCCGTCTGTTCCAGCAGCTCTCTCAGGTCTACGAAACCGTGGACCTCAGCTTCGTCGAGAGCTTGGCCCAGTTCCCCGAGCCCTACCAGGTCACTCGTGGAACCATTGAGAAGTTCATCATGAACGGCAACAAGAAGGGTGATCTTGCCATCCGCATGGACCATGCTACCGGCGTTCTCAGCTTCGACAACGACGTCTTCTCATCAGCCAGGGCTGGCCACAGCGGATCTTCTGCCGGCTCTGCCGAGGCCGAGGCCGGCAGCGTGCAGCGTCTTCAGAGCACTCCCTCTGAGATTGTCCGCTCCCAGCTGACTCGTCTTGCCAAGTCGCTCTTCGTTTCATGCCACTACATTGACCCCAACTTTAACAAAGATCGTCTGGCGGCACATGACGCAGCGTTGGCCCGCGCCAGGGCTGGTGCCGAGAAGGAGCACCTTGATACCCTTGCCCGCAAGGAGATCATCCAGAAGCGCAAGGAGGAGGCGTCTGAACTGCAGGCCAAGAGGGAGAAGGAGAAGGCTCGCCAGAAGAGGCTGATGGAGCAGGCCCTGCAAGAAGCCGAAGACAAGCGTCTGGCTGAGGAGCAGCGTGAGCGTGAGGCCCGACGCATCAAGGCCGAGCACGACCGCGTCCGCAAGGAGGAGCTCAAGAAGCAGATTGCGGATCTCAAGATGAGCGACAAGGCTCTCGACATCGATCTGGAAGACTTGGACAACCTGGACAGCAACAGACTCCGTGCCATGAAGCTGGCTCAGTTGGAACGTGAGAAGAACGATGTCAACGAGAAGCTGCGCATCACTGGCAAGCGCCTCGACCACTTGGAACGAGCTTACCGTAAGGAGGAGGCTAAGAAGCTGGCCGAGGACTATGCCAAGCAGACGGAGCGCGACCGCAAGATTTACGAGCTGGTCAAGGCCAAGACGCTCAAGGAAGCCGAGGAGAAGCACAAGGCCAGCGTGGAGCTCAAGCATCGCCTTGAACGCCTGGTGCCTGAGTACGAGAGGTTCAGAGCCAACCTGCACGAGAAGCGCCGCGACGAGTTTGAGAAACGCCGCAAGGAGGCCGAGCGCGAGCTGGAGAAGCAGATCGCCATCCGCAAGAAGGAGTACCGCGACCGCAAGTTGCGTGAGAAGAGGGAGCGCGAAGAGAGAGAGCGCATCCTCAGAGAACAGGAAGAGCAGGCTGCTCGTGAGAAGGAGGAGCAGCGTCTTCGTGAGGAGGCTAGGAAGGCCGAGCTCGCCAAGCTCAAGGAGCAGCGCGAGAAGGAGCGCCAGGAGATGCTGGAGAAGGCAGCTCTTCAGCAGAGACGCGAGGAAGAAGCCCTTGCTCGCCGCAAAGCAGAGAAAGAGAAAGAACGTGGAGGTCTCAGGGGACCAGAGGCCCCCCCTGTTGTCGCCGCCGCCGCTGCCGCGGATGGCCGACGACCACCTGTCATCGGATCTGGCAGCTGGAGAGACAGAGAGCGTGAGAGGGAGGCAAAGGGAGCTGCCGAGGGCGAAAGGGCCATCCCGGTGCGGACAGGCCCCCCGATGGAGCGTTCCGAGTCTGGCGATCACCCTGCCGGCCCGCCGAAGCTGCAACTGGCTGGCTCTGGCAACAAGCCTAGCTGGCGAGAGCGCGAAGCCGCCAGAGCAGCCGGCGGCGGTGCCAGCGACAACCTGCCCCCGCCAACCCGAAGCGCTGGACCTCGCGACCTCCCTCGCGACGCTCCCCGTGAGTCTCCCCGCAGCTTTGGTCGCGACACTCGCGAGCCTCGCGAGCCTCGTGAGCCTCTTGAGCGAGGCGGCTCAAGGCGCGGCGAGAACGGCAAGGCCGAGTCTTCTGCCCCTCCCGCAGAGTCTCTGCCTCCTCGAACCGCTGGCAAGTGGGTTCCTCCCCATCTGAGGAACAAGGCATGAAGGGAATGACGAAAGGCATGGATAATCCTGGCTACAAGTTTTGCACCGGCGTTTAAAGGGGGAAACACCAAAACGAAAAACCAATTTGAGAGGTTGGGAGGGGGGACAAGCCATTGCATGGTTTTTCCCGTTGAAATGTACTCTAGAGCTCAGCATTAATCTCGCCGTCCTCTGAGGTACGAGCACACCTATCAGAATGGAAGATGATGATGAAAACGCACACATTGGGGCTCCCTTCTGTCTTTTTCCCTTTTTACTTTCTTTCTTCTTTCTGCACATTTGTTTTCTTATATGCTTTAGTTGAAGAGTTGTCTTGGCCGGAATCATCTGGTGTGGTTATGAGCCATGTTACATACGTAATTCTATATAACCAGTCTGCTTCTTGTTCACACTCTGCTCCAACGTCGACGATGTGATGAACAAGTATACTAGCCTCCGCTCACTCTCCAGAGCCCAGTACAGACATGTAATTCATTCCTCAAGGACGTAAGATTCATAGACCAGGCGATGGGTTTTATCACCTCAAGTGAGTAATCTCGGAACCTATCCCCCCTTTCTAACCGGCCTTGATACCACAACAGTTGCTTCGTATCGGAGAGCTTGACCGAGGAGCAATCCACAATGAATGCACAAAATAACACAGCGTCCGACCGCATCGTGTGACCCGCCCTTGCAGCAGGCAAGCCTATTCCCGCCCCCATATTGCTCAATAGAAGCGGTCCCATCAAAGCGAGCATCGAAGGATGAGGACAAGAGCGTACCCTTTCGGGATAATTCAAGAAAAAAAAATATCCATGTGTAACTCACACACTGCTTCGAACTTGCATACTTTCTATTCTTAGCAGCGCTGGTCGTGTGACGCATCGTGTCGGGTTTGACTCGGTCGAGAGAAGGGTGAGACAGACAGGCTGCAAGTGTCATTGTTCTTCCAAGACATGCATATCGAACGATAATACTATGCATTCTCTCCATCCCCGCTGCGCGTCCCTCCCATCACGGTGTAGTAGTAGTAAGTAGTAAGAGAAGTTGAGAGATCCCCAGCCGCCTGCCATTCTGTCGTGGAAGTATCCCGCAAAGTGCAAGCTGTGATACTACGCAAAAGAAAGACGAATAATGTGATTACATCGAGACGCACGGTGAGATGGCAAGGGGAAAGATCAGGGAGCTCGTCGCTTGGCTGCGCATCCTCGTCCTCTGATGCTTCTACCCTTTTACAAAATAATATTGGGGCATGTTCTCATGATGTTCTACCCTCCACTACAGAAACGGCCAGAGAGAACGGAAGCAAACCGATACTGCGGCTACGCAGCTATATACCAGCAACCAGTCATTGATGATGAAGGGGGGCAAGTAGCAAAGCGACTCTTTTTTTGCGTGAAGTATTCATGCGTATGAGTACAGGGTAAGTCGTGATTGGTGGTGGTTTCACTACCTTACCTTGGTCGTCTTTCTCCTCCACGACCACCCATGCAGGATCATCCAGCAAACATAAGACATCAACAAACATGGTCTACTACAGGTCCCAATATTTAGAAGCAAAGCCCACGTATCGTGCCTATTTCGTCCATCGAAAACCCTCCCGATACCCCGGCATCAGAATTGAGAAAATCGTGCTACCAATATCGAACATAGGCCTGGAGTCCTCTGCGATATACGAATGTCTGCATACGAGGATCGGGGGAGGCTGAGAGGTCTAGAACCCCTTCCTGCATGTCAAGGTAGTTGTAGGCTCGGAAGCGTCCGACGTGTGTATCCGCTCAGTCATCTTGCGGTCTGGGTTACACCCCTTGATTCGTTTCTGGGCTCCTTTGCTCATACAATAGCATACTCACCAATATTGTGTAGGCACCGTCCTGCCCATTCGGTGTCACTTCCGGTGTTAGTCCCTGGCATGACATGCATATCAAGATCCAACTGAGTGACCATCAGTAGGGAAGCCCAGGACGTAGGTAACAAGTACTCTTGGCTATATCGTGTCCAGTGAGACTCGGATACTGTCGCAGTGAAACCCTAGTAGGGAGCAGCTATATCGGGAGAGTTTCAGATGCACAATCGGTAGGTAATCTCCACGATATCCCGCATGGGGAGCAGCAGAGTAGTAGTAGCACTGGCCGGCCGAAGACGAGGACCCTTTGCACATTGCTCCCCGTTATGGGTCGGGCAATCTGATATCCTGCGTCAGGCATAGGGGGGAACATAGCCCAATCCGTTCATGCACATTTCACCATGACCATCTCGTGTTTCCACTTACTTTCCCATCGAGAGAGTTGCATTAGGCCAGCCGCACGTCAGGCAGCTGAACTGCAGCACTCCCGTCCCGTTCTAGTCGAAGCGACAGGCTGCCCCTGTTTGCCTCTATGCTCGACGCCATCACCCCCTTGCAGGACGACAATCAATATTTGCGCCAACATCAACCCAAGAGCGTATTTGCCAGTTTCTGTATAGATCTCTGAAGTTGGAGTGAAAGTCTCTTTGAATCTCTGGCCTTTCTCTAGCTGCTGACGTAGAGAAGCTCTTGTTATATCAAGGTATTCCTTCTAAAGAGCAGCGTTCCTGGGGTTCGGCTATCGGTATGAAGGGAGAGGCTATCGGCATGCAATAGCATTCTTCCTTTAACGTCGCTGGAGGCTCCGACTGGCGAAACAAGGGATGGCAATCGACAGGGGTGCAGAGACACTCAGCCCGATCTGCTGGTTCTTCGGATCCAATTTATTGCAACATCCCTGCGTCCCGGATCGTGAAGCTCCTCCGGATCGTGAGTCGACAGCATCCAACAGCAATCAACAGCATGCAACTGCATCCAACAGCACGCAACACCACCCAACAGCGCTCAATGGGAATGGTAAAGGCTGGTTTGTGGTTGGATGTGAAGTCATCCTATGATCCGTAGAGAGCGAGTGTAACCTTTGATCATGTGTATATAACTCTGTGCGCTCATCGTCACGATGCTTGAGATATCTCGCACCTCATGAGCAGTCCTGGCTATCACAGCTTCCGGAATAGATTTCGTTCGGCACACATCAAGTGTCTGTGATTCAACTCTCACCCCACGGTCTTTACCTCACTTGCCATGACAATGGCCTTCTCTCGGTCCCTCGTGGCCGCAGTTGCCACGCTCTCTCTTGTCAGCTTCACGCAGGCGTGGAACGTGGAGCTGCCTCCTTGCACGGCAGCGTTCACGCCCTTTACCTACTCGGGCTGTTTCCAAGATGGTCTCCCGGGCACCCCTGGCACGCTCATCTTCCGCTCGCCACTGCCCTCTGATAACATGACCGTTGAGCTTTGCCAGGCCGAATGCAAAGGTGCGTCTACTCCCAATCTGTTGCCTCTCATAAGGCTGCCAGTTCAGATCAAGGACTGACACTCTCATCTTCATAGGCAACCGCTTCCGTTATGCTGGCCTCGAGTACTATGGTGTCTGCTACTGCGGCGGCTCCGTGGATGGCCCCCAGGTTGCTGACACTCAGTGCACGTTCCCTTGCAACGGTAACAAGAACGAGACCTGTGGAGGAGACAACCTCCTCTCGATCTGGCAAGATCCGACGTTTCCACCCGAAGCCGTCACCATCGCTGACTACCAGGCTTTGGGCTGCTACACTGACGACTCGCAACAGGGTCGTACCCTGTCCTGGTCCGCTACTGTTGACTCTGCCACTTTCACCACTGAGGGCTGTTTGACTGCCTGTGAGAGAGAAGGCTTCCCTCTGGCCGGTACCGAGTACGGAGGCGAATGCTGGTGCGGCAACGTGCTGGCGAATACCACTGCCAAGGTAGACGACTCGCAATGCAATGTCCCTTGCCACGGTAACTCGGCGGAGACGTGCAGTGCGGGAGGTCGGTTGAATCTGTACTACGCCCCGGATTTGGAGTCTCTGGAGCCTTGCGGCTCCGGCGGCGGCGGCGGCGGCGGCTCTGGAGGTGGCTCCGGTTCTGGTGGTGGCTCCAACTCGACGACGACCACCACCACCACTACCACCACTACCAGAACGACCACAACCACAACCAGCACGACTACCACCACAACCAGCACGACCACGACCACAACCACCAGCCCTACCACAACCACAACCACAACCACAAGCCCGACAACAACTACCACCACAACCACTACCACCACAACCACTACCACCACCACAAGCCCGACCACTACCACTACCACGACTACCAGCCCTACCACAACCACCACCTCGACCACGACCACGACCACGACTACCGCCAGCCCGATCTCGACCACCACAACCACAGTCACCGCCACCCCGACCACCACCACGACCGGCACCGGCCCTGCTACCACAACCACCACAACCACCACCAGCCTGAGCACAACCACCACGACCACGACTAGCCTGAGCACGACCACCACAACCACCACCAGCCTGAGCACAACCACCACGACCACGACTAGCCTGAGCACGACCACCACAACCACCACCAGCCTGGGCACAACCACCAGCTTGAGCACGACTACCACCACGACCACCACCACGGCCTCTGCGTCTAAGGATCATCGTCCCCATCACACGACGACGACGACGACCGCCGGCTCGGCGTGCACGGCCACTGTCACGACTCCTCCTACTTGCGAGTACAAGGTTGGCGATTGGTGCTTCCCTCCTCTGCCTGACTGGGACAACGAAAAGGGCTGCTTGAAGGCCTACGCCACTTGTTTCGCCAGTGTCTCTTCTTGCTTCGCTCACGTCGAGTTCCCTGATGTTCTCCAATGCTTCAACTTTGGCCTGCTGTGTGGCAACATTGAAAAGTACTGCGGCTCAACATGCAAGTCCGGCGAGTGCTCCAAGGGCGAATACTGGAGCCACAACCCCGGCCACGGCGACGGTCCTCACAAGACGACGACGACCATTGTTCCCTGCTCTGCCAGCGCGGCAACCAAGTTACCAGCCGCCACGACGAAGCCTAGCCACTGCCCTCCGCCTCCCACCAACATCTGCACGCAGCCCTCCAACCCCCAGTACGGCTATGGTCCTGGCGAGCCTGTCGGTGGCATCGATCTGCCACTTGTCAGCTGCAATGACATTTACAGCGACTGGCGCAACAACCCATTCAAGCTGTACATTGACCAGAACAGCCGCGACTGCCCATCCTATCCCCGGTCTGGCACCGACGATGCTTGCGCCGATGCCTGCGAGGCGCAGTACAAGCAATGTACCGACGTCTACCAAAAGGGCTGTGAGGATGGCGCCAATGGCCGGTGGAAGCGCGGCGATGAAGCGACCGATTTCCTCGGCATTAGCCAGTTCACGCAGGACTGGGGCTTTGGCGACAATTCTCCTTCCAGCGCAGCCGAGAAGTGCTCGGCTCAGTATCAAGACTGCTTGGACGCGAACAAGGACGTCAATCCCAAGAAGCAGTGCATGTGTTGGCGCTGCTAAGGGGGCATTTCCGGGGATAGAAAAGCCTGGCGAGGCATTGAGTCACTTCGGACGTGGTGGTTTTGGGTATCATGGGAATAGAGGGATTCGAATTTGTAAAGGGAGATGATTGTTGGTTCATCTGGAAAAGTTATAGACGTCCAGCTCCCATGAGCTTCTGTGCTGAAGCCTTGAGGTGAGAATTGAAATATTTGGATGTTGAAAGTTTCGTTCCCGGTTACACCTGCCGCCGTAGTATTGCAACTCAGACAGGCAAGAGCATTGCTTGTTTCACCCAACACCTGGTAATGGCAACAGCCGGAAGAATCGTGACGTCGTGGCTTCGTGGGATTGGGTCTGGACACCTCTGCTCACGTGCCACATCCAGACTGTAATCGTCATGAAGAGCGGAAGGCAGCATGACTGGGAAGGAAGTTGCGTATCTGCTATTGCCGTCGTTTGGTTGGATGCTATCGAGAGCTATTTGCATGCCATAGGTAGTCGTACTTGCCAGTCGTGAGAAGAGATAAGGCAGGTTTAATTGCCTGATGCGGGATAACCTGAGTCATCAAATTGAATGTCGTACTATTACGTGTTAACAACCAGATATCGCGAGGTTTTGCGCTACCCTGGAAATTGTGACATCAGCTTCGAATGTTCCCATCAATAATGAAGCAAGGCTCAAACCGAATCATGTCTTTTCTCAAAGAGTACATTGTCTAGCCGTCAACCACTTGCATCAATCCATCGATCCTGTTCTTTCATCCCCGAACTCCTTCTTACGGCTCCAAAGCCCAGCTCATCCTTCTCGTCCCACTCATCTCCATCCTATCAAATCCCACAAGCAAAGTCGTAACCAAATCCCTCTCAACCGCAACAACTTCCATGCCTCGCAGCAAGCGCCCATAATACGGAGTAACACAACAGACACCAAACACCAAACACCACAAATCCACCGCCAAAAAGTAATACCCCACAGCAGTGTGACGCCAGCGTCAACTAGACTGCGGAGTAGCTCTCTATCGCCGATTGTCAAGAGTCTGTCACAAGTTCTCAAGCAAGTAAACAGGGCTTTCTTCTTTTCCTACTGGCTACTCTCGACTTACCTAGAACTTTCACAGTTACAGTACATAGCAGCCGTCCGAGTTGCGGAGGACTCCGAACGCACTCCCTGTCTGCTGCAATGGTAACTCTGCGTTGAGCGAATACCGCCGCGAGTCGTTGGTTCAAGCGACGGAGCAACGAGCCGGTTTGGGGGACCACAAGAGCGGCGGCTCTGCATGCAGGCGACCAATTTTCGCACAACTGTGCCTCAACTACCCAGGATCATTTCACTCCACGGCGGGCTTTGGCAGTGGAAATCGGCAGCTATTAAACAACGTATTTCTGCCCTTGCATCTCTCTCTCCAGTCTCATCTCTCGTTTACTCTCTCTGAATCTGCGGTTTTGGTCTGAATCAATTTCTGCTTACCGCATCACCACAGCCGGTGGCATCGCAACATGGAGAGCATATCGAATCTGCTGGACACGCTTGACGTGAGTGACCTGACACCAGCACAATGGTGCCAGGTCTTCTTCGTCGGCAATGCAGGCTTCATCCTAATGCTGCAGGCTCTTCCAGATAACATGCGCCGGGCGTTGATGGACTACGGTGCCAGAAGAGCCACGTCTCGCCAGTCTTCTGTGAAAAAGGGCAATGCCGAGGCACCCAAGGAAGGCTTCTTTGACGTCCTGACAAGCTATGGCCAGGTGCCGCACTCGTGGTTCATACACTTCTACATCACGTCCGTGGCGTGGTCCATCTTCTGGGGCTGGCAGTTCGTGTCCAAGGGATCGGTGATGCGGGCCCTGGCCGTGAGGCAGCACCATGCTGCGGGGAATGAGCCGTCGTCCGAGGTCGAGCTGACAGCAACACTGGTGGCGTGGCTCTTGATGGGCTCGCAAGGAGCAAGAAGGCTGTTTGAGTGTCTCTTCGTCCTCAAGCCCGGGTCTTCGGGCATGTGGTTTGTCCATTGGGTTCTTGGATTGGCCTATTACACAACCCTGGGCATCTCTGTCTGGATTCAAGGCTCAGGTTCGTCTCACAATGGCTATTGGAGAGGGCTAATTTCGTTGCTGTCTTGGTAATGACGCTGACATGAGTTCACAGGGGCCATTCTCCGGTCGTGGGAGTCCCCGCAGCCCGTCCACTTCACGCCACAAATTATCATCGGGGCGGCTGTCTTCGGATTCGCAGGAGCTCAACAAAACAACTGCCACAGATATCTGGCGGGGCTCAAGAAATACACGCTCCCGAGCGAGGGCTGGTTCAAGTACTTCGTCTGCCCCCACTACACATTCGAATGCCTCCTCTACTTGAGCCTTGCCGTCGTTGCGGCGCCGACAGGACGCTTGGTGAACCAGTCCATCTTGAGCTCGTTGGCGTTCGTCCTGGCCAATGTTGGCTCCACGGCATACGGCACAAAGGTTTGGTATGCCGAAAAGTTCGGGGCGGACAAGGTGGAGGGAAAATGGATCATGATTCCCTTTGTATTCTAGGCTAGGGTAGGAACTTGGCAATCCGGGCATTCAAAGTAGAGCACGCTCTTATCGCTTGCCGAAGAGACCCAATTTGGTTCCGACTTTGGAAACTTGGAGGACGTCTCGGTATGTGAGGCTGGTGCGGGTCTGCCGCGGGTTTCGACCGCCAGCAAACGCCTCGGGATCTCGAAGCAACGGCCAGTTCACAATCGTGTCGGCAGATAGGTCAAGATCCTCCTCAGTGTCGGCGATGCCATGCAGATAGTCCGTATAGAGATTGGCTGTGGTGATGAGAAGGCTACGAGGTTCTTGGAGAATGCGCCAGGCAGGCTCGGGATCAAGGGCACCGTCCTCCTTGCTGCGGTACAGGTTCAGGCAGAGACTCGCGCCGAGGCTGACGGTGCACACCACGGGCCAATACGCAGCGCCATCCTACGGTGGATGAGCATTTCGAAGCTGTCAAGAATTCTTCATCTACTTTGCCATAATACTTAACTTATGCGGCATGATGCCGACTCCGGGAGGATATTCGTTGATGAGGACGTGGTTCGGGCGCTGGTGGGGGCTTTCGGCGAAGATGTGCTTGGGAGAGTCACTGTCGTCAGAGAGCGGGAGGGACAGTAGCCGCGGCACTATGGGTGTTTCGAGCCACGAGGGCAGCGGTGCATCGAGGAGCTTGTTCTGGACGAGGTCTGACGGCCAGGTCTGTAGACGTCGATGGGTGAGTTGTTTCCATCGCGGACGGGGAGCCGCGGCGATCTGTAAAGGCGTGTATACTGTGATCAGCAAGGCTGCGGGCGGAGAGCACAGGCACAAGCACGAGCACCACCCAAGGCACCAGCCACGGCGGCAAGACGCACTTTGTCAAGAATCAGGCGCCCCTCTTCCTCGCTGATGAAGTTCGGTAAGTAATAGGCGGTCGATGGCAGCGACACGACTCTGGCGGCTTCGAGAGACGAGGGCAGCCACGCGTCGCCGGTGCCTCGAGCTGCCATGATACGAGGAATAGTATGCACGAAGTCGGACAGCAGGCAGAAAGTTGCAGAAAGTTGCAGGAGATGAGCTGCTTCGAACCGCGCCAAGGATGTGAGCCCACCAGTGAGCGAGAAGGCAGCCTGGGCCGGGTTGTCGAGGGCGGATGGATTCTGGTGCGAGAGAAGCGTTCAAATGGTCGTATCGTATGCGAGAGGGGACGATGGGGTGATGGTCCAGCAAATGGCCGTATCGAGTTAGGAGGGGGGCTGCAGCGCCTTGTTTGCTCTCGCAGCAAGCCGAGCGAACGACGAGTGCCGGTTAGGGCTAGCCGGGCATTAATGCCTTTTGTCCTACCAAGGTTGCATGTCGCATGTGCTGTGCGAGTTGTTCGGTGTCCAGTTTGTTGTTATCGGCGTGCAGCGTCTGGTCCGTCCGTAGATTGAAAAAGGGGGGAAGAGGCGTTGCGTCCTGCCGCCTGCGGGAGTCAGAATGGGCTCGACCAGGCCAGGAGAGTCATCGATATTGATGGATTGATTCATCATTGACTGATTCAGTGAGTGAGGGAGCCAGAGGTCAGAAGCCGGCTCTCGATGCTGCAGGTCGCACAGACGAGGAAAACAGCGCATCAATTGCAGCACGGCACAGAGCGGTCGGACGCGTGCATGCGTGGATATCGAGTGGCGGGCAAGGGTTCGACGTCGTCTCTCGATATTGTCTCTTTTCCCCTCCGTCTCGTTCTCTCTCTCCTCTCTCCTCTCACCCGTCTCTTGACCGCAGGACAGAGGCGAGACCGTCCGTATTTCAAGCCCAGACAACCCGAGATGCCTCCCAGCACTGCCGGAGCCGCCCGCGGCGGTGATTGGCGGGAACCATGGAAGGGCCCTGCTGCAGCACCACCGCCCGAGGGGGCGCCTTTTGGGGGGCGCGCCAATTTTGGGGGGGTTGGGGGCGCCTTTTGGGAGGTGGGATTGATTGAGGGTGGCAACGCGGGATGGCAGCTCCTCGCCAGCGCGGCTTAGGCTGCGACTCCGCTGTTTCGGCCGCACAACTGCACCGCGGAGGCGCTGCGCCGGCTGGAGCGGCTGACGGCGACGGCCAATCAGGGCGCGGCAGCCGAGCCTGGCTGCTGGGCTGAGTTTCGAATCCGAGTCCCGTTTTCAGGCTCTTTTTAGCGCATTTCTGCTGATGCAGCGCGGTAGGACTATATTACATACGATGGACGGCAGTATGAAGTAATACATGTTCTAGTAATAGTATGCCTTTGCTCTGGTCTCTGCTTTGTGTGTGTGTGTGTGTGCAGGGAGTTCCGTTCATGCCTTCTGCTAGTACCAAAGTATTCCTAGCTCGTGCTTTGCTGTCGTCGGTCGTCTGTCCATGTTCCATGTCTGTCCGCCTTTTAGCCTGCATGTGCTCCTCTGGCTCCAGTCGGCACACCAGACGCACGACTCCATCCCGTAATCGACTTTGGCCTTCCTTTCCTTCTGCCGGCTCCTAACTCGTACGAGACCCGAGGCAAATCTCAGTAGTGGCTCCCGTACCCGGTACCTTGCAGCGCTGCCCCCGCCGGTGGCGCCGCAGCTCACCTGTACCTCCTGCGCTACCTAGGACTATCGCCTGCGACCCCCCGGCACATTTTCTGCTGCTTCTCCCAGCTCTGAAGCCCGCTAGCAGCTGCTGGCACAGGCCTCTGGAGGTACTCCGTGCCCTGGGCAAGCAGCACTACGGTGAACGGGCACGCTTTCGATTCGATTCAAGATTGTCCTCCTGCTCAATTCTCTCGACATCCGACCGGGTAGGGGAGCAAAAAAAATAAAATAAAAAACATAGCATCGACTCTCGCCCACGCCGCCTGTTCTATTCTTTGGGCCTCCCCCCCTTTGGCCCGCGCTGTAGCAGATACTCATCATCCTATCTCTGCAGGTCTTTCTCCCCTTTCTCTCATCTTTTGTTTATTCCCTGAGGCGGCCGCTTCCGTGCCGGCTTTGCCACTCTGCCAGCTGCTGTCGTGCCTAAAAACCACCTGCAAACCCCCCCGGCTGCTGTCCATCGCCATCTCCGCAGAGGCCATTGCTACTTGACCACCTACAGCACCGTACCCATTGCCAGCAGCTCTGACGTGGCGGTCGACGTGACCAGATCAATCGGCCTCTCTCCGTCCGGCTCGCTCGCTGCCCCAACAACTCGTCTTCTATCTCCATGATGGTGGTAGCCGCCGGCAATTCTCGAAGATAAATGTCATGGACGCGCAGAATGCTGCCGAGTCCGACACGCCCAAGCATGCTGGCGCTTCCCCTCAGCAGCAGCAAAACAAACACGAGCGCCCGCGACGAGGCTCAGCCTCCGACTTGGACCCGAAACCGCGCTCTTCTGTGAGGGACTCGTCTCCCGCCGGGCCCAAGGCCAAGGAGCCGTCGTCGCTGTCGTCCACGGCGGCCCGAGCCGACGATGCTCCAGTCGCCGACCGCGACTCAGACGCCGAGACGATTGTCCTGCCGGGCAAGGATGGCCACTCGCCCTCCAAGGTCCGCAAGGTGAGGCAGGAAGACAGGAGCGAGAGCGACGCCGACTCGGCCAGAGGCAACGGCCAGCCGGTGGCCGCGGCGACCAGCAGTAACCAGGGCGACAAGAATGCAGCTGGCGGGCGGGCCGTCGAGGGTGTCAAGAAACGGCTGCCGGGGCCTGTCGACAAGGACCGCCAGCCTCGCAGCAAGGACGGCGCCTCCAGCGGCCTGAGTTCCGCCCCGACTTCGCCTCCCCACAATCTCAGCCAGCATCGTCAACAGCATCCGCTTCCATCTCACCGCCGTCGGCGATCCGACGCCGTGGCTGCCGCATCTCCCTCAGACTCTGAGGGCACCCACGCCAAGCCCGTCTCCTCATCTCTGCGTGACAAGCTCAAGTCGGGCGAGCGTCTGCTGCCGCACAAGCGAAAGGCTCCCAAGGCCGAGTCCGACGACGAGGCCGACCAGCGAAAGGCTCGCCGCCAGCGCACCACGAGCGCCACCCTCGACAACGGGCGGACGCTCAAGGAGCCCAAGACGGCCTCCAAGCAGTCACAGCATGACCCAAGGATCCGGACACGCTCCATCTCCCCCCACCCCCGACAGCATCGTAGAAGCGTATCGACGCAGCTGCCCGCCCAGCATCTTTCCACCAGCAGCCTCAAGAAGAAGCGTTTACCCCCTCCCCTCCACGCTGCCGACTACCACTCGGACGAATCCTCGGCCAGCCTGAGCCCCCATCCTCGTAGCTCCAAGCTGCGAGGCCTCGCCACCCCGACGGTGCCCGAGGCCCATGCTTCGCCCGTCAAGATGGCCCCTCACAAGAAGCACCTGGATGCCCACGGCCAGACTCTCCTCGCCCGCGCCTGCGCACGTGGCGAGTATGAGAGTGCAAAGCGGAGGCTGACAGATCGGCCCGAGGACCTGAACGTGGCCGACTACGCCGGGAACACGCCACTCCAGATCGCCGCAATCAATGGCTGCGAAGACATTGTCAAGCTGCTCATCGACGCTGGCTGCAATCTGGACTGTGTCAACTATGACAAGGACACGCCGCTCTTGGATGCGGTCGACAATGGCCACGTCGGTGTGGTCAAGCTGCTTTTGGATGCTGGCGTCAACCCCCGCAAAGCTAATGTGAACGGAGAGGAGCCAATAGATAGAGTTACAGACGATACCGAAAATGGTGACGAGATACGTGCACTGCTCCTCGCAGCCAAGAAGCGACAGGGCGAACGCCGCCGCACTTCCGAGGACCGCCACTCCCACGACTACCACGATGCCCGAGACTCGCACGCACCCGACAGTCCACGACGCTCTCCAGCCGCCACAATGTCGACAGGTCGGAGATCCGGCACCGTTCGCTCCACCAAGACGAGAAATGACCTGCTCTACATGCCTTTGGACGACAAGACCCTACGCCAGGCCGCCGGGCGGGGCGACGAGGAAACCGTAGCTCGGATCCTGCAGGTCAAGGAAGGCTTCGACGACCCCGAATCCATGGTGGCCGCCGCACGAGGTGGCCATGACCTGGTGATCCAACTGCTGCTGGGCCTGGGCGGTGCCAGTGCAGACCCTCCCCCGGTGAAGACTCTCCAGCCGGAATTTGCCACCCCAATGCTCGCGGCCATCGGCCAGGAGAACATCAAGGTTGTCGAACTGCTCCTGGAGCAGCAAAACTTTGACCCCACGCGCAAGTTCAACGGAGAGACGTACTATGAAATTGCCCGTCGCCGGCAGGGCTCCAATTGGAAAGAAGAAGAGCACATGTTGAAGAACGCCTACGACGAATACAAGCGAACACACAAGGACTCTGCCAGGGCCAAGTCGCCCGGGCGGAGAGACAGAGAGAGACATCGGGAGGACAAGCGAAACAAGAGGGATGACGCCAAGGAGGACTCGAGACCAACGAAACGCAGCGCTGCCAGTCCAGCTCGAGAGCCAAAGAAGCCGCCAGCTCTCAAGACGGACGCCTCTAGGGAGAAACGAAGGTCCGACTCTTTCAGCCACGGCGGTGACGATGCTTCTTCAAAGAAAGGGACACGTCCGAAGAGAGACGACGTCAAGGCGTCGAATGCTTCAGATCGCGAAGCATCTCCAGCGCCCTCTCATAAAGCACCCAAGACGAAGCGCACTGACTCAGACGCGACCGGCATTTCGTCCGAAGGCGAGAACGTGAAGCCCAGAAGAAAGCTGATTTCCAAAGGCGAATTGCGGGATGAGCGTGAGCGTCAGAAGCGCGGCAGCATGGCCTCTACTACTTCATCTGGGGCCAAGGAGCCATCGAGCCCCGCCGAGCCAAGGCATGATGAGAGCGTTGAAAAGCCCCAGCTATCCGAAAAGTATCACGATCGAACAAAGGCCTTGAAGCGCGACGAGTCGAGGGATCGCCTGTCGGTGTCGGGAGATGGCGTCTCAAAACGGCATCGAAATAGCATTACGCCCGATCGACCCAGTGATGTTGACAAGGAGGATGCTCCATTGAAGCGCCGGCGGCTCGAGAGCGACAGCAACCAGGAGAAGCGACCCTTGTCGAAGCGTCCAGTCTCCGAAGAGGCCAAACCCCGCAAAGGAAGCATATCTCGGGAAACCTCTTCCAAAAACTCGGCTCTCGTGCCGCGAAAGCATCGCGACGACGACCCAAAGAGTAATCCCAGCGAGGAGCGGGATCCCAAGCGGAAGGACCCGGGCCGTAATACCTCTGGCGAGAAATCGATACGCGTCAAGCAGGAAGATGACGATGTCGAAATGCCAGATGCAGACCCGGTCAAGGAGCAGACGGGGCCTCGCGATCGGAGAAGTCGCGAAAGTGAGGAGGAAGCTGCCTCCAAGAAGAAGGAGGCAGCCGAGAGAGAGGAAAACCTCAAGGAAGAGGAACGACGGCGTGCCAAGGTCGAGGAGAGGAAGAAACGAGAGGCTGAGGAGGCTCGCCAGCGTGAGGAGGAGAACAAGAAGCGAAAGGAACTGGAGGAGCGGGAAGCTCGAAAGAAACGAGAAGAAGAGGAGGCGCGCAACAACAAGCTCCGTGAGAAAGCCGAGCGCGACCGGCGTGAGGCTGAGGAGGCTAGTGTGCGTCGACGCGAGGCTGAAGAGGCCGCCGTTCGCCGCCGCGAGGACGAGAAGCGCCGCCTAGAGGAGGAGGAGAGGAAGAAGCAAGAAGAAGAGAAGCGGCGAAAAGACGAGGAGCGGAAGCGGAAGGAAGAGGAACAGAAGAGGGAGGAGGAAAAGAAGAAGAGGGAAGAAGAGGAAGAGCAGAAGCAGCGGGAAGAGGAAGAGCGGCTTCACAGAGAACAAGAACGCAAGGCAGCCGAAGAGGCTCGACGGCTACGCGAGCAGGAAGAACGTGCCGAGCGGGAAGAAATGGAGCGAAAGCGTGCGGCAGCCGCCAGGGAGGCAGAACAGCGCCGCCTTCGCGAAGAGCAAGAGCGCCGCGAGGAACAAGAACGCCTCAGAGAGGAGGAAGAGCGTGCCCGACTGGAGAGCCTGCCTCCCTTGTTGCGATGGCTCTGCACGGCGTCCAACGCAAAGACTACCGCCGTGGCCGAGAAGTTTAAGTACATGCGCGGTGCCCGATACGACACGATTCGCCCTGGATTAGACAATACCGCCGAGGGTCGTGAGCAGTGGCTCCTCAACACCCACGTTGCTCTGCTCTTGGGTGAGAAAGATCTGACTCTCTCGAAATGTAAGTTGGGCAAAGATTCCTTGCTCTTCCGCCGCCCTCTTGACTCGTGTATCACTAACACAGAGATAGACTCGGCCTGGAGGCGCGAACCTGCTTCACGGCTGGCCAAATTCAGCCTTTGGAGGACGGAGTGGCTGCGGTACACGCTCTTCGCTGAAAAGCTGTGGGATCTCGGCGAACAGGTGCCCGGATGCTATGGCAACGAGACGGCGGATAGCCTGAGCCATGACAACAAAGACAGACTCAAGCAAGATGCATGGGAGAAGTTTGAGGCAATGGACATGTTTTTTGTCAAGGTAAGTTGCCTGCACAAATACCCCCCTCAATACTCTGCGTCGCCGTTTACTCACATCTGTCCTCTCCTTCTTTCGATAGGTCTCCGACTTTATGAATTATGTGCCTAACGTGCCACATCTTCGAGGCATCAAATTGGGAGTCGAGTACTGTGAGTTGCTGGAGAGCAAGGACCAGTGGCTACCGGCCGGGAAATGGAAGCGAGACCCGGACGTCGCCCGCTATCATGGGTTTGCCCCACGACACAAGTACTATGTTAACGGAGTCCTGGTCGGAGAAGAGTTGCCGACTCTTTCGAGAACGAGCTCGAGCCCCTTCCCGGAGACACGAGTTCCCCGGCGAGGATTAACTCGAGCGTATCCCGAAGATACAGACTATGCCGCCCTGTGTCTGAGCCAAGGCCTTGGGCATCTCCTCAAAGACACAAAGAGCCCCTCGCCGCTGCCGAACGGCATCCATTCTTCGCCTATTAGCCCGACATCAGCACCACGGGCCCGACCAACTATCAACGGTGCGAATGGAGATGGTGCCTCGGACAGGGTCAAGGACGAGGCATCGATGGATGGTGGAATTACTAATGGCATTAATGGATCGGCCAGTTGATGGTGGGACTGCACTGGGAGAAAGGAGAAGAAGGAGGAGAAAAGGGAGAAACGCACGAAATCATCCGATGCTGTACGATCTCACGCTATCCGACATCTGTTGCTTTGGTTCCTTCGCTTTCTCCTCTTCTTGGCTTCCTCGCTTTCTTACCCCCCCATGCTATCTTCTTTTGTTCTTTGCCTTTTCTCTTTGGCCTTCTTCATGTAAATGTCTATAGACTTGGATGTCGGTGGAAAGAAATGGGAAACGAGGCCGCGCTCTCTCCGTGTACACACGCGCACATTTTACGCACATTTTCACGCAACGCAACGCAATACAACGTTTTTGGTGGCTGGCTGGTTCTCCCGTCATATGGGCGCAAACTGATTTCATTTGATCAGGTCCTGCCTGGACCTGGGATCTACTACTACTACTACTACATACACACACTATTTACGCGGTGATGGGAGGGATACAGGAATGGAGAAATAGGCGTCTTTTCATTTACTCCTTTATCCTTGCCCTCTTACTCTATTCACAGCTTGGACGGAGTGTTATATGGTATGCCACGGTATATTGGACATTCTGCGTGTTGTTTGTGTTCGACAGGAGTCAATCAATGAGATTTCTTACACGATTTCGTCCTTGTGGACTGGCAGGAATTACAGAAAAAGAAAATGTCGAGGGGATCTCTTCTTGCATGTCGAGACAATATTAGGCGTATCCCTTCTTGATGTCGAGCTTCTAGCAATTCTGGGCAAAGGATTTAGACACGGAGAAATTGCTGATGGTTTTTTTTCCATCTCATCTTGAATCTCTTTCCTTTGGTGTTGGCTTGCTTTTGAGTCTCCCAATTGTCATTTCCAATTCCGACTGCCTTTCTGGTGGTTTCCTTGAGGGTGGCTTTTTGTCTTGGAATTTGTTCCCCGGGCTGTGATTGAGGATGGAAGTGAGAGGCTACTTGGACGGTGATTAGCCTTTGTGTTGATTCAACACAGTCAATTTCTATCTATACAGATTATGGTGACAAATCATGCATCTTACTGCATACCTGTATGACATCGAATCGTACAGAATAAACTTGTATGTACATGTTGTTTTTGCCTCCATCACGGCTTCGTCTCAATGTGGCTCCCTCCTCGAAACATGATTGGCCAACGAGGGGCTGACATCATTGGCCACCCGAACGAGACAGAAACCACAAACCCAAAAAATTCACCCCACCAAAATCCTTCTCCCAACCAGCTTCAACCAAGTTTTGATATACATAAACCGTTCCACCTCTTATTTTCTCACACCCCCGTTTACGAGAGCGATTTCACGACGAAACGAATTGTTGGGAGTTGAGACGCGCATAGACAAGAGGGTCGCGACGAATTTAGCGGAAGCAGGATTGGGAATTAAACTGATTCAAAGAGAGGAAGAAAAATACCGGCATCATGTCGACCACCGTGGATAAGGTACGAATGATATCCCCCATCGTCACGTTCGCTTCCCTTACGAGCTTGCGACTTCGAAACTGTTTGCAACTTGATCTTGACATGGCTAACATCAACGTCACTTGCAGATCAAAGAGATCGAGGCCGAGGTATGTCTCCCCGCACCGAAGAAACACCCTCCCAAGCGACGAACGGAACCCCCATCTCCAGGAACCGGCGATCGCATGAGGAATGAAGGGGGAAAACGAGCAGGATTCTGACGATTCTATTTGTCGCAATAGATGGCCAAGACTCAAAAGAACAAGGCAACGTCCTACCACTTGGGTCAGCTCAAGGCCAAGCTGGCCAAGCTGAAGCGCGAGCTGCTCACCCCCAGCAGCAGCGGCGGTGGTGGCGGCGCGGGCTTCGACGTGGCCAGGACGGGTGTCGCCAGTATCGGCTTCATCGGCTTTCCCTCGGTCGGCAAGAGCACGCTCATGAGCAGGTTGACGGGCCAGCACTCGGAGGCGGCCGCGTACGAATTCACGACGCTGACGTCGGTGCCGGGACAAGTCATCTACAATGGTGCGTTTCCCTGTCTTGCTTTTATCTTTTGTCTGTTCTTTTCTTTTCATCTGGGATGAACAACAAAGGGAAGACTAAGAAGGGAAAGAGAAGAAAGTACAAAGGCTGACCGTATGTGCAGGCGCCCCGTTGCAAATCATCGATCTTCCCGGAATCATCGAGGGAGCCAAGGACGGCCGCGGACGAGGTCGCCAGGTCATCGCCGTCGCCAAGACGTGCCACCTCATCTTCATCGTGCTCGACGTCAACAAGCCGCTGACGGACAAGCGAGTCATCGAGGCCGAGCTCGAGGGCTTCGGCATCCGCATCAACAAGCAGCCGCCCAACATCACCTTCAGGAAGAAGGACAAGGGCGGCCTCAACATCACCAGCACCCAGCCCCTCACGCACATTGACCACGACGAGATCAAGGCCGTCATGAGCGAGTACCGCATCAACTCGGCCGACATTACCATCCGGTGCGACGCCACCATTGACGATCTCATTGATGTGATTGAGGCCAAAAGCCGAAGGTGAGTCGAGGTGATGGCATGTGATGATGACATGCCCCAAGCAAAAAAAAATATGTAGGGCATGTGACTGATCCGATCATCGCAATAGCTACATCCCCGTCGTCTACTGCCTCAACAAAATCGACTCCATCAGCATCGAGGAGCTCGACCTGCTCTACCGAATCCCTAACGCCGTCCCCATCAGCTCCGAGCACGGATGGAACATTGACGAGCTCATGGAGGCCATGTGGGAGAAGCTGAACCTGAAACGAGTCTACACCAAGCCCAAGGGCAGGCAGCCCGACTACTCAGCCCCCGTCGTACTCAGAGCGAACAGATGCACCGTGGAAGATTTCGTGAGTAACCCCCAATCAAGCCGCATAGAGAGGAGGAAGGGAACACCCTTGGGGGAGAGGGAGGGCCAGGCCAGGCCACCCCTCCCTTGACTATCTCTGCGTCACAAATAATCTGTCTTGAACAAGGCTAACATCTCTGTTACGCAACGATAAGTGTAACGCTATTCACCGCAGCATTGTGGAACAGTTCAAGTCAGCCATTGTGTATGGCAAGTCGGTGAAGCATCAGCCGCAGAGGGTCGGGTTGGCCCATGAGCTGGAAGACGAGGATGTTGGTAAGTGCACTCTGGCCCAAGCTCTGCCCCCTTTACCTTCCCGCCTCGGTTTCGCTTTTTGCCGAGCCAAACTGCGAAGAAGCGTGATATGGCTCGAATGATGCTCCGCCGCTCTTCACTCTACGTCTTATCTTCGAGCATGAGATTCAGGATTCGCGTCTGTATTCAGAATGCGCAAGGACTAATCAGTCTTCACCAGTGACCATTATCAAGCGATGATCAACAATCTCAAGGCCCAAAGCCATAATGGGCAGTTCGCCGGATGAAGGAGAGACGACCGCACTCATCCGGCTCCTCGAGTGCCGCGCAAACCTAGGAGACTGTCATCCGCATCCTTCCGCGAAGCCGCGTCCCGACTTCCGGCTCTGTCGCCTGAGTGGACAGAAAACAGACAACTTCCTTTCCAGAAAGCATGGACGCTGTGCGGATGGAGGGTATTCTATCTGATTCTCTTTCCCACTTTATGCAGAAATTGCTGGCTAGGACGAGGGACCGGGGATCGGGCAGGGGATGGGACGGCGGCAGCAGTTCGGCATTGATGCGCCATATTGCACGAAGCAAAACGGTTCCAACGGCCAATGCGCAGGAATGCGCGACTCGACAGGTCAGAGAGGGGATGGATGAGCCATGATGATCGGCGGCAATGATTCCGGTGGGCCGTATATGGAGGTTGGGGGCTCGAATCTGGTGCACACGGCAAAGTACTGTAACAGCAGCAAACAGCAGCAGCAGCAGCAAAAAGAAAGGAAAAGGAATGATACCTAAAATGACACACACAAAACATAAGGAGCAAAGGAAAGGAACAAAGAGGGAAGGGGGGAGAGCGGTTGAACGACAGTGGTAGCCATGAGGGGACAGAAAAATGACAGGCCGCTTCCGTTGGGAGCCCGTGGAAATGGAGGGAGCCCGTGGAAGTAGAGGCAGCAGTATTTCGTAGTTGTGAGTAGCAGTACCTTGCGGTATGCTGTGTTCTTGCACTCATGAGAAATATCCAATTTCCCTCCCCCTCCCCCAGCCTTCAGAGCAATCAAGTCCGTCCAGCGTACCATCGACAGGGCCAGTACGGAGTATGTAGACATGGCATATAAGCAGCACGTGTATCTGTAAGGAACACTACTAGTCATAAGAATGCTAAGCTATTCGCTGGCAGTAATACAGCCATGCGAAATGCGAAGCAGTAGCAAGCATTAGTTCACGCCTTCGCAGGTAAATAATATCCTCGAATCGTCCTCGAGTCAGCCATCGAACATAAAGTACTTTACTCAAATACCCAGTGACTGATATTATATACTTGCCGGAAAGAGTAGAAGAAATTTTGAACGTACTATGTGTAGCAGTATGTCGTTGAGGACCACGGCCCATTACCCGGGGCCGGATGTGCTTTGGCCCTGCATAACCGAGGGCCTCTCGATCTGCGGCCGCCTCTCGCAGAAAAGAATGGAACGAAAGGCTAACAGAAGCGTGGGGATGGGCAGAGTCCCTTTTGAGCCTTCGGACGAGAGCTTCCCAGCTCGACTTGGAGCTACACCGAGAAGAGAAACCCGGAGAGGGGGAAAAGAAGAGCGGAGGGGAGGGGGCGTGTGAGATGTCGGAAAAGAGAGAATAAGACAAGTCTGCGACTCTGTGAGCGAGCGAGCGAGCGAGACTGAGAGAACTGAGGTTAGAGTCAGGGAAGGGCTTGACCTGCAGCCCTGACGCTAATTGCAAGTTCGCAGGGTTGCCTTCTTGGATGGGGGACGCCGCACAACGATTCGCTGGATATGGAGGCCGATGCTGGCTGCATGGCGCCCCAGGGAGTTGTATTGGGCCTTGGTCGTCTCCAGCCCAGCCTTTCAGAGAGCTCCTCTTGCCGCCCAGACGAAGCCAGAGCCAGAAAACGATGGGCGCCGGTGGGGACCTGATTACGGAAGGCGCAGTATTTTGGTTCTGGCGGTGACCCTTCTGCTCGTTGAATGTTGAGCTCTCTCGACTCGACTTTTTTCCTTCCCTGTGATCCACCTGGACGCCAAGTGCCGGAGGAATGCCACTGGCTTCCCGACGTCTAAGTCAACCCCCGAACGTTGTAGTAGCAGTCTAAGAGATTGGAGAGTGGGCCAACGACGGCGACTTGGTATGGCATGGGAAAAGACCCCCCTTGTCTCCCAGACGGCATACTGCGCTGCCAAAACGCAACAAGGAAGCATCGTTACAGGCAGAGACACAAGGCACGCCGTCGGCCAAGCCACTTGAACCATTCGTACGAGGTACAGTACCCGGTTGTGGCATGGAATCCAGTGGTGTTTCGCTTCCTCTTGAAGGAGTGTGGAGATAAAGCCATTTTGACACTGGTGGCCGACCTAGAAGACGGGACATGGGAGGGGGAGCCACAGGGGCTTGTCCGTAGAAAGCGAGGGTCTTGCATGCCTTGTTGCAAGGTCTTAGTAGTTGTAAGTTGTTAATCGCATCCGCAGTGGCAGTGGCAGTGACAAGTACAAGTACAAGTCTGCACATGTGCTGCCTGCTAGCACTCCCCATGCCTTGCCCGGCCTGGCCTGGCCTGGACGGACGCTTCGCGGGACGAGGGTTTTGGCGGCGGCCTGGATGTTTAGCAAAGTTGAGCGCGCGGCGCGCGGCATGGCTCATGCATGTCCTTACTGACTACGGAGTAGTTCGCCCGCAGCGGAAAACGGAGACGAGAGCCATGAGGCACAGGCCAGTGTTTGCCCTGCCGCCATAAGACACTAACAAGATTGCTGCCCTTGCTGGATACATGGAGGCCTTGCAGAAGCGACTTGCGAAGCCTTGGTGTAAGTACGCAGCACTTGTATGCGGTGCTGCATGGAGTACGAAGGACATGCCAGCTGGAGGCAAGGTCCAAACTTTCGAGGGGTCCCCGGTCGAGGCGGCATACGGGCAATGCGCCAGATGACATCGTGACGCCTGGGTGCGAGAGAACCTCATGGTGCCTTCCCTGTCAGAGACTCCGCCGCGGAGCCGCATCGTACAAGGGATCCATATCGTCCATGCCGAGCCGCGCCGCAGACGAGGTGTTGCAAGCAGGACACGCAACGACCACGCGAGAAATTCCCATCTGCTGCCAGCTCTGTCTTCATTCATGGCAGCTGCGATGATGTCAGGTAGCCGAGAGCTCTGACACCTCCGTGTTGCCCTCCTCCTCGACTATGAGGTGCTATGCGGTCTGCAATTCTGTCCTTCGAGAACCTTTGTTGCGGCGAGATTATACCGCGGGAGGACGTATGTGCATTCAAGACCGCCGGGCAATTTCGCCACGAGGAGACTGGGACACGTTAAAAGACCGATTCGCCAGGGTTTTGCTTGTCATGGACGTCACGCGGCAATATTCCTTCGAGGTAACAAGCTCCCATTGGAAGAGTGATTGGCTGTTTTTGTGCATCAACACCCAGCCAGTCATGATCCACCTTGCCGGCACCTGGACGCGTTTTGAAGTGTGGACATTGGTAGATCTCATCGGGATTGGCCGCCGCTGTTCGTCATATCAGGGCCCTCACCTCATTGGAACGAATCGCGTATAACTTGGATCATCAATCTTCCCAAAGAGAGAAAGCTGCTTGTACCTTCCACGAAGTCAAGGATGGTCGAGAGCTGGTGATGCCTCTCATGCCTGCGTCAGTTGGCCTATGAGAAAACAATTAAGGACAAGAACGCGTCAAGTCCGTCGGCGTCTGGTTGGCGAGGACGCTCCGCGATGCGCTTCGTAGGCTTCGGGTTAGTCACACTAATGCCAGTAATTCGACTGCTTCCCACACTCCGCACATCGTACGAGGGGCTAGCAGAGAGACCAAGGCAGACCATTTCGGAGGGGGAAAGGCTGATAGTGGTAGCTTGAGATTGACGAGAGGACCCTAAATTGGACCTGCCTCTCAATCCAACATACGGCAGGACTCATTTCAAAGCCGACAAGTCGGATGAATGGCCTGGCATGATAGGATGAGGTTCCCCGGTATTCGAGGCCGGCAGTATCATGTGTGTTGGCAGCCGTGCAGCACCGTGCTGGACTCTTGAATGTCTCCAGACATGTCCATCGTGGAGAGCACCAACAATTGTCCCTATGACTGACTGCCAAGTAGGTACATAAGTACCCATTACTCGTACAAGTATCTCTCTGGTGGCCATGTAAGTGAGTGCCATGCTTGAAAGTTGGGCACGGACCTCCACACAACGGCAACCAGCCAACGACAGGGGTTGAAATTGGCCAACTGGAAGAGAGCCTGGAAGCGGAAGCTATTCACTTGGCGCGGACGCCACCGCCCCCCTTGTATTCGTTCAATTTGAGCCACGATGAGGACAAGATGCCGAGATTTCATAGCTCGCAGTTCAAGGGCATCCCTGGCCTTGGATCGAAAACTTTTTGTGACCGGGGCAACGCTATGCCGGCTGTATGTATAAGAGAAGTTCAATGCGAGTTGAAAGCTTTGACGCTGCCGATAGGATATTGTTCTTGATACGGAGTCCAGGCTCTCGCTTTGGTCTTAATAGGGTTGTTGCTTCCTTATCGAGTGCGTTATGAAGAAGTATCAAACTCTCCATGGCCCGCCACATAGGCGAGAGGAAGAAGGTATCAGTAAGGCAAGGAAAATTCCGGATCAAGAGCCGTGCCAAATGGAATCGTGGCCGAAAGTTCGAAGATCAGGAGGCTCGTGCTGTAATGAACAGTCTCAGCATTGTCCGGTTTCGTCTAAGGGGCTGAGTTTTGACCGGCAGCGATGCTGCTATTCCCAACGGCGATTCATCGTAAATTGGCCGTTGATATTGCGCACAAATGCCAAGCCCACAAATAACGCGAACACAATTCCTTCAATGTCGTTGGTGTGGTGTCTTCGTCCTTCGTACTCCGTATAAGATACAGTCACTCCGTATATCAGAGGGCCAGGCGAAGAAGTAAAGTCACACTGGTTTCCAGATTGGTTGCTTGAGGAATTCCCCGCCTCCAGATCTCAGCTTGCAGACGATGCCTTGTTGGTTGAGTGTTCCGTGAGTTTGATGCGATGTTATCCTCGATGTCGAGATCTAACCATTACACCACCTCAGCCTGTTAGCGTTTGCACAACTACCAACACGCCGCCTGCTTATGAGGAGCACGAAGTCAGGGTTTGGAGGGGAGTAGTACCTCGCAAAAGTATTTACCTCAAGAAGGTATGGGCTGGTTAGTGGTGTGGCCCTGGTCAATATGGACGGTCCTCCCGCGCTCCCGCGCCTTGAATCTCGAGTCCGAAAGAGGCCAACACTAGAGGCTATTTTGCACATCACTATCAATCTTGACTCCTGTACGAAACGATCCGCATGAGACGAGCCAACGGCAGTTTGACGAGTCGTGAAGCTCTGAGGTCTGCGTGACTGTCTGAATGTGCGTACCATCGTACACATTGCTGCTTCATCCTCCAGCAAGGACGAGCTATGACAACCTGTCTCGACAAATGGCACATCCCAGACCCTCTCAGAGACCTGGAATCGGCCAGAAGCTCTGGACGAGGTGCAGTGGCCTGCCTATACGACGTACGGACATGGACGACAAAGATGGCGTTGATAAAGCGGCTGCACTCTCTTCTTGCAACTAGTAGTCGTATAAGCATTTCCGATGAGCGGCGAGCGGCGAGCGGCTGGGATCATCCACCCCTGTACTCCGTTTTGGCACCATCATTTGGCGCGCAAGACTTGGTCGTAGCTGAAAACGTGGAGAAGAGGACTGTTGGAAGAAGCAGGCACTATGTGGTATTAGTGCGACGACGTGCCCGGTAATCGTAGTAATAATACTACACTGGACTTGACTTCGCAAGTCCCATCTGGGGAGCAACTCTCAAATCTCCGGAACTGGTTATATCTGAAACTTGCACGTCCATTTGTCTGAAGGTTAAGATTGCGAATAAACGTCCTGGCGGTGATGTGGAGAAGGTTATGGCTGAGCATGTGCCTCTGGACCTTGGGCTGGACTCGTTTCCGGAGTGCTCGTACTTGTACTTGGTAGGTCACCGTTTGTTAGCTTGATTTGATGATCAGCTGCGGCACTGCGTACATGAGGGCATACCCATACCTTGAACAAGGCAGATGATTCGTTGTTAATCTGTATCATCTGCGACAACAGCGCTAGCTGATTCGGGCCGCTCCACAGGACCTGCAGGCTCAAAGGCTCTTAACTTCATACCCCTCTTGGTTTATACGAGCAGTTGAAGCCTCATCTATCACAGCTCAAGCAGCGTTGTTGACTGTGACTTTGGGCGACTTGGGACGCACAGAGATGAGCTCAGGAGTGGGGAGGGGATCCCAGAACGTCTCCCAAGATCAAGCTGCTGTGCTTGCTTGGAGTCCTCATACCTTGACCGTACTCGTGCTATCCACGTAGAAGCCCTGCCGCGGTGTGTTTGCGTGGGTTCTACTGTGGCTAGTGGTGACGAGACTGGGATCAAGGTTGCTTATTCTTCAAGCCGGGGTTCTTTGCTGTTGCGTACAAGAGCTTCGTACTGGAACCTGTAGCGCTCCGGGATGTGGATTTGCCATAGTATTAGAATGCTGCCTGGGTACTTGTCCGGAAGACCGTCTCCTAGTCCCGTTGATGAAGTCGTCGGCCCACGAATATGCCGGGTCAGGCTCTTGGGGCGCAGAATCGTGATAGGCCCTGGCAGCAGTCAGTACTCGTACCTCAGGCGTTACATGACAAGCAGCATGAGTACCTGTACGGGCAAGGCAGGTAGGTAGTCAGTCGGTAACGAACAATCCCGGACAACCACATGGGCCATGGAAGCGGCGGCTTTCGCGAACTTGCACCAAGCCGTGCTAGCATCGAGCATGGCTATCGGGAGCATCGTGCTCGCGTGGTTATTTCCTGCTTCTTTTCGTGGTGTTGTGGTGTGCCTGAGGAGCGCCTGAACGGTGCCTGAGTGTGCCCGAAAATGTGTGCCTGAGGCGGACGACTTTGGGGTTTCATTCTCCCTCGTCTGGCTCCTTCCTGGCCTTGTTGATGGTTCTTGTCGCGTTTCTGGGCCGACGTCACGGAGGGAAGGTACGGAATGCTGAATCATGTTTTTTCCGACGTCGCACCACCTCCGCTTGGGCTTCTCGATGCTACCTCTTGGTTCCTTCGTCTCTTCATATCTTCGTCCCTCCTCCTCCTCCTGGTTCGTGGCTGTATAGACTCTACAGGCCTTGCAGACATCCAGGCATACATATCATGCAGCCAGCCGTGCAGGATACGAAACTCCCACTTACAAGCAGCGAACGACGCCCCCAATGGACCAGCGTCCACCAGTGGTGTGTGGGCTTCGCCCGTACCTACATATGGTCCCATGTCCACCAGGTCCCCGATCCCGCCGACGCTGCCTCTTCTGGCCATGCTGGCCCTGATCACCCGTTGGTCAATGTTTGCCCTATCATGCCCAATCTCTATGATCCATGATCCGCTCCCAGTTCCCCGTCTGGGCCTGTCGAGAGGCACCCCTCAGGCATTTCCGGGCTCTGGCTCTGCAGGCCCATTCCCTTCTGGGACGGAATCCCACCCGTCCGTCCACTCGCCGTCTCCCTACGAGCAAACATGGGCGCCAGACGTGCAGCGAGGCAAGCTAGAGAGCCGGACTGACACGCACAGATGCGCTCACCTCACTGATCTGTACCTGTACGAACTGTATGTACAGTACAGGCACACGCTCGAGAGGCGCCCATCACTTTGCCGACTCGCACGCCCCTCCCTCCCCACGGCACCCCTGCAGCAGGCAACCCCTGAACGTACATGTACAGGACCTCTTCGTGCATGCGTCTGCATGCCTGCCTCTACGGCCAACGTTCCGCTTCGTTCGCAGGCAATGCGCTCCGGCTTCAGCGTCTCCCCAGGCAGCCCATCATATGGAGTACAGCTACATACAACGAGCCACTCTTGTACTCCGTACGCCTCTGGGATGATATTGCTTGGATACCCTAGTCTAGCCCGGACTTGGTAGACCTAGCATGGCACTTGGGTTGGTGGGCGGGCCACTTGCTCGTCTGCAGCAAACCACCGAGCTTGCCGTCTCTTGGACCAACAGTATCGGCCTGTTGCAGCTTGTCAGATCTTGTACGGACTCGCTTGCCGCACAGACAAGCACGCGGTGCGACTGCTTCTAGTATGTACATACTCCCCCCGTACTGCCAGCCAGGTCCGGGGCCGGTACTTGGTTTATCATCCTAGATGCATCACCGTCCCTCGACCAGTCCGAATACTTCTTCTGCTGCTGCTGCATTCTGCTCCTCCCCAGGGCTGACATGAGTCGTTTCCCTTCTCCGCAGTCTGTATTTTCACCCCCACGAGAGCACGAGGCCGCGAGTAACGGCGAAGAAAGCTGCCGTCATTGTCTCACACCAGGCCGTTACCGCGCGGAAGAGAGTCCACCGGCGGGTCTTTAGTAGTTAAAGTGACGTGAGAAGCAGGGCTTTCCTGGACAGGTGTGTTTCTTGCTTCCTGCTTGCTCCTGGCCGCTGTTCTACAGAGGTGGCCAAGTAGCAATACATTATCCAGCAGAACACCCCTCATCCAGAGGTCTAGTCACCGAGACTTCACTCTTCACTATCACCGTCTTGACTCTCTCTTTTCTCTCTCTTCAGACAATTTGCAAAGTTATACATCACAGCGTCTTGTCATCCTTTGTTTGTTGTGCAGTCATATTTGAGCATCTCAAGTTTATTTGCGTTCCTCCTTGTTTCGCCACTACAGACTTGTTCGTCGTCCCCCGAGGAAGAAGATAGGGCTATGCCATTCCCGCGTATACATTATCCATGAGGTTCGTATGCTTCCTGTTTGCTTCTCGACAAATGCTGCCCGATACCCATGCTTGACTTACTACTACCACTATCGGCTCGCTGATGACGGCCCAAGACAAAGTTTGAATCTTGTCTCTGCGCTGACGGATGAAAGATAATACCCCCCACTCGTTCCGTCTCTGTCTTGCCCTTCTTCTCCTCCTCCTCTCTCTGCTCTGGCAGACACTATTTGGCAAGTGCTGACTTGCTCAGTTTTTCAGCAACCAGCAAAACCCAGCGATAGACTGGGCCACTAGATTCCAGGAATACATACAATGAACACTGCTGCTCACGGCTCTGCCAGCTTGGGTCAAGACGCTACCATGGTGCAGAGCAACGGAGCTGGGTATAATACCAGCGACCACTGGGCGAGCATCAGTCCGTATAGCCAGAGTCCGTATGGAAACAGTCCTCTGAACGAATATGGCGCCACCTTTGGCGGATTCATATCGCACGGGATGCCATCAGAATCGCTCAGCAGAATGCCTCCGCCCATTCCCCCATCAATTCCTCAACATACGACACATCAACTGATACAGCCCGCACCGCTGATGGGCCATCACCAACTACCGATGCTCAATACACAATGGCCCAGCCAATTAACGAACCCGACCCCATCGGGGAGCTACTCTGCTCCTCCGCTGTCCATCGCACCGGCATCCAGCCTCCCCCCAGTTGAGCCGCCGAGACCCCCTGTGCACCATGAGAAAGCAAGGAAGACGTTGAGCGCAGAGCAAAAGCGAGCCATGTGTCAATATCACGAAGATAACCCAGGCACTAGGCAGGCAGACATTGGCGCAAAGTTTGGTGTCGAGAGAAGGTAGGTTCACCAGACGTCGCTTCGGTCATCCACCCCTATCCATACCTTGGGATCAGCTAACATCTGAGCCAAGCACGGTATCCAAGGTGTTGAGGCACAAAGACCAATATTTGAAGCAAGATCCGGAGCCAGATAGCTCAGCTCTCAAGCGTCTGAAGGGGAAACATCCCGACTTTGATCGGACACTCAGCAACTACGTCCGCCGACAGCAGCAACGTGGCTTTGAGGTCAAAGACGAGGAAATAATCGAACAAGCAAGGCTCTTTGCTCGCGCCAGTGGCAGCCAAGACAGAAGCTTAACTAACATCAACAGCAACTGGCTTCTCAAGTTCAAGCAGAAACACGGTATAGGGGCTGGTCGGCTCATGCGTCGGGCCTCCGAGACGAACATCCCAGACCGTATTACCATGTCCACAGCTATTGCACACTTCCCAGGGGATAAGACAACCACTACCATTTCCCCCGTCTCTCCAACTCAGCAGCTTTCGCCTCTTTCTGCCAGCCGCAGTGACGAGGACTTACAAGCTGAAGGTCATGATTTTCATTTCCAGTACGGACATACGGGTTCGCACTCCTCTACCTCGCTGGCAGGCGATATGAGGGATCCAAGCGTTTCATTTGCGGGCGGCACGATGAGCCCAACCGCGCCCTTTCACTTCTCGCCCGATCCCAACCTTGGGACATTCCAAAACAGTCTCCATATACAACCGGCAGTCCCTGAGTTCCAACACCATGGGAAGAGAAGCAATACTTTCCCTTCCCTGAATATCGAATGTGTTCACCAAGATACGAGTGGGGGACCGCTGACTCCTCGAAATACATCTGCCGTTACATCATCTTCAGCGCTTGAGTCGCCGACAAACGACGTTCGGAATACTCCCTTCACGCTGGACACAACAGTATCTTCGCCACCAGCTTTGCGCCGCAGTAGCAGCAACTCAAGTATGATTGCGCGGTCAAACAATCCTTCCACAAACACAAGCTCGGTATCGTCCCATACTGCCGACTCGTCACCAACATCTCCGACGCCAGAGGATGCTCGACGTGCCGCAGAAACGCTGCTAAGCTACCTTCATAGCATGACGCCAAACGGTCCGTTCGACAAAGGCGAATATGCTACCATTGTTCAGCTTACCAAGAAATTGCAATTGCATCAACATCAGAGTACGCGTCCTTCCATAGGAGGACTGTCGAGAATACCTGAAGGCGATGATGGGGAAATCCAATCGCTGGCCGAGGCAGCGATGTCAGAATTATGATGACGATACTGAACCTGTTTCAAGATCTACCGCAATCCCTCAAACACCTACCTTTTCACTTTCTTGTTTAAAGTTATCCATTATTGAGAGCTTTTCTTTCGTCCTTGCTTGCTTTCTTTTCTTTTACTTGATGTTCTCTTCCTTCTCACCGGCGTTACAGGTCCTCTTGGAGCATTCCCGGATCAAATCAATAAACAAATAGGGGGGAAGACGGCAGCACTGGCTAGACCTAAGCACAAGAGAGGATGGGTCTGAGCCATGGACTGGCAGCACGCTGTGATACGGTCTATTTCGAATGAATGCAGAGGCCCTCATTACGACATCTCACATGCGGAAGCGATTCCCCATGTGGGAAAGAGACTCAAATGGGTGGAAAAGGGGTTACAACTAAAAAAAGAAAGGCGACTTTATCTGGCAACAGATCTACCAGCATAAAACCTGATTTCATTGCTTTCACACCACTCATTATTATTCCATCTGGCTCCCCTCTGGAACCAGTGCGATGACTTTTCCTTTCTCCTGAACACATCACCAGCCATGGAAGGCATTGCCCGCTGCTTCACACAACCCTCCTGAGCATGCTTGCAGCTTTGATATCTTCTTACACCCGGCCTTTGCTTTTTCTTTACATCGTTTTCTTTCCTATCTCAGGCCCGACGTGGATCCGGGCTTTTTTCTTGTTATTGAGACAGAGAGAGACAAATATTCCATCTGGCACTGTTTAGGCACCACTTCATGCAGTGAAGAAAACAGCATATTGCAGTTTTTCCGCAGCTTCACACAGCTTCTTGATTCTCATCAGCTTCTCCTTGGGTTATAACAGTTCCCCATTCATATGTTTTCCTTGGTATATCGCGATCAAATCTTACTGGAGGATGGGAGGGTACGGGTATAGGGATAAGGGAACAAGACGAGTTCGAAAAAACCAAATGATCTACAAGGGCCTTGTTTTCGGCACCACACTCCTCGCGGAGAAGCATGCGTTTTGTTTCCTTTTCTTCTCTTCTTTTCTTTCCTTTCCCATACCCTAAAGGCACTACAATATACTACGGAGTACCTGCCAAAAAATGTGTTTGTATTTTTCCTTTCGTCCATGCACTACGGGCACACACGACGGGAGATTGACCAAAAGAGGGTCTCGGGGTAGCAGGGGGGGAGGAGCCCATATGGGGACATAATTTTCCTCGGCATCTATCTACTTGCTCTTTTCATTTCACGTTACCGGCTAATCCCCGTCCTTTTTGGGTCATTTAGATGGGCCTTATTTTGAGGTCGTGTCTTGTGTGTTTGGAAGTGAGAGCATGTACCGGTAACACTGTCGATGGGGTTTTCCATCCCCTAGGGAGGGAAGTTCAGGGAACAGGTGTTTGCCTAGACGCGGGCCCAGAAAGGGCAAGGGGGGTGGTAGAAAGGCTCAAGCTTTGATACACTACACTTTAGCACGAAGTTGTATTGCGGGCGATATCTACAAGTACTGCATGTACTCGGTGTTAGTATATGCGCAGAGAGGAAGCTCCGCCTATGCCACCCCCCAACTACCGATCCAAAAGGTCTCTGAATGTATGTACAGTATCCGTATATTCTTCACAGGTGCTTACACGTCTTAGCCAAGTCTCTCTTCCCATAGCTCCACAACACCCTTCTCGCTTAGTTCGGGCATCAGCCTCACGAGAAGCAGCTCCAACGCGCTGTACATCAGATGCTTGTTACAATACTCATCACCAACAACAACGTCCAGCAGCCCCTCAAGCTCGTCCAAAATCCTCTCGTCGCCGTCCTGCTCGTCAGCCGCGGCAGACGACGATCCGACGTCTTCGCCAGGGTCAAACAGCCCGCCCAAGCGCCAAAGCCGACGCCCAAAGTACACGCGGGCAACGCTTGCGGGGACCAGGCCCAGAATGGCGCCAGCCGCCCTGCGGCGAAGAGCGAGCAGCTCCTCCTCCGACTGGGGAGGTACCAGGCTGGACGTGCCGAGGCTATTGTTGGGAAACAAGGCGCCTCGGAGCGACCGAAGGATGGGCGGCAGATGAGAAGAGTCGAAGAGAGCTCGGATATGATGCGAAAGGAGTCTACAGAAGCCGACGGGAAAAGCAAAAGGGCCATTGGTTAGCTTAGTTAGTTCCTTCATAGAGCAAAAAACGAGCCCTAAAAGAGAGGGAAAGAGAGGCATTTCCATCGGCTCCGCCCGTTATGAGTGGGGATGGAAAGCGAGATTCAAAGGGAGAGGGGCAGTGGATGCTATGTGGTGGGTAGGGGGGATGAAGAGGCAGTGGGAGAGAATCGTTAGCATCAAGAGCCATTTGTTGGCAGTTAGCTCGCCAAAAGGGACGACGTCTGTCAAGGATAACCTGGGTTCCGATCTCTCAAGGGGTGGCAGAGGAGGTACATGTGATCATGGACCAAGGTCAAGACCAGAGGTGCAGAAGAGGCAGTCCATGATTCATGGTGTTCGGGTTGGCCAGGTTTGAATGGCCAGACAGGAGTCTTGCTGCGTGCGGGGAAGGCAAAGGAGGACCGTCTCCGATGTGTGTCCGCTGGGTCTTCATAGTGCAACAGGAGGCTGCCAATGGGCATTGGGAGGAAATCGATGTGTCGCGTTCCATGTCGGTAAGATAATGCGGCACGGCCAGGAGAAGTCCGGTCGTTGGCGAGGACGGAGGCGAAGGAGTCTCGCGGGTCGTCCCCGAAGGGCGCCTTGCATAAGCGCGACCTCGCGTCAAGGGCCGTTCGTTCCTAACAGGTCGAATTCGTGTGATTCCTCAAGCCATTGACGCAGCGAACCTCAGCTTCTGCAACGAGGCGGCGGAAGAAGAGAAGCAGGTGACATGCGTGCCATTAGCGGTCGTGGGATCAACTCGTCGAGCGCCACGCGCGGCGGATCAGTCGCTAGAAGAGACGGGATCTCCCTCTATCCGTGTGACAAGACGAATCGACACGCTCAGGCACCATGAGGCCTTGCCTGCTTTGGGGGAAATCGGCCCAACGGACAGCAGATGGCTTCCTTGGAGGTGGCGCGGCTCGGGGCGGGCGGGTGATGTGAGTCCAGAGGGATTGCCCATCCAACACCATCTTGTCGTGGGAAACTAGCCGGCTAGGGTCCTGGCCCGCTTTGGCCTTGTAGCTGATTGCCTTCACCCCCCTTGTTGAAGGCCGGCGCGTAATGAAGGCTTCTCGATGGACGGGTCGTTCTGTTGTGGCCCAGGTTGGCGCAACAATTTCGAGCAATCGGAGACCAAAGGGCGATTCCCGCGCTTCAATTGGCTGGCCCGCCCAGGAGCTAGCAGCCCAGATCTAGAATTGCTCGGTGTGGTGTGGCCGTGGGCTTGCAAATTGCGCCGTTCCTCGCAACCCTGTCCGGATGGCCATTCGCCGTATTGAACCTCTCGTCGAAGGAGTACCTATCTACTAGATAGACTCCCAAGGGCGTTGTTCCGGGGCAAGAGTATGCGCAAAATGTAACTTGTAACATGCCATGGAGACACGGTAACGGACTAAGTCACGGCCCATCTAGAAGGAAACCCTGCTCTGGAAGTTCACTCGCTGGAGGCCAGGAGGTGGAGGAGGTCCAGTGACTTGAAAGAGATGCGAGATGACGAGTAAATTCGACAGATGACCAGGGGTGTGAATGAAAGGGTATCGGGGAGGGTTATGAAGCCAAGACAATCCATCAATCAGACAAGGAAATTTGCGTATCTTACCTGTCAAGAGGGCCATCAAGCCCCGCAATGCGCCATGGCCCATTGACGGCCGCCGTCCGTAGTAGCGATATGAAGCCACCCAGCCAAGGCTTCCGCTGCTCTAGCTCAATCAGGTTTCCGAGACATGACCAGAGCTTGAAGGAAAGTACAGGTACTTTGGCCCGATCGAGGTTCGTATCCGTGGATAGCAGTCGTCGTTTGTCGTCGTCGTGAATGTCGTGAGCGGCTTCCTCATCGAGATGAAGCGCCGTTCTAGGCGGCAAGGATATAGAATCCGCCAATATACCCGCCATGAACCTGACTGCGTTGAAGAAGAGGATGCCTAAGTGAATAATCAGGACAAATACCCCGTGGACCGTCCACTTCGGCGACTTGGCCGCATCCTGGCCGAGGTCCGATGATAACGGCAACGGCTGGTCTGTCCCAGTCACGATCCTCGCTTTGGTTCTGGCTTTCTGCTCGCCCAATGACCTTGCGGATATGCAAATGGCCTCGTAGAGCAGCCATGGCTGGGATGCTTTACCCGCAATCACATTGCCAATGATGAGCTCGGACAAGATTTGCTCCACGAGAGCCGTCAGACAAGGGTTCTCCAAATCTTCAGTCGGCAGCAGGATGGCCAGAACGGCCTGGACCAGGAGCTGGCGATACGTCGCCTCATTCTGCCGCTGCAGCTCCACGGCTGTCCCATTACCCAAGCGAGGTACCGGGGAGAGGAACGGCAAGGGGAATATGGAGTGATAGACCTCTCGGGGATCAGCATCCACGGACGGTTGAAAGGCAGACCGAGAGGCCACACGGCGAGCTGCGACCCGGTCAGTGGCAGATCCAAAACCGTAGGGTATCGCCACACCACTACTAGCCTGTAGCATGTTTATCGAGCAGCTCCGGAATCTCATCCAGCAGCAAGCTCTCGAGATCTAATTTCCTAAACCTCTGCTCCAGCGCCGTGGTGCAGTGTGCTATGATGCGGAGAATCTCAGGCACAAACGTCTCGTCGGTGGTGATCTTGCCGTACCAGCTCTGGACAAAGTCGCGCATGATGATGGCCAGGAAGGCGTACAGCTGCAGGTCGACATCGTTGCGGCTCGTCAGCGGCGGCAGCAGGTCCTCGAGGGCGGGCTGGGCATCTCGGGCCTTGTCTCCCAGGTGCTGCGGGCACAGCGTCCGGCGGACGAGGTTCAGCGTGGCCCGGTCCGACAGCGGGTCGATGGGTGCGGCACGGTTGCTCCGGCGATCTGCGGTATTGCCGGCACCGGCTTCGGGAGGCGGAGAGACGGCCGCCTGTTTGGGCCTCGTCGGGGCTCTGGGAGCGAGGGGAGCTGAAGCGGAGGCGGCGTTCATGGCCGGCGAGTCGAGCGGCGTCGTCTGAGGATCATTGCGCGCTGCAAGAGGCGGGATCGAAGAGGCGATGGATGACGGCGAAGACTCGAGAGGCGCGGAGAGCAGCGGAACAGCGGTGACGAGGAAGGGGATGGAAGCGGCAAAAAGAGGCTGGACGTCGTCGAGGTTAAGTTGGGTCGCTGTTGGGTCGCAGGTCTGGGGTTCGCATGCAGTTGGAATGGATCGGTCTGACGCTGCTGCACCTGCACGAGCCCCCCACACGTGCATCAGGTGGGTTCAGGCGAGTCGCTGCTCGCTTAGGCGCTGAAGACAGCGCGTTTAGCGATTGCTTACAGGGCGTTTGCAGTGACAGCTGCAGCACGGCCTTTCAACCTCTTGCAGCTGGACCTTTGATGCCTGGGTAGGTGGACAAGAAAGGACAACCATATGCCTAAGGTATTGATGCGACATGAGCCTTTATCGTCTCATTCTTTTTCCTTCCTTCTACCCTTAGATACCTATATAGTACATTGGAGAGGTGCCTCTACACATACAACCGTACTTTGTACATTCCTCGTGGAAAATTTACACATTTTATACCATGACGTCCAGTAGAATCCAAGCTACCACTGCAGAGCCCAGCTGTTCTCTGTCTTTTCTTCCTCCTTCTTCTTAGAGATCTCGTGTGGTAGTCTCGTATCTGTCAAGATTGTCAGCCAACTGAGATGAACAGACATATTAAAACTACGCCAAAACATACCTCTTTCCTCGGAATGCCCAGACGCCCCAGTTACCGCAGGTGATATCCTGAGGGTCCATGTCATCAAGATCCCATCGCAGACTCCGGAAGATGTTCTCTCCAGGTTCCAGCAGCATGTCAAACTCCCCTCCTGACTTCTTCTTCACCCACTCGACGTCACGTTTTACGTCGACATCGGTATACCCTGTGCTGATGATTGGCACCTTGGTCTCCAACAGCAAAGGCAAGGTTTCCTCCCAGTCATGGCTGCTGGCAGGGTGGCCAAGTCCGGGGTGGAACAGGACGAAGCAGTCGAAATAGGGATCGTAAGGCGCAAAATAGCCTGTCTTGTGAATGGTGTGGTAGTAGTCCACAATGGTGCTTATTTTCATGTTGTACCACACCCGGTCCTCCACCACGGTGCCGAATGGGTTCGAGGGCGTGCGTGGAGGCAATGGGAACTCGTCATCTCGGTTGGCCATGCTCTCCGGTCCGATGAAGATGAGGTGCAATCGTGATTCGGGGAACAGATGAGCCAGCTGCACCCATATCGGTCGGGGAAGAGACGATTCGGCTCGTGCGCCGAGGATGAAAAGCCTCACTGGCGGGGGCTCCGGGCGAAGCTGATTGACGCCAGCACCACGTCCAGATCTGGGTATGTGCAGGTTATATCTCAAAGCTAGGATCCCACTTCACGTTAGTCTGTGTCCTACACAGCCAGTGTTGGGCTCCCTTCACTTACCGCTGAAGCTCTTCAGTCCTTCGACCGTCAAACGCCCTCCCTTCTGGATATTGTAGGGGCTCAGCTCGTGAAGAACACTGCCAATGGTAATCGGATACGTAAGAAGTCGAGTGATTTGCCTCATGGATCGGTCCGAGTCTACAGCTTCGAATTCTCGGGTGTACATGAACGTATCCCAATTCGTCATGTTAACCGCAGCATTCTCCATTTGGATGTCGGGGAGATTGCCCTCATGGAACACTCTGCCAGACCGGAGATCGTGCTCGTCTTCATTGATTTGGCGGAGGGTGTCGCAGATCTTCAAGTGATTTTCGTAGTCGTCCATCCAGTGCTCCTTGCTGCAGTACACGGCAATGCCACAATCAGGGCACTCAAAGTCCACATTCGCAGGAGGCATGTCTCCTCCAGCAGCCGGAGCGGCATCGCCAACGGTTGACGCATCGATCGGGGCTCTCGCATGCTTGTGGTCTGGGTGAGGGCAGTATGCATGCTGTCGCATGAAGGCAGCTCGGCGCCGGAATTCGGGGACTGGCGATTCGGAAAAGGGATGGAACAGGTCATCCTGACTGAGACGAAGCGTAGAAGGCGCAGCTTTTCCTGCCGCAGAAGCCTCAGACGAGTACTCGCGAGCAGATGTCGTCAACTTGGACGCCGCAATCGTCCGCTTGGTGTCTGCCGACTTGCACGAATGGACGCTCCGGATCGGCACTTGCGCCCACGGCTTCAGCGCTCCCCCGGCGGTGATTTGCCTCCGCAGCGATGCCGAGCAGCGCCCGCACAGGCTGTGAGCCGCTCGTCGCAGCGCAGGCTCCATTGTCTCGCCTGATTGACTCGAATGGACGTTGCTGAGATCCCCCGCTATGCCTGTCGCCTCATGTATAAAGAGCTGGGCGGACGCATTTTGCAGGGAGCTCGGACCACCCTCACACCACCTGCGCTCACTGCCCGCATTAACGTTACTCCATGGCCCCGGTCCGCTTCGCCAAAGTTTTAAGCTTCAGTTCCCAAGCTCCGCCATTCTATTTTCCACACACAACAACCGCCTCCCGCACGCGACTGAGCAGCTCAATCGGCACGATCAAGCTTCTAAAGAGCCGCGCAGGCTTGACTGCGCCCAGTCGGGAACATGGCGACCACTTCCAACATGTTCCTTTACTCGCTGACGATCCAGCCGCCAACCAATGTCGTCCAAGCGGTCCTGGGTCAGTTCGCGGGCACCAAGGAGCAGCTGATCATCACGGGTGCTGGGTCACGGCTGGCTCTCCTGCGGCCGGACCCCTCGCAGGGAAAGGTCATTACCGTTTTGTCTCACGACATCTTCGGTATCATCAGGTCCCTGGCGGCCTTCCGCCTGGCGGGCAGCAACAAGGGTGAGTTTGACCCAACTCCCCATTTCTTGGAGTGCCACATAGTGATGGTGAAGGAAAAAAGAGCCTCTACAACGCGCCCCACCAAAGCCAACACGAGTTCCAACAGAGTGGATATCTGTCCACCTTCCAGAAGCAATGTGCTAATACCATGCTGCAGACTACTTGATCTTGGCAACTGACTCTGGTCGCATCACAATCATTGAGTATCTCCCGAAAGAGAACCGGTTCAGCAAGCTGCATCTGGAGACTTTTGGAAAGTCTGGCGTGCGGAGAGTCATCCCTGGCGAATACCTCGCTTGCGATCCCAAGGGACGCGCGTGTCTGATCGCCTCTATCGAGAAGAACAAGCTCGTCTATGTGCTCAATCGAAATTCGCAGGCGGAGCTCACCATCTCCTCGCCTCTGGAGGCCCACAAGCCTGGTGTCTTGGTCATTTCCATGGTGGCACTGGACGTGGGGTACGCCAACCCCGTGTTTGCAGCCTTGGAGATCGACTACACGGAGGTAGACCAAGACTCTACTGGGGAGGCTTTGCGGGACCTAGAAACCCAGCTGGTCTACTATGAGCTTGATCTCGGCCTGAATCACGTCGTGAGGAAGTGGTCAGAGCCTGTAGACTCAACTGCCTCGCTGCTGTTTCAGGTGCCTGGCGGCAACGATGGCCCTAGCGGCGTCCTGGTCTGCGGCGAGGAGAACATCACCTACCGTCACTCCAATCAAGAAGCCTTCCGAGTGCCGATTCCCCGTCGTCGAGGCGCAACGGAGGACCCGTCAAGGAAGCGCACTATCATCTCCGGTGTCATGCACAAGCTGAAGGGAAGCGCAGGCGCCTTCTTCTTTCTGCTACAGACAGAAGACGGCGACATGTTCAAGGTCACTATTGATATGGTGGAGGATGACGAAGGCAACACCACGGGCGAAGTCAGAAGGCTCAAGATCAAGTACTTCGATACGGTCCCACCTGCGGCCAGCCTTTGCATCCTCAAGAGCGGCTTCCTCTATGTTGCCAGTCAATTCGGAAACTTCTCCTTCTACCAGTTTGAGAAGCTCGGAGACGATGATGAGGAGTTGGAGTTCACCAGCGACGACTTTCCCGTCGACGCACAGGCTTCGTATGATCCTGTCTACTTCTATCCGCGACCACTGGAGAACTTGGTGCTCGTAGAGAGCATCCCATCCATGAACCCTCTTCTTGATTGCAAGATTGCCAACCTGACGGGCGAAGACGCACCTCAGATCTACACCATCTGCGGCAACGGTGCTCGCAGCACGTTCCGGACGCTAAAGCACGGACTCGAGATTAATGAGATTGTGTCCTCCGAGCTTCCCGGCATTCCTTCTGCCGTTTGGACGCTGAAGCTGAACCGAAATGAACAGTATGATGCGTACATTGTCCTCTCCTTCACCAACGGAACTCTTGTCCTCAGCATCGGAGAGACGGTGGAAGAAGTCAGCGACTCCGGCTTCCTTACCAGTGTCCCCACGCTGGCTGCCCAGTTGCTCGGCGAAGATGGTTTGATTCAAGTCCATCCCAAGGGTATTAGACATATCCGCAATGGACAGGTCAATCAGTGGGATGCTCCTCAGCATCGATCTATTGTGGCCGCATCCACCAACGCTCACCAAGTCGCGATTGCTCTGAGCTCCGGTGAAATCGTCTACTTCGAGATGGACGATGACGGTTCTCTGGCCGAATATGACGAGAAGAAGGAGATGTTTGGAACGGTCACTTGCTTGAGCCTGGGCGAAGTCCCCGAAGGCAGACTGCGAAGCTCGTTCCTTGCTGTTGGTTGTGACGACTGCACAGTCCGCATTCTGAGTCTCGATCCAGAGTCTACACTCGAAAATAAGTCGGTCCAAGCATTAACCGCGGCACCCACCTCCCTTGCCATCATTTCCATGGAAGACTCCTCATCAGGCGGCTCCACGCTCTACCTACACATCGGCCTCTACTCGGGCGTCTACTTACGGACGGTCTTGGACGAGGTCACCGGCGAATTAACCGACACACGGCAGAAGTTCTTGGGGCCGAAGCAAGTGAGACTATTTCAAGTCACAGTCCAGGGACGGACGTGTGTGCTTGGTCTCAGTTCTCGACCGTGGCTTGGATATGCTGATCCCATCACCAAGACCTTTGTTGTCACTCCTCTCAACTACGTCGATCTGGAATGGGGCTGGAATTTCACCAGCGAGCAATGCGAAGAAGGCATTGTGGGTATTCAGGGGCAAACTCTACGGTAAGTGATGTTCTTTTATCTTCCACCTTTTTCCTATCTTGCCAAAATGATGAAGAAATGGGATCCAAGCCTACAGGCTATGAGGTTCTTATTACGCATTTTTTCCAATTGTTCCTACTGAAAGGCACACTCTCTCTTCTTGGTTGCATGTTGAAGAATCATTGTCATGTCAGAAACTGATGGTCTTTAGAATTTTCTCCGTCGACCGGCTGGGAGATACTCTGATTCAGAGCTCCATTCCCTTGACTTACACGCCGAAGAAGATGGTGAAGCATCCGGATCAACCTCTTTTCTATGTGATTGAGGCGGATAATCACACGCTCTCTCCGGACCTCTGCGCCAAGTTGCTCGCAGATCCAGCGCGTGTCAATGGGGACAGCAAGGTTCTCCCCCCCGAAGAGTTTGGTCATCCCAGAGGCAACCGACGCTGGGCCTCGTGCATCAGTGTTGTCGACCCGCTGGCCGAAGATGGCCAGGTCCTGCAAAGGATAGATCTAGAGGAAAACGAGGCTGCGGTCAGTGTGGCAATCGTTACGTTTGCCAGTCAGGAGAACGAAACCTTCCTGGTCGTTGGAACCGGTAAAGATATGGTCGTGAACCCTCGCAGTTTCTCTGACGCATTCGTCCATATCTACCGGTTCGAGCGCGACGGCAGGGGCCTAGTATTCATTCACAAGACCAAAGTGGAGGAGCCTCCGATGGCCATGATACCTTTCCAGGGGCGTGTGTTGGTTGGTATCGGCAAGATGCTTCGCATTTACGACCTCGGCATGCGACAGCTGCTGCGAAAGTCTCAAGCCGAAGTGGCACCGCAGCAGATCGTCTCGCTGAATGCACAGGGCAACCGAATTGTCGTTGGCGACGTGCAGCAGGGCATAACCTACGTTGTCTTCAAGCAGCAGACGAATAAGCTCATTCCCTTTGTGGATGATACCGTTGCCAGGTGGACAACTTGTTCAACCATGGTGGACTATGAGACCACGGCTGGAGGAGACAAGTTCGGCAACATCTTCATCGTACGCGCGCCGCAAAAGGCCAGTGAGGAGGCCGACGAGGAGCCAGCGGGGCTTCATCTGCTCAACGCAAGAAGCTACCTTCACGGAACCTCTCATCGCCTGGACCTGATGTGCCACCTCTACACGCAGGATATCCCAACGAGCATTACCAAGACCAGCCTGGTGGTCGGAGGCCAGGACGTTCTGCTGTGGAGCGGACTCATGGGCACGATTGGCGTTCTGATTCCGTTCGTGACCCGAGAAGACGCAGACTTTTTCCAGAGTCTAGAGCAGCACCTCCGGGCCGAGGACCCCCCACTCGCGGGCCGAGACCACTTGATGTACCGCAGCTACTATGCGCCCATGAAGGGCATCATTGACGGTGATCTCTGCGAGCGATACGCTCTGCTTCCGAATGATAAGAAGCAAATGATTGCCGGGGAGCTGGACCGCTCAGTCCGGGAAATTGAGCGGAAAATATCGGTAAGTTGTATCCTCTCGGCTCTGCCACGCCCGACTTATCGCAAAGATGCACAAAAGCTAACATTTGGTATTTCAGGACATCCGCACTCGGTCTGCCTTTTAAGCGCGTTTGGCTTTTCACTTTTATGTGATTCAGTGTTTTTTATATCATGTCGGAACATATGGCAATGAATGTTTGTGTAACTAAATACTAGGGTTCAGGGATGATGGCGTTACATACAGGATGATGATATACATGCCTGTCAGGCTAGGCAAAAAGCATCCAAGATGATGCTCGTGCAGGATTTGCACGTTTACATGAAATACGAAATTCTAATGTCCCCCATTCTCTAAAGATCAAGACCTGAAAAAGCAAGATGTGAACGCCAAGGAAGACGGCCGCCCTCGTGGTTCACAAGCCCCTCCAGAAGAGCCCTCGATTCTTGACCTTAGTGGCCTCACCGTTCCTCCGTCTCTGGTTGGGATGGCTCAACTCCCAAGCCTCGTCATCCAGGTAAGCCACGATGGCGGCGTCGATGTCATAGCCGGCCTGCTCCATGTACAGCAGTGCAAAGTCATAGTCGGCGACCTTGCAGGCCGTCATGAAGCGCCTGATCTTGCCCTTGCGCAGCTCCTCGTCCTCGCCCTCGACGGGCCGCGGCGACAGGCTGACGCCGCCCTTGTAGAACTCGCCGGGGATGAGGATCGTCTTGCGGCCGACGAGCAGGTGGTCGCTGGTGAGGTTGTTTCTGCGGCGCAGCGCCGCGGGGGGCACGCCGTACCTGAGGGACAGCGACTGGACGGTGTCGTGGTCGTGGTCGAGGAAGTGGAGGGTATCGTCGTCCAGGGCCGCTTTTTCGTCTATATCGGAGGAGGAGGAAGAAGACTCGCTACCAGTATTGCCGCCCTTGTTGTTGTTCTTCTTGGTGTTGGTGTTGTTGTCGGAGGGTGTTGTTGGTGGTGGTGGTGGTGCATCGTCGTCTATGTACTTGTACGGCGGCGGAGGCGCGGAGGCCGGGATGGTGCGTGATCGGAGAGGCGGGATGGAGGCGTACTGGGGAGGATCACGGAGGCCTTGGGGGAGTGGCGAGGGGGTGGAGGAGACTTGGCAGAAGGGACAGTATGAGGCGAAGCGAGGGTTTTTCTATGATTTGAATGAATGAATATTGAAAGGATTCAGTCAGGAGAGGGTGAGGGATTTTACCTCTATACACTTGCCGCAGATAACTCGGCAACAGCACTCTACTCTGCGGTCTTGCGGGAGGGTGGAGGACGATGATGATGATGATGAGGATGATTGGGTTTGGGAGTATGGAGGGGTTGCGGCGAGGCTGCCTGTGCAGGTGCTGCAGTACTCCATGGCTTCTTTACTGTCCAAAAAGATGTGCAAGATGTCTGGAATATACAGAAGAGAAGAGCAAGAGGGCAAGCAAGTGAGGAAGACGCTGTAGATAAGAAGAGGTTCCTGAGGTGAAATCCGTGGTCTTGTGACGGGGACGTATGAGGGATCTCGGGTCTCAGATTTAGTCCATGTTACCTACCTACTAATGTTTGGCCTATCTATTATTGCTGCTACTACGTTCGAACCAGCTGAATAACACATGCCGTGTCTTCCCAGATTAGCAGGGGAGAGCCAATCACGTCATGGCAGATGATGGCTTGTGTCTTGTGTCGGAATCGCCACATGGGGGGAGGTGGTATGAATGAGTGAGGAGTGAATGTTAGGAGGGCGCAAGAAGATACCTTGTGAGTTGATGGGCTTGAGAGGGGGATGCAGCTGGACTGGTGTTTCTTTGTAATGACTGCGTCTGTGGCTCAGATGCAGATGTCCAACTATAACCTTCGTTGACAGGTGTATTGGCTGGTCTACCCGGGAGCTGTCAAAACGTGGCATGGGAATAGAGTACTGCCTTTACAAGAGCGTCTGGATGACGGAGGGCGGGAGGCGGGAGAGGAAATGCGGAGCCGCCTGGCGCGCGTCTACTGGCTTCGGCTTTCGGTCAGCGCGCCGTGCAGGCCGGGGAGCTTCACATCTTTTTGGCTTCTTCCGTCTTCTGGCTCTTGAACAATCCCTCTTGTGATCCTTGGCGATTCTACTTTCAATTACTTGCTTCACTACTACAGAAAGTGACTGGATCCATTGCGCACAGCCATCCCGCCACAATGAACAAACCAAAGCTCGCCTTCGGGCTGAACCTGACGAAAAAGCCCGGCGCATCCAAACCAATGCCCTCCAGATCGAAGCCCATGTTCAGCAGCAACGACGATGACTCGGACAGCGAGGGAGCTGCCAAAGAAGCCAAGGTGGAGGAGATTGGAGGCGAACTGGACGACTTCACATCTGCACCACCAGCCGACTCAACAACAACGGGACACAGACCAAAGAAGGGCGTCATAAGCGAACCCCCCAAGCTCAAATCAAAAGCCCCGACAAGCACAATGTTCGGCGACCTCTCCAGCACGCTCGCCTCCCGCAAGAACGCAGAGGCGGCCGCCGAGCTGGACGCCAGCGTATACGAGTACGACGCCGTCTACGACTCCCTGAAGCCCCAGAAGGGCAAGTCCAAGGAGGACGAGGAGCGGAAGCCAAAGTACATGAAGAACCTCATGCAGGCGGCCGACGTGCGGAAGCGGGACCAGCTGATTGCCGAGGAGAAGAAGATTGCGCGCGAGCGCGAGGCCGAGGGCGACGAGTTTGCGGACAAGGAAAAGTTTGTGACGGAGGCGTACAAGAAGCAGCAGGAGGAGAACAAGAGGCTGGAGGAGGAGGAGCGGCGGAGGGAGGAGGAGGAGGCGAAGAAGCACGAGGGCACCGGCATGACGTCGTTCTACCGGAAGTTGCTGGATAGGGAGCAGGAGAGGCATGCGGAGACGGTGCGGGCCGCGGAGGAAATGGCCAAGCGAGGACCCGGCGACAAGGTGGATGGTGAGAATGTGGTGGAAGAGGCGGAGGATGATGATAGGGAGAAGGAGTTGGCCAGAGCGGCAAGGGAGCTCAATGAAAAGGGCGCCTCCATATCCGTCAACGAGGACGGCCAGGTTGTGGACAAGCGGCAGCTTCTCAAGGGCGGTCTCAACATCGTCGCGAAGAAGCAAGCAGCGGTGCAGAAGGGAGCTGAGGACGATGAGACCAGAAGGGGATCCGCGGACCAGGACCGGCGGGAGCTCACGGGGAAGCAGCTCGGCCGGAAGCAGGCGATGAGGGAGAGGCAGTCGCGGATGCTGGCGGAGCAGCTGGAGGCGTCGCTCAAGAGGTCGCGGGAGGCGGAGGAGGCCAAGAGGGAAGAGGCGGAGAGGGCGGCCAAGACGCGCAAGACAGAGGGCGAGATCATGTCGGCGAGGGAGAGGTATCTTGCCAGGAAGAAGGCGGCGGAGGAGGAGAAGAGGAAGGCTGCCGAGGCGGGGGCTGAGTGAGGATGATCCGATCATGTACATGCATATTGATATACCTGGTAGATACCCAAACGGAACGACATACACGGCTTTGTAGCGTCTCTTTGGTCTCTCGGTCCAGTGCTTCCAAGAGGTAGAGTGGATGATCCGATTTATATGTCTATATCCCGCCCCAAACACCAAGACCACTCTAACAAAGAATAAGTTGTAGTAATACATGATTTCATCCAAGGGAACAGTCGCCCATTCATGTCCCCTTTATTTTTTTCCCCGATCCCCGGCGGCCCTCCAACAATATCATACATGCTATCCCCTCCCTGCCAAACATTCGTTTCCCCGTTTCGTTTTGCTATTCAGAACCGTATGGTATCTCTTTTCTTCCCTTTCCCTCGAGTTGATGCTGTCGTCCCACTTCCTCACGATTTCTGTCCTATTCGCTTCATCGTCGTATGCGAGTCTTTTTTAGTTGTTGGCCTGCTCCTGTCGTATCCTGTTGATGTACGCCGCGTTGACCTGGTTCCAGGCCGCCATGTACTTTTCCATGCACGACGTCATGCACGTCTGTTCGCTGCTGGAGAGGGAGCTGCCGGGCTTGGGAACGCATTTCTCAAAGCAGTTTTCCTGGAGTTTCTACATGAAGAACGTATTGTAAGTATCTCTGATTGGTAGAGGTGAAAAGGTAGTAGGTAGGGTTGCTTGGAGGGTTTGGTGGTGGGAGAGGAATTGGTGTTTGGCATTCATACCTCGATGAGGACGCGGGCGTTGGCGAGGTTCGCTTCTGCGAGGACCTGCTTCATGACGGATTGCTTGACGGATGTGGAGTCCATTTTGGCGGGTTATCTGTGTCAAGAGAGTTTTGAGGGTGCTTGTTTGGGCGGTGCAACTTGGGTAAACTTGGATTGATTGCTGGGGGAGGTGGTTGAGACTATGAAGATTTTGGGACTCAGAGTTGCAATTTCGCTGTGGCTGGTGTATGTGGCGTCAGTAGCTAGCGGGGAGACGGTGGCTTAACCTGGGGTATTTGGATGTTTGTTGATGTGGAATTGCCGTAAGTTATGCGGTCCAGAAGATGTAGGATTGCATCGAGCCGATGTCCTCAATTAGCAGTCAGTCTGAAAAATATAGTTCTAGTAGTTCATAGACGGCGAGATCCTTGTGCTCTGATTGTTGGTCTTTGATATTGATGCTGTCACTAATAGATCTGACATGTGACGGTTTGCCGGAGCTCCTTAATCTTTGGTGCAGGCACGGCAAAACAAGTCCATTGGAGTAACCTGTCGGGTGATATAGCTCGAGGTAATACAACGCAATGGAGTCTGGACGGTTGGGGAATACTAATAAACTGCATCTACAGATTAGATACATGCCGATGTCGTTGAAAGCTCGTGCCTTGAACAATGTTTGAGACAACACAGTGCACGATGCCCCCACTGCGGGCATGGCCGCTGTCAGCTTCGAGGTACAGGCACTTGATACGTGCCTTCAGCAGTGAACTCCCCACCAAGCTTGACCTCCACGTTATGTAGAACTGGCATTCGTCCACACAGGGCGTTTGGTATTCGAGTCTTTTGGCAGAGTCTTGGCAAGCATGGCCTGTATGCATGATTGATTACACTGTCAATATAAGACGATTTGAACTGGCAGTCCCTGCGTATTACCTTATGACACTTGTCCCGCTGAAGAGCCACCAGATGGCACAAGTAGCGGTACCCCTAGGCAAGCCGCCTTCCAGAAAGCAGGTGCTAAGCAGGGGCGACGCCTCCGTGCCTCCACAGTCTAGCCAATCGAGGAATAGCACTGTGTCGCGGGCTTAACACGAATTGTGGCCTTTCGGGACCTCCCATGTGAACTGCCTTCAACTGGCTGGTTGCTTTTGTTGCTGGACATTCTCCCAGGAGAAAAAAACAAAACGACAGATTCCTCCCAGACGACGAGAGAGGCGGCATCGGACATCGCAAACCCGTGCTGATCTCCAAGCGACCCTCGCCGACTGCCCCGACCCCGACTCATTGGAACAGATCCTCGCCTGTCACGATCGTATCGAATCGCTGCCAAGATGCGGCTCTCCTCGCTGTCGGCCGTCTTCGCCGCGGCATTCGCGTGGACTGCGGCGGCCCAGGGGGAGTTTAGGAGCATAACGGTTGGTTGATGCGGACAAGGAGATTTGCGCAGGAGCTTTACAGTGGGCTAACGGAATTCGTGCGCGCAGCTCAAGACGCACACTCTCGAACAAGTGAGTCGCAAATCGAGGAGAGGCAGAGGAGGAGGGAAGCAGGGGGAGAGGAGGGGATGCAAAGACAGGGCGCTGGAAGTTGAACTGAGTGTCTAATCTGCGTGGTTTCTCTCTTTAGCCCTATCTGGACTCTGACATGCAGAGCCGATGGTTCGACTTTGGCGGCGATACAATCATTCGGACGGACTCGTACGTTGAAACCCCCTGACCTATACCCAGCAGGCACGCGCTCGTGCCCATTGTGCGGTTCATAAGCTCAACCGTGCTGCAGATACATCCGCCTGACCTCCGACCGACCCTCGCAAAACGGCTGGCTCTTTTCACGGGTGCCCCTCACGGCGACCAACTGGGAGGTGGAGGTTGAATTCAAGATCCACGGCAAGAACTCACTGTACGGCGATGGCTTCGCGATGTGGATCACGAAGCAGCGAGGCCAGCTCGGGCCCGTCTTTGGCCATGCCGACAAGTTCGAGGGCCTGGGCGTCTTCGTCGACACGTACAAGAACAACCGGCCCGGCGTCGTCTTCCCCTACGTCATGGCCATGTTTGGCGACGGCCAGAAGACCTACGACAAGAACAACGACGGCAAGGACACGGAGCTGGCCGGCTGCTCGGCACGCGGCCTCCGCCACTCGAGCATCCCCACCAAGCTCCGGTTGACCTACTTCCAGGACAAGAGCCTCAAGCTGGAGCTGCAGTACAAGACGGTCGGCGACTGGCTGACGTGCTTCGAGGTGCAGAACCCGCCTTCGATCCCCAACATTGCGTACCTGGGCTTCAGCGCCGAGACGGGCGAGCTGAGCGACAACCACGACATCATCTCGGTCGTGTCCAAGAACCTCTACACCAGCCCCGTGGCTAGCGGCCCCGGCAAGGGGGGCTCCAAGAACCAGTACAAGGTCAAGAACGCGAGCGATGCAAGCGGCGGAAGCTGGACCTGGTTCTTCTTCAAGATTGTCTTGTTCATCCTCGTGGCGGGTGGTGCGTACGTGGGCTTTACCGTGTACAGGGCGAAATCCAAGAGCCACAGGTTTTGAGTACGCGCCCTACATCATGAGGGGGAGCTGGAATAACAATAGGAGGGGGGTAGCTGTCGAAACTCACCCGTCTGACTCGAGCCAGGCAGAGGCTTTTGCAGAATGCAAGTTGATACAACTTTCACAAATCGATGGGAGGGTAGGCGGAAACACACGTTGCGATAGGAGAAGCGTATTACTTATAGCATTGGATGCTGCCTATGCCTGTTGTCGGGAGGCCTTTTCCTGCGCTGGGAGTTTGGGCTTTTTTGGTATTGCTTGACTAGCACAGGGGGTCGGGCGTGGACTTGATGATACTATATAGGATCCAGGTGAGGTGAAGGGGTGGACGGATTAGGGGAGAGAGCGCATTACTAGCAATGAAACGAAGTCTTTACCATGTGAAGCTTGCAGGGTAGATTTGCTGTGAGGGAAGCAGGATGGTGATGGTTTGTCCATGATTTGAGAAAGGAAAAGGCGTGGTTCGAATGGAGCGAATGTGGTGGTTGGTGCTCAAAACTGCTTGACTGTTTCGTGACGTAGGTAGGTAGCTTCAGACAAACTGCGCTACTACTACAACCAACTTACACTCGATCCACGGAAGTCAAAAGTTTCGACGGCACAAGAAATGATGGGGGGGGATGAGGGGCATAAAGTCTGAAACTCGAGACTTTTGGTTCCCGAGGTGAAGCTAGGCTATGGTAGGGTAGGTAGATGCAATTGGAGAAATGCAAAGCAACTTGGAATGTTGGGAGGAGAGAGCAAGTAAAAGGCTCGTTCGTAATCTCCTTGATGGCTGTTGAAGCTCTTTCATATTCCAGACTTCTGTACCAAGTACATACACTGGTTCCTTCTGTTTCCTTCTCTAGTTCGTAGGCACGTACATATAAACTCAAGTAGGTAGGATCTTGTCGGATTTGTGCTTTTCTGCATGTTCTGTTTGCTCTTTGATCCTGGACCTCGTCGGCGTTGAACAGCCTCGAGCTTGCAAGCTACGTGAGAGGTACTAAGTACTATGTAGTCTAACTGCCGGCGCAGCTGAATCAGGACATCCCCGCATACCAAGGATTGTGTGGCGGTTTAGCCTGTGTTGGTTTATTACATCAACGGCTGCTTCGGGGAGATGCATCCCATTTCTCTGGTCAGAGGCCGAGCCACTACTAACTCATTCAACGCAAGAAGGAGAATAAAAATCATGACTGCTTTGAAAATGCAATAATAGAAGGTCAGAATAAGAAGCAAAGGAGCAAGATTTACAGCAATTGCTCAGCTGTCGAATCGGCTGTTGATAAGTATGTAGTAGTACTCCGTACTATTAGCCCAGATCTCGCCGATGAGCATCATCATCTTGCAGCATTAGTTCCGGCTCGAGGGGGAAGCACAACAACATAAATTACACCCTTTATTATTAGCGTCCAGTCGTCATCATACATCTACCGATCGCTTATTCAGCCCCCGGGACAAACCACGAGTGTCTTCTATGTATCAATCTGCTGTACCGACGGGACTTGCATAGGTAGGTAGGTAGTTTGAGAACTGAGAAGTAGGGCGAAGACGCATGCAGCTGCAGTCACTCACTCTTGGTGCATTCTCCATGTGTCTTGTGTATTAGCATCAAGACGTTCTGTCCATCATCGAATCCAGCTTGACAAGGTGATTCATACCACTACTACGGAGTACTACCACTACAGCTTCACGGACAACAACGGACAGAGAGAAGAGAAAGAGAGAGACAAAAAGGAAAGCCAATTCGGCAGCGAAATTGCCAGTGTTTCAGCCTACTAAATCGACTTTTGCACCGAGGATTGCCGTGGGGCTTTCGGGATTTTCGTATTATTGCGTAGGGCGCAGCGCATGGCCTGAGCACCTTTGGTCCATTGGCTTGGATGGAGGCAAGTTTTCTGCTGAAGAGGGCGTTGCACTTGTTGGATCGATGAGAGTTGACGAAAGGAGGGGATTCAATCTCTGACTGCCGTTGAATCAGATTGAAGATATTGAACATATACAGAGTACTGTTCGAACGAAAGAAAGAAAGACGATTGGGAGGAAAGGAGGAAGCAGACGCAAGGAGAAGGGCCAAGGCGAGGACGCTTTGATTCCATCAATCTCGCCAAACCGGCTGCTTCGATTCGCAGCGCCGCCGCCGCCGCCGATCCCAGTCCGAGAGCTGCCGCTGTGCCGGCATCGACTTTAATCTCGTCCTTTTGCTGGGCAAACGAGCAGCAGCAGCAGCAATCCTTTATTCAAATCAATCTGCTTCTTTTCCTTTTGTGCTTGTGCTCAAGAAGAGGAGGAAAAAGCAAGGCGATAGTAATACATAATCTACGTGCCCGCGCCGAGGTCCATGTTGCAATTCGACCTGACCCTAGCCTTGCCTTAGTAGTAGCTCTGCCGTGTCGTGTGTCCTGGATGACGCCCATTTGACGCCCTGCATTGCTGATTCAAGACACATGCTTACCGTTCCGATTGCCCTGCGTTTTCTAATGCTTGCTCGCCTCAAGAGCTTGGTTGAACTTGAACTAATTAACAATAGAAGTGTACACTTCAGAACGAAAGAGCTGCCTTGTCCATCTCGTCCACCTTGTCAGAGCTCCGGCATCTGCCTCGGCACCCCTGAAGCAGAGCATCAATCCAGCTGAAGCACTGCAAGCGGCACTCTCCCCTCTTCTAAATTCCTCCTACATTAGCACCTACCAATCGACAGAGCCTCCTCCCACCTTGACTGCAAGCTTGCCTCTTCGTCACCCCTCCCAGCTCCAGCTCCGGCTCCAGCTCCAGCTCCAGCTAAAACGCACAGCTGCATCTCGCATACGAGGCACCACATATCCAGCTTTAGCAGGTGGTATTATCTGATCCGTTCAGTGCGGTTTCAGCTCAGTTCAGGCCCTCCAGCTACTACAGAGAATCAGTGCAATCAAATCCCTTCCAACAGCCCCCCGGATCGGCGCCAGCAGTGACAACTTGAACCCGAGGCAACCAAAACCAGCTGGAATCCAGAGCCTCCGCTGTTTGTGTGCCCGGTGCGGCTCCCCTCCCAAACGCAATTGCCATCCATCGCTTCTGCTGCCAGCCCACGCCCGCCTTTGCTTTGCACTTCAGCCCTCGATTAAGCTGATTGCCAATTGCTTTTACTTAATTGATTTTTCCATTACTCTCCATCTCGTCATATCTTTTTTCTCGCCTTTTTCTCACTCGGTCAAACGGTTCCATCTGTCGCCGCGACCTTTCTCGTCGCTCTGCTACACCCGCCCCCAATCAATCCAATTCCGTCGCTATCCTGCTTCATGCCTTCCTTCGGGTCGTTCCTCAAGAAGAAGCGCACAAAGGAGGGCAGCTCCGGCTCTGACCCCTCGGCAAAGGCCAGCAGCAACCACCACCACCACCCCACCAGCCCCGTCGCATCGAAGCAGAAGAGCTGGGACTCGACAGCAGCGCAGCAACAGGCGCAGCCGCGAGCCATCAAGCCAGGCTCGGGTGCGAGCACTGGTACTGCTACCTCGGCGCTCCCAGGCGCTGCCGCGTCGAGTGCGGGCTCGGGCACAGGTGCGGGTACGGGTACGGGCACAGCTGCAGGCACCGCTGGCCTCAGCAACCACAGCGCCTTTCCAGGCGCCCTGCTAGGCGCTCCTCCTCCCCCAGGTGCAGGCACCGCCGCCGCCTCGCCTGGCTCCATCTCGCCGTCCGCATCCACCCCCATTCCCGCCTCCGCACCCGCGCTGTCGACGCCAGCTCCTGCGCCGGCCTCGTCTCTCTCGCCAGCTTCGCCCGCCCTGCTCTCGACGTCGGCCGCCTCGCCCTCGGCCTCTGCCTCTGCCTCTGATCCCGCTGCCGCCTCAGCCGCTGCTGCCGCGCGACACTCGGCCACGGCCGCGCCCTCCTCCTCCGCCTCCGCCGCCCCCCTCGAGCCCTCCCACTCCCTCTCGCCCACCGCCCAGGCCGACCACCAGCCGACCATGAATCCCGCCATCCAGTCTCCGCATCCCTACGCGCCGGGCCACGACTCGCAGAACCTGCCCAGCATCAGCAACCTCATCAATTCGTCCCAGAATGCCGGCTCGGCCAACGGCTACCCCCCCTCCTCGTATCAGACCACCGCTCCTGTAGACACCCAGATGGCCGACGCCAATGCCCAGCAGCTGCAGCAGCAGCAGCAGCAACATCTCCAACAGCAACAGCTGCAACAGCAGCAACAACAACAGCAGCAGCACATGTCGACGGCGATGCAGCTGGACCCTCCCCATCAACAGCAGCCCCAGCATCAACAACAACAACAACAACAACAACAAGCACCGCAACAGCCACCGCAGCAGCAACCTCAGCAGCAGCATCAGCCTCAACAACAACAGCACCACCAACAACAGCAGATCCACCACGGCCACAGCGTATCGCTATCCCAGCCTCGCGTCACCAAGGGCAAGTACTCGCTCGGCGATTTTGAAATTCTGAGAACGCTGGGCACCGGTAGTTTCGGTCGCGTTCACCTGGTCCAGTCCAAGCACAACCAGCGCTTCTACGCCGTCAAGGTGCTCAAGAAGGCGCAGGTTGTCAAGATGAAGCAGGTCGAGCACACAAACGACGAGCGCCGCATGCTGAGCGACGTCAAGCACCCCTTCCTCATCACCCTGTGGGGCACCTTTCAGGACTGGAAGAATCTCTACATGGTGATGGATTTCGTCGAGGGCGGCGAGCTGTTTTCGCTGCTAAGAAAATCCGGGGTATGACGAGTTCAATGCCCTACTACTTTACCTGCAACCTTTTCTGTGATCTTTGACTAATTGTTTGTTATTTTCACAGCGATTTCCTAACCCGGTCGCCAAGTTCTACGCCGCCGAGGCCACGTTGGCTCTGGAATACCTGCACTCCAAAAACATCATCTACCGCGACCTGAAACCCGAAAACCTGCTGCTGGACCGGCACGGGCACCTCAAGATCACCGACTTCGGCTTCGCGAAGCGTGTGCCGGACAAGACATGGACGCTGTGCGGAACACCAGACTATCTGGCTCCTGAAGTAGTCTCTAACAAGGGCTACAACAAGTCTGTAGACTGGTGAGTGCTGGCAGATGAGATATCCTGTGCAGGGGTGGGAAAGCTGATGCGTGCTCTAGGTGGTCCCTCGGAATCCTGATATACGAGATGCTCTGCGGATATACGCCGTTCTGGGACAGCGGCTCCCCCATGCGTATATACGAAAACATTCTCAAGGGCAAGGTCAAGTACCCGGCGTACATCAACCCAGATGCCCAGAACCTGCTCGAGAGGTTGATCACGGCGGACTTGACCAAGCGACTGGGAAATTTGTTTGGAGGCTCACAAGACGTCAAAAACCACCCGTGGTTTGCAGAGGTTACGTGGGATCGGTTGGCACGCAAGGACATTGACGCTCCGTATACGCCGCCCGTCAAGGCAGGATCCGGCGACGCCAGCCAGTTTGACCGATACCCCGAGGACCCCGAAAAGTACGGGGGTCCGGGCGGTCCTGACGAGTGAGTGATTTCCATGTTGTCCATGATTTCGTCCTGGGCTAACGAGTTGATGTAGATATGGCAACCTGTTTCCCGAATTCTGAGGACATCAACAACGACGTTGGAACCTGGGCATACGCGGACACGTTGACGACTGACGATGAGGCTTTGCGTGTGTGGCCTGCGTGGAAAACAAAAGGAGCATGTTTGCCATTATTTCTTTTGGGGTTTGGATGTTAAAGAGGTGGGCTGCTGGGCCATTTGATTGGTTGCGTCTCGGTGATGGGTCCTGTATTGGGCTTTTGGTTTCTTTTTGTTCTCTTTGGAAGGGCGATTCGATCGGGTTTGGGGAGGGGGGCTCTTTTGACCTGGAGTCTGTGTTGGAAAACGTGTATTCGGGAGGAAGGGGAGCTGTGTTTGCTGCTGCAAGGCCAAATCTGTCTCGCCCAGTAGCCAACTATACGACGCACCTGTATATCCAGCTTTTATTCTTTTTCTCTCTCTCTCCTTCTGTTTGTCCTTTGCTCTGCCTCTCTTGTTCCTTCTTCTGGGCTACGATGGGCGAGAAGGGGGAGTAAAAGGGGGATGCATGTATACGGGGACTGTGTATGACTTTTTGTCCTAGAGGTGAGACTTGTCGATGTCTTGAGGCTGAGCTGGAGGTGTGGTTCGCCTGTGCTCCTCATGCTACCTACAAATACATACATACCTTAGTAATACGACTATACTTTTACCGCCTGATTGGTGCTGTGATCTGAGGTACGAGTACCAGGTATCTACCATATGTACGTGAAGCGAGTCTGACGCGTGCATGTTGTGCGGTGCGATGCTGCTACTACCTTACCTTACGGTACCTACAGTTATTACAGAGCTGGAGGCGAGGTAGTACGGGAAGGGTCAATGCGGTTGACTCCAACTAAACTGTGCAAGCAGACCCATGGAAAATCTCTGCAAGCGCAGCTGTACAGTACATAGAAGCCCCCCCTTGCCTTTGCTTTAGCCACAGACTTGGCTGATTGGAAGGTGAAGGGATTTGCATTGCTTCGCACGTCGTCGTTTCGTCGAACAGAGATGCGGTGCAGAAAAAGGCGGTGGGACGGAATTGCTGCGTAATAAGGTCGATTAACATGTACAGGTACAGGTATAGCGGCATTTGGATGGCGAATTTCTGGGACTCTGATATGGGGATGGGGCGATGTGTGTATGAATTGCCGAGACCCATTGGCGACGTTGTTGGGGGTGCGGATTTGGGATTTTATTTGAAGGTCTGTTCTGTTGTTGGCATGATGATCTAAGAATTTGTTTTGTTTTGTTTATATGTACTATGTATTGTATGTGAGGATGTTGAGATGGACTTGGAATTGGTGAAGCTTACCCAGTACCATCGGAAGGGATGTTGATACAAGCCTTGTTAGCTTCGGCTTTATACCATGCCCATCATCGTCGTCTTCTTCACCAAAGCGTCTTTTTTTTGACAGGGGGCCTGCTGGCCAACTGCGTGGTCTGGCTGACGTGGGGTTGTTTTGTGACAGATCCCCTGCCTCTTTTTCTTTGTCTTGCTGCAGGTTTCCGGGAGGGTTGCGGTAGGTCTTAGTATGTGGGCTCTCTCTATGCAGGTTGGTTTTCCGCCAGGCCTTGGAGGTACAGCACAGGTGTAGGGTGTTTGCGTGTGTGCTTGCGTGCTTTGGGTTGCTTTGCTGCAGTCTGCGAGAGGCTGGGGGTGGTGCCGAGACATTTCTTCTTCTTTTTTTTCGGGCATCGGAGTTTCTTTCTTTTGGAATCCCTTTCTTCTTTTTCTATTGATTTCCTCTCTTACATACATACCACCACCATTTTGATACTGCTTTGGAGAGAGAGAGAGAGAGACCCCCCTTTTTCGCCTTGGAGTGGAGAATAGCTGGGAATACCTGCGACTACCTTTACCTTACCTTGCCTTACCTTGCTTTTGTTACTGTTTGTGTCGTATTTGATGGGATACGTCGTTTTTTCTGTTGGCGTTGTCTCTGGCTTGATGGATTGGAGTTGATGCTCGGCTTGAGAGTTGTTTTGCCCATTTGTCATCCGATTGATCATATAAGCGTGCATTGCATTGCATAGCGAGCGAGCGAGCGAGTGTCGTGTGCGTGATTCTTCGATTGAGCGGACATTTCGGCGGGGAGCGACTCGATTGAGCGGCACGACGGCGGCATTGGGATTTGTCGTCTCTTGCTCTTACGACTTACGACGACTCATTGCCATTGGGAAACCCCTCTGAGGCTGTGGAACTGCTGGCCTTGGGGAAGGTTGAAGAGGCATTGCGCGCTCTTGTTCTGCAGTGGCTGGTTGAAGAGGAGGACTCAAGCTCAAGAGAAGGAGAAGGGAGAGAGAGAGGAGGCAAGGATGGACGAGTACATGTTCAAGTTCTTCCTGGACGAGTGTCGCGTTGTCGATGAGAGGACGAGCTATGTCGAGATTTTCAATTACTCGGTAAGTGGGATTCTTGCTTCCGTACGAGGAGATGAGGTGGGAATGAGGAGGAGGCTGATGAGGTGACATTCTAGGATCCGTTCTACAATTCGGTGGAGGAGCATGCGCTGCCCATGTCCGAGTTTGAGAATTTCCTGAATCGGAGGGTGAGTGGCAGTCTTTTTCATTTCCCTCTCTTTGTCTGGCGATGGGAGGAGCGTTGATGAAGATGCAGACGCGATGCGATGAGATGGACCGAGGCGTGGTGGCCATGGAGATGGGCCTGGATGAATGGCATGCCGAGGAGAATGTGTGGACTGACAGGAAAGCTTTGATAGGGGGCGTTTGAGCCGCCAAAGGTGCGAGAGGGCACCAAGCTGTTGAGCGCCATTCGGCTCGTGTGAGTAAACATATCCCTGGTTTCCTCGTTTCTCCTGATATACTGCCGCTATCATTGCCTGTCGAGGCTATGTCCCATCCACTGCTCACACGCAACAGCATCCAGAAAGACGCCCAGCACAAGGACACCTTCATGCCGAGGACAATCTCCCTGCCAAAGGACAAGTACATGTCCATGGTCAGGACGCTCAGGCTGCCCTTTGGCGCCATCGAGACGTCGTCTGTGGTCGGGCCCTTTTTCTGGTGCGCGTACGACCAGGACGACGATGATCCGCATCTGCGTATGTGATGAGAAAACTCCCCAAGACGAAAAAAAAAATAGGCGTTTATCCCCAACCCCTTTTCCTTCTTTCTAACTGCGGGCCATCTTTACAGACATTGTCCACCGCAAGTCGGACGTCCGCAAAAAGGGCCGGACCCGCGGCTGGGAGATGATGCTGTCGTACGCCTTCAAGACGGGCATCACGACGGGCTTCATCAAGGGCACGCCCAGCTCCGACATTGCGCCCGCGCTGGCGCACCTGCGCGGGTGCGCGGCGCAGGTCGGCCACCCGATGCTGCTGTCGACCATTATCCTGTCGCACGACCTGTCGCCGGCCAACGACGAGAAGCAGCGCGACGCGCGCGACTGGCTGCGGCGGCTGGAGAACGCGGTGAGCATGCGCGACGAGGTGGAGGAGGGCGAGCAGTACTTCCAGGACGGGGTGCTGTCCGTCGACGGCCTGAACCGGGACCTGGTCGAGTGCCACAGCCACGTCATGTGGAAGCGGCCGCAGGCGTACTTTGTGCTGGTCCGCGAGATGGAGCTGTGCATGGAGCGCTTCAAGGTCTCGTGGATGGACGCCAAGCGGGACTTCCTGTCCGAGGAGGAGGAGCGGCACCGCAAGACGATTGACCAGCTGCACCGGAGCATGCTCGCGCGCATGGAGTTTTACAAGGTCAAGCTCAAGGGGCTCGAGAATTACATTCACACCACGCTGGAGAGGTTGAAGGTTCAGCGGGAGGCTGTAAGCTTGTTTCCCCTCACTTTTTCTTCTTCTGTTTCTTTACTGACAGGTCCCCCTTTCTTGTCACAAAAAGCTGTACAACATCATATCCCAGCGAGAGGCACGGCTCAACCTCGAAATCGCCGGCGAGCAGCGCCGCATCGCGCACGCCAGCAAGCGCGACAGCACCGCCATGAAGACAATCTCCCTCATGGGCGCGCTCTTCCTGCCGGGCACGTACCTCGCCTCCGTCTTCAGCATGACCTTTTTCAACTTTGACGCCGACGCGAACCCCGTCATCAGCAACTGGCTCTGGGTCTATTTCGTGATTACCATCCCGCTGACGGCGCTCATCGTCGGCTTCTGGCTGTGGTACGACCGCCGGCGCGAGGCGCGCTACGCAAACGACGACCAGAAGCTCGAGGGCGACATTGAGCAGATGGAGATGAATATCCTGAATTCGTTGAGGAAGAGGACGATGAGTAAGACGCATACGTGGAATAGCCGGAGTAAGCCGATTCATTCGCCTTGAATTAATGATGAAGAATTTTTTTGTTACGAATTGGGAAACGAGAACTTTTTGACGAAGATGAGCATTTTGGGGGGATGGATTTGGTATGGCGATGATGAATTGGCTTTTCTGACGGAATTATATGATTGGATGATTGAGGCTGCGTGATTTCTCGGGGTTTGTTGTTTGGGGGCTGGGTGTTCTTTAACTTCTAGGGGGGGGACTGATGGCTTACGCAGTCGACGACTTCAATAGTACAGAAGTAGATAGCAGGCGACACTTGGGTACAAATTGTATAAACTTAATATTATAGGAATGATCAAGTAGACGCTATCAAAGCTCTTTTAAAGAGAATCAAATCAAAACACAACATTACAACGCTGGAATAGCAAACAGTTGAAAGCTGAATTCTATGGTCTAGGAAGTGAAGACGGACAGAAAACTCCACAAACCCCTTGATCTCGAGCACCATAACTCCATGACAGTGCGGCAATACCCCTTGTCATCCATATCCAAAGATAACACTCATGGAACACCAAGTATGTTCATAAGGAATTAAAAAAGATGAAAAAACAATAAGCAGAATAGCAGCAACTAAGGACGCTCTCGAAATCAGATGCGGATGTGGCTGTCACCGCCTCCGAACCACCTTCTTATATCGGTCCCGTTATTGTTGCTACTGCTGCTTCCGCTGGCGGCATTCGCAGGCTGCTGGGCATCGCTTCCGCCCATCCACTTGGGCTTCTTGATGCCTTGCCCAATGTCCTGGAACCACTGCGGCGTCTCAAACGAGTCGACCGTGTTCTTCATGCGGTGCCCTATGATGGCAAAGATGTTGTCGTCTTCGGGCACTTCGTCGGTGAAGCGAGGCGGTGCCTGGCCGGCTCGGCGAGTGTTGCTGACGGGCGATCGCAGCGGTGACCTTGACGGCCTGGCAGCAGAGTCTTGGATGGCTGGAATGGAGAGAATGGGAGCTGCATGACCCGAGGTGCTATTGGCCGTGGCACTGCGCCGTGGCGTCGAGCCTCCCAGTTCCCTAGCGATGAGATCGCGACCCTCGCGCCATGATCCCGTGCCGTAGCCCGTCGGGTTGTCCTCGTCGTCGTCGATGATGTCGACGCCGGTAAAGATGCGCTTGATCCGACCGTACAGCCCAAAGAGGGCAGCCAACACGGGAATCACCAGGGCGATGGGGAAGAAGTTGTCGAACCCCCTGCCCAGGGGCGTGACGTCGACGTACTGCCCAAGGAAGTGGTAGAAGATGGTCTTCTCGTAGACTTCCTTTGACAAAAAGGTGAGAAAGTTGTAGGACAGCGGAACACTGAGCTTCGCCACTTGCGACGCGAACCAGAATGCCGCTTCGTGTCCCGTATTTCGCTTGACAAGGGCCCGTCCGCGCCATACCCTGACCTCGGTCATGGACGAAAGAGCCGCGGCGCACATGTAGCAGATCCAAAGCGCCGCAATGACCTGTCCGGCGAACCCGACCTGTGCTTTATCGCCTACCCAGTGGTGGACAACGCTGACGCGGATGATGGACAGCTTGGGGAAAGGAGTCTTGACGATTTCCGACCAGACAATGCAAGCAGAGGCCAGACCCAGGAGCGCACCAAAACCCATTCGCATATATGGAAAGACGTAGTAGTAGCAGAGGTATCGAGAGTACGGCGTCAGGATCTTCACCCTGTCCCAGAAGCCCGCGTGAGGGGAGACGTTGCCAAAGTCGAGCTTCTTGGAGGCGACCGAGTCCAGAATCATCTGAAGCTTGGCGGCCTCGTGCACCAATCGCGTCCACTCCCCAACATATTGAGATCGTGAATGCCGTGCGCGCACGAGCTTCCGGGTCAGGTCCGCCAGGTATTTCTCGGTAATGACATGAGGGACGGCTTGACGGGGTGCGGTTGGATCGAGAAGCGACGACCGGGGCTGCGATTCGGGGACATTAGCCATCTCCTGAAGCTCTTCGATCCAATCCTGGAACGCCGCGGCGGTCCCCGTCTTCCGGCGGCTGAGCTCTGACACCTGCTGCTCAACCTCCTCGACGGCCGTGAGCGAGTCCTCCATCTTCTCATACACCCTTGGGGCCTTGATCTGCAGGCTGCGCAGTCTGCCGCTGATGCTTCCGCTTCGAAGGAGGTGTCGCGGTATGGAAACCAGGCCGTGCCCCATGAGGTAGATTGCAAGAATCAAACCCCAGCAGTAAGCCAGGGCCATGAGGAGAGCCCTGAGAGCCGTAAAGGAGAATTCGTACGAGATGAAGATGTACACCAGGCCGACAACGCCGGCTCCCAGGAGCATGGCGTAGAACTGCGCGTTGGCGCGGAGAGAGTACATCAGCTTGTCGTAGGGCTCGCGGTAGCCGGTGTCAGAGTACTCGGCAAGAATGGGGAGGATGAACCTGTGAGGGGTCAAGTCAGAAACGCGATCCACAGCGTTATGACATTCAGCGCTTCTTCTTCTTCTCTCACCATGTCAAGCAGAACGTCAGCCAGTACGTGATGCGCCACAGCACCAGCACCACGCGCTGAGGCAGCCAGATGCCCCGCGACGCAACATCGTCCGTTATGGCGCTCGAAGCGAGATCGATGGGAACCAGCAGGACGAGGACCGAGGGGAGCCAGAGGGCGAAGAAGATGGGCACGATGTAGAAGGCGGGCGTGGTCCGGAGCGGGAGATAGTGGCGCAATATCAGAAGCACCGCCAGCGACACCAGCAGCAGGGCGACGGAGGAGAAGATGAAGGAGCCCACGGGCGTCGGGCTGCTCGCAATTTCAGGCATGTTGAGGGCGAGGCTTCAGGGGGGGGACGCCATATGCGCTCTCGGGCGGCAGAAGCTGCAGGGCGACAGGGCGGTTGCGGGATGTTTCGAGATGTCGGGAGAGCTGCTGCAAGGCGCGTAAGACAGAGAAACGAAGCTGTCGGCTGGTGGACGACTTTGCGGGCGAATAGAATAGTAGGTAGTACTACTCGTATGTATATCGTATGTCCACTGATGCTGCTGGAGATGCTCTAGAATGGGTTTCACGGACCCACCCAACGGCTTTAGCATGCGTGACGCAATATCGCAAGGAACGGCTAACGGCGAACGGCTTAGTGCAGCGAGCGCTTCTGCCTTGGTTTCAGGGCATCAATGCGGCCGCGATAGCTAATGCAGCCGCTTAATTGAAGTCGCGTTAAGTTGGACGCGCTTTTGCTGCGAGGCTCGATTGCAGCTGACAGACGCTTCTGTGCTTGTCGCCTCTTGCTGCGACGGACCTTTGTCTTCTATCTTCACTTGACATTTATTTTCTCTCTTTATCTCTCCGTTTTATCTCATCGCGCACCTTGAAAAGTGCTGCCTGTCTCCCTCCTCGCGCTCGCATCAACTTCCTTTACGCGATTCAACCATCCCGAGGTTCCTCAGCAGCAGCAACTCTAGCATCGTCGCTCTCCCCTCCCTTGACCATGGCTGGTCTTCCCGACCTCGAAGAGTGTAAGCTTCCCCTCACGCTCTCCAAGATGCTCCTTGCTGAACCAATATCCAGGGTATGCGGATGCCAACGAAGCGCTCAACATCAGCCTGGTGTCGCCGTCAAAATCGGGCCTCAAGACCATCGCGACGTTTCACCCCAAGTTCACGTTCTCCATTTTCGGCGACGATGAGAAAATCTTCGGCTACAAGGACTTGAAGATCAACCTGCGGTATCGCGCCAACGACATGCGCCCGCACCTGCGGGTCGCATATAGCAAGAAGATGAAGCCTGTCGGCGAACATGCGCCCACCGATGTCGTCGGAATTCTGGAGGAGGGGGGCCATCTGCCAAAAGGTTCGCGCTCTTGCCGCTTGATAGACTGGGTATTCCAAACAAAATAGCATGGTGCTGACCCGCTGCAGTCGCGTTTGTCAAGGGGTCGGACTTTGAAGACAGCTCGCAGCAGCTCGGCGACAACTGGACTCCGCCCGGAACGCTGTACCAAAGCTTCGATGGCTCCGATGGCCAGTACGAAGTTCGCACGGCAAGCCTTGTCGACCCTGCTGTCAAGCAGCTCAACAGCCGCATTCAAATATTCGCTCGCCTCTTCATCGACGGAGGCTCGTACATTGGCGAGGATCGAGAGGCGGCCCCTTCAACAACGTTGGATCTCTCCGATGCCGACAAGTGGACCTTCTTCTTGCTCTACCGCAAGCAAAAATCGGTTGAGGATCCAGAGAAGAGCTCATATACCTTTGTGGGCTACGCCACGGTCTACCGCTTCTTTTACTTCCCAGCGATACCGACGCCGCCCACTTCTCCGACGGAAAACTGGGAGCTGCCAGCGGGCGACATGGATTTGTCCGAACTTCCGTGCAGAACAAGGCTCTCGCAGTTTATTATTCTGCCGCCGTTCCAAGGCAAGGGCAACGGCGCGCACCTTTACAACGCCGTCTTCAAATACTACCATGATCACCCCCCGACGCAAGAGTTTGTAGTTGAAAACCCCAACGAGGCGTTTGACGATTTGCGCGATTGTTGCGACTTGACGTTCCTGCGAAGCATGCCCGAATTCAAAGAGCTTCGCCTCGACACCAAGGTGACTGTTCCCAAGTCCGGGCCTGTGCCTCCCCTCATCGTTGGGCAGGAAAACCTCGAAAAGATTCGGCTAAAGGCCAAGATTGCCCCTCGGCAGTTCTACCGGGTGCTGGAAATGCATCTCATGTCCCAGCTGCCACGATCAGTTCGGCCAACCATGTCACTCGATGACGACGTTCCGTCCCCCACAGCTGCGGACAAGCACCAGGAAAAGCTGTGGCAGCTCATTGTCAAGCAGCGGTTATACCGCCACAACAAAGAAGCGCTCTCTGAATTCGATATTGGTGAGAGGATTGAAAAACTGTCAGAAACGCTGGGCAGCGTGGAGCTGGAATACGCCAGGATTCTGGCACTTCACGAGCGTGCTATGAAGCACTCCGTTCCGTCTAATGGAAAGCGGAAAGCGGATGACGACCTGGACGGACACATGGAGGAGGCAACGTCCAGCAAGAAGGCTAGGGTGGAGGACGCATAAAAGGGAACACTGCATATGGAGGCTTGGGTTTCATACACTCCCCTGCATGAGGCCAAATAGGAAATGTTATAGCAGGCGTTGGGCGGGGAAACTTTGATACACTTTCAGGAGAACAAACCGTGGCTCTATGTATTCTATTGTATAAAAACAGGGGAACCCGAGCAAGCAGAGCATACCAAATGCTTTCCTTCTTCCTCAAATAACACAAATCATTGATTAAAAAGCAGATCCCAACAACAGATTCTCTGCCCATCTTCTCGCCTACTCATCAAAGTGCAGCTGAGTGTCGCCCTTGGAGATGACGGTGGCGGCCTGGATGTTCTTACCAAGCTGGCTGGCCACCCGGCTGGCCTCCCGCACAGCCTTGGAGATGGTGCCACGCACGCGCTCCTCCTCGAGCACGAGCACGCCGCTAACGGTGCAGCCGCCGGGAGTGCAGACCTTTTCCCTGAGCAGAGCCGGGTGCTCTCCGCTCTGGATGAGGCCGGTGGTTCCTCGCATGGTCTGGGTGGCCATCCTGGTCGCCTCGGCGCGGGGGAGGCCCATGGCGACGGCGCCCTCGATGGCGGCCTCGAGAAACAGGGAGTAGAAGGCCGGGCCGGAGCCGCAGAGGGCGGTGGAGGCGTTCATGTAGCGGGCGGGCAGGTAGACGACGTCGCCGACGCGCTTGAAGATCCAGGTGACGAGAAGCTCAACCTCCCGGGGCAGCGGCGGCTCGGTGGCGCTGATGACGGTCATGGACTCGCGGATGAGGGCGGCGGTGTTGCACATGGCGCGGACGATGCGGCAGCGGCCGTCCTCGTCGGGGTCCTTGGAGGGCACGGCGCCGTGCAGGGCGATCTCGAGCTGCTCGACGGTGATGCCGGCGCAGACGCTGATGAGGAGCTTGCCGTGCAGGGCCTTTGCCATGCCGGGGGCGCCGAGGATCTCCCTGACCATGTAGGGCTTGCAGGTGAGCAGGATGACCTGGGACTGCTGGACGGCGGCGAGGTTGTCGTTGCGGACGACCTTGAGGACGGACGAGTGCTCCCACAGGGCGCCCTTGACCTTCTTGGCCGTCTCGGGGGTGCGCACGCAGGCGATGAAGCGGGAGGGCAGCGAGCGCGGGATGTCCTCCGAGGGCGTCGAGGCGCCGGACTGCAGGGGCTTGGGGCCCTGCATCTCGACCAGGGAGGTGAGGATGCCGTTGAGGATGGCGATGCCCATTGTGCCTGAGTGTGGTTGCATGAGTTTCTCAACTCAAGTAGTGGTGAGGCTGCTTTTATTTTTCATGCATCTTTTTTCCCTCCTCTGTTTCATTGAGACTTACCGCAGCCCAAGACCGCCATGGTCAGGTCCTGAGGCGGCTGAGGCGTGCTGTGATGCGTCAGAGCCAGCATGTTGGACATTTCTGTGGTGGTGGTGTTGTTGTTGGTGGTGTTGGTGGTGGTCTTGACGATGTCGGAGTGCTCTTGTAAGAGTTTACTACAGGCGCCTCTACTAGCGTTGACAGGTGGCCAAAAAAAGGAGAAGAGGGAAAACCAGGGACGTGAGAGAAGAGAAAGAGTACGGGCCACCCAAGTTTCCGCCAGGCTGGAAGGATTGTTAGGAGAGGGGATGAGATGAAAGACTGGATGAGGTTCTTTTTATCTTTCTCATCTGAAGTTGGTCCAAGTTTTACGAATAAATACCAAGACGAGTGAGGGCGCCGGTTTGTGCTCCCCCCTTTAATACGGCACACGGCTGTCCCCGGAGCGGTTGGTGCCCAGCGGGACGGATCTCATTGTTCAATAGGAACAAGGATTTTGGTTTTGGTGTGAACACACGGCGATCTACGGAAACAAATGTCTGGATTGGGCTTCTAAATTTGGTGGTGCTCGACAGACCCCAAATTCAGGGAGCTGGTGGAAGGATCTCGAGGGGGGACGATAATGGCTCAGCCGACTGTGTTTCATCGTTTGCCCGTCTCAACTCATCCTTGAGCTTTGTGCTTGCACCCGCGCTGGCTTGGTATTAGGATTGCCGGCACTGGCAAGGTGGCTTTAGTGTTGCTACCCAACTATTACTGTCTGTGGTAATGCTACTGCTGCGAGGAGTAAATCAATTGGATAGGGAGCATGTGCTAGTATTGATGGATTAATATGCACACATTGGGTAATAAGTTTGGATACTTGAATTCAGGGGTTCCGGCTTCGAGGACGCTGCGGCTTTGGGGCCGAAAGGGCCTGAAATCGGAGGCGATTTAGGCCGTGCAGCCGCTGTTGGGCGACGCACTGCCCCTCCAGATGCTTGTTTCCGGCTCTTTACCGCGGGCTTGCATTGGGCGAACTTGCACGACAGCAAACATCAGGTCTCGAATCGAAAAAGCGCGGAGCAGCACAAGCCAGGAATACGGAGCACGACCTGCACCCTGGAACCTGCGATCTCAACTAGCCTGGACCTTTTGCCGTGGCTCACCGAGATGCAGAAAACGCACAGTTGATGCTCGTGCTTTTCTTCTGCTTTCATACATGCACCTTAGCTGGTCCGGTCCAGTCAAGCCACAGTGAGGCGCAGATCCATCTCCATCTCAGCCTTGCGCCTCCCGCGCTGCAGCATCTCAGATCTCGACAAAAGATTCCTTTCTTCAGACGGACAACTCACGCGCAACATGGCGGATCCTTTCGAGGTCCGCATGCGCTTCAGCTCGCAGCTGCAGCACCTCAATGCCTCCGTTGCCTCGGCGCAGAAGGCGGCGCAGTATGCGCTCAAGTACAAGGACATGGACGAGGACCTGCATTCATGCATCCTCGAGCAGGTTGAGCGGGTGAGTTGGGAGAAGAAGATGGTTGCCGATGGCTTTTGACGAGAGCCTTTTGACAGAATGCTGACTCGGGTCTCGACAGAACAATATGAATACACGTGCCAATATCATGTACTTCATTGAGCACTTCCTCGACCTGGCGCAGCGCGATGGCCACTCTGACTACATCCGCATGATGCAGCGCGACATCATCAGGGTCGTCGATGCTGTGGCCCCTGATGACGGCTCCGGGGCAGCCAATGTCAAAGTCGTCCGAAAAGTGTGAACGACCATTCTCACCACTCCCTGCTTGTGCGTTGACTGACACTGCATCAAACAGGTTCTGACGGGGCTCCAGAACAAGGGCTTCCTGGAGCATCAGGTGGTTGCGCAGATTGAGGACGTCATCAAGGAACGTGGGACAAACGACGACGACCTGGGCCTCGCGTCTCCCAACAGCGACGTGGACATGACCGACGCGCCGGGCTCCGAGTCGAAGTCCCGGCGGCGGCCCGCGGCTCATGGCTTGGATAAGCGGCAGGTCGAGCAGCGGATCGAAGAGGACCGGGAGCGGCACAAGCGCGAGCGAGAGAGGATCTGGGCCGTGCCCAAGGGAGAAGACGCCGAGATGACGAAGCTGTGGGAGGAGACGAGCGACTTTGGGGATGACGACGACCGGCTGCTGACCGAGGAGGGCGACGACTTTACCAAGGAAATGGAGATGCAGCAGTGTTCGCACCAGCAGCCGGCGAATGGCAACGGCCATTGATTCCTGATTCCTGTCATGTTAGTATATCTGCATTGGGCGGCGTTGTGTGTTCTTTCAGTTACTGCATTGGGTATGGGTATGAGAAGTGTGTGTATATGGAACGTTGAGATACCCCGAATTGCTACATCATCCACAATACTAGAAGAAGAAAAAGAAAATTTTGCAGTTGAAAGACGGCTGCAGAAACAACGAGACCGATCGACTCCGTAGCATGCAAAGGAAAAACAAGTAGAAAAAATACATCTCTTTCTTTGATATATAATACACAAGATTTTTGTACATGTACCTCGACCATCTATCGTGTCATAAAGATCATGCAGGTAAAACCCCCCCAGACGTTGTCCTTTCCCTTTTGTCTTCCTGGCTTCCATTTACTCCATCACAACCACCGCGCCAAGCTCCTTCATGGTGGCGATAATCTTCTCCGCGTCCTCCTTGGGCACGTTCTCCTTCATCATCTTGGGCGCGCTCTCGACAAACTTCTTGCTGTCCACCAAGCTCAGGCCCAGCATGCCCTTGACCTCCTTGATGACCTTGGCCTTGGCCGCGGGATCAATGGACTGCAGTTTCAGCGTGAAGAGCGTCTTCTCGGCGGGGGCGGCGGGGGCCTCCTCGGCTTCCTCGACGGCGGCGGCAGGTGCGGCGGCGGCAGGGGCAGCGAAGCCGCCAATGGGCATATCGGGGATGTTCAGCTTGCTCTATAAGAAAAGGACAAATGTCAGGTTAGTCGCGGTGCTTGGCGGGCATGACGGCCGTGGTCCGGAACATCGGCCACTCGTCTTTGTGTGTTCCTTGGCTGGGCATTTACTTTTAGGCTTGAAACGAGATCGGCAGTCTCCAGCAGCGTCAGCTTGCTGATCTGGTCGACAATGTCGGCAATCTTAGGGTTGACGGCCTCGGCCTCGGTTGAGTTGTACCGCCTCGAGGCGCATGACACTCGGAGCGTTTGTGCGGGTGATCGAGGAGCGGCGGCGGATCGCAGCTGGCGAGCGCAGGAGCGCGCCGCGAACCGACACGGAGAGGCCATTGCTGTGGTTGAGGAGGAGAGGACGGTTGAGGCTGGAACGAGTAACGCGGCCCAAGTTCGCGGGATTCGTGGGGCAATTCTGCTTGTCGATATGTGCCTTGGCCCTTCTCGTCGTCGTGGGAATGGCCTGTCTTGAAGTTTTTCGAAAAGCTTCACCTTTGCCGGTCTGGGCGGCGTCTGATTGGCCCGGAAATTCGTAGCCCCGAGTGCCCCTCCTTCCCGCACCCTTGTTCCCGACTAGGAAAAAAAAAGTTGGCGGGACGCTCATATAAAAAAAAAGTCATTGAAAAAAAGTTCAAGAGAGCATCAAACGAAAGAACGGCAAATTCGTTCGACGAAGAGAGCTCAATCATGGCCGTGATTGATGTCTCTCGGCAGAGGAGGTCGCTCCTGCGGGACGCGGCTGCTTTGGACCATCTGCCCACTGAGCTGCTTGAGATTATCAAGCATCAGTCGTCGACGAAGCTCTTTGACGCTGTAGCGGAAGCGGCGCTCACACCAACACTTACAGAGCGCCTCTTCGTGCATTTCGAGGATGTCTTTTCCGACATCTGCGCGCGCTGGATCCTCAACGCCGGCAATGGATCACGACGACTGTTGATTGCATCGGCCATTGCCCGGATTCTACCGTTTGCGCCCTATCTGTCGACTTTTCTGAGGTATCCTGGCAAGGCGGGAGAAGAGGCTGTGCAGGGGCCTTCACTTCACCTGGTGCTGCCGGCGCTCGATGGTGTTTCCATGCGCTTGGATGCAGATGCGCTATTGCAGGCTCTACTAACATACTGGAGGCTTTTCAGCTTCGATCTGAGGACGTTCAGCTCATTAATCTCACCCGATTACCTGCAGAGCCTGTTTGCGCATGAGAGCAGGGCAGTGAGATATCTGGCGATTCGCATCTTCTGCCAGCTGTTTCACGCCTCCGACCACAAACTGGAGTCGCTCACCGAAGCGCACGTCGGCAATGCGAATGCCATCACTGCTGACTTCGACGGCGCATTGGTGGACTACGGGTTTCTCTCACTCCATGAGCACGCACGTGCTAAGAAGGTCATCTCGTTGCGCCAGCAGGTGAAGCGATATGTCGAAGAGTCTCAAGGCGAATGCCCGCCGCTCCTCCAATCCCTCACCCAGCATGCCGTCTCCTATGGTAGAATCGTCCTCCCGCGACCATCCGTGCCCACTGGCGGCCCATCAGATCTCGTCATGACAGCGACGACCACCAACAACCTCGAACGCCTTGCTGCCATGATCCGCAACCCCGAACCTATCCTTCTTCATGGCTTGCCTGGCAGCGGAAAGACGGCGCTTGTCCACGAGATGGCCAAGCAACTCGGCATGTACTCCGGCATGGTGACCCTTCACTTGAACGAGCAAACAGACGCCAAGATGCTCATCGGCCTTTACTCGACAGACTCGAAGCCCGGCAGCTTCTCATGGCGACCAGGTGTGCTAACCACAGCGATCAAGGAAGGCAGATGGGTTCTGGTGGAGGATCTTGACCGCGCCCCCACCGAGGTTCTCAGCACTTTTTTGCCCCTGATTGAGCGCAACGAACTGTTGATACCGAGCCGAGGGGAGAGGATAAAGGCTGCGAACAGCTTCCGCCTCTTTGCGACTGTGAGGACATCCATGGGTATGAACGGACGCGAGAACCTGCCTAGCATTGTCGGCATGCGGTTTTGGCAGTCTCTGTATACGGAGCCCATGGTTCAGTCCGAGCTAGAGGAAGTCGTTCTTCAGACGCATCCTATTCTGAAGAAATTCCTTCCTGGAATCATCGCCGTATACGGCCGTCTGGCTCAAGTCACCAGTGGTCCTCGCTCTCTGTCTCGCGGCCGAGTCATGGACCGACAGATGAACTTGAGGGATCTGTTGAAGTGGTGCCGGAGACTGCAGGAGTGCCTGCTGGCTGCAGGATCAACGACCGGAGAGGAACCCATTACCGAAACTACGCGAGACTGGATGTTCATGGAAGCGGTAGACTGCTTCGTGGGCAGTTGTCCAGATGACGAGCTTGGAAGACAACTCACGTATGCCATTGCTGAAGAGATGCATTTGTCCAAAGAACGGGCAGACCATTATTTGACTGCCAATATACCCCCTTTGGAAGAGAATGATGCTCACTTTAGCATTGGACGAGTTCAGCTGAGGAAGAAGAAGACGGTGAACCGGTTGCAAAAGTCGAAGCGACCGTTTGCGAGCACTTCTCATGCAAAGAAGCTCTTGGAGCAGATTGCGGTAGCTGTCAAGCTCAATGAGCCGGTGCTTCTCGTCGGAGAGACTGGTATAGGAAAGACGACTGTTGTTCAGCAGCTGGCCGAGTCGCTTGGCCACAAGCTTATTGCGGTCAATCTTTCACAGCAAAGCGAGGTGGGCGATCTCCTAGGTGGCTTCAAGCCCGTCAACGTCCGGAGTCTGGCTGTGCCCCTGAAGGAAGAATTCGAAGATCTCTTCGCAGCGACCGGAATATCAGCCTCCAAGAACCAGAAGTATCTCGAACAAGTCGGAAAGTGCTTTGCCAAGGGACAGTGGTCAAGACTGTCCAAGCTGTGGAGGGAGGCGCCGAAGATGTTCCTCAAGATCGTTTCTGAGCTTGAGAGGGTTCAGCTGGAGAAGGCCGAGGCGAGGAATGGGGATGATGCACAGCCTACCAAGAGGCGGAAGACCCAGTCTAAGCTACAGGCGCTCCTAGAACTGAAGCCTCGATGGGATCGGTTTGCCCGGACTCTCGAGCAGTTTGACATCCAGATTTCCGGATCAGGCAGCTTCGCATTCTCCTTTGTGGAGGGAAACTTGGTAAAGGCCGTCAGAAATGGCGACTGGGTTCTTCTGGACGAGATCAACCTGGCTTCACCGGATACCCTCGAAAGTATTACAGACCTCTTGACCGGCCCGAACGAGAGACCGTCTCTCCTTCTCTCTGAAACAGGAGAGATTGAGAAAATCGTGGCCCACCCGAACTTCCGCATCTTTGGCGCCATGAACCCAGCAACCGATATTGGTAAAAGAGACTTGCCTATTGGTATTCGGTCCAGGTTCACTGAGCTATATGTGAAAAGCCCCGACAAGGACTTGAAGGACCTGCTTACCATCATCAAGACATACCTGGGCAATGGTAGCAACAAGAACGATCAGGCGGGCGATGATATTGCACGTCTCTACCTCAACACGAAGCGAATGGCAGAGGAGAAGCGCTTGGTTGACGGAGCGAACGAGGTCCCTCATTTCAGTCTGCGTACGCTGACCCGGGTGTTGAGCTATGTCAATACCATAGCTCCCTTCTATGGCTTGCGTCGAGCAATGTACGAAGGATTCTCCATGGGTTTCTTGACACTATTGGATCGAAACTCTGAAAAGATGCTCCTGCCCCTGATTTACCACCATCTCTTGGACAAGCATGGAAATCCGCAATCCCTCTTATCACAGCCTCCAAAGCACCCCGGCGACGGCCGCCAATATGTCAAGTTCCAGAACCAGAGCCGGGATCGACAATACTGGCTGTTCCAAGGCGAGCAGACACCTATCGAGCGAGACGACTATATCATAACCCCTTACGTGGAGAGAAACCTCCTCAATCTTGTCCGAGCAACCTCCACGAGGCGCTTCCCCATCCTGATTCAAGGCCCCACGTCGGCCGGTAAAACAAGTATGATTGAGTACCTGGCAAACTTTACTGGAAACCGATTTGTCCGAATAAACAACCACGAGCACACCGACCTTCAAGAATATCTGGGCACATACATCTCAGGGCCAGATGGGAAGTTGCGCTTTCAGGAGGGTCTTCTCGTCCAAGCTATGCGGCAAGGACACTGGATTGTTCTCGATGAGTTGAACTTGGCGCCGACTGATGTTCTCGAAGCCCTCAATCGTCTACTGGACGATAACCGCGAGCTGTTGATTCCCGAGACGCAGGAGGTTGTCAAGCCTCACGAGAACTTCATTCTCTTCGCTACTCAGAACCCCCCTGGTCTCTACGGAGGCAGAAAGGTGCTGTCCAGGGCGTTCCGCAATCGATTCCTTGAGTTACACTTCGATGACATTCCCGAGGATGAGCTGGAGTACATCCTTCAGCAGCGCAGCCGCAACACCTCTCCTCCCGACTGCAGGCGTATTGTCAATGTCTACAAGGAGCTATCACGGCTTCGCCAGACGAGCAGACTCTTTGAACAAAAAGACAGCTTCGCCACTCTCCGAGATCTGTTCCGATGGGCTCTCAGGAAGGCGGATACTCGTGAAGAGATTGCTGCGCATGGTTTCATGCTGCTGGCCGAGAGAGTTCGCAACGATGAAGAACGAACTGCCGTCAAGGAGATCATTGAAAAGGTCTTCAAAGTTACGCTCAACCCACATGATCTTTACTCGGCGGAATTGGCGCCCGAACTGAAGCAGATTGCCCATCGGGCGAATGCGCAAGGCGTTGTCTGGACCCACGCGATAAGGAGGCTGTATGTGCTCGTCTCGCGAGCTTTGCAGAACAACGAGCCTGTTCTCCTGGTTGGTGAAACTGGATGCGGCAAGACAACAGTTGTGCAACTGCTCGCCGAGATTCTAGGCAGACAGCTGCATATCGTTAACGCCCACCAGAACACAGAGACCGGAGACATCATTGGTTCTCAGCGTCCCATTCGAAATCGGGGCGCCATCCTTGAGGCTCTGGATGTCGACGTTACTGAGGTATTGAGACAGTGCAATGTCGATGTATCTGGTTCGCCGGCAGATAGGCTGGAGAGATACAAGTCGCTTGACAAAGCAGTTCTGGATGCCATACCCGAGCAGATCAGAGAGAGGATCTCAGCAAATGAGACGAGGAGCATGGCCCTGTTCGAGTGGTCTGACGGTGCCCTGGTAGAGGCTATGCGAGGTGGTCACTTCTTCCTCCTCGACGAAATCTCCCTGGCCGATGACTCAGTTCTGGAACGCCTCAACTCCGTTCTCGAGCCTCAGCGGACGCTACTCTTGGCCGAAAAAGGAGTGGACAATTCCTTTGTCGTTGGTGCGGACGGTTACCAGTTCTTCGCCACTATGAATCCCGGTGGTGACTTTGGTAAGAAGGAGCTTTCTCCAGCTTTGCGAAATCGATTCACCGAGATCTGGGTTCCTCCGTTGTCAGACAGCGATGACATCTACGACATCACTCGAACTAAACTGATTGATGCCGCCAAGAGCTATGCTGAAGCCATTGTTCAGTTTGCGGCCTGGTTTGGCGCTACATTCCGCCCAATGGCCACTGCTCCATTCTCTGTGCGAGAGGTCCTCGCTTGGGTTCAGTTTATCAATGCATCAGCAGGCGAAGATATCGTCGTTTCGATAGTTCACGGAGCTGCTGCCATCTTTATTGATAGTCTGGGTGCCAATCCGTCTGCTATTTTGGCGACAGATACCAATGCCATTCATCGTCAACGAGTGGACTGCCTCAACAGACTGGGACAACTCCTTGGCCGAGATGTTTCTGCCGTTTACCAGACTCACCCTGAGCTTGAAGTTACCGAGTCTCACTTGACCATTGGGGGATTCAGCGCGTCTCGAACAGCAGCGGCTACGACTCCCTCAAGCTTTGCCTTCCATGCACCAACCACGCGTCTCAACGCCATGAGAGTGATTCGAGCAATGCAAACTCAGAAGCCCATCTTGTTAGAAGGCAGTCCTGGTGTCGGCAAGACTTCTCTGGTGGTTGCCCTGGCCCAGGCCTGCGGTCAGCCCCTGACGAGAATCAACCTGTCAGACCAGACTGATCTGATGGATCTCTTCGGAACGGACGTTCCCGTTGAGGGAGAGGAAGCAGGCAACTTTGCCTGGCGAGACGCCCCCTTCCTCCAAGCTATGCAGAAGGGCGAATGGGTTCTTCTTGACGAGATGAACCTTGCGTCTCAGTCTGTTCTCGAAGGATTGAATGCCTGTTTGGACCACCGTGGCGAGGTCTACATCTCCGAACTCGACCAGGTTTTCAAACGCCATCCAAACTTCCGCCTCTTTGCAGCCCAGAATCCCCACCACCAGGGAGGCGGCCGAAAGGGTCTTCCAGCTTCATTCGTCAACCGATTCGTCGTCGTGTATGCCGATGTCTTCAAGGACGACGATCTCAAGATGATTGCTAGCCACAGCTTCCCCCAGCTGTCTGACGAGGTGGTTGGTCTGCTGATCCAATTTGTATCACAGATTGAGCACCATCTTTTGGTTGAAAAGAGCTTTGGTGCGCAAGGTAGCCCGTGGGAATTCAACCTTCGAGATGTACTCCGGTGGCTGAACCTGCTGAGCTCGTCCGACCCGCTGCTCAAGACCCGCCATGTTGAAGACTTTCTTGACATTGTGATTAGGCAGCGCTTCCGCACTGAGGCGGACCGTGCTGAAGTGGACAGGATATTCCGGCGCGTCATCACCTGGCAGCCGCGATCTCGCCACTTTTACCATGATCTTGGGTCTCGATTTGGTCAAGTTGGCCTGGCTCTGCTGGACAGGAACTTGAACTCCCAGCCTGAGAGACTTCCCAGTATTGACATCGTGCCAAGGCTACCGGAGCTCGAGTCCATCATGCTTTGCGTGAAGCAGAATATCCCTTGTATCCTCAGCAGCCCTTCAGGATATGGTAAATCTGTGCTGCTCCAGTACGTTGCAGCGCTTGCCGGAAAGCCGCTGGTTGTGTTCCCCATGAATGCCGATATTGATACCATGGATTTGGTCGGAGGCTTTGAGCAAGCTGATCCTTTGCGGGAGATCAATGCTACCATCCGCAACTTGCGAGATTTCCTCCAGGACTCCGTCATGTCAGTGGTTCCCGCGCAAGCTCCGAGCGAAGTGCTCCAGCTGCTTCATCAGCTTGACAACTACAATGGCGACAGCGATAGCATCATCACGATTCGAAGCACGATAGAGGCCTTGCTTCAGCAGATCGCTGCGGGTTCGGAAGTGTCTGTCTCGCTTTCTCGAGCTTTGGAGATTCTTCACAAGCCTCTGGTGCTTTCAAACCCTCGCTTCGAATGGCTGGACGGAGTCATTGTCAAGGCCCTGGAGACAGGCCAGTGGCTCGTCTTGGACAACGCCAACATGTGCAATGCCTCCGTCTTGGACAGACTGAACTCTCTGCTCGAGCCCAATGGCTTCCTCAGCATCAATGAGCACTGCGGCCCAGGAGGAGAACCCAGAATCGTCAAGCCCCATCCTGAGTTCCGGATTTTCTTGACCATGGATCCCCGCCACGGCGAGCTGTCTCGTGCTATGAGGAACCGTGCCATTGAGATCCACATATACGTTCCGCCGCCGGCCCTGGACGCGTCTCTTGCCCGGATGTCGCATGTTGAGAGCTCTCTCCAACGATACCTCAAATCTACAGAGTGCTCAGACGCCTTATTAGCTGAGGGGGTCGACCCCGAGGCCTGCCAAGTTTCTCTCGAGAATCTTTCTCTCCAGGATGTCACTCTTCTACCCAGGTTTGTTAGCTCGGTGACCGCTGAGCGCGCTTCGTACGTACAGCTTGTGCAGGACTTTTTGGCCCTTCTGCAGTCACCCCTTGGATCGCGCCTACAGACCTCTCTCAGAGAGTTGTACTCGAACTTGGCTGGTGTTGCTTCAGATGCACTTGCATATACCCAGGTAAGCCTTTCCTAACCCCTTTCCTAGCTGTTCTTGTCGCTGACTCAACTGCTAACATTCAAACAGCCTCTGCATCCTCTTAACAATATCACTATCAGCAACATGCTTCCCTCGGTTGATCTAGCCAGGTGGAATGCTGCTCGATTTGATACCTATCGACACTTGTACCAGATCCAGAGCATCATCGACGCACAGCAAACGCAAGCTCGCTCGGCGAAGTTGGTCTCTTTGAACAGACTGCAAAGATCCCTCATCAGTAACCGTGTTGCCGCTGTGTCGAAGGACTCTACTGTGAAACTGAGCGTATTCTTGTCCTCGGTCCTGAATGCCTTGATTGAGTTCTTTGGTCTCGAAATGATGTCTCATGATACTTGGGAGGTACGTAATAACCTTGTCGCATTAATCTTCGAAGTATCTGCTAACGGTATATCAGGGTGCTCAGTTCATCAGAGCTGTCCGGTGCTATATCGATCGCACGATTGCTCTTGCTACCAAGAGTGATTTCGATGAGGCCACATTCCAGGCTCACTTGGCTCAGGGTGCCGCACTGTTATGCAAACAAATCCAAGCTACTCAATCCGACAATAACCGCCAGCTTTCGTCCTACATACTGGGAAGATTGGAGGCCGATTTTGACAGCGGGTTCAAATTGAGCACCGGGTTGAGTATGGAGTCGCTCTGGAACTTGATGAGGCCAATTCCTATTCCAGATGGCTCAGTCCTTGACCGGTCTGTTGAGCTTGACCGACTGGGCACCAGGTTTGACAGCCTACGATGGAAAGCCGGTGCTTCTATTGGCGATCTGTCAAAGGCTCAGCAAACTCTTGAACAAGCTTATAGAATCGTCAGAGATGGCGTTCTGACAGCCGATGGACTGGTGAAAGACCTTACCACTGGAATAGAGTCGCTGGAGAGCCGCATTGCAGACGAAGAAGCGGAACAGTTGCCCTTCTTGGCACATGAATTCGAGACCTTGAGGCAACTCGACATAATTCGATCTGTGTCGCCCAACATGATGCTGGACAGCGGATTCCGAGATCTCTCCATCCTGTCAAATGTCCCCACCAAGGCACGGCTATCACTCGTGAGCGCCACGAAAGAGGCTGCACTCTTGCAAGCGATGGATACTTTGGTGCACCAGGGTCAATTCCCGTGGGATGGTACTCTTACGCCTACCTTGTGGTCAAAGCTGCAGGCACTCGGTGGAGTGAGCCTTGGATCTTTGGCATTGCTTGACGTGGAATTGCCGGCTATGGGACGACATATTGCTTCCCTGTCTGCTGAAGTGGCAGCCGATCCGCTGCCAAAGTTGAACAGTATTCTTCAGCAGCTGATCTACGAAGTTTTTGGCGCTCACGCCGCAAGCCTTAAGCAAGCTGTTATCCAGGCTTATCTCACGGCAGAGGAACAACTCCAGGCTAATGGCGAGTCTTCTGGCGTCTTCGATGCCTTCTTACGAACCATTGAGCCTCCCCATCTTCAGCAGGTAGCTGAACAGCATCTGATTCCAGCGCTGATTTCTTTGCTCGCAATGAAGAATGATGCTCGGCATGCATACTTGTCTGCACTGGCGTGGACTCAGTTCAGCGTTGGAGTACTCAAGCTCTACGTCCCTGACCGTGTCTTTGATCCTCAGCTACGCCCAAAGATTGAGCGAGAGTTCTTTGAGGAGCTTCAGAATAGCATATCTGACAAGATATCCTCGCTTATCGCCTTTGAAAGCAAGTTTACTGGGCAAAAGACGAATGAACGTGTCGAGTCGCTCAACCGAGAGCTTTCCAGCATGGGCCCATTGCCCGAGGAGGTCCAGCCAGTGTTCCGACCAGAGCGATCAGAACTTGTCCGCTTACACGCTGAGTTTTCTAACGTCCTGAAGGCTATCACGAGTCCTGCTCTTCGAGCAGCACTTGAGTCATCCAACAATGACATCTCCGCTGTTGATAAAGAAGGACTTGCATTGGTCAAAGAAAATGTCAAGCGCCTACAGGATCGACTTACGGCTCGATTTGAAGCGTATCAGGATATGACCAGGCCTGCTGCGAACCTTTTACAGTGTCTGCGTGTTGGCCTGTCGCTCTTCGATGCAGCTGCGGCTTCGTCCTTGACATTGCCTACGAAGCAGCTTCTGGACCTAACCCCGTTCTTTGGAGGGTCAACCTGCGATGTCTCCGTTCAGTCGTCTTTCGAAAAGAGCTTCGAGCTTCTCAGCCTCGTCCGAGTTGCCGTAAACGTCGAAGGAAGCGACTGTTTCCAGCCAGGTGTACGCGAGGCAATTTTCGATTGCTTCCACCGCTTCTACGATGACTGGAGCAAGAAGCTCGAGGCTGACCGAAAGGCGGAAGAGACAAAGGGCAGCCTTTACCAGTTCCGTGGTTCGTTGGAAGACGAGGAGGAAATTGACGAACAGGAGTTTAACGAGCTGTTCCCGACATATGACGCCGATAAAGAGGTCGCTGTTAGTTCAAGCAACAAGAGGGACGCTGTTCGCAACATGTCTCTCAAGGTTGCTGAAGCTCACAGGAAAATCTTCTTGGACAGAGAAGATGCTCAAATCTCGATTCGCAATTTAAGCAAAGAAGTGGGCAATCGGGTTGCGAATGAAACCAAGGTTCAGCCATACCTCGATCGTCAATTGAACGGCAGGATGTTGGCAAGCACAACGCTTCTGCTCGACGAAAAGCTCAAGCGGCTGCAGACGACTGAAAAAGACAAGTCGTACAGCTTCTATACCAGCCCCAACTTGCCCGAAGCCCGACAGCTTGTGATCCTCGTTGGCAAGATCAAGGCGAGGTTCCGCGAACTGCAGCTTGTTGATGAGATTGGCCACATGCAGCCGCTGGCGGATGTCATTCAAAGCTGCAACAATGTTCTCGATCTCGTCCACGAAGATCCTTTGGCCAAGATCCTGCCCAAGGTGGAGCATCTGCACGCTCACGTCTACGAGTGGCAGTTTGGTGGGTGGGCGAGCAAGGTGTATGCTGTCCTCTCGCTGTATAACGCGCTGACGGATACAATTGTTCGTTGGCGACGATTGGAACTGTCGACATGGGCCAACTTGTTCGAGACGGAGCAGGGAAAATGCCAGGAAGATGCTTACTCGTGGTGGTTCATTGCCTATCAAGTGGTCGTCGCCGTTCCTCTCTCCATGGTCGACTCTCCTGCTGAACTGAAGGAGTACGCCGTGTCACTTATCCAGAGCTTGGAAACGTACTTTATGACGTCCATTGTGGGCCAATTTGCAACACGTCTGTCGCTTCTGAGACAGCTCCAGAGCCATCTTCAGCTCCTCATCCAGGACTATCCTACTCTGACGGTCATCTACCATGCGCTTACAAATTTCATCTTCTACTACGCCCGCTACGAGAAGGCCGCTGATGATGCTATTCAGAAAGGCCGAGCCTCGCTCGACAAGAAGATGAAGGATGTTTTACTCATGGCCAGTTGGAAGGACACAAACATCAATGCTCTTCGAGACAGCGCCAAGAGATCCCATCAGAAGCTTTTCCGTATTGTCAGAAAGTTCCGTGGGTTCCTGGGTGTGGAAATGAAGTCTGTTATCGAGCAAGGTCTTCCCGACGAGGCAATCTCTCCACTCGCGGCTGTGGCTAGCCAGGTCGAAGTCAACGTACCCGAAGCCGCTGTCGAGTCTTTGAACAGGGCACTCCCTGGCTGGCTTGAGAAGCGCAAACGTCTCGGCAATGTCGCCATGACCGTGTCTGTGATGCAGAGAATCGCTGCCAGCCCCGAAGTCAACAGCTCTGTTCCCCAGTCCCTGGATGCCTACCTTTCCAGCCTGGAAGAGTCAATGGCAGAGCTGAAGAAAGAGACGCCCTCAACCTTGACCGACGAGAACAAGGAGCAAGTCAAGCACATGAAGACGAGAAAACGCAAGCTGTTTGCGGACACGCTGCGGGACCTTCGCGGCATGGGTCTGCGATACAACCTTGGCCAGGACAAGCTGGCTGAGCAGGAATCGCTTTCTGTTGTGCTTGCTTCAACCGCGCCATTGGAGTTTTCTGGTTCCAGCATTTTGAGCGAAGCGGAGTATTACTTCCACAAGACTCTTGATCTCGCGCCAAAGGCAAGGAACGCTGCTCGGGAACACTCTGAGGACCTGACTGGCTCTGAGGTAGCGCGAAGCATTGGTTTCGTGGAAGGGTTTATCCACTTTGCCCTGTCTCAACGCGAGAGCCTTGCGAGCGTCATGTCTGCTTTTGGATCCCTGCAAAAGACTATTAACCAATTCCAAGATCTTGGCAGATTCGACAGATTGGGTGGCCTCTCCCGAAGCGAAAGAAGCACCGATTTGCCGCGCTTGCTCCCGTGGACCGTTCAGGGACTGAAATTTTCAATTCTCTTGCTCGGCGTTCATGCAAAACTCGGCAACCTCGATCACACCGCCGTCATTCAAAAGCTACAGTCGTGGACCGATACCTTTGAGAAACATGCGGCGAAGCTCGGCGAGTCAGGCAGGCTTCCTACGCTGCTTACATCCGATGTACACATTAGGCTCGAGGAAGATGTCACGAAAGACTTGGGCGGCCTACAATTGACTGTCGACGAGGCTATTCAGAGCGATCCTGGCGTTGGCTTCATTCTTCAGCAACTTCGGGTTTGGAACCATGTCACGCACGAGCCACTGGAAGCTCGGGGCAATACGATGGACCTCTTGGGCTTTGCCGAATCTGTTTCAACGCTCTGTGACACCGTCCTGGTGGCCGTAGAGAATGCAAAGAAGGCTGGAGCAGAAATACCGAGAAAGGAGGACGAGGCGGGCTGGTTGAAGAAGCATAATGACGCCGTTGTCGCCATGATTAACCAGCTCTACATGAACAATGTCGAGAAGACGGTTGAGCAATGCATTCGCGCCCTGCAGAAGATTGATCTGGGACAGCCGCTTGCAAGCATGGCCGCGATGAGTGCCATTACCGTTGCATCGCCGATCTTGAGTCAATTTGCGGCATTATGTCAACAGTCCATTGCGGTCAGTCTCGATATCCATCGTGCGACTGTGAAGATGGCCTATGGCATGACAAAGGCCTTTACGCACATCGCCTCACAAGGGTTCTGCATGCCACAGGAGAAGTCGGACGAAAAGTCAGGTTCCGAGGGCAAACTGGAGTCTGGCACCGGTCTCGGTGATGGCGAAGGCGCTGAAGATATCAGCAAGGATATCCAGGCCGACGAGGACCTCTCTGAGCTCGCACAGGAAGCGAACAAGGAGAAGACGGGCGAGATGGAGGATGAAAAGGACGCAGTCGACATGGCGGACGAGGAACTGGAGGGAGACATGAACAGCGTGGATGGCGCCGAAGAGGACGATGACGACAAGTCCAAGAATGGAGACGAAGACGAGGAGGAGGATGCCATGTCTGAAGAGGCTGGCGACGTGGATGACCTTGATCCCACTGCCGTTGATGAAAAGATGTGGGATGGGGATGACGAAAAGGCAGAAAAGGACCAAGAGGGCGATAAAGCCAAGGGGCAGAAGCAGGAGGATGAGCAGATGGCGACTGAGGGAGAGGCGAAGCCAGACGACGGGGAACAGGAACAGGATCAGGATCAGAAGCCCGAGGGTGACGAAGCTGAAGAGCCCGAGGCCGAGGAAGCAGGAGCCGAGGAAGAAGACGTGCAGGCCAAGGAGGAACTCAACCGCCAAGACCAGACAGTGGAAGAAAACGACGCGCTGGAGCTTCCCGAGGACCTCGATATGAACCTCGACGAAAACGACGAGGCGGGATCGGATGACGACGACCTGGATCTCATGTCGGACATTGAGGAGGACAAGGAGCAAGAAGAGCAGTCCAAGGATGTGGAGGCGGTGGATGACGAGGAGATGGATGAGGGTGCCAAGCAAGAGGTGGAGCCAGAGACTGCGGTTGAAGATGAGGTCAGCGATGCAGAAGAGGTTGAAGAGAATGTCGGCGTCGACGAGATCCAAGAAGATGTGGACCCCGAGAAGGAGGGAGAAGAGAAGGCGGAGGAAGAGCAGGCGGAAGAGAATCGTCCAGAGCAGCCGCCCACCAAGGAGGAGGAAACCAAGGCGGATACTGACAATGCGGCGCCCAGCGACGTCAAGAGCTCCGGAATCGACCAAAACGCAGAGTCCATGGACATGGACGATCAGTTCCAAGCCAAGGCAGCTCAGCAAGATGCTGGCGACATGGGAGACGGCGCCGCTGATCAGGATACGAGCGCCGGCAACAAGGGGGCGACATCTCGATCAAAGGAGACGACTGATCAGCCCGAAGACGGCGACGCGCAGGAAGAAGCTCGCAGCGACCCCTTCAAGAAACTGGGTGATGCGCTGGAGAGGTGGCACCGGCAACAGCTCGACATTAAGGATGCAAATCCGGAAGAAGAGGAGAAGCAGCACGGGCCCGAGGCCGAGGAGCAAGGCCGACGCGAATTCCAGCACCTCCAGGATGACGATGCGGCGGAGGATACTCAGGCTCTCGGCAAAGCAGACAATGAAGAGGCGCAGCCCCTGGATGAGTCTATGGCGATTGACGAGGAGAAGCAGGACCCGACCAGCCATGTGATGGAGGAGGATGAGGACGAAAATGGGCAGGACGAGGAGCCTGACAAGATGGACCTCAGCGAGCCTGCCGAAGAAAACGAGGATGCGGGTATCAAGGACGCCGATGACACTCGCACGGGTGTGAAGACGAGACAAGGTGCCTACAACAGGGAGCCGACACCCGAGAACGACGAACAAGAGGACGAGCAAGTGAAGAAGGAAGGCGAGGGAGAAGAAGAAGACGTGCAAGACGCTTCCGCCCAGCTATCGACGACTCACCTCTGGGAAGACCAACGACCGCTGCGCGACTTTTCGCAGTGCCTGGAGCAGTGGACAGAGCTTCAAACCAAGTCCCACAGCCTGTCGCTGTCGCTGACGTCGCAGCTCCGGCTGATTCTCACGCCGTCGCAGTCGACGAAGCTGTCGGGCTCGTTCCGGACGGGAAAGCGGCTCAACATCAAGCGCATCATCCCGTACATTGCGTCGAGCTACAAGCGGGACAAGATCTGGATGCGGCGCAGCATCCCGACGAAGCGGACGTACCAGATCCTGCTGTGCGTGGACGACAGCAAGAGCATGGGCGAGTCGTCGTCGGGAGCGCTGGCGATGGAGTCGCTGGTCATGGTGTCGCGGTCGCTGACGATGCTCGAGGCCGGGCAGGTGGGCGTGCTGGGCTTCGGCGCGGACGTCTTCACGGCGCACCAGCTGACGGACCCGTTCGCGTCCGACGCCGGCGCCAAGGTGCTGCAGCGGTTCAGCTTTGGTCAGGACCGGACGGACATTGCGCTGCTGATCCGGCAGACGATCGACACGTTCCGGGCGGCGCGGCAGCGGTCGTCGGGGGGCGCGGACCTGTGGCAGCTGGCGCTGATCCTGTCGGACGGGCTGACGCCGTCGTCGGCGCACGACGCGATCCGGCGGCTGCTGCGGGAGGCGATGGAGGAGCGCATCATGATTGTCTTCATCATCATGGACGACACGGGCAAGAAGAAGGGGGACAGCGTGCTGGAGCTCAAGGAGGCCAAGTTTGTGAGCGAGGGGGGCGAGAGCCGGGTGGTGATTGAGCGGTACCTGGACACGTTCCCGTTCCAGTACTACCTGATTGTGCACAACTTGGAGGAGCTGCCGAGCGCGTTGGCGGGATTGCTGAGGACGTGGTTTGCGGAGGTTGCTTCTTAGGCATATGGATCTTTGGTGTTGGTGGGTTGATTTTGGTTTGTGTTTGGGTTATAGAATTCGGTTCTCTGGTTGGTGGCTTTATGCATAGAATTGTTGTTATTGTATTGGGATTTGGCTTAGATATGGTCTTCTTTTTCAGTTGAAAAGTTGTGGGATAATTGATTCAGCGATCACATTCAGTTTGACACTCATCGGGCCTGTGAAATCTGAATTGACGCCATTCCGAGTTCTCTCCCCCCCTGCGCTGCGTCACCTTGCACAGAACATCGGCACATCTGCAAGCCACGCAGCAGCATTACACAAACACAGATCCGACACCTGCATGTGAAATTGATCCATCAAAACCGCCATCCAAGTATTTGAGTTTTTTGTTCTATCCTGCTTCCATGCCTGTATTAATCAATTTGTCAATGTAGGCATCCAGGACAACACTTTTGTCTCATATATCAAATGTTGATAAAAAGGCCTCAGTTGAGACATAGTATACTATATACTGCTACTACTATCATACATGATCCAGAAACGGGATCTGAAAGTCCAGGGGTCCTATTCCTTGCAGGAACCCACAGCTACTACTATCATGATTTGGAATTAGCATGTTACTACTACCCTCCCGTTGCTGTTTCTGTGCCGAGATGATATTAATGGGTTGACTGAGATGTTATTGGGTGCTGTACACATTGGTATTTCAGCTTCGGTTGATGGATTTGCCAGTGCGAGACAACATTTCATTTGTTCCCGCTCCAGGACCTCGGTTGTAGTACTAGTAAGGTACCTAGCAGTATGTAGTAGTACTAGTAATGTTTGTCTCATATATATGTCTGCCTGTCTGTCTTGACCGCTCCGTGACAAGAGGCCCGAGACATTTTCACGTCTGTATATGTACGTATCCGAATACTAGGCGCTTTCCATACAATGTTCCATGCAGAAGAAGCAACATACCTTATGGCTTGACTCACACAACCCCCGGCCCCCCTCCCAAATCCCGAAAAAGATCCGTAACGAAGCACCTATTCCTGTCTCACAAAACTCAAATCATGGCGGTTCAGCTACATGCATGCATCGAACCGTAAGATGGAAACTCCAGAAATCAAATTCCGGGATTCCAGAATACTAGTAGAGCCATTCGTTTGGAGTTCACATGCCTTGCCTTTGTCCCAAGTCTGCAGCCGGGCCTTTTGTCATCTCACTTTTTATTACTTAGTACTAGCCCCAGATTTGCCTTCCCCCCCCCCTCCACCCCGCCAGATCTCTCACAAACCAGCTTGCCGAGCCGAAAGTATTAATTCATCGGCTCATCTCCAGCAAAACTTCATCTCTTCCTCCTCTTCCTCTCTCTCCCCATTGCAACTCACCACTCTTCTCTCATCAGCCGCCTTCTCATGACTACCTGACTCTCCCTCTCCTTCATGCTCTTGCGACGACCGTTCTATTCCTTGCTACACCGCCCTGCGATACTGCCATCTGCCACCCTCACCACCACACACCTTCCTTCCCTCTCCTCCGCTCTCTCATTCTCCAGCTCTTCAATTTTGAACAACAACAACAAAATGGCTGCTCCTACGGAATTGCGGTTCAGTAAGTTCAAACAAGACTCCAATCAAGCCCAAACATGCGTATAGCAGAGACTCACCAGTGCCTTTTTCATCAACAGAGAACCCGGCCATCTTGTAAGTGGCGACTCAACCACACCCAACATCTCCTCTCCTCACCATCATCATCATCATCTCCCCAACCAATCCCGCATGAAACCGCAACGAATCGCACACAACCAAACCAATCATCCAGAACCAGCAACTAACAAGCCACCCAATCACAGCATCTGCGATATGCAAGAAAAATTCCGCAACGTCATCTACGAATTCGACAGCATGTAAGCCTCTCCCCCTCCACCTCCCTCAACACCAAACCTCCCACCACCAACCACCAAAACCCCAAATCCGCTAACAACAACAACAACAAAAACCAGCGTCACCACCGCCGTCAAGCTCCTCACCTACGCCCAGTCCCTCTCCATCCCCGTCCACACAACCACCCAGACCTCCGCCAAACTCGGCCCCACCGTCCCCGCCATCGCCGACCTCCTCCCCGCCCCTCCCCACGACAAGACAAAGTTCTCCATGCTCGTCCCCGGCATCGCCGCCCAGCTGCCGCCCCAGTCCCGCGTCGCCCTCGTCGGCATCGAGTCCCACATCTGCATCTCCCAGACCGCCCTCGACCTCCGCGACGCCGGCCACTTCCCCTACGTCATCGCCGACGGCGTCAGCTCCTGCAACCGCCAGGAGGTCGCCATCGCCCTCGACCGCCTGCGCAGCGAGCCCGGCATCACCGTCTGCTCCTCCGAGGGCTGGATGTACGAGTGCTTGGGCGACGCCTCCCATCCCTTGTTCAAGGGGCTCATTACTGTCGTCAAGAGCAAGCTGAGTGAGACGTCAAAGGTCTTGAGCGTGCTGCCGCCTGCTCCCAAGATGTAACTATTCACCAAAAGTCTTTTGCCGTTCTGTGTTTTCATCTCTGGCTCTACTTCTTCGCTTCTTGGTTGGGATTCATCTACTTGTATATCGCATCTTGTTTATATTGGGCTCAAATAGAAGGCAGTCGATGTTCCGAATACAATCAAACGTCACCATCAAACAGCTACACACAGGGAGGCGTCTGAGGCATTGGAGGCATTCGGCAAAAAATTGTCGACACTCATTGGTTTTTTTCTTATATCCCTAGCTACTGCGATGGACACGACGGCAAGGCCCGTGCAAATCAGCTCCCTCATAGAGGCCTCATTCACCCGTCCAGCTTGATCCCACAATATCCGCACTAACGCAAAATCAGGCCTCGTCCCTGCTTGAGGTGCGGCGCCTCTAATCGGCTGCGGTCGACGACTTGTTTGGCTTCGCCGGCGGCGTCATCCAAGGAAAGGCCGACGCTGCTCCGACAGGATTATTCGCCGTCCGGGGTAGCGACACAGAGCCAGAAGCTGCTCGGACACTAGAGCCGGAGCCCGACTTTGCCGCTTCCCCCTTGGCTTCCCCCGGCGCTGCTTGCCCCTTGAGGTCCCACCTGATGCCATTCCCAGCAGTCGAGCTTTCGCCGTTCATACTGGCCTGGCTCTTCCGTCGACCGAGCTCCGACTTGGATGGTAGCGGGGGCTCATACGAGGCGCCCGTGCGCGCCGACGAAGATCCCGACTTCTGCGCCTTGAGCACCTTCATGTTGCGGCCCCGCGGCGCCGGCTGATATCCGCTCAGGGGCTCCGTCTCGCGCTGGTTCGCGCCGCTGCCACTGGGGTTGCGCCACGAGCCCCAGATGCCCGACGACGTTCCCCGGCGCGACGTCTCAGACGCGCTGGATCCGTCCCTTCGTCGGCGCTCGGGTCCGTTGGCATCTCCCCCGGACTTTTCCGTTTCCTCTTCGTAGTCGGGTACACTATTCGCCCGAGCACGTTCCGAGGGCTCGGAATGTGATGTCGCCGGTGACGCCTGGCTTCGCGTTTCGCTGCTTCCCGATTCCTTGGTCGTCGTCGCTGCGGAGCTGGGTGTGGTTGCTGCCGTAGCCGGAGTCGTGACCGACGACGCAGCGGCCGCCTTCTCTTCGCCCTCTGCTCGGCTGCCGTCTCCAAAGACGAACGGCGCAGCATTGGCATTCAGCTTCGGTCGATCCGGCGTGGCATTGCTCGTGGTGATGTGGCGGAACACCTCTTCGTCCTCGGGGCGGATAAAGGGAACTCGCAGCCGGTCTCGCTCGTTGCTGTAGAGAACCATCGTATTTTGAGAAAAGAGGATATCGGCCGCGTGCGCCCTCAGAGCATCGCTTCCGATGAAGATGCGCACTGCCTTGGACGTCGTCTGGCTCGGTTTGGTCTGCTCGCTGCCGCATATTTCAAAGCACACCGACATGGAGGGGACCGATCCGGCAGCTGAGTCTGATCTGCTGCTGTGCCGTGTGATGACGGCTTCCGCAAGATAGACGTCCAGTCTAGCCCTGTACACTCCGTTGACGTCTCGCTGGAACTCATTGAGGAAATCCAGCTCTTTCACGAGCGAATAATCAATGGTAGACTTCTGCGAGCCGGTGCAAATGTCCGCATAGAGCAACGTCCCATGGGCATAGTCCGTCGTCAGCCAGCAGCGAACAATGGAGGGAACAGTTCCCAGGACGTAAACCGAAGCGGGGAGACCAGGCATGTCAAAGGAAGAGTCGTCGTCGTCTTCATCGCCCGTGGCAAAGTTGGTGTCGAGGCCGATGCTACTAGCTCGACCTGACGCGACAGAGTGGTGAGAGTGCACCGAGTGCCCGGCCGAGCTGTGTCTGCCGTCAGACTTGTGCGACAGTGTCCGTTCCATCATGAAACCGGGCCGGACTGGGCCAAAGTCGCCAGAGTGCCGGTTGTTGTGGGCACCCCAGTTGGAACCGTGCAACGCGCTTTCGTCAAACCGGACGCTGTTTGCCCGTGAAGCCGCACCACCGCGCCGAACTGGCTCCTCCTCTGCCGGGCCCAGGTGTAGAGATCCCAGCAGCTGCTCGCCCTGCTCATCCAAGTCGTCAAACACGTCGTTCTGCGAAATCTGGACAGGTCCTGGGGTATAATGTTAGTCGAAGGTAGCTGGGGTGTACAGGGCCACGCTCACCATGCTGCGGCGTCCCGGCCAGGACTCCCGGGAAGGGCGAGTTCCACACGGACTTGAGCGCAGAATCATCTGCCTGGCGCTTCTCTAACCTGAGGATTCGTTCTGCATGGTTGGCTTGGGCGTACTGGACCTGCTTCAACTCCATCTGCAGGTTGTACAGCTCTTCTCGGGAGACGGAAAAGCGGGGGTCCATATCCGAAGGATCTCAACAAGAGAGGCCAAAGGGGACATGTGAGAGCGCAGAGACGAAAAGTACAGGCCGCTGGGCAATGAGTGTGTGAACACGAACAAGGTGTTTCGAAGGGCAGTATTAAGCTTAGGTATAGACACAATGAGACCGAGAAAAGGAGATGGCAGGAAAACAGGGTACAGACAGGGTTGCACAACGTCGAAGCCGCAGGGGTAAACAAGAGAAGTGTCGGAAGCTTGTGCTTCACAGTCGATTCGGGATCCCTTGGGGGGGATGCGATGAGACGTGGTCCGTATCTTCGTTTAGATCCCTCGAGTGTTATCAACAGTTCACGATCTGCCTCCTCGACCACATCTCCTTGCCCTAGACCCCAGGGCCGCTCGGCCGACAACGCAGAACGTGCGCTACGGCCTGGGTAGAATCAAAACTCGAGCACGACGGGTATATGATGCGGTCGAGTGAGATGAGGAACAGTTCAGACGGAGGACGAATCGCGTGGCAGGTACTGTGTCGACAGAGACACACAGCGGCGCCGATATTGTGGGTTTGGCCACAAAAAAGAGGCCTGCCTCGGGTGCCAAGGATATGTATAATGCTTGTAAGACGTGCAGTTGGAGATTCTGGATATGAAATACTGCGGTTTAGGCAAAGCAGAGGCCGAACACGGGGGGACGCAGGAGGCGGATTGTGTGTACTCGTAGGTATTCGTAGGTCGAGATGGGGGATATAAGAGGTCGAGATGCTTTGCCAGGCGCAGGTGCTTGGATTGCTTCGCAGGGAGAATCGCGACGACGGCGCAGCGTCTACCGGGAAACGGGGATCTCTGCTGAGTCAGGAGGCGGTAGGAATGTTGGAAATGAGCCGCATGAAGCACGTCGGTTGGAGAAGCTGGCCTTGGTGTAAGCGGAGGCGGTTGGAGAGAAGAGAACTGGCGAGTGTTGGCGGGAGAGGCGACGAAGGAGGCGAAAAGACAGGCAGAGAGACGGAAAGGCGGAGAGATGCAGCACAGAGGCGGAGAGAACGGAGGAAGCCAAGACCAAGAGGCGGGAGGAGAGACGGAGGAGAGAAGGTCGGAGGAGAAAGGCAGAGACTGAGGGCCAACTGCACAAGGAGAAGGAGGCCGTGGATGGCTGGCTTATCGATTGGCGGGCTCGGGCATGTGCAGGCACGCGAGGCAGATATTCGACAGCAGGACAAACGCACGCAGGATGAGGTGCAGACGGACGGGCGGTTGATGGTTGGTGATGCGGAGGCTGGCCGGTCGCCAGTCGGTTGCGTTGCTTTGCGTCTGGTTTGTTGTCTTGGTCTGCGTCTCTCCACATCTGGGATTCCTGCCGGCTTGATTGAGGCTAGGGGTGAAAAAATAACATCGGGATGCATGGGTCCATGGGATTCTGCTGGCTATCGATTGCTGCACAGCGGGTATGGCGGGCTCTACAGGCGCTGCAGCGCGCTGAGAAGCGCTGTGGCGGGAGGGCGGGCCGGCTGTAGGCTGCCTCTTCCCCGCAGGCAGCCCTGTACACCCAGCAGATACGAGTGTGCATCCATGGATGTGTGATGATGCTGATGACGAAGTTTACTGCCTCTAACATGGATCATTCGAATGCATACTGTACATACCGCGCTGTCTCGTCTGGTTGCTTCATACTGTATGATATAGACTACGTAAGCAACTCATGTAGGCACCTACCTAGCTGTCAGATTACTCTACTCTACCTAGGTAGATACTTACTGCTTCCGATACGCCTTCTACTTCCTCTGCCTTACTACTATACGTGTAAGGCAGGTATCATACCCAAGCTGTCTGGGCATCTACTCGAGGGACAACCTTGGTTTCGCCGCCATGTTCAGCTTGGGGGGGTTCAGCACTTTCCAGTCCGGCAACACATAATCTCCCCTCTCGTCAGGCACAATATCCTGCCCAATGTGCGCCTTGAGCTCGTCGAAAAACACCTTGTATCCCGCTCCGCCCAAGTGAAGCCCATCCGGTAGAAGCGTGTCCAGGCCCCCCTGTTTGCCGTTTTCAGGCGATCCCAGCCAAGGACCTCCGGGCTGGTAGTCTCCCGGGGCCATGGAGATGGCCTCGCCCATGATGGCCTGCCAGAGATCGATCAGGACGACGCCCGGGTTTTCGCGGGCTACTTCTCGGGCCTTCTCCGCGTATGATGCTGTGACGGCCGACCTTCGGATTGCTGAGGGGTGGCCCTGTGCAATGTCTAGATCTTTGAGTTTGATCTCATCCACCGGGGGAGGAGTGACCAGCAGAATCTTGGGGTTGTGGGCTCGTATCCGGGCATCATTGATGATCTTGTTCAAGTTCTCCTTGTACCTCTCAATAGGAACATTCTGCGGTGTAGTTTCTAGTGGCAGCACTGCGTCATTTGCTCCCAAGAGAATAATCTGGTTTCATTTTTCCAGTCAGCAAATGTGTTTGTTGACAGGGACATGATGCTGCCTCCCATTTGCACATACCAGATACGCAAGCTTTGGTGCCGAAGGAGACGGCTCCAAGAAGAGCTCCGAGAGATGCTTGACGACATTATCCGTGTTCCAGCCCGAGAAGCCGCGGTTGACCACGTCGAAGCGTCGTATCAGCCCTGTAGATCCCTGGTTAGAGCTCCATCTCAGTAATACTATCAGCAGGGAAAGAGCTTCGAATCCTACTTGTTTGAAGAGCCGACTGGAACGAGAAGCCGCTCAAGGTGAGGGCCGCGAACTCGAACAGCGAGTCTCCAAGGAGAACAACTTGAGGATACGGTTTCTGCGCTGAATGAGCATTTGCTGAATATGCAGATCAGTTACCATTTCCACTTACCGCCATTGTTAGAGTCTGCTGAATCGAATCAATCAAAAGTCATAGATGCGGCAGTAATTCAGGTCTTATGCGGGGAATTTAATAGTCGTCTCCCTCCTCCGCACCTGTATTGATATTGGCTTTTATTACTGTTACCCAGTCTTCTCCCCACTTGAATCTCACCGGAGTTTGTAATGCAGAGTCTGACGATATGCTGCCTCTTCATTCCTATTGGTCGCAAACGTATAATGGAAACATTTACGATGATAAGACATATTCAGGAGAAGGGAAGATTGGAACTTCTAGCTTCGAGATTCTCTCATTCAAGTACATCTCGACATGGGTTGAATGCCAGATTGGGGCACGTTGCTACAGAGTGCGTGCGCTACAGCACCAACATTGATTCCATCCACAGCAAGGAGCCTAAACTTGATGAGTGCGGGCGAGGAGTTCATCTTTCCGCTGAGCAAGGATCATGTAGCCCCCAAAGCAATGCAAAATCAAGCCAAGTAATTCTCACCTGTCAGATGAAATCACGGCTCTTTTCATCAAATCGCCAGAGGCTGCAACGGGCTCAAGTAAAAAACATTGGAATGGATGACATAAGCCACGCGAGTGGATGTCGGCGTCTGCAGCCATCAATTTAGCGTAGTGTTATCGATAAGAAAATTATTGAAGTCTCCGCCAATTCTTCCAGTCTCGAAAAAAAAAAGTTCATACCCGGCTTCAAAGGCGCAGTGAAGAGAGGCGCGTTCTTCGACATTCCACCTCAACCCCCAATTCCCGACCTGGATCCTCCCCTCTCGACATAATGGCGACCTCGCTCGCCCAGCAGCTGGCGCAGGTTGCCGCAAACTCCAAGTCGAGCTTGGACATCAAGGCGCAAAGGGCCGCGCACTCAAAGTCGCTGATCTGGGAACCTCGAGTCGCCGCCGCGCAGAGCTATCAGACCCTTTATGCCACATGCCACCAGGGCTTCGAAGAGCTCTGCCAGCTCGATGCTCGATTCAATCCCTTCCAACAGACGCTCTTTAACGAGTCGAGCCAGGATCAAGACCGGAACCAGCTCACAATTGCCGAGAATGAGGAGCTGGATCGTCACATCGAGGCGTTTCTGCGGCTCGTGGGCAGCCGTTTGAGGCTGATGCCCGCCATCAAGGCCGTTGAGTGGCTGATTAGACGATTCAAGTGCGTCAACTAAACCAAAGGAACCCTTGGTCAAACCTTTGAAATCGAATGCCAATCAGCTAACTGTTCTTCGCTACAGCGTTCATGTGGAGAATACGTCAATTCTGCTCATGACCTTTCTGCCATACCACTCCATCACCGCATTCGCAACCCTCCTCTCCATTCTGCCGCCCAAGATCCCAAGCCAGTTCCGGTTCCTGGACCCCTACATTCGGTCACTAACGCCGCCTCCCCGATCCATCATCGTCCACCAGGCCATCCACCACGTCGATTTCCTCGTTGCCGTGTCCGAATACACCCTCGAATCGTGTCGGAAAGGCTATCAGTACCCGGCACTCATCACCTTCTGGGGCGGTCTCATTACCGAGTCGGTGAGCGGCATCTTGGATCGCACCAAGTCTGGCCGAGCGGCGGTGCAGAGCGACAACAGCCAGGCGCTGCTGCACAGACTCGGCCCCATCTTTGCCGAATCCCTGGTCATGAAGAAGGTCCCCAGCCTTCAGATTGCCTCCTACATGGCCATGACCGTCTTTGTCTCAAAGGGCGACCTGCACGACAATGCCGTCACGGCGCTGATGCAGCAGCTGGTCCACGGTTGGACTGCCGACACCGTTCGAGCCGGCCTGGTATGCTTGACGATACTGGCCCAGTTCCGATCCGCGAAGCAGATGAGCAGCAAAGTTACCAGGGCATTGATGAAGGTCCAGGATATTGGCAGCCTCCTCGTCGAGATTGGACGCGAGCGCCGTGTGGACAAGCTGGCCAACGGGCTGTGCTTGGCATTGGTGGAGAGGCTGGTGAAGAAGGGCGATTCGCGAGGCCTTGCGACGATTACCACGATTCTGGGCAGCAACATACTCAAGGACAAGCAGGTTTCCGTCATCTTCAAGTCGCTGCTCCTAACCGCTCACGAGCTCAACGACGAAAACGACAAGGACGGCTCTCTTCGAAGGGATGTCGGCTCTACCCTGATTTCTCTGTCGCAAACTACCGGATCGGCCGGCGCGGTCATTCAGTCGGTCATTGAGGAGGTCAAATTCGATATCGAGGAGCTGGAGATGAAACTGGACCTCGTGTTCCGCACGAGGAAGCTGCCCGAATACGCGAGAGAAGACGAGGGAGGTGACGCTGCTATTCAAGCACAACTATCCCAGGACCCTGAGGCAAGCCTTACTGAGTTGGCCAGCACTTCGGAATCTCTCTCTTCTTCTCTCGTGTCTGACGGCGATGCGCTCTTCTCCAAACTCAGCGATGTATTTGTGTCGATTGTCTCTGATCAGACTCCACGAAAGACGGAACTTCTCGGCCAGCTCGATCAGTTTCCCAAGCTCAAACGTGAATCGGCGCTCCAAGACTGCACATACTTTAGCTTCTTTATCCGGATCTGGTGCGGCCTATATCCAGCACTGGCACGGACTGCGGCGTTGGATATGGTGAGGAACAGGCTGAAGGCGGCAACTGAGTCTGCGGTGGATATCCAGGCTCTCATCCCTTACTGCGTTGCCGCTCTGGGCGATCCTTCGAAGCGTGTGCGCCAAGCAGCAGCGGATCTGATCACCGTTGCAGCTGGTTTCTACAAGCCTCCCTTTGCTAAGAAGTCGACGAATGCATGGGGTGCCGAGTCACTATACGGAAAGGCCAAGTCCAAGGATGTTGCCGCTCTGGGAGTGGATGTCGCTTGCAGATTTCTCCAACTTCAGCTTCTGCCGGCTGTTGAGGAGTGCGTCATGGACCCTGAGCACATCTCTGCTGTCCTCAAATCCGCCATTGAGACCGGAAAATACCAAGTCGCCCCTGAGCCGTCCCTGGACAAGAAAGACCACCTGTCGCACTCTGGCAGACAGGCGCTGCTGACATTCTTCGCCTCCCACATTGTTGCGACTCCGCTGATGCTTGTCAAGAGCAGACTGCTCAAGTCTCTCAACGACATCCGCGGCGTTTCAAACGTGACACGCACACAGCTCCTTCTCCCCGCTCTGCAGTGGTGGGCCAGCTTGACAGATGCCGAGGCGACTGAGATCTGCGCCTCTCAGCAGCTGGACAAGGCGGTCTTGGACGCTCAGTTCATCGACATTATCGTTCCCAACGACCCGGCTGGACTGGAATTCGTCTTCACCCTTCTCAAAGACAAGGCGAACGACGCAAGGCCAGGCCTCATCCGAGCAGCCTTCTCCCGTATCAAGAAGATGTGGTCTATGATGAAGGATGAAATGAAGTTTATGGTGGCGGAGCAGTTCTTGGAACTCTCACAAGAAGCCGAGACTCCTGCCTCTGGCACTACTGAGTCCATCATCCCAGCCGAGGCAGCGGACCTTCTCCGGTCCGTCACCCTGACGACAGATATCTTATCCTTCTTCCTGGACTCGATTCAGACGGGCACCAAGATGATCACCGAGCCTCCCCCTAACAAGCGGAGGCGAACGAGCTCTTCTGATGCCAATCGCGGTCTGAACACGCAGGTCACTCCGGAACTGAGTCGTGCGTTGCGCAAGGTTACCTTTGTACTGCAAATCGTGGACAGCTCGGATCCCGTGTCACATCCCGAACTGCTCGACGGCCTGTTCACGGCTTTGTCTGAGCTTCAGCACTTTAGGACCGTGGTCGGCTCGGAATTAGGCTACCTGCAGAACCTGATCCTGCGCAGCCTTCTCGCCATGATGCCAGCCTACAAGGCCAACAAGGACCTCAAGGTGGACAGCTCTGGTGGCTACGGAGACCTGCTCGTTAACTGCATCCAGAAGTCGTCGAGCCCGGTTGTCCAAAACGCCGCGCTGCTGCTGATTGCGAATCTGGCCACCATTGCGCCGCACCTGGTGCTGCACAGCGTCATGCCAATCTTCACCTTCATGGGCACATCGGTGCTTCGCCAGAACGACGACTACTCTGCTCACGTCGTAGCGCAGACGATCAAGGAAGTTGTGCCTCCACTCATCGACTCACTGCGGCAGGGTCAGAAGAGCCCCGTTGCCGGAGCTTCGGACATCCTGGTGAGCTTCACGACGGCATACGAGCATATTCCAGTGCACCGACGGCACGGTTTGTTCTTGGCCCTGGTGGAGACCATGGGACCCAAGGACTTTTTGTTTACGCTGGTGGCCATGCTTGTCGACCGATATGAGCTGAGCGACGACCTGCTGCAGTTCGTTCTCGATCTCCTCAACGCTTTCAGCATCGAAATTCAGCTCGAGACATTGGTCAAGCTGCTGGATCTTACCTCGGATCTCTTCAAGCCCAAGCCTGGCTTGTCGTTGGTGCTGCTCGGAAGCGGCGACGAGGGCGAAGAGAAGGACGTGGAGAAGATTGCCCTTCGCCAGCTCTCCGTGCTGCCGAACCTCTTAGCAAACCGGAAGCTCAAGGCACAGATCAGCAAGCTTGCCGATCGAGATGACATGGAGACGTCCGAGGTCCGGCAGCTCTACGCGACGCTGCTGGAGGACGTTTTGGTGCTCGCGGATACGGTCAAGTCGAACAAGAGCCTGCACACCCGGTGTGGAAATGCCCTGGCCAACCTGCTCAACCTGCTCTCGATTGGCGAGTTCATCAAGGCCGTGGAAAGCCTGCTGGACAGGCCGAACCTGGATCTGCGCCAGAAGGTGCTTCGTGCGCTGGAGCTTCGCGTCGGCTCGGAGAGCAACACGGACGTTGCCTCAAGAACAGCCCTGCTTACCTTTTTGCCACAGCTCACGGCTGCCATCCGGGAGTCGAGCGACATCCGCTACAAGCACACGGCGGTCACATGTGTCGACAAGATTGCCGAAAAGTACGGCAAGAAGGACATCGAAGCCGTGGTTGCAGCCGCGTCAACGATTGCCGGGGAGCACTGCCTTGGCCAAGACGAGAAGCAGCTTCGCATCATGGCCCTCCTATGCCTCACCTCTCTGGTGGACGTGCTGCAGGACGCCATTGTGCCCGTCCTGCCCATTGCTCTTCCTCAGGCGGTCGCCTATCTCAACCTGAGTCTGCAGGAGGAAACGCGAGACGAGGAGCTCCATGCAGCCGGCTATGGGTTCATCAGCGCTCTGGCCGAGCATTTGCCGTACATGCTGTCCACCTACGTCGGCCAGATCTTGGAGGTCTCCAACAAGTCTGCGGAAGCCGGCCTTGATGCGGAGACTAATGAGGCCCGTGTCAGCTGCCTTGAGTTCCTTGCTAAGAAGCTGGAGGCCAAGGAGATCTTCACAAGCTTGGAGTCGAACTGGGAGAGTGCCACATCCAGTGGATTTTTGGTAAGAATTACAATCCTTGACGGATCATGGCTAAGCAAGAGACTAACATGTAAACCGCAGGCTACGTCCGAATACATTGATATGCTGGGCATGGCCATCGACAAGCACCCCAAGTCTGCCATTACCAAGAACGCTGGCGTTTTGTCGAGCATCTTGCTGAAGGCGTTCGACTTGCGGAGACAGATTCTCGCCAAGGGCGAGACCACTGACGCTGTGCTTGCCCGCGTCGCCTCTTTGGAGGAGTCGATGAACGACAAGGCGCTGAAGATGATTTACAAGCTCAACGACGCCGCCTTCCGACCCATCTTTGTGCAGATCGTCGAATGGTCGAGTGCCGGGCTTTCCAAGGACAAGGCTGGATTGGCCGCTCGACGATACAGCGTTTACGGATTCCTGCGGACATTCTTCGACAGTCTCAAGTCAATCGTGACCAACTACGCCACGTACGTGCTGGAGGATGCCGTCAAGATTCTGTCTTCCGTCGATCCCAAGGTTAGCGCCGAGAAGCAGCTCTGGAGCCGCGTCCTCAAGACACTGGCCAAGTGCTTCGAGCACGACCAGGACGACTTCTGGCAGGCGCCGTCGCACTTTGGAGCCATTGCCCCCGTGCTGATGGAGCAGTTCAACCACGCCGTGTCTGTCGACGTGGAAGAAGCCCTGATCCCGACGACAGTTGAGCTTGCGGCAGCAGCGGACTCTCAGGCACACCAGAAGGAGCTCAACTCGGCGCTGCTGAAGCACCTGCGGTCAGAAAAGGCGGCCATCAGGCTGGCCGCCGTCAAGTGCGAGCAAGCATTGACCGATCGACTGGGCGAGGAGTGGCTCTCGATGTTGCATGAGATGCTGCCCCGGATCAGCGAGCTGCAAGAGGACGACGACGAGGTGGTTGAGCGAGAAACGCACAGGTGGATTGTCAAGATTGAGGGCGTGCTGGGCGAGAGCCTGGATGCCATGTTGCAGTAATGCGATTGTGAGAAGTGTGTAATGACTTTTTATGGAGTGGGTGTGTGTGAGGATATATGGATGGCAAGGTGAACAGATACACAGTTGTCACGGCTGTTGATATGGGGTATATAGTCGTGCTGTTGTTTACTGCTGAGATTGTATATCGGATCTGAAGCATTTGGCGCAAAATAGAGATGAATTTGAACAAGCTGGAGGATGATCGTGATGTGCGTTGAAGATTAAGTTCGTTGGCGTTGCGTGTGTTACTGAAGAGTGATGATGTTCTGGAGGGGCAATTCAGATGAACGCAAGGGAAATGTTACACAACAGACTTGGCAGCAAATGAGGGTTCGGATTGTGGAATCCAACAGGTTTCTAATAGAAGCTTTGAATCTCATACCTCACTAATGCTTCATTGGTCTTACAGGTCACTACTAGGTAGATGAGGTATTTCAACGTGGCGTCATAAAAGCTCATCAAAATGGACCCGACCATAGTAGTAATAGCCGCTCCAGGGTATCAAATCCACGCCCTGCCAATCCACATTTTCACTCAAACCACCAACAACCATATCACTATCCAACTCAACTCAACCAAACAGCAACTTTTCATATTCAAACCAACTCACCAAGTCTTCAAAATGGACAAATCAAAGGTAGACTACAGCGTCTACCTCGTCACCGACTCGACGCCCGCCATCCTCGGCAACAAGGACCTCGCCGCCGTCGTCGAGGCCTCCCTCCGGGGCGGCGTCTCCATCGTGCAGTACCGCGACAAGCACAGCGACCGCGACACCGCCGTGGCGACGGCGCGGCGGCTGCTCGAGGTGACGCGGCGGTTCGGCGTGCCGCTGCTGGTGAATGACCGGGTGGACGTTGCGGTCGAGGTTGGCTGCGAGGGGGTGCATATCGGGCAGGATGACATGGGTGAGTTTTTTTCTTTCTTTTGATGCCAAAATGCTGAAGAGGAGAGAAAGAAAAAATCATCAGAAGCGGATGAGAACGAATCTGTTTTTGGTTGGGATGGATGAAGCTTTTTGGAGTTGTGGTTTTGGAACTGGGTTTGGGTTGGGACGAGAAAGGGTGTGTGTGATGAGATGATGCAACGAACACCGAGGGCTGATGATATATACACACACACACACATAGCATACGAAGAGGCAAGGAAACTCCTCGGCCCCGACAAAATCATCGGCGTCACAGCAAGCTCCATCGAAGAAGCCCTCGCCGCATGCAAAGCCGGCGCCGACTATCTCGGCCTGGGCACCGTCTACTCAACTCCAACGTATATACCCCCCCCCTTATTCTCTCCCCCCTATTCTCTCCCCCTTATATACTGATATTAGGTAAAAACAGCAAAAAAGACACAAAATCCATCATCGGCCCCTCCGGCATCCGCTCCATCCTCCAAGCCCTCTCCTCCTCAGGCCACGCCTCCATCCCCACCGTCTGCATCGGCGGCATCAACGCCAGCAACGCCACCGCCGTCCTCCTCGAGTCCAGCGCCTCCCCGCAAAAGAGCCTCGACGGCATCGCCGTCGTCAGCGCCCTCGTCGCGGCTGCGGATCCGGCCGCCGCGGCGCGGGACCTGCTGGCCAAGGTCGTCACGGGCAGGGTCCCGGATGTGCTGAGGGCGGTGGCGGAGGGGACGCCGCTGTCGCATAACATGACCAACTTGGTGCGTTTCTTCTTCTTCCATTCTTCACCTTTGTTCTTACTTCTTTTTATTTGTTTACTTTGAGATGGTGTTGTGGGATGGAGGGATTGTTGACTTGAGTTTTGTGAAACAGGTTGTGCAGAATTTCGCGGCAAATGTCGCGCTCGCCGTCGGAGCGAGCCCCATCATGGCCAACTACGCCGAGGAGGCGGCCGACCTGGCCAAGCTCGGCGGCGCCCTCGTCATCAACATGGGCACCGTGACGCCCGAGGGCTTGAAGAACCACATCCAAGCCCTCCAAGCATACAACGCCGCTGGCGGACCCGTCGTGCTCGATCCCGTTGGGTAGGTCCTCTGTTTACCCAACCCCTATTCCCCCCTTTTATCGAAACCCTCTTCCTCCTTCTGCCCTCTCGCGCTGTTTCAAACCAGCTTCATCGGGAGAAAAAAAAAAAATTATATGGCTAACAAATTGTGCCTCTTTGCGCACCACCCCCCCCTTTCCAGCGCAGGCGCAACCTCCATCCGCCGCGCCGCCGTAAAAACCCTCCTGTCCTCGGGCAGATTCACAATCATCAAAGGCAACGAGCGCGAGATCCACACCGTCGCAGGCGACTCCTCCACCGTCCAGCGCGGCGTCGACTCCTCCTCGTCGCTCACCGTCCCGCAGCGCGCCGCCCTCGCCCGCTCCGTCGCCCGCTCCACCGGCGCCGTCGTCGTCGTCACGGGCAAGACGGACGTCGTCAGCGACGGCGTGCGCGCGCTGCGCGTCGACAACGGGCACGAGTTCCTGGGCCGGGTGACGGGCACGGGGTGTACGCTTGGCACCACGCTGAGCGCCATGGCCGCTGCGTTTAGGGGCAGGGAGCAGGATAGGTTGCTGGCTGTGGTGGCGGGGTTGGTCTTGTTCGAGGTTGCGGCGGAGAGGGCGGGCGTGAGGAGTGATGTCAGGGGGCCGGGGACGTTTGTGCCTGCGTTTTTGGACGAGTTGAGTGCGCTGCGGGAGGAGACTGTTGGGGGGGATGTGAAGTGGTTGGCTGGGGCAAAGGTTGAGGCTGTTGAGGTGGTGGAGGAGTCATGAATGGATGGACTTTGAATCAGCTGAGCTGGCTGGAAAAGGAGGAAACGAGACTTGCTAGAGAAGAGGAATACGAAAAGAAGAGAGAGGACTCTGATTATACCGTGATCCATGCCGTGCTAAAATACAGAAACGCCAATAGCCCAGTCCCCATGTCCGCCTTGATCCAAAGCGCCTATGTACACGCACCATCTTCACTTCCAGCAGTCCACCTGCATACTATTCTTACACAGCAACATCATTAAACGCATCCGCCATCATCGGCTCCCCGCTCAAGCTCCACGCCGTCTCATTCATAAAGCTCTGCCACAAATCATCATCCAAGTCCTCCATCCCCATCATCATCCACCCCTGCTGCCCGCCGGCCCCCTCCTTATTCGCAACCGCCGGCGTCGCCACACTCGCCGCGTCCGCGCCGCCGCTCCCGCCGCTCCCCACGCCCTCTTCCATCCTGAGCTTCTGCAGCTGCAGGTCGATCAGATCCCGCCCGTACTGCAACAGCTTGTGCATCCTGCCCAGCGGGTCCTCCTCTCCCTCCCAGCGGCCGCTCTTGCGCCTCGCCACGACGGCGGCAACGGCCTCAATCTCCTGGTCGACGATCTCGCGGATGCCCAGCTCGGAGACGATGGACTGGGGGTCCCAGCCGGGGACGCGGACGAGCAGCATCTTGATGCCGGTGACGATGGCGTAGGCGAGGTCGAGCGCCGTCAGGCCGAGGAAGTGGCGCTGCTCGGTTTCCTTGATCTCGTGGCACTTGATGTTGCCGTGGACGGTGTAGAAGCGGCGCAGGGAGTGCAGGCAGGACCAGAGGAGCTGGATGCGGTCCTGGTGGGAGATGGCGAGGGCGGAGCAGTGGGGGTCCGAGATGGAGATGTCGGCGAGGAGGATCTGGGATATGGCGAGGTGGCACTGGAGGGTTCCTGGGATGCATTAGCCAGGGCTTTCGAAAACCATGCTTTGGAATGACATGCGCTGGGAGGGGAGACTAGAACTCACCATTGTCGACAAGATGAGGCGGCAAAGAAGCCTTATACGCCTCGATCTGCTCCTGAAAATCATGCACCACCATTGTCAATGGCAGCTGCATCGGCGGCGGCTGCGCAGGATCAAACGTCGTGGCCATGGCAATCGACTGCGACAGCATCTGGATTTTGACGAGCTTGACCAGGTACAAGTCCGAGGGATATTCTCCCGGCGAGGAAAGGAGGTTGCAGAAGGCGTCCAGTTGGGAAGTGTTCATGAAGGCGTCTGCTTTTTTGTTTGTATTGAAGACGCTTTCGGGATATCATTAGTATGTAATTCCAATTTGGCCACAGCAGCCTTGATGCTCACTTACATGGCGTTGACGTAGTATGTGCCGACATATGCTCGGACATACTCCAGCTCGCCCCATTTCACCTCGGCCTCTTTGCTGGGGACGCCACAGACAAGCCCGGGGCTGCTTGCATTGACAGTGACAGACCTTGCAAGAAACAGCAAATTCGTCAACTGCGCACTCCTCAAGGCATAGTTCAACCTTTGGGCATATCGGATTAGCATCGTCATCAATACTCAACAAGCCCGCAGAAAAAAGAATCTCACCAGCCTATGATCAGCAACAGCCCCTGCAGCGTCTCCAGGCTCTTATTCCCGTCCAGCACCGCCTTACTCGCCAACTCAGCCAACACCTCCTTTCCCAGCCGGTGCTGCCTCGGCCCGTCAAAGAAGCAGCTCACCATCATCACCACGCGCCACAAGAATGGCCTCTGCCGCCGCAGCTCCGCCGCCGTCAGATGCCGCGGGATGACCACGAACGGCGTCAGGGGCGCGTGCGTGTCGTGGTACTGGAGCAGCAGCGCCTCGGCCTCGGGGGCAGTGGGCCACAGCTGGTCGACCGCCAAGGACGAGGACGACGACGCCTCGGCTCCACCACTACCGCCGCCAGGAGCGCAGTCGTTGCACCCGGCCTCGGAGCTCCACCCCGATGCCTCGGCGCTTTCCGACCGGGGGGACGGGAAGAGATACTCAAAGGTGGCTATTCTGTCGCACTTCGTCTTCCTCTGCTGCTGCTGCTGTCCAGGGCGCTCAGTGCCTGACAGATGATTGGCCGTCGTCGGCGATGATGTTGATGCCGGTGCAGACGGCCTGGGCCCCGGATTCAGCGCGACGACGCCGCCATCGGCAAACTGCGACGACAGCTCGTCCAGCCTCTTCTCCAGCTCGGCGACCCTGGACCTCTTGGGCGCCTTTTTGGCCCGGGGCGGGGCGGGCCGCTGCGAGACGCATTCCTTGTTTAGCCTCTGGCACCTGAGAGTAAGACACAACGGGGAGGCAAGTCAGTATGTGTGTAAGTCATGGTATCCGCAAATGGTATAAGCAGCCACACTAGAACGCAGAGAAGGGAGAAAAGGCAGACAATGTTCCATGGAACAAAAGAGGGAAAACTCGCCGGAGCGGCAGTGAGAACCATATCAGGCCTCCGCCCCCGATTGCCCCCCCTCCGAGGAGCAACTCACAAGCCCGCTGTCTTTCTCCTGCATCTTCCCCCACGCACATCCATCCCCGGATCGGGCTCCGGAGGAATACAAACACCAAATAGTATGCATAATAGAGCAACGCGCCCCCCCATGGCAAGCAAGCAAAGAAACAAGGGAACATTGATATAAAGTAACGTACCTCTGGCACTTGCTGCCCCTGTCCCGCGCAGGTATGCACCTTGCCTTGGCCTTAGCACACGTCGTGCAAGCCTTGGGACCCTTATTTGTGGGCTCCATGGTCCGGAGGGTTGGTGTTGAGTCGGAGGTTTGAGTGCTGCCACCCCCAGCAAGATGCCGAGGTCCAGGTCCGAAATTCGGGTATGTTCCGATTTACACCGGGTATGAATGTGGGAATGCCGGCTCGGGCAGTTGTTTGAATCAGATACGGGGCAGTAGAGCTGGGTACGGTCCGTGGAATGGCAGTAGCTCCGTGGGTTGCTCCGAGGCTGGCTGATAATATCACACAGAGTGAGAATGTAAGTAAAGAAGGAAGACGATCATGTATACACCACAGAAACGGGAGATTGACTTCCAGTGATGCAATAGGTTACTCGCACTCATCCATCAGGAATCGAAGGGAACAGAGAGAGAAGACGAGGAGAAGAATCAGGGGAGCTCATTGTGCGGCAGACGCAGACGCTCTCTGTGTATGAGAACGGCAGTGAGGCTTTGCTCGCCCAGCAAACGGAGAGTCGGAGTGGAAATTGCGCCGGTCATCCGCTCTGGGAAGTCGGTAGGAAACAGTGGGGCGGGATCGAAACGGCTGCCGTTTGTGGCGAGCAGAGCTGCCGAGATGATTTTCCGGCTCCGGGGAACTCGATAGGTTGAGCTGAGATAGTTGAGTGTGTACGTAAGCAATTCTGGCAACGAACGGAGACAATGACGAGACAGAATGAAGAGGGAACGAAGAACGAACAATGACGGTATTGAGTAAGACATGAGTGTGGCTGGTGGACTTGGCGCTTTCCAATAGCGAGCACCTGATTGGCTGTCGGAGAAAAAAGAATTCGATCCGAATATTCGATCCGAGCAGCCACAACAGCCAGGGGTCAGTTTGGTACTGCCGATTACTGTGTTACTTGGTCACCAGATTCCCCAAGGCACAGAGCACAGAGCTACGATACAGAGGCACACGACACAAGGCAGAGGGACACAAAGAGGTATAGGCGGCGTCTTACAAGACACCAACAGAATATGCTTGTATTGTATGCGTCATCTCATCAGTCCACAGCTTTAGCTGTAGCAGGAGAGACTTCAAGAATCCGACAGGATAAAAGTTGCAGTCAAAAGGGTTCTGGAGAGAAAGTAACTTTAGTGGGCGGCTTGCTCAAGGCGAGCCGCGGGTATGCGTAATAAACCTCGGGGTTCTAAGCCGAGACGTCCATCACGCGGCTGTTGTTGAGTCCCTCGCGGGCAAGCAAGGCCTCGGTGATGCCGTTCTCAGGAACACCGGCGGCCTTGACCTCCTGGGCAGCCTTCTCGATACCGAGCAACTTGTCGGTCCACAAGGGTTCTGGGACGTTGCCCTCCACGCCAACACCAATGAAGCCTCCCTCGGCAGCCCACTGCGAGGTGCGCTTGATATCGAGACGGGTCCAGATCTCATCAAGCGCAGTCACGAGCTTCTCGCGAAGCTCCTTGGTGTGGCCGGGGGTAGGAGTGACGCGGAGACGCTCCTGGCCAATGGGGACAGTGGGGTAGTTGATAGCCTGGACATAGATCTTGTAGTCGTGGAGGAGCAGGTCAGACGCCTCCTTGGCCAAGGCAGCGTTGCCGACCAGGATGGGGACAATGTGAGAAGGGTTCGGGATGACGGGAATGTCACGAGCGTTGAGCTCCTCCTTGACGGCGCGGGTGTAGAGCTGCTGCAGGCGACGGTCGCCATCGTACGCCATCTGATACTCGATGGACGCCTTGGCACCGGCCATGGTTGCCGGCGGCAGAGTCGAGGTGAAGATGAAACCAGGGGCGAGCGATCGAATCATGTCGACAAACTTGGCGCTGCCGGCAATGTAGCCGCCAACGCAGCCGTAGGCCTTGGCCAGGGTGCCGGTAAAGATGTCGATGCGGTCCATGATGGTTCCGCGAGGCTTGCCATTGGCATGGGCCTCCCAGTCCAGATGCTCGGCAACGCCAGCGCCGGTTGGGCCATACATGCCCACGGCGTGCACCTCGTCCAAAAAGGTCAGGGCGCCGTACTTCTCCGCCAGGTTGCAAATCTCCTCAATGGGGCCGATGGAGCCGCACATGCTGTAGACAGACTCGAAGGCGATGATCTTGGGTACGTGCAGAGGAAGCGAGGCCAGCTTGGCCTCGAGGTCGGCGACGTCGTTGTGCTTGAAGACAATCTTCTTGGTTCCGGAGTGGCGGATGCCCTGGATCATGGAGGCGTGGTTGAGGCTGTCGGACAGGATGACGCAGTCGGGGAGCTTGCTACCCAGCGTGGCCAGGGTAGCATCGTTGGCCACATAGCAGGAGCTGAAGACGAGGGCCGACTCGGTGGCGTGCAGCTTGGCCAGAGTGGCCTCGAGCTCGACGGCGTGCTTGTTGTGCCCGGAGATGTTTCTGGTGCCGCCGGCGCCGGCGCCGTACTTCTCCAGGACCTCATGCATGGTGTTGAGCACGTGCTGGTTGCCGCCCATGCCCAGATAGTCGTTGGCGCACCAGACCGTCACCTTGTCCTCGTTTTTGGCCATGTGGGCGACGGGGAACTCCTTGGCCAGGCGATTGATGTTGTTGAAGTAGCGATAGGACTTGTCCTGGCGCTTCTTCTCCAGCTGCGACTCATAAAAGTCCTCGTAGGAGAACTTTCCGGACGAGGCGAAGGCGGACGGGACGGCGGCGACTGGCGGCGCATCCTTGCGGGCAGCAGCCGTGACGCCGGGAGGAGGAGGGGGGGCTGCGATGCAAAAGAGATGTTAGCAAGAAGAACTCAATGGTCATGAGACAGCAAACAAACACGTACCAGCCTTGCGGCCCTCGAGAAGCGGGCTCTCGACAGCACGAGCCTCCTGGTTGCGGCTGGTGTGCAGCCTCGCCTTGCCCGTCTTGGAGTGGGCGGAAAAGGCGCGGATGCCGGCGGCGGCGCCGTACTTGGACGACTGCACGGCCATGGCCTTGCCCATGACGGGGCAGCGGTGGGCGTACAGCTGCAGCTTGGACATGGTGCCGCCGCAGGGAGACGACGCAGCACCACCAGCAGCCGCGGGCAGCGAGGCCTTGGCCGGGCGGGCGGCGGTCGACATGGCGCGCAGAGTCGCGGGCGATGCCGACTTGAGGAACGGGCACATGGCCTTGGATTGACGCAGGACGCTGTCCATGGCGGCGAGGAAGGTTGTAGCAGGGCTCGAGCAGCGGGTGGACAGTTGGGTTCTGTATCGATTCGGGGTCAATGCTGCGGGTGAGCGTGGCAGCAGTCGAAGAGAGAGTTAGAGAGAAAGAAGGAAAGAAATGGGAAGAGGTGAAAATTGGTGGTGAGTAAGAAAAAAGGCCGTTGGTGTTTAGTCACTTTTTGTGGTAAGACGAGAAGCGGGAGGTCGGATCCCGCCACAGGCTCCAGGCGTCGGGGTCGCCTTTCCAGATCTGTACTATAGTCTGGTGCACTATAGCGTACTGTACCGTCCGTGCTCTACTGCACTGTACGGGCTGTTTGTAACGTCCAGTGCGCAGCAGCTGGAGTCACAGCGGCAAGGCGGTGGCACAGGCGCTGTCAAACTGAGGTAATCGCTGCGGGGGAGTGACACTGATCGACAATTGGCCTCACAAAACACTCTACATACATTTCTCAGAGTAACAACATTGACAATTGATGGCACCGCTGACAGAAACGACAAGTTGTTGCCCTCGATGTCAGCGCTCAAAATAGCCCGCAACACAGACGCTGGACGCTTACAACAACTACAACCAGGTTCAATCCCAGTTGTCTCAGCCCGCCAATAGCGCCCCCCACCCAATTAAGCACCTACATGAACTGGATGGAACCCTGAGCAAAACTTCCCGAATGCCGGGGCTGTCAGAATTGCATTGAACTTTTCGTCCACTCAGCTGCCGTCCATTACCTCTCGCTATCACTTACCATACTTGTACTCGTAGGGACAACAAGACTCAACCTCCGCGGCCTGTTGCTTCCGGCTTCCTTTTCGCTTTCCTAGCAGAAACACGGCCAAGTAATGATTCACTGCAGCCTTACATACAGTATCAATATACTGTCCTCGCCAGAACATCCTGAATATGCACAGAAAGAAGCGCAACCACGCCTTTCCACGGCCGATTCAGCTGACTCTAAGAATAGACTGGCAGATGAGATCCCGAATACGCCACAATACGCATCAGCGCCTCATCCTTCAACTGTGATGCTCTTTACGCTTACTTATCCCATAGCATATATCTCAGATCTTCAACTTCGACGAGCCATCCGATCATGGCTCACGCAATCCTTCGTCTCGTCTCGTCTTGCTCCTTGCAAATCACCTCTCCGCAACAACGTCCCACTCACAACGCCATATTCATCACCACTTCAACTCGATCAACATCATCAGTCTCAGCAAGGTGTGTCGATCAATCTCCAGATAATATTAACCGCAACCAACATCGTACGCATATACGTGCATCACCAGAACGCAACACCTTCACCATCACAACCATCGCCCATATTCCCTCCCAACCTACTAGTAGTATCACATGTATGCACGTATTCACCTCACCACACACAAACCCCTGCCTCAACTTCGGCCTCTCTCGGATACTAGCAACTTCGTCTTACAATTCCTCCCCGCCCCATTGGACGCCCTCTTTCCCCCCCATGCCCTGGCGCCTCGGAACATCGGGTTCTTACTGTATGTAGGTGCCGTGGGCCTCTGGCCAATTGTCAAAGCCTCGGGACAAGTTGAGCTCTCTTTTCTATCTCCATTGTTTCTTTACAACAAAGCGCCGGTCAATCCGTATCATTCGTTGCCCGACTGCGGGAAAGACTACCTATGCAATTGCTTGGTGCTGTCCCAATTCACTCTTGAATGTGAATTTCCCTTGCCATGCACGCCTGTATCCTGGAGCAAAATGCTCAATTAGCACCCTTGACGATGACTCGATTCTTCACTCGTGGTCTGATTTCTCCTTTATACGACTAGCCGTTCTAGACCCCATGTGTTCCGCCAAGAAGCCTCGGTTGCCCATCCAGCAAATGTCGCATTTCATACTCCATACATCTATCTACGTCTTTGTTGATATCTTGCCCTTAAAAGAACCAAGAAATGAAGAAAGAGATCCCCAAACTCCTCCTTATGCCGTCCAGTACTTCGTAATAACTCTCGCGAAATCGAATTGCCCTCCCATATCATGAAAAATCGAGCCGAACCACAGAAAGCAACACCCGCATCCTTGCCATGCACTCCCCGTACGCAGTAGTGGGTATCTTGCTCGTTTCCGCCCTCGTGGACCGACGGAGACGAATAAAAAGAACCAAAGGTCAAAACGAAGAAAACAAAGGAGGCCCTTTTTCCAGCAGGAAAAAAAAAAGTTTTCGCCGCCTGAACGCCGCGCCGCGCCGCACTTATGCCGCAAACACCGGAATGAACCCGCCGCATCATTCCCATTGTCGTCAACACATTACTCTCCTTCTCTCACGGATTTGTAGGATTCGCATTGGGGCCGTTGAGCTTGGAAAGAGCATCGTATCCCCAAGCTGGTAGCCGAAACCGGCGATCCGATCTCTTCTCCGCTGCCCGCCGCATCACTTGGACGTCTTCGCTAGCTCGAGGTGACGACTGTGACAGCGGCCTATTGATGTTGTTCAAGTTCTGCTAACATTAGCACGGATCTTGCCTAGACAGAGGGAGAGAAGTTAGGAGGAAGTGTAGCCGCGGCCATCGTCACGAGAGAATGAAAGAAAGATGGCGAGCGGGTGAAAGGCGGCGATCAACATACACTTGGGTCAGGGGGCGCAGTACTGCGCTTTAGCCGGCACGAGAAACTGACCTCGGATTCATCGTTCATGACGGAGATTCTCGTTTCAATCTCATCGTCTGGCGCTGAGACTAGGTAGTCGGGCGTACAGTTGCCCATTAGTATCGCAAGCACAAACCGCGGATGCTTTTGTATATGGCTGAGCAGCAAGCGCCATCGGGCATTGTCAGGGAGAAAGCCCATGGCTTGTTTCCTCTGGGCTTCAGCAATTGCCGCTGTAACCCTTTCTGCCAATCCCGAACTGTCTGACGCAAAGACCGGTTGGTCTGCGATCAATCTGGCCAGTTCAATCTGGAACTCGTCCTTAGCTTGACTCCGAGGTTGACTGAATATAGACGGTCTCCCGCTTGGCGACGTAACAAGGCTCGCGCCCGTCAGCGTCGATTCCGTCTCAGCTCTTGGGGTTTGCTGTCTAGGAGTTGCTTGTCCGGTAGTTGACTGTGCGGGAGTTGGCTGTCCATGATTCGGCTGCCCGGAGATTGGCTGCCCAGGGGCTGGTGGCCCAGAATTCCATCTCGGTACTGCGTCCCTTGCTTGCATATTTGCAGGTGTTGCCGGCGGCTGGAAGACATAATCATTAGACTTCAGGATGTAGGTGTTTGCCCCGGCTATGGGCATCGGAGCCGAAGATGGGAAATTGGGAGTGCTCTGCGCCTTAATTACGGGTATTTTAGTGAAGGGCCCTTCATGTGAGGACTTCAATTTGTCACTTACCTGGGGGCCAGATGGTACGGTAGCGGCTGGCTGTGTTTGTGCCGGCGGCTGGGTGCTTGGTACCGTCGCACTGGGACGAGGATGCCTATTGCCTGGCACGGCCATAGACGGTGGTGCAACAGGATGAGAGTTACCGTTGCTTGGAATGACAGTAGCTGGCGCACTCGACGACGGTATGTACGGATGCTGCATCGGCCTTGGAGTATACGAAGGGGTCGTAGTAGCTCTGCTGGCCTCGGCCATGGCTCGAATTTGTTCATTCCGATGCCTTTGATCCCGCATCTGCCTGTACCTCACCGGATCGGTATTTTTCAGCCGCTCCATGTCGTGGAGTTCCTGGGCATCTTTTCGTTCCTCGACTGTCAGTTCGTTGGTCGGATCTTCCTCTTCAAAGGTATCTGTCGAAATGATTTCCCTGATGATCCCGTGAGGCTGCGCGTACTCAATGAGCTTGTCTAGTATCCTATCACGGCCTACAAAGGGGCTTAGGTCTTTTGCCGGCTTCGTGTTTATGGGGCGAAGTAGCCCGTTGATTCTGCTGGCGAAGATGGCGGGATTCTTCTTGTCCACGACGCGCGACGCCAGCTGCATCTTGAAGACGTTCTTGTTTTGCAATTGCTCTTCAAAGGCACCTGAGGTCACGAATTGATAGACATATACCGTCTTTTCCTGCCCAAACCGGTACGCTCGTCCTACCGCTTGCTGCTCAAACACCGGATTCCACCTGAAATCGAAGATGATGACGCGATTAGCCCCGTAGATGTTGAGGCCCACGCCGCCGGCCTTTGTCGAGATGAGATAGATCTCTGAATCTCCTGTATTGAAGGCTTTGATCTGCTCTTGACGTTTGCCAACGGCCGTTGAACCGTCCAGGCGGCACACGGCACGCCTCTGCTGTTTAAACAGCTCCTCCAGATAATCCAAGGTAAGGATCGAGTGGCTGAATACAAGGACCTTGTCTTTTATGGCACGTGCCTCATCCAGAATCATGAGGAGAAGCTCAACCTTTCGCGACAGAGTAGGGTTGGCAATGTCCCCTATCGTCTCCTTAAGAACAGTCGAGATCATGCTCCGGGGGAAAATTGCCGCGGTGACCGTCCCTCCATCTCCGTCGTCGTCCCTCCTACCGCGCTTTCGCGGCTGCGGCGCTGCTGGAGCTCTTAACACCTCCACCGCCTTCTGCCTGAAGCATTGGGGGTGGTTGCAAATAAGCGCGAGGTGTTGGGAAGCGCCAATTATCCTCATTGACTTTGTATTCTCCAGAGTTGATGCCATTCCGGTTAGGTAAATGTCGTAGAGCCGCTTCTGGAGGGGCGTTGCCTCAACAAAGATGACGAATTCATATTTGGCGGGCAGCTCGTGTCTGACAACCTGGGTGGTGGCTCGCTGCACTTTCGGTGCGACGTTCATCTTGAGCACCTCCAGCAGTTTCAAAGCCCTTCGTTTCTCATACCCAGCGCTGTCCTTCCACAGGCCATGCTCGATCGGGTTCGCGTAGATTTCACGAAATTCCTGGAGAGGGCCGAGGAAATTGGGCGCCACCCAGTTGATCATCGAGTAGTACTCTTGGACATTGTTCGACAGTGGGGAGCCAGTCAAGGCGATTCGACTTCTAGTGCGAAACTCTTGGCATGTTAAATGAAGCTGCGATCCGGCGCTCTTCATTGCATGGGCCTCGTCGCAGATGACAAGGTTGGCCGCTCGTGTCAGTATCTCCCGTACGCTGGCAGCCAACTTCCAGAACATTGTATGGCCCATGACTATGACGCCGCCGTCTCGCTCCCAGTCCTTGATGACGGACAGGCGTACATCGTCCCCTTTCAGGGCTGACTCGTATTTGAGCACATTGCCGAGCAGGCCTCTGGGCGACCACATCAATATCTCGTCAAGCCAGTTGTCGACCAATCCAGCTGGGCAGAGGATGACTGCCTGGGATCTCCTCAGGTCCATTGGTATCTGGGCTCGTATGGACTCGTCGGGGGAGTTTGCAGCCTCAAGCACCGCCACGAGAAAGGTGATGACCTGCATTGTCTTCCCTAAGCCCATCGTGTGAGCAAGAAGACAGCCCTGGCGCGTCTCTGCGTCAACGATGATTTGATTCCATAGGAACCGGACTCCGTTGATCTGATGGTCTTTTATGCGTCTCCCAATCTCTTCATTCACATAGATGAATGACTGGCCATCCTGCTTGCTTTCGTTGATGATGAGTCGAGACTTATCCGACGAGATGGCGTTGGAAGTCGCCAGCGCAGCCCGCAATTTGACCCGGCGAGCCTCCAGCTCCTCCGCTCGCCTCTTCTCGCGTTCTCGGAGGTCAACGCCCTCCTTGTTCTGTACAATCTCTCGAGCGGTGTGTTTGCGCATCTTTGAGGGTGATTCGGTCGAGCTAAGCTGACTGTCTTCGGACTCATCCAGTCCGAGTTCGTCGTCGAAGGCGTCGGTTCTGAAGATTTGGCTGCTCTGAGGGAATCGAGGCGCCCAGTGCCTGATGAAAATATGGAAAGCCGGCCAGAAGGACTCTGCACGTTTGATCCTGTTGTTATCCTTTCTGTCCAGAACCATGACCCGGACATCTGTGTAGTGGCGGCATTGTGTGCAGCTCAGGAAGAGCTTTGTGATGTCAAATGCAACAGTCTCTCTTTCTTCTCTTCCGATGTCCGATTCTTGGGCAAAGGGAATCCTCTGGTACAGCCGCACTGAATCCTGCCAGGCATCGGCCGACGTCTTGTCTTCCATAAATCGAAAGATCCATTCGCGACGAGTCTGTGGAAGTTTCCATAGCAGACACAGGAGCAGTCTCCAACGATCCTTTTGCCTTGCCCAATGCTGTGGAGGATGCTGGGCTATCATCTCCAGGCTCCCCAGCTGATCCATAAGTGGCACCTCTCCAAGCATATCGGATGATGACGCCGGTTGACCTGCCTTGAGGTCAGAAGCCCTGCCATCTGCGGATTTCGTAGGAGAGATCAGATCAATATATTCTGCTGTCGCCTTACTATCCCGGAGCTGTTCTGGAGACTCAAGGCCCGAGAGGTCGAGCTTCATGCAAGATTCAGCGTCAGACAGTGCATGGCTCAGGTCACTAGTAGGCTGTAGCACTGGTGAGCCAAGAGCGCCTCGAAAGAACTCTCCCTCATCAATCATGATCACGTCGTCGCTGTCGCCATCTTCATCAGGCACGATGAAATCTTCTTCGTCGGAGCTAGTCAACACTTCGTCATCGAAAGGATGCCGGGGCATCTTTGGTGCCGGTCGCTTGGCTTTCGGCTTGGGCACGTCCAACGGCTTTGGAGGGGCTTCACGCTTTTCGAGAAGCTCAATGAGCCATGTGCTGTAGAGTTTGTTACTCAAACTCTGTTCCATGACGCAGGCTTGCGTTCGAAGTTCGCGTTCCGTTTGCCAAGTATTTGCGATGATCTCGGCATAGAGCTTTTTGATTTGTCGGTCGTAATGCTCGGCGTCTCTCTGCTCTCTGAATATCTGCTCTTTCTTCGTCCTCTGATTCCGCTTGGCCGCCATCCAGAGCCGGTAGGCTTTGCGTTGGTACTTGGGCAGTTTGTTTTCGATCCACTTGGTTTTCATGAGGGCCATTTCATCTTTCAGAATAGACTCCACGCGCTCGATGGGGATGTTGCGGGCAAGTTCAAGCTCCATTGCAGCTTTCTCCGCCTTTTCCTCATCAATCTCTCGCTGCGTCTCTTCGTCCCAAGAATCCGGCAGGTCATCAAGATCGAGGACCTCTTCACTTCCGTCAGAATAGACTGATGTTCCATCAAGGAAAGTGGCCCGCCTGAGGGCCGCTTTCTTCTGAATACTTGGAAGCAGATGCTGTTTCATCAAGCTATTGGTGATAATGCTCTGTCCGGGTGGCACGATATACTCCCCAGGCAAAACCGTAAAATTAACCCCATTTAGGTCTGACCAAGGGCTATCTGGGGTGGCAAAATGAGACAGCACGGTTCTCCTATGGCGACCTTTACTGCCTGGATAGGCATATTCTGGAGGGGCGCCTGCGTGAGAGGTTCCATCGTCGTTGCTCCGATTTCGGGCTGTATCTACCAGGTTCAGGGAACCGGTTCTCCTGAGAGAAAGGATATTCAAGCCAGAGAGAGGTTTCGTGCTGAGATTCGTTGGTGCTAGACGCCTGCGCTTAGGAGTCCGTTCTTCGTCTCTCAGAGCAGGCGGTTGGTCATTGCTAGGTCCGCGTCGAGGCGATAAAGTGCCGTTGATAGATGTAACCTGCATATCGTGATCTGTATCACCATTTGTGAGTTGTATGAAGGAGTCTCCATCAGACTCGAGCAGGGCTCCCTCGACAGACGCAGCGGCCTGATGAAGTTCCGGGTGTGCTTCATCAGATTTATTGGTTTCACGCCGATCCGGACTGCGAGAAACGCTTTCCTTTGGCGCTGAGCCCGGATACCGGGGCGCAACAGAGGCAGGGGGTGGCTCATTCTTGATATCTTTATCCTTCTCGTCATCATCGGATGCGAGCTGGGATTGGTTTCTGAGCCAATTCCTCTTCCAGGAGCGAAAGGCTTTGCTTTTGGCCTGGAAGTTGAGAACGGCCTCTGCCAGACCTGCCTTGGCACGGGCAGTGGTTATGCCGAGGCATTCCTGCAGCTCTTTTCTTGATAACAGAAACTCGTAAGTAAGCAGCGTGGAACCGTCAACTTCTTCTTCCGCCAGCTTCGCGGCTAAGGCATCCGGATGCTTGAGCCAAGGGCGGCCTTTGGAGCAAAGCTCCCTTGAGAGGGTCTCTGTGTCCCACAGGAAGGGATCATCCTGGTCTGCCGTGCCGCCCTGAGCATTGTGCGCACTCAGAGGTGGCGTGAATGAATCCACTGCCATGTGTTAGCCAGTCAAAGATGGCAAGCCACGAAAAGAACGTGGCGTGTCGCCTGCAGTTCCAGATGACAGGAAGGGTAAGGTGAGTAAAGGGAAAGAAGGAAATGCTTGGTGAAGATGGTTCTTGGTAGTTGTAGGGTGCGATGCCCAGAGATGGGAAATGGAGAGTCCACTCACTCGGATTTTCCCAGCTGCAACCAGGGCGTGCATTAGGAAGGAGAGATGAAGGCGCTGCGAATGAGTATTGAGTAAGATTGATCAAACAATCGAGAAGAGACGAATGATGAGAATGAGGGATGGGAGTCGATAGAGAAGAGGTGGTTGAAATTGGGAGAAGGAAAAAAAGTGCTGCAAAACCGCCTGCGTGAAGAATTTAAGATGTGAGAGCGAGGAAACAAGAAACGACGAATGCGAAAGAGCCTCCCAGACCAAATGGAACAACGAAGCGAAACGAGGCTGCACAAACAGATGCACAGACTCGCCGGCTAACTGCTCCGATGGTTCAAATTGCTTTGCTGCTTTTTTTTTTTTTGGTCTGGTCTGTTTCCTCCAAACTCGAGACGCGTTGGTCGCCGGCTGGCGATGGCAGAGAAGGCGATTCACCAGCACGCCCTCACGTGACCCGCGATTGCTTCAAGTCTGCACAAGAGGCAACGAACCTCTTATCTCCCAATGATAAAAGTACCGGTGAGGAAAAGCGCTGTGCAATCAGTCCTCTTTATCTGTTTGCCTGAACTTCCATTTCTCTTCTCCTCACTTTCTGACGGACAAGACAAAATCTACGTAATTACACAGTACGTATAAGGGCAACTTGAGTCAACAAGATAGCTGAGCGCCTCAGCCACAGACGTGCGGAACCGCCTAACGGGAACGGCCATGATGGCGGCTAACTGTAACTGCCGTGGTCTCAGACACAACGTGGGCTGCAGGGGATTGGCGTCTAATCGCACTTTAATCCATTGCTATTAGCTGTCAGAAGGGCTAAAAGATGGGCGAACATGCGGCCACGATCGCGGGGCTTGTTGTGAGGGCGGGCACTGTGTTGCTTTGCGCCTGGACAAGGCGTTTTTCTTCCTGTTGATGCTTGGACTGTTGGAAGAGGGCCGGGCTGATGTTTGCCATGTTTGTTTGCTTGTTCCAAAATTCCAGAGAGATTCTAGCAAATAGAGGTTCGATTTTCATTCAACAATCTCACCCTTTGGAAGACGGGAGGAAAACAAGAACATAAGAACTATCAAGGTGACAAGACAGAGAGCATTAATAAGCGGATCACGCACTAACAACAGGCCCTCACTCTCAAAGCTGATAACGCCTTACAAAACCCATCACGACTCACGATCTCTCATTCTCCGCCCCTTTCGTCCACCCGTTGGCCCATTTTCCGACCTTCTCTGGCTACCAACAAGCCTTTTCCCCCCCTCGACGACAAAAGCCCCAGCAGCTTCGCCTCGTTTCCCTCCTCCTCCATGGCCTCCCTCACAAGCGGGGCATACCCCCCACCACTCAACGAGGCCGAAAAAGATGCTCTCGCCAACGTCGTCAAGGACTGGGCCATTGCGAATGGCCTCGCCGTGCGGTCGCCCCCCGCGGTTGTCCCGGCCGAGACGGACCCCGCGGGCATCACGGCCATCAACGTGCCCGTCACCCTGTTCCCCAGCCCGTTCCCCAGCGAGTGCTTCGCCCAGGGCCAGGCCGTGCAGCAAACTTACAACGAGCTGTATGCGGCCGTGAGCCGGGACGAGGCATTTCTCGAGCAGACTGTCAAGGAGTGAGTAGCAACAGATGTCGTCGTGTATGCGGGCTTTCATCTGACAAACTCGTGTCCGGTTCAGGGTGATAGATAGTGACGAGTTCATCCGCAACTTGTGGGAGGTTCACTTGAGAGTCAAGGCTGAGGGTTACACACAGGTATATACAACACCATTCTCACAGTTTCATGCCAACTCATGAGCCACCTTATTCACCATCCGTGACTCTAGCCTTTGTCCCTGGGCCTCTTCAGGTCCGACTACATGGTTCACCAGGACACCTCAACCTCACCCCCTTCCGTCCAGGTCAAGCAGGTTGAGTTCAACACCATCGCCGCATCCTTCGGCGGCTTATCAGCTTACACCTCAAAACTACACAAGTCAGTACCCTATCAGGGCCGTCTCATACTTCGGCTACCAGGCACCGTAAACTGACAACTAGCTATTCATAGATTCCTCGCAGCTACCGAGTACCCCTTACTCCACAATGCCCTGGCGCCCAACTCCCTCACCCTCCCCGACAACCAGAGCATATCCGGTCTTGCTGGCGGCATCCAAGCCGCTTTCCACGCATACCCCAAGTCCGACCTAGGCTATGGCAAATGCGTCATCTTCCTCGTCCAGGGCGGCGAGCGCAACATCTTTGACCAGCGCCATCTAGAGTACCAAGTCGCCCAGTCATCACCAACGATACCCGTATTCAGACTCGTCATCGGCGACATCTTCAAGCACACCACCCTCGCCGACACACCGAAGCGTCAGCTCCTCTACCATCTCCCCCGCGATCCGTCCAAGGTCTTCGAGGTGGCCGTCATCTACATGCGCTCCGGCTACCACACCAACGACTATCCCGATCAGAAGGCCTGGGACGCCAGGTACCACCTGGAGCGGTCCAATGCCATCAAGTGCCCCAGCGTCCTCACCCAGCTCGCCGGCACGAAAAAGGTACAGCAAGTGCTGGCCACTCCCCGACCATCCTCCGCGCCCTCTGTCCTCGGCAGATTCATCAACGACGAGACCCCCGCCGCCGCCGAGCTCTGGAAAACCTTTACCAACATTTACCCCATGGACACCTCCGAGGCCGGCCTGGAAGCGCGCAAAAAGGCGCTCGATCCCGAGCTCTGCAAGGCCTACGTCCTCAAGCCGCAGCGCGAGGGCGGAGGCAACAACATCTACCGCAGCGCCATCCCGCAGTTCCTCAAGACGCTGCCCGAGTCCCACTGGAGCGCGTACATCCTCATGGAGCTCATCGTGCCGCCGCCCGTGTCGAACATTATCCTTCGCAACGGCCGCCTGGAGGAAGGCGGCATCATTTGCGAGCTGGGCGTTTACGGCACTTGTTTATGGAATCAGGGCACCGGAGAGATTCTCCACAATGAGGGCGCGGGATATCTGCTGCGGTCCAAGGGAGACCAGAGTGAAGAGGGAGGCGTCGCTGCAGGGTACGGCTGCATGGATAGCGTCAGTTTGGTTTAAAAGGTGAAATAGATTAGAAACCAATAAAAGCAGAGTAAAGAACCAGTCAGACCGTCGTCACAAGCATACACCAGGGGTATACGAATGCCCGAGAGAAGGCTCAAGAGCGTACATCGCATAGAACCTAACAAGAGAAGAAGAGCCGAGAGTTCGTTTTTTTCCGCCATAAAATAGAATCATACATTGAGGGGCATAGCATATCGTTCAACCCGCGCCTCGTAGTTCGCCAAAAACACCCTCCTATCCTCACCAACTGCGAGCCAGCCTCGGTTTTCGCGTCGCTGGTTGTTTTACTCGCCCTGCTCAGGGAGCGCAGGGCGCTTCAGGACCTCGATGCTGCCTGTATCGCGTTGCCGCCAAGTTAGCAAGCTGTTTAGTGCACAGAATGTGGCGATCAAGCCTGGAAGTAGAGGAGCGCCTTACGTTGAACAATGTTGAGGCCATGTCGGACCTGGTTGTTGGAATCCGTGTAAGAGTTGATGGACGCATCACCCTCGACATAGACCAGCGTGCTATAATCCCAATCCGACGTCAGCAAATTCAAGAAACTTTTCCCACACATGACAATTCCATCTTCGTTTTAGCCAGCGAGATAATAAAAAAACATACCCCTTGGGCAAGCTCAGCATGAAATCCTTGCGCGGCCCATCCACGAAGCTGGTGACGCGGAACCAGCTCGTCTGGCGGTTATCCTTGCTCCCGCTGTTGCTCGCGACGGAGTATCTGACGAACTCCTTGTCCGACGAGCTGGCGGTCTGGGCCTCGGGCGTGTCGGCCAAGTTGCCGATGATGGTGATGCGGGCGACGGAGCGAGGCGAGCTGGTGCTGAAGGCGCGGGCAGCTCCCGCCGAGGCGGCGACGGAGCGTCTGAGCAGGAAAGAGGACATGTTTGAATATGTGGCTGTTATGTGCAGCTTGAGAGACTGAGGTGGCAGCTTCACGTGAAGATTCTGTTCGTCGAAAAAAAGGCGGTTCGTGTGTTTGTTGGGTGTTGTTTATTTTTCCGTTTGTCCCCTCCCTTGCTTTCTGCTCAAGATGGTGGTGCTGATGGGGTCAGACGTCAAATCCGATAGAGCACATGCGGGCGCCCCACGCACAAGCTCTCTGAGCTATGATTGGATGGCGGGTTATTTTTTCCGGTCCCCGAACTGGGAGATGGAGCTACTGCAGGGAATATGCTTCTAAGGGGATGCATCGCTATAGGGAAGCGAACGCTCAGAGACAGCTTCACGACGGGCTGTTGGTCGCGGTCACCAAAAAGCGACTAGCATCAGCTGCTATTTTAGCAGCGCCGGGCGGGTACTCGGCAAGTACCGAAGCCCAGTGTAAGTCGGACGTTCGTGTGTGCAACAACACCAAACGCAACATCAAAAGATGGTGAAGATGCATGGATCGTAGAAGCAGTCAAACACTTGCCGCTCATCACAGCCCCAGCCAAACACCACAACCACCATCTTCCAGCCCCAGACCGGAGCCTCTGGCCCGCTGCCGCGCCTCATCTCGCCCTGACCTCCTCCGTCCTCCATCAGCCATCCTCCTCCATCGAAGAGCAACCCCATCCACAGCTGGTATCACAATAAGAAAAGAACAACAAAAACAAGCCTCATCCTCATCCCTCGCCTCATGCCCCCCTTGTCACAGCGCCAGGCTCACTGCCCACCATGTCCCCAAACCCCTCCTAATCCGTCCCGGCACTTGAAGCCACAGCCGGCCCTGCTCCCCCCTTGTCACCACGAAGTGGAATTCGAATCCCAAGATCCCGGAGCCGCAGCCGCTGAAGGTGCGGGATGCCGCGCACGGCCACTTCCCGATCCGGTCGTCAATAGACGCTCAATGCGGCCCTCAATAGACGCCTCTCGAAAACTGCACGCAAACTTTCCACACGAACAACCTGCCAGCCGCGTGTGGATCGCCGTCGCGATGCTTCATGCAGCTCCAACTCCTCTATCAGCATCACCAGAATTCATCTTTGTATTGAATGTTCTTATTATTTTTCGTTTCATTTTTGGTGATAATGTGTGTTTCTGCAGACCTGTGATACCCTCAATTGCCTTGGCCGCTGCATTTGCGCTGACACCAATAGAACATCAGGTAATATCAGGCTTTCCAAGATTTTCGCAGCAGCAGCTGCATCTTGAACCTCGCTTGTCCGGTCATCGCGATGCCCCCTTTGCAGGCTGCCGCTGCAGTTTGCTTTTCTTTGGCGGACAATAGTCTGATCTTGGCCGGCCAGCTGCCAGGGATTTATTTCACTTTTGGTTTGCAAAGATGGGCTGGATGTATTGAAGGGGCGGATGTTAATAAGATGGCTTCGAGTTCTGGGTCTTGCTCCTTATTGACTTTATTGTCTATATAGATGCGAGTTTTGTGAAGCTTCTTTTTCTCGTCTTCACCCGTAACGTGTTATTGAACTCGAGCTTCATTCATCGAGGCAAAGCTTCTCTCTTTCTTCCTCTTTACCTTGTTGCCATTTGCTCTTCTCCTTTTTTCTTCTCTTGATATATCACCAGCATCTTCCGCGAGCATCAGCATCATCATCTCTCCTTTGTACTACGCCATCTTTCAATCTCACGATATCATCATCATCTCGACTTACAACCACCACCATGGACTCCTTCATCCACCACATCCCCCGAGACATGCCCCCCATCTTCGCCGGCGACCCAATCCCCGCCCCTTACACAACCCCCTCCCTCACAGCCAACCTCATCCTCCGCGTCCTCCTCAGCATCATCGCCAATATCATCTGCCTCGTGCCCCTCCGCCTCCTCTACCGCAACGGCGAGCTCGCCGCCGCCCTCTTCATCCTCAACATCGAGATCCAGAACCTGCGCACCGCCGTCAACGCCCTCCTCTGGCGCAACGACAACCTGCAGTCCTGGTGGCCCGGCTACGGCCTGTGCGACGTCGACCCCTATGTGCACAACCTGGCCATCGGCCTCTATTCCACCTGTCTGCTGGCCATCATGCGGAACCTGGCCCTCCAGGTCGGCAGCCTCCGGGCGAACCCGCTCACCCGGAGGGAGAAGCGCCGCCGGAACTTGATCCAGGGCCTCATCGTCTTCCCGCTGCCGCTGCTGCAGGCCGCCTGGACGTATCCTCTTACACAGCAGCGATACTACATTGGCACCTTGATTGGGTGTTCCTGGTTGAACGCCCCTACTTGGCCATACGTGGTGTTTGTAATCCTCCCACCGGCACTTGTCTCTCTTGCCACGGCTGGATATGCCAGTGAGTAATTCTATATCTACCCAAGTATCAAATCATGGACATCACACGTCCATCACGTCCAAACAGTCCTCAACAGCTTCACCAAGTTCTCATCCGCTGACCCACACGCCCCTTCAACAGTCCTCGTCTACATCCGCTTCCGCCAAATCACAAAAACAACCCAATCCGCCCTCTCCAACAACCGCCTCGCCCAGTCCCGCAACCAGCGCGCCCGCCGCCGCCTCTACCTCATGGTCATCTCCATCCTCACCCCCTTCCTCCCCATCGTCCTCGCCCTGACCGTCATCAACATCGTCCTCGCCAACCCACTTCAGCCCTTTGACTTCCACGCTATCCACAACCACGACGGGCCCGGACAGATCCCCTGGAACGCCATCGTCTACTTGCCCAGCACCAGCATCTCGTGGGCGTACATGAACATCTGCTACATTCCGATCGTCACCGCCGTCCCCGTCTTTGTCTTCTTTGGAATGACAAAGGATGCGATGAACTGCTATCGCGTTGTTCTCTTGGCCGCCGGGTTGGGAAAGCTGTTTTCGCGGCTTTATGAGGAGTATAATCCGGACTCGAGAGCAATGGCCTCACTCTCCAACGGCGGCTCGAGCAACTACACCACATCTTCAAGGTAACTTCCAATCCGACTCTCCTTCCCACCAAGAACCTCAATATAATTCTAGGGAAAAGTGCTAATGGCCCAAATCACAGATCCTCCAAGGGAAACACCCTCTCCACCCAACAATCCGCCACGTCAACCCTCCACCAGCCCCCCTCGGCCACCTCTCTCCCCATCCACAACAGAGACGTCCCCATCCAGCTCCCCCACCGCAACCCCTTCCTCTTCCGCACCCGCCTCAACTTCTCCCTCCCCTTCAGCCTCTCCCTCTTCAAGCTCCCCGAAGAAGCCGTCTCCTCCACGCCCCTGGAACCGCTCAGTCACCAGCCCACGCGTCGTCATTCCTCCTGGTCCGATGAAGAAGCTCAGCTCTTCATTCCCTCTTCGTCAATAGCGACAGCTTCGGCTTCGGCGTCAAGACAAATGCCTTCCGATGGCCATGACAACACCACGATGGAGAAGCACGACTCTGCCATTGCCACTCTTCCTCCGGTGCTGTTGCTCGACACCGCCTCGGATCGGCCTACTGCACAAAGGGAGCATTAGTTACGCTGTCCTCGTTGCCCTACCATCTATGAGTGGGATGAGAAGTCGGTTCACTTCTCTTTCAAGGGAGGACATTCTTGTTGAGCAAGCTTTTTCCGCGATGTCTATTTCACTTTTATGATATAAGTTTTCGACAAACTCCCTACTTAGCCGGCTTTTTTTCATTCGATATCAACTTTATAGGGTCGCAAGACGGCATGAGGCGTGTCGTCTTCCATTTCATTTCCGTGATTAACTGCATGCCATGATATTAGAGGTCAGCATACAGAAATATAGTTACCAGTAGAAAAGATAGTATTTATTTGAACTCTTTTTCAGCAATATATTTTGACTCTTGGTCATCTACTGAACAGTGGTTTCCTCTCTGTATTCCATAGCACCTATCAAGTACGATGCCACGTGTAGTCTCTCTCAACAGTCCGAGTCTAGCTGTTATCCAGAAACGACATCACTAGCTAATCAAGTACCTCTCAAATCTAGAACCAAAGAAACATAGAATTGGTATCGTCAACATTACCCCTTTTTACTAACCACGCTCAATCAAAGGAAGAAGAATAACAAAACCGAGGCGTAGGCCCGCTGATAAGCTGCCACGTATACCTGTCATGACCGAGTCCCCCGATGAATCACGCATCTCTCGCAGAGCTCTGCATCTTTCGTATGACCTCACGATGGGCTTCCAATAGGTCGCCGCTTCGCATGCGGCTGTCAAACATGCGGTCATGCCATTCCTTTTCTCGCTTCTGCATCTCTCTCTTCTGCCGCTCAGCTTCCCTCTTTTCTATCAACACGGTGCGCTGTGTGTTCATATCATCAAGAAGCGTAGTCGTCGATGCGAACGGCGTCTCGCGTCCCATGTTGGGGGGCACACCTGGGGTCGTTGATTGAAGATCATGGGCTAATGACTGTCTAAAATGGGCCAGCCTTGTCTCCCGGGCTACCAGAGAGACTGAGGAGTCTCTCTTCGGCTGATGTGAGTTGAATTGCGTATTGCCGGCGACCTCGATACCACTACTTGAGCGATTCAGCCGGAAGTTTGAAGGCGGTAAGTTTGAAGGCGGTAAGATCGTCATGCTGCTGCTCTGGCGTAGCATTTCTCGCCGTCGATTAAGGGGGAGGTCGTCAGGGTCGGGACTGATTGCTCGGTTGTAGGCCGGATAGTTGTAGACAGAGTCTGCATCACCGACGGATCCGCGTGTATCAACGGGCATCTCAGCAAGGTGAGAAACAAGATTACCCTGTGACCTGCTCCGCAGGACAGATTCTCTTTGACCAAGGAGAGTATTTGGATTAGAAAAAGAAACAACACGGGGCACCATCGGTTTGAAAGGCGTCGAGTTCAATTGGAAGTTGTCTTGCTGCATGGCTTCCGCAGGATATGGTACGCTGGCGCCCCGTAATCCGTTTTGCTCTTCGACGATCGGTGCAAATCCTGAGGAAGTGCGTCGCATGGTTGCTGAGCCTGGCTGCATAGTCACTTCTGTTGGAGACGACCCCGGGCTCGCGCCAGGGCTAAGGGCATCTAAGGGTTCTGCAGCTGAGACAAGGACGTTGGACAGACCGTGTCGTATCTTACGGCCTTTGGAATCTGGCTGAAGAGCAGGGCCCTGTATCAACTGTGCTTTTGATCGCTGCGCAGGCGAGGGGGGTATAACATCGCCGGTGGCAGTCTTTTGGAGGTCCTCGATGTCGACATATCGAGGAGCTTCCTCGACATCATTCTCAGTAGCATACGGTTCGATCAAGATGGCTTCGGGCTCGGGAGTTTCCGCATTGCTGAGATGCTTGGTCCACTCGTTCGTCCTAAATGAGAGGGCAACTCTGGATAGGGATTCAGGCAATCGATCCTTGGTCAAACTGGCAAGGTTCGAGGTCGCTGAGGAAAGAGATGTGGCTTTGTCGGTAGGCTCCAAACGTCTTGTTTCTACTGCATTGCTTGCAGCAGCTGTGGACTCCGGGTCACGAGCCACAGAAGCTTTTTCGTCCTCGGCTGCAATTTCAGCCTCGGCCTCTGGCGTTGCTCCTTTTGCGTCCTGACCATCGTTCATCCCGCATGGCATAGGTCCCTTTTCATTCGTTCCTGTCGTTGGTTCAGCCACTATATCTTGTTGGGGCTGTTCTTGGGGTGTGTCGTCGTGTATCTTGCCATCATTTGTCTCAGTAACTGCGTCATCCATCTGCTTTGATTCCGGGGCTCCTTCAGCTTCTCCTAGCTCTGCAGTGATCTCAATGCTCTTTCGACCGTCACTGCCAAGTATGGAGCTTTGCAGATCATCAGTTGAGCTCTCGTAGTCGACGGTAGCAGCTACAGACGATCGGGCGTCATCCTGTGCAGTAAACTTCGGATCAACTAATTCCTCGGAACTTTCGCCGCCCTTCGGCTGAGTCTCAGGGGACACATTTTTCGCCTTCCGCTGAGACAAACTTCTGAGAAGCGTGATTGAGCTTTGTGAGACCCTTCTGACAAGCGAATCTCGCGGGAGATCCTCAGGCGCAATAGGTTCATCGTCGGCAAAAGTTGCAACAGACGATCGGTCACCGATTGACTTCAGGTCGTCGTCTGTTGGCACCTTGAAAGGCAGAGGCACAACTTCGGGGACTGCCGTGACATGGTTTCGACGAGAGCTGCGGCGAGCCTCTGAATCCGCTTGAAAGTTTCCCCTTCTACCTGCCTCATCATTCTGTGAAGTCGATCCGTCGTCATTTTGTCTTGTTGTGTCCGGTCCTGGGATCTCCTCGTTGGTCGCGCCATGTTCGCTGTCGCTTGGGGCCTCGATCACTTCATCCGCGGCCACTCGCACCGTGACTTTTCCACCCTTGGCCATCTCGAAGTGTATGAGCTCGGAGGCTCGAGACTGCGCTACGTTGGAGTCCGAAAGGTCGGTCATCTCGATGCAGTCATCCTTGGAGCCTGTATGGACGGATTCGGAGTTTCTGTCTCGACGGTTTTTGTTGTTGCTGCCGCCATCGGTGCCGTTGGAGTAGTGTGACTCGGTACTGCCGTTGCTTTTGATCAGGACTCTGCCTGCGTATACTTTTTCCCACTCGATTCGTTCCCGTGCTGCTTGAGCCTCGATATTGCGGCCAACGATCTCCTCTTCCTCTTCCAGGTGTCTCTGTCCCTCCGCCAGACTCGCGGCCTTCCTTTCGCGTTTTTCTCGAACAACTTTCCAAAGCTTCACCTGAGAAACGACACCAATCAGGCAAATTATCACGATAGCCGCCGTTTCGACTCTAATACCTCTTGTGATGGGATAAGTGTCTGCACCCAGGGGGAACAGGTCATCGTTGAGGTTCCATATATAGGCCCAGAACTCCTTAAGCCCGGCCCTGCTATAGCAGTCAATGCCGAGGACCATTACTGTCGCGCCTCCGAAAGACATTAAGATGATCATGGCCCAGTCGCGGGTGTATCGGCTGAAGTAAAAGCCAAAAGCGCCGACAGAGAAGCAGGAGATGAAGATGGCTCGACCAAGCGTATCATGGAGCAGGCCTCCCGGTGCCAAACAAAGGAACCACATGCTGAGACAAAAGCCGCCGAAGGCACATCCCAGCCCCTCGGTCAACTCTTTGAAGATCAGCGACGCTGCGCCCAGCGCACAACCAGACAAGGTGACTGCCACAACATATGCTCCCTGAATAGCTGTGCTGACGGGTATGGTCATGATGTAGACAATGAGGACTGAGATACCGAGCGCGGTGAGGAAGGCGGTTGAAAAGAAGCAATTGATCCAGCGATTTTTGATGCCTACAAGGGTGTATACGAGACCAGTGAGTATCAGGATGACTCCGGCAACACCCCATCCTGGAGTTATGACAGGTTGAATTGGTAGATGGCCCGCTGGGATCGTGGCTGGTTATTTCATGTCAGCAAAGCCAGCATGGATAAGTTTAACGGTATGGTATCTTCTCACAGTTGAAGAAGGGCGAGTTCTCAGAACTGCTTGAGGCGGTCACAGTAGGGGTGGTTTGGATTGCTGATGTGGAAGAAGTAACGTCGGGAGCCTTTGTTGTGACTGGCCCTCTCGAGCCATCCGCTTTCTTGGGCTCATCCGTTTTCCCAGTAACCGAGTGCTTCGAGCTTGGTTCCGGACTGGATACAGATCTTGTGGGGGTTGTTATGGAATTGTCGACGCGTCTCAGCATTCGAAAGTCCTGAGTTGCGGCCAATTGCAGCATCAAGAAGAGGCATAAGAGCGCCTGCCATCCCACAATCCGCGCCATTCTTGCTGAAATTTCCCGCAGAAGGTAACCGCCAGCGGTGGGTTTGAAAGCAATCAATATCAGACAATGCTCTCAGTTATGTCTGCTGGCTCACCAAGCATCATCCGAGAGCCCCCAACAGTAACAGTCGGGAATGAAGAAGGGATGGATTGCTTGGCGGGGTGTTGAGACTGGAGAGGGAAGAGCAAAGTCACGAAAGAAATTAACGACAGGCCGGACAAATGCAAGAAAAGAGACCCTCAGTCAGAAATGAGACGCTTCCCAGCCTACAGCCGGGTTTCGTTGGCGCGAGCTGAGACACGTACTGTAGCCGGCGGTATGGGACTGGTAGATGAGCAGGAAGAGACTGAATAACGATGTCTCATGTGCATCAGGAGACTGGCCATACAAGTACACAATGGGAAAGACGGTCAAATAAACAAGACCTGGGACGATCTCCAGTGAGACACGGAAACTTCAATGGTCACCAACCGAGAGGAGGGAACGGATATGGGGCTGCTGGCGGCCAAGAAGCAACCAGCGTCACCTTTTTCTTCGTCCCCTCCGGCCCAATGGCTTGGTTTGGTAATAGCTGCATGCGGACAGCATGAGCTCCATCAGCACGGCATTTGGCCACATGCCTAGTGCTTGCGGATTGGCAAGTAATCCCTGGAAGCGTGGCACATGCAAAGTTACTCGCACATCGCACGGGGGGTCATCGTCCATTGACGGCCCTCCCTCTGACTCTCTCAACTGACGGTGCCAAAGTCAAACCCGGAATCGCGGGACATGCTGCCAGGGCGGGTCCAGCTCATGAGGATCGAGAGCTGCTAGTCGCAGGATGAGCATGTTCTAGCTGGTTAGCGGGCATCTGCCATGGCGCGTGGCTGTTGGGCCAATTTCCCAGTTGCAGCTGTGGATGCAGGGCTTGTAGTCGAGGAAGAGAGAAGAGACGACGACGTGGACAGTGGCGGAGACCAGCAGCTCTGGGCGGTACCACGAAACGTGTGATGCGGTGGTGCAGACGCACGTAAATGGGCATCGATGTGGGAGTCCGTAGCCCTCACATCACCGCGTTAGAACGCATTAGCATCGATGACGCCTGATGCCGTCTGTTGGTGTTATTTTTTGGGCAAATAAGCAATCAGTTTCATGAGAACCAAGAGATGACGGGCACTGGACGAAGCCCGAAGCACTGGCAGCCTGCAAGTCGGAGAGAGCAAGAGCGAGCGGGCGCGCAGGGGCCAGATGCGGCTTCGGCAGAGATGCGATGCATGCAGGAACCTCCCCGATCTCATTGCATCAGGTACCCACAAGTACCGTCCGTGGTCCATGCTACCGCACGCTCTACCGCAGGCGCTGGAGCGCTAGTGGTACTAGTGTCCCCAGCGGTACCTGTGCTAGGACTCCGCTGAGCCAGGGGCAGGAAAGAGCTCTGGGCCGAGCGGGGTCGCTCAGCTGCTGCCCCTTGCACCAAGTGCTGGGCCGGCGCCAAGGCTAGCAGGAACAAGCCGGGCGCGGTGCCATCCGCTTTCAGCCAGCCAGGAAAGAACCTAAAGCTGGCGCGACATCCAATTGGGGCTGCGAGAGAGAGATGCTGGTGGAAGGGAATCAGCCGGGCTTCACGCCATGCTGTGATAAATACCTGCTGCATGCAGAGCGTCTTGGTATCGGATACCCTGGGTAAATATCGTCCACAGTGCTTACGCGTCCGTTCGATCTCTGCTCATTCGGATCCCATCATCCCTCGCTCAAATGCCTACATACTACTCGGACATCATGCCGCCGCAACATGTATGTACGAGTACCGACTGCTATCTTTCCTCTACACGGTATAGATCAGCCGCAGCTGCTGGAGATTGCAGGTGCTGTCCATAGCAACAACAACATGATTTCGTCATCCAAAGCATTTTAGTATCTGATCAACATGAGCGTCCTCCTTCAGGCACTAGTGCTACTCCGTACCTTCAACGCAGATGCACCAGGAAGGCGCCACGGAGGTCGAGTCGGACGAGGCACGAGTATGTACTCTCTAGCCGTTGTGTCACGGCAAGGATGGCTTGGATGGCCACTACTAAGGTACCTAAACACTTCGAGGTCGCTTCCTGCCCTACACCATCGGAGAATTGCGATATATTTCTGGATACAATGACTGAGCACTGCCCGAAAAAATGATCCGGATACCCGAGATATCCGTTCCGATTGATCACTTATCCATCTAGCCCAGATGTCTGTTGTTCGCCACCTCAGGCACTTTTCACACAAAACTGCTCTCAAGCTCATATCCAGGAAAACCAGTGGGAAAACTATCCGTAAGGTGTTATCTTTGAAGGCAATCCCTTGCATATGGCGAGTGAGTAACCATTGGCTCGTCTCCTGGATCCTTTGCATTGTGCAATGCACCCCAAGAGAGGAAAAAGCAAAGAGAAGCTGAATTCCTCCCTTGCAGTGCATCCCTACGCATAGAACGCCACAAGCTTCCACTCATCATCATACTGCTAATACGGGGTGCTGCGCGAACCAAAGAACGCCTCTCGCGTTGAATATCCTGGAATTGCAGTCGGGGGGGCGAGAGGCTGCTGACCACCAATGGCCTTGCGAATGGCCAGCCGCGAAACACGGCATGCAAGGTTCAAGCGTTGACGAATTGTCTATTCAAGACGCTGCCTTGTCGAGTGTGGTGACATCCAAATCGTCCAATCCCCAATGGCACTTCGTACGGACTGCAGAACCCCAAGAACGAACCGAGGAGCCTTTCTTATGCCGGTACATCACAAACACAGGCTCACCGCCGCCTGCCTGGTCATTTTTGTCTCTCCGCCACTGTCTTCGTTGGGCAACGGCGCTTATAACAAAGCAAACGGCCTTGCAAAGGGCATCGCTGTCTCGGGAAACCGCATACTAATACCATCACCCTCCCTTGCATGTTGTTCCAGTGGGGGCACTCTGGTCATACAAATACGGGGTATGCTGCTCAACGTTGGCAAGCCTATCGGCGATACGCAGCTTTCTTCATCACTCTTCCGGCAGAACGTGGAGAGCGACGATATTCTCTGCCACCGCTTTGCATCCTGGTACGAGTTGAAGTTTCTCTTGTTGCCGCAATGGCTGGCTGGACCAGCATCCATGCCCTCCTATGCGCCACGCCACATTGTGCTGTAAAATTAAGAGATCCACCTGAACGGCGTGACTCTATATCGACACATGACTGGCTCGTCATGGCGCACAACAACATAGATAATCTCCCCCGGTCTTCTTCCCACGTTCAGGCCCGTACCTCCCGTGAAACCTGTTTTCTCCTCGCGATCTTGCAGCAGCACATCGGCCTTTTGGCTTTTGACTTTGGCCGATTCCCCAACGATGATTTGGGTGCACATCTCCGTTAATGGTGAAACCCTCCCATGCGCAGGCCACTTTGAATGGGATTCGTGCCACCCTGTATTAGTTTCCACCTGCAAGCAGCACAACGATACACACACCGTTTTCAGATAACCAACTTTACCTGCAACAGTGGAAGACGCGAGAAACTGGCTAACACTGCGTATTTTCTTCACATCACAAATGCCGTGCTCTGGCCTCACGAGGCTGTGTGAACATGGCACAGAAAGCTCAGCTCCGGCGCCGAGGCATTGCCCTCCGTTGAGGGTTCAAGCCTCGTAAGACGATCTCTTGTTGGTAAGTCCATCAGATGTAGGCCCTCCGCCTACCTTGTTGTGTTACTGCTCGGGAAAAGGCAGCTGTCTCCCTTGCATTGGTGTGCGAAGGAAGAGGGGATGAAAATTGCCATGACGCGTTCACGCCGAGTGACGGGGCCTATTCATATATGCACGGCACCATATATGGAAAGCTCAGGCTCCCAACTCCAACGAAGGTTATCGTCACACTGCCCGGTTCACTTGGCCGCTTGGCATAACAACACATCAACTACACCGATTATCTCGTGGCACGAAAGGAACTGAAATCAGAAAGCATGTTTCCGTCCCTGGAATAACAAGACGGTCAGATGCCTCACATGACATATGAAGCCATCACCATGTGGTAGTACTGCGTTTTCGCAGCCTGTCCCCTTCCGAGGTCAAGTCCGACACCCTGGTTTAGACAAATCGATAACAACATTGTTTTGTCGGCCCCCATGGTCTACGTATGTTGGGTTTCTTGGGCAATCCATTTGACTCTCGAAGCGCTTTGAGGAGCCGGTGCCCAGTTTGTTGCCAATGCAACCGTTGGGTAGTCCGAAAACTGCCGTCTGCCACAGGCGACGGGGCCTAAGAATAGCTCTCTTCGAGATGTTGCCTATTATTGTATCTGAAGTTCATTGAGATGCTTGGATAGGAAATGCGAAGCAGATTTACGCCCGCAGACGCACCATCCAGGAACAGAGTTTGTATCAAACACCCGACTACTAGGTATGCAGGTGATGAAGCTTATTCCAGCTCTAACCAGAATCCCGACAAACGCCGCTTTGCTCATCACCGACATGCAGGGTCAACGTCCCAGGATCAAACTCTATTGCAACGAGTGATGATGTTCAAATAATGCTAACCGAATATCGCCCGTGAATATACATGCTTGACAATTTCGTTCCGTCGTGATTCAAATGATAGCTTTTGGGTAGTCCATCATGCCATTGCTTGCCGAGACACAGAGAAGAGTGCATGCTGGAAGCAAAGACCGGCGGACGCAAAACACAAATTCCCACCGTGACACAAAAATAGCTTCACCTCTTGATGATCCTCGTCGGCACCCGATCGCCGTTATACTTGACCGATGCTGGAAGCTTTCCGGACCGGCTACGAGGTGGCCGAAGGGTAGAGGACGTATGTTTGTTCCTGTTTGCAAAGGCAACGATGGGCTTCAGCGGCAGCGCGAGTATCTCCAGGACAGCCTTGAAAGGGAACGTCACTGCCGCCACAATCATGTTCCAAATCCAGGGGAGTAGACTCTGTCGCCCATTCGAGGTTTTCGCTGCTGCGGCTGCTAACGAAATGGCGTCGTCCAGCCTTGCGTGCATTTGAGTAAACCTCGACTCAGTCTGCAGCTGCAGGAGTGTCGCCTTCTTCTCATACCGCCTGACGGCACGATTCAGAGCGTCGAGCTCTGGCTGGATCGTGTTTCTGACGTCTCGGCTGACTGTCGCGGTGGTTGAGCTCAACGACTCCCCATGCCCGGCCAAGGTGTTGCTCTGAGACGTTGACAGACCCTCTAGCCTGTCCAGTCTCTTGAGCATCTCCTGTAGGAGTGTTTCAGTGCCAGCTTGTTGTCGACCAAGCGGGCTATCTTGCACAATTCTCTGCAGATGCAGAGTCCGAGACTGAACCAGTGTGATGATGTGCGATAGCACACGCAGCTCGGCAACCATGATGAAAATGGTGAGGTTGAAGTTGGAAACGAGTCCCTCAGACGGCCGTGTAAGTTGCCCTCTGATATAATGCAGGAGATATGCACTGAGCATCGGCATTAGAAAGCACGACAAGAGAGCGAGGTTTTCGTGGCGATAGAGCTCCCTGAGTGCAGCTTGTTGCTGTGCTGTCATCTGTTCCATTCGGGCCTCTTTCTTCTCTGAGCTCGAATCATCTTGTCCACTTGCTTCTTGTTCTTCGGGGACATCATCGAGCGGTGCATTGCCATTGGGAGATTTGGTCGCAGAGTCCAAGCCGCTGTCTGTCTCGAGCGACGATGTACTCATCGAGTGCTCTTCGAGGACACGGACCTCTTGTGCCGCATGATACCATTGCCTATGAACTGTGAGTTTTTATTGTCCATCATCCTACCAACTATGGTATAATATGAGGTAATTGTGCCAGTACATACCAAGGCTGCGTCACCGACCAATGGAGGAATATGGCCGCAAGGCCCAAGAGCATAATGTCGGTAACAACAGACGTGCCATTCTGAAAGAGGATCCCCGCAATAGCGGGCAAAAGAGCAAAAGCCAGCGACAGGGAAGCCAGCGGCGAAGCCTCATGGCTCGAGACCTGCTCGCCCTGAGGATACGGCCGGGGATTCAGGATATCGCGTGCCTCGCTCAGGCTGTATTCCGAAAAGTTGGAGCTCCGGCGTGGAGGCGCCTCCGCGGAGGACGAATCGGACGACATGTGCCGCGACATGGATGCTGACCGCATCGAGGGTTCGTCGACGGTTCTGGCACGGCGGAGAAAGTGGCCTGGAGGAGCGTTGCCAGCGGTGCTGGAAGAAGAGGAGTTTGTTGTGGTGCTGTGGCCGAAGCTGATGCCGGAGGTGGCGGCGTGGGCCGGCCTGGCTGAGGAGGAGGAGGCGGTTGAGGCCTGACGGCCGTCGTCTGGCATCAGTGCCGCGGGCATCGCCTTAGGATATGCAGGTTTGTGGAGGATGACTGCAGAGGAGTAATCGGTCATTGGACGAGGAGGTGCAGGGAGGAGAAAAGAGACGAGGGGGCATTTTCTGCAGGCGAGACATGGTCGTTACGTCAACTGGAACTCGAGACAAGCTCGTCCTTGTCTCGTCTGGGCGGGATTGTCACTGTGTCCAAGTTCCGGGTCAGTGACGCTCCAGCGGCCTTTGCCATTGAGCTTACCTGAGCTGGTGCTACGAGCACTAATTAGGTAGGGAGAGGCTAGCGCTCCCGCGTGGCTGGCTGGGCAGAATCTGGGGTACAGCGTGCTTGGGCTGGTTTGGGCAGGTGGTGGCTTCATTCGGTGTTGGTGGCATTCAATTAATGAGGCGTTGAGTTGCGAAAGTATGAAGTCTTCCTGAGACTGGAGATTGGGTGGTTCCCAACTTTCAATGTTATCTTGCGGTTAATTTCTCGAATAATGGTACAAGGTAGTGCTCGATAAGCATGGTCTCTCTGTACGTGACATTTTGCATTCCTTGCGCCAAAGCGCCAGCCCAATCGTGACGGCTCCTCTCCACTGGTGCAAACTTGGACGAAACCCTCCGCAGTGAATAAGGGACGAGAGGCGCCAGCAGCGCCTAGGATGATGACGGGGCTCAGTCATGAGGAATGATGATGTAACCCGTCCAACGTTAGCCTGTAGCTTTCCAGATTCTGGCGCCTCCAACCCAATGACAGCTTAATGTTGTTAACAAATCTAACAATTGGACCTAAAACATTCATTGTCTTTTCAGGGTTTGGGTATCAAGCCTTGTTCGTCTTAAGACTTACAAAAGTAGCAATGCGAAGCCACCCATCGGGAGTTCTCCGATCCAACAAAACAACTCCAACTGCCACTTTTCTCCGTAATTGGCCCTCCAACCTTGTCCGACCTCGTCAACTTGTCTTCTTCCCAGACAGCAACCAACAACTGCGGGCTGACAAGTCAGTTCCCAGAAATGAAGCCCTAGATCTTGGCCCCCCGGCCTCTCAGCTCTCGTCAACAAATTGACCCCCCAACTCTGCAGATCGTCACCGACGTCATTTTACAAGGTTGCATTAAACAATTTCCTCGCATGGAGTTGCACACGCAAACGGGCATGCCAATCTCAAGGCAATCTCGAGCCTTCCGATCACTAAACTCGATGCAGGCGGCAGTACGAAACAATAACCCTAGGGGAATTGACTAGCAGTGACAGCGGCCCGTGCAATATGGGAAGCGCACGGCTCGTTCAGCCCCCTATTCAGCGGTCTGTGGTCCATGTCGCTGCTAGTAGATCGAAGCTGAAAGGAGTTTTTTACGATCGCTTCTCTTTCTCCGCATAGCATGGGACCTGGACGGAGAGACCCGAAGGAAATTGTCCGGACGGCCCCCTTGTTTGCGATTGATGAGGCCTGACGACACGCGGCTATGCTGTTGTTGCTATTCTTGTTGCTTCCAGGGGTTCCCGCTAATCTACAGAGTAGAGGGCCTCGTAACTGAAGTGAATCCTTCTTGACAAGGCTGTTCCTTTCACCATAAGCTCTGGGTAAAAGCTTTTGCCGCGCCAGACATGAATCGTATGATGGGAGGAAGGCTAGAAAAGCCGTTATGTGCAGCCGTAGAGAGGCGGCACTAAGTGCACAGGCTTAGAAGCATCGTCGGAGCGCATGTTCGATTCCTCAGCCTGATGTGTCTGTAAGCCAGCTACTTCCAAGCATGATGACAGGAATCCATCTCATTCTGTAAGCCAGCATAAAGCCCTGTGTATCTATAGTATATATTCGGAAGCCAGCATAAAGTCATGCGTGCCTTTAGATCTTCGGGATGCCCGTGCCTCCCTGCCGTTGGCTTGTCGTCGTCACAAGATCGAGCGACAGCCAGACCCCGGACAGGGCCCAAACCCACGTCTAACGAGCTCAGCTTGGCCTGATCCTGAGCGCCACCTGCACAGCGTCCCCGAAGCCATGCCGCTTTCTCCAAGCTAGAGCCCTATCACAGCGGAACCGGGCCAGCATTGTCCATGCCGCGTCCATGTGAGGCCCTGGCCATGGCATTCGCTGCCGGCATGGATCATCAGGGCAGAAACGGCGTGTTAGTGGTATGTAGCATGCGCACTGGCAAGGCAAACAGGCGTCGACAAACGCAGATAAAGAGTAAGACTGCTCCCGGTCACGGCCACAGGACTTGTCTTGTTTTTTCCTTCTGCTCCGATGCGCGGATTTTTGGTTCCTGTCACTGGAGAGCTATAATTCCTTTTCCTTCTTCTCCTCTCCAACCCCTCTCTCTTTACTTTCCATTGCCATTCTTTCCTTCTTTTTTTCTTTTTTTTCTTGTTGTTCTTTGCTTTTTCCTCCTCCAATAATTTATTCGAGTTGGTTCAATCTCCACAATCTCGAGTTCCTTTCATTACACCAACTGCCTTTGTTGAGACCAACAATGGGCGTTTGAAAGGAATTGAAACTGCCTCCACTCTCTTCTTCCCGTCTTCCAATGTGCTGACTCATCGCACACCTGCCCAATCGATAACGAATATGCCATCACGTAACCGCCAGGCCAGAGAGTCCATCACCCGCACTAACCCGATCGAGCACGCGCCCCTGATTAGCCGATACGAGTACGGCCTCAACGCCAAACCATTCTCAGCGCCTCTCCGGCCGTGCATTTCCAACCCAGCATTGCGCTCCACGGCCTCTGCGGAAGCACCTGATTTCCGCCCGTCTTTCTTCCCAGCCTCAGCGTCGAGAGAATCTCGGGCCTCAGCTTCGCCCGGCAGCAGCTGTCCTGCGCCGACGTCGACATCGATCTCGACCTCGATCTTGAGCTCCAGGGCCGACGCGACCCCGTCACTCCCTGCCAGCGCGGTCGTCCCAGCGGCTGCGCCGTTTCCGCCTTTCCCACGGCTTCGTACGAGCTCCAGGCAATTTCCACCGCGACCGGCCCGCCCTCCCTAGGCGCGCAGGCAGCTTCTCGCTTGGACACCTCTGTTCCAGCCTCAACCTCAGCCTCAGCCTCGGCTGCTGCTACTGCTGCTGCTGCTTCGGCCTCTCACCAGCCTGCCCTTCCAGGACCTTCCAAGGCGCCGCATAATCCCGTCTTGCATAAGCGGAACCAGCACTCCATCTTCCGCACTCTCGCAACATCAGCCGGTGCCCCAACTCGCCTTCAGCGCCTCTCTTCTGCGCGACTGTGGAATCCCACAAACTCAACGCCCAGGTCTCCTGCCAACTCTCACAAGCGGCGCCCTTCCAGTCCAATTGAGACGCCCGTCCGGCTGCAACACCCGGCCCTCGACCAGTCAACCAACACTGCCGATCTCAACGTCACTGGCGCTGGCGACTATCCTCTGCTGACGCTCACCGAGCATAGACAGGCGAGGCACTCTTCGTCAACACCCATCAGCTTTCAGTTCGACTTGAGCGGGACCGAGAACAAGCGCATCAGCTTGCCTAGTTCAGTCCGCGCTTCGTACGACGAAAGGCGCTTACAAACCCTCTCTCCAACCCGGTTTGATCGCCAGAGTAGAGCCAGCGGCGATTTCACCAGTGAATCGCCGCCGCCCACCAAAACGCCAAAGGCCGACAAGGGCAAAGGCATCATGGTGCCCGACAATGATGAATCGGGGCAATCCTACTCCAGGGACCTGGAGCGAGGGCCTGATGTAATGGACCACCGGCGCTTTTCCAACATATCAATTGGGGACGGAATAGGGTCTGCCATCTCATCATCCAACTCGTCAATCATGGGCGAAGAAGTCCAGCCGGACCTAGGAGAATCGTGGGGACCGCAACACCCTTGCTTCCCTCACTTGAATCCCCATGTACCACCAGATTCTGCAGAATATGCCAAGACGCGGATCATCCGAATTCGCCGCGACTGGCTTCTCCAGGGGGACCTCGCTCCTACGTTTTCGAATCTGTACCCCGAGATCTTGGATCCGGCCGGGATCCCCGAGCCTGAATTCCGCCGCATCATAGACAAGCTCAACAAGGAACTGATACCGGCCTTTGATCCCTACAATCCCCGCAATGTGATGGATGCATTCTTGGGACTTGTTACTGGATGGCTATGGGACGACTTTGGCATGACGGGCATCAAGTCTCGACTGAACCACTTGGAAGCGTGGATTGAGAATTGGAATCGGGAGAAGGAAAAGACTACGTCTTCTGAAGAGGGCATTTTGCCGCCAAAACTCATTTCGCTCCGACGCACGGGGTACATGACTGTAAGTTGACTTACCAATTCAAGACTCCGTCGCCAATACTGATGGTTCTCTTTAGCTGGATATACAAATACCAGATCCGGAGATTGCCCCAGCTCCGAGTAGCACAGGCGCTGCCGAGTCAATCGCAGCTCTGCCTATGGAGCCGGCGCCGGTGCTCGTCGCATAAACAGCAAATGCGTCAAACGTTTATTTCCCTTTCCTTTCTCGAAGATTTTCTTCTCTTCTGGTATCTATACTTCCCATCTAATATTTTCACGACCAATGAAGGCGCCATGAGGAGAGCCGGCTCTTTGATTATGATTTGACCCCTCAATGACTCTGTTCTCTGAGGGGGTATGTTTTATTTGATACCACAGGCATCGCGCGGCGTTGGGGATAGCTTTGCTTCACGCTGCCTTTTGATGGGGTGGCAAGTTTTATATATGGGCGATTAGATGTTCGTCGCGCAGGAAAACGGAGACGAGGGCATGCGAATGCTGCTTTGGCGTCTCGAGTGTATATGCTCATGGGGTGTAGTTTGAGAGGAGTAGCCGTTGTACTTGATAGCGGTCGATTCGATTCGGACTTGAATATACTGTTGTGATTACTCTCATATGACTTTGTCCGTCGAAACAGGGACTATGCAGGCGTGATGCCCTCGTATGCCAGTTCTCCTGTCTCATGCTTCCTCCTTGCATCTGAAGCTTTCCTCTCGCTCACTCGCCCCCCTTTACGCTATCGCAGTGCTTACAGCATCCATACCGCTCCAACGGTCATCCTACCAAAAAGCATGGGAGTGCTGCAACATTGAATAAGACATTGTCTGTCGGTGTCGGCAGATATCTCAAGCGATCGGCCGACATTTTTTCGCAGAGGGCGGACCCGCCCATTTTGCCGGTAATAAGACGCATTTTGCTCTCCCTGGCAGGTCTGCATTCTCATTCCTGCGCGTCTTCGTCTTGTCTTTTTATTATCTTTTGAAATCGTCATATGCCTGACCGATACAGAATGACTTGCTGAGCATACGTCCCTTTTTTTGTTTTTATTCATTCTTCTTCCGTTTGGCTCCTTTCTTCACAAGTTTCGCGTTGGGAAGTTTTAGTATGGTAATGGTTCTGCTGAGCTTGGTATAGCCTTCATGATATATGAAGTTTGGAGATTTCTCGGTATTTTCATGATTGTGAGCTTTTCTTGGGAATTCACGGCCAGGTGAATAACAGCCATGGCTACGACGACGACAACGACGGTGACGGAAAAGAGCAATTGGCGAGAGAATAAAGCCTTGGTATGGATCTGGACGGGAGTCGAGTTTGTGGCGGCGCAGTGGCTGCTCATTGGATTTGGCGTGGCGTGCGTGTTGGGATGCTTCTTCCCGCGTGAGTTTTTCTTCTTCTCTTTTCTGCCGATGCCGTACATGTCTATCTTCGGGGTTATATATCTTGAGAGAAATGAGAGAGGGGTTTTGTATGAGGAGTTGGGTGATGCTGAACCACAGCTGACTGCCCATCCAGACGTCGCCGAGCATGGAGGCGTCATTCGATCAGAGTATAGCGTCTTATACGGCGCGGTGGCACTCATCTTCCTCATCAACGGACTGCAGCTCCCTCCCGAGAAGCTCAAGCAGAATCTGACGAACTGGCGGCTACACGTCATGGTCCAAGGATGTAGCTTCGTGATCATCCCCGTCATCATGCTCAGTAAGTCAACATCACCACCACCACCACTACCACCACAATCTTTCCCCTGCCCCCTATTCCAGCCAGCCAAATTCATATATCTTATCAATACTCACAATACAAATGCAGTCTTCATCCACATCTGCCTCGCAGCAGGCGCCCTCCGCCACGGCACGCCCTCGACCCCCGTCATCCTCGGCATGCTCGCCACGGCCTGCCTCCCGACGACAATCGCCTCCAACGTCGTCATGACGCGCTCCGCCGGCGGCGACGAGGCCGCCGCCGTCATCTCCGTCGTCATCGGCAACACGGCCGGCTCCTTCCTCACGCCCATCCTCATCTACGGCTTCATCCCGCGCGGCGCCGCCTTCGACGACTGGCGGCCCGCGGACCCGAGCACCCTGGGCGACATGTACGCCAACGTCGCCAAGCAGCTGGGGCTGAGCGTGCTGTTGCCGCTGGCGGTCGGTCAGGGGGTGAGGTGGTGGAGGGGGGATGTTGTTGCCAAGGTGTTGCGGGTGACGATGTTGGGGAAGCTGCCGACGGTTTGTCTGATACTGCTCGTATGGTCAGTACACCTTATTATTTTGAAGACACGTTCATGTTCTTAAGCTGACGTGGTAAACAGGACCACCTTTTCTGGCGCATTCGGCACTGGCGCCCTTTATAAGCTGTCCAAGGCAGATGTCATCTTCAACGTCTTCATCAACATTGGCCTCTACATCATCTTCACCCTCATCTGCTTCTACCTCGCCCGTCCGCCTGCATTTCTTGCAAAAGCTATCAACCCGCACGTCAATGGGTCTCGTCTGCCTGAGCGTCTAAAACGTATCGTCTCCGTAAAGAAAATGTCCAAGGAGCAGACCATTGCCGTGTGCTTCTGCGGCGCCGCCAAGACGACGAGCTTGGGAATTCCCTTGGTGACGGCCATGTGGACTCAGGCGGATGATTTGACGAGGGCTTTTATTACAATTCCTGTGTTGCTTTATACGATTGAGCAGGTGAGTCAAGGACATCATGCCGATTTCTGTTGTGAGTGTATGTTGATCAAGTTGCTGACGAACATGTCCATAGGTCTTCATGGCGCAAGGGCTGGTCTACTTCTTTAGGTGGTACTTGCGGAGGGATAGAAAATCTGATCGCGGTGGTACGGAACAAGTAGTTGGTGTAGAGCAGCCTGTATCAACCCACCGAGGAGATCATGAAAGTGACGTTACGGCTCATGACAATGATGATGAAGAGGTGGGACAAGTCTCGGCGGTGAGAGCTGAAGAAAAGGGGGCTATCAAGAGCGGATAGAGGGGAGAGGGGATATCTTGCAATTGAAATTCAATTCAAGTGCTCTATCCATTGAACAGCTTTCTTCTAACCCAATCTCTACCAACTCCTTGTTGATACATGTGAAGCAGATTTTATGTCAAAGCCCGACTATTCATGGCTCAGCTTCCACGGCAGCAACATGGCGTTTTCGGCGGTTTAGAATGTTGCGCAGAGAGTACTTTTGGCGAAATCCCATCTTTTCTGCATCCCTTTCCGGGCTTTGTTCCGTGTCTGTTTCCTGCCCGTCGTCTTCCTCCGATTCTGCGTCCTGCCCTTCGTCTTCCTCGCCTCCGGACTCTTGATCCTCATCTGTGTCTCGGCCCTTGTCTCCAGTAGACTTGGTACCAACACTGTCCCTGGCACGAGACTGCAAGAGCGCAACACGTCGATTGTTCCAGACTGCCCAGGCTATGACGCCCGCCATGATTGTCAACGTAAGCGGACCAGTCACGGCCCAATAGATCCAAAAGTGACGATTTGCGACTCGGCTGAGCGTAGGCTCGGACCAGTCAAACAGTGGCATGGCGAAGAACGACTGGGAGGCAATCAGTATATTGTATCAAACTCAGTCTGCATAGTTGTGAAGGGAGCCTTGAATGCTTACTGCAATAAAGGTGCCCGGTAAGAAAAAGGTGGTGAGCAGAGCGATAATCTTCATGGCTGAGCTGTCCTGTTTGCTCGCAACCGCCATCTCCTTGGAGTCTTTGGCGAGACCGACGTTGATGAGATTGTCCGATTGAGCAATAAGATTGAATAGCTTTGCAAAAATTAAGTATTCATCTTTGGAAGTGCCAGGTAATTCAGTACAAGAAGGAGTAGGTACTCACAACAGTTTGCTGCGTTTCCATCCGTTCCCTGATGCCGTTGAACACAATTACGCATTCGATATTATTCAAGAAGAACTCGACTCGCTCATGCAGCATCCGGCAAGGAAGCTCCAGGCTGCCTCGGCGTTCCTCTGGTAGAACTGTTTGAAGATGCTGCAGTTTTGCACGTATTATCTCTGCAGACATTCGACACCAAGACAATGTTCCCAGCGCCTGATAATACTGGCTTTGGAGTACACCTAGCTTCTTTACAAGAGTCCGGTAGTCGCTCGTCAGCTTCGGTTCATCACCAATTGCGCCAATTCCGTGTCCCGTCTGCTTCTCTACATTGTAGAGTTCGTTTGCGGGTCTCATGATGAGATCCACTTTCATGTTAAAAACCAACTCGACGGCCAGCAGCGGCAAGAGAAGAGGATGGCTGCACTGGATGAATTGGTCAATCATCGCCTCGAAAATGTCAAATCCGTAATTGTCGGGCTTGAAATGAAACACGCCTTGAGTCACGTTCACTTTGGGGTCATAGCGAAGAGCCGTAGTTATGGTCGGCAAGTCGGTGGTTCTTCGAACGATAAAGACTGATTGCAGTCAGCGGGTTGCACATTCTCACCAACTGCTACAGGGACCTGCCTTACCATAGCTGCCATCGCTCTGCAGAAACATTCCGCATCCTCCACAATATACCGTAGCGTAGTGCTTCTGGAAATCTGGGAGCCCGAAAGCAGCGTTCAAGGAATGGGTTTCTGCCTCTGTCAAGTGAGGAATTGATCCGACTTCAGCACAGGGTAATGCCACGAATTTCATGCCAGAAGATGGTTGCCGTCCATTGACAATTGGGATGGGCTCCTTCAGCCACGAGTTCATCGACTCTGTATGAAAGCCTCTGACTTGACATCTTTGGATCGGTAGGATTGTCTGCTCCTTTTTCTCATCTTCGTATCTCCAACATTCGATTGTTGCGACATTGAAATCCCTTCTCTCTTCAGGAAACCATGTACCGTCACCCCAATCCCACAACCATTTCCCATTCTCAGGGGTTGTGGAAGGGAGAGGATCACATTCTTCAGACATATTGGCTTCCTCGAAGAAGGGATGGGGACCTTGCGCCCAACACAGAGGCTACCGTGATGGCCTTTACTTCCTGGGAAGTGAGCTGCAAGGTTGTGGCGCCGTAATTGTTGGAAAGCGGCTGGAACAGGTATAAATATTACTGGGAAGTGAAAAGAAGGGAAGGATGAAATGAAGGAAACGGAGGAAGAATGGAAAGCAGGACATGTAGGAAGATAAACCTCAGCTGGGCATGGCTAGGAGCCTAGGACACAGCCTCGCCATTGTGGGCGGCCACGACGGGCCTTCCAATCACAGGCCAATCACTCCATGGTTCGGTGAGAACAAGATGAGCTGCATCTGCAGTTGGTTGTTGCCTGACAGGGGTGCCTCACCAGCTGAACTTGGGCATCCATCCATGCAGGAGGCTGGCGGCAATGGCTTGTAATATTGGTCTTGAAAGGATTATTCTTGGCTGTAGAGCCAAGTGGATTAAGCAATAACGGTTATGATTGCCCAATAACACAACTACATATATTTACATGTAGGGAGATATGCCGCCGCCACGTTGCATCAATCAAAGTCGTCCGAATTCTCCCTGCGCATGAACAGCGCAGGCATGCCTATCCCGACCGTATCATTCACATCGGGAAAGCTCTCCATCGTGAGAAACGGCAGATCATCTTCATCCCCATCGCTCTCTTCACCGAGAAACAGCTCCTGAACAGCCTCTGTGGAAAACGGAGTCGTAACCAGTACTTTTACATCCCCGTGTGATGATGGCTCTGCACCACGTCCTTGCTTTGCCGTATTGCGGAATTGGAGAAGTGCCTTCATAACGGCCAGCATATCGCCTTCGAGCTCATTCGTCTCGTAGTCACCGATTCCGTCGATGATACAGACCAGAGTGCGATCCCTGGGCAACTGTTGTCGAACTAACTGGACAAAGAGATCACATAGCTTCGAGATATCGCAGCCTTCTTTAGCAACACTCTCCAAGTCTATGCTCATGTCCAACTGTATGAGTTGGGGACCCATCTGCTGCAGAAGCTGAGCGATGAAGCTCCTCATAATCGCTGCGCCACCGACATTGGCGTCTTCCTCTTCGACATGGAAGCCGCAGAAAAAGACAAGAGTAATGTATCTCTCTCGCGCACGGAGCATGTTCACCAACAAGAAGCAGAAGAATGACAGCGGGGAGACCCTATGCGAATCAAGACTATGTGGTGAAAACTCCCCGTGGATCAGTAGCCGTGTTGAAGTGGGCGTGACAATCCACTGACGAAATTCTCGTGTCTGGGTCACTTGCACGGCTCGAGCGTGGTATTTTCTCGGGAGACGGTAACTGTAGTCCTTGACGGCCTGGAGATCTACGCTGTCGAGATCAAGTGGAATCTTGAGAATGTCGAGAATGCTGGAAGAGTTGACGATTCTCCGTTGTGGTGATACTGGCCTCGGATAGTTTGGATCCGAGAGTGCGTCAAACCAGGCTATCTGGCCGTTATTCATGACGAACGGCTGTTGGACCGGCTGAAGATATGTGTGATAGTGTACTGGCGGTGCGGCAATAAGCTGGAACTGAGCATTGTAGCTCGCAATGTGCTGGCTTTGCCATGTAATGGACGGGTCTGCAGGAACAGGTGTCGAAGTCCTGGAAATCTCCTCCATAATGGCAAGTCTGTTGAGGATATTTTCCTGGTTAGCGAGAATCTGCATCTGGCGCTTCTTGTTCTCTTCGGCGTCGTTGAGCATGATGAGGACGTTGTTGCATGCTTCGGCGGAGAATTGGTGGATGTCGTTGAGCACGACTTTGGTCTGCTTTGAGTCTTGCCTGGTTTCCATCTGGAACTGTTGAACCTCTGCAATAACAGATTCATTAGAAGGCATTGGGACGTATCATCTGCTCGTAGATGCTCACCTGTCCGGATAGCAGAAATCCCAAACTGGGTGTACATCATGTGGGCGTTTTGTGCCTGTTGAATGAGTTTCTCGCTATGTGTTTTGATGGCCTCGAGTCGTTTGAGGAGAGCCTCTTGGTATCCTTTTTTCCCTCGATATACTACAGAGAAGAGCCGTTTGACTTTGTCGCGTTAGCCATCAAGTCTTGTTAATGAGAAGTCACACATACTTTGCTTGGACAAGAAGAAGCCAATGCCATCCTCAATCGCCTTCATCACAGCCACTACCAGGGATATGGTCGAGTCTTTAATCCGGCTACTGTCTGGGAACGTGATTACGTAGACTTCGGCGTTGTTGAAGAGCTCCTGGACCTCTGTCTCATCGAAGCTCGAGGTGACCTTTTCCCGTACCTCAGATGCCACTTTATACGCCTTAAAACATCGAATCAGCAACTTGCTCGGATACCTGAGTCAAGGGTAATGGACATGGAGCTTACGTTGAGAAGCAGCTGCACTGCCCCCAATACCGGAGAAACGTATTCAATGTTGGGAATGAGGTTGATGATATTTGTCGCCGGCTCAGCAGCATTATCCCCAATCTTGCGCATCGTCCGCTTACACCAGCCGCGAAACTGCTTCTGCGAGCCATCGTAGACTTCTCGCGCTCTGTGAAGCTGGTTGTTGATGCCTTTCCACGTCGTCTGGTTGCGGATGCTATAGCCTAGCTTGCTGATCCCATCAGGCTCGTTTGGATACTTGGTCACGAACGCGGCCATTGCGTCGGAAAAGACGAGGCCCCAGAACTTTTCAGGGTCTCCGACGTCTCCCATCTGACATATCGGGGCAAGTTGGTTGCTGGAAGTCTGGCCATTGGCGTTGGAGTTGCTTTCGACCAAGGCTTGATCGGTTGACGAGGTTCTGTCCGATACATATCTCTGCAACATGTGATTGTAGTGAGCGTTGGTGTTCCTGAACACGCCGTGGTGTTCCGGAAGCCGGTTGTCAATAAAGTCGACTGAGGGAGGCTGAAGGTGTATAGGCGGAATCATCGACGAGGACTCGCTCGCCATGGCTATTTCCGGTCTAAATCAGAGAGAGAATCTCCTAAGCAAGTATCGGACTCAAAAGGATAGTCGTCTTATAGCTGACGCATGACGGGTGTATCAGATCCGGGAACAGACAGACAGACAGAACGTCAACTGTAACAGAAGTGGAACTTGGCCTCCCTGGTGAATATTCTATATCCCTTGTGGATTTCCTGTCACTCTCATCGCCATGAGACGGAAAAGCCTTACCCCTCATTCTAATTATATCGTGATAATCAGCTACTACTATTCGTTTGAGCTAGCCACTTTGCATGCAGCGCATGAGCGGCTGAGCCGTTTTGTTCCTACCAAGAGCGTTGCCGACCCTCCACAAACGGCTCTATCCCTTGCAAGCCGTCAGACGGAAAAGCAAGAGGTTGCGTGGTATTATTCTCCTGTTCGCCTCAGGTTTCCGCAAGTCGTTCATTTTATAGGCTGCATTGCTGCCTAATGTATATAGGTTCCTTGAACCTGTTGCGCAGTTGTAGAGGGCGCGTTCATTGGACGGAGGATGCGGCTTTGGTGTTGAGACCCCTGTCGTGCGTGGGAGTTATAAGTGCGGAATGGTAACTTACAGCTGAGGGATATTACATAGGTAGACTTGGAGTTTCGAGACTCGATTGACCATCTATCGCATGGTTTCGCACTTGATGACACTCCAGACTTGCAATCATGGCTGCCGCCCTTGACGGAGCGACAGTCGCTTCATTAACCCCAAACACAACGACTCTGTCCGACATCACCATGGCCGACAGCATGAAGTCGACTATCCCCGCCTCCGACCAAGCAGACAATCAGCAAGGAAGTATGGAGCAGTTGCTGCTCAAGCTGCAACAAAGACTCAACGCCGTAGAAGAAGACGCCAAACGGGAGAGACGCAACAGGGAGCGGCTCGAAAGACAAATGTTCGGCCTTGGGCAAGACGGTGTCGGAGACAGCACCGCCTTCTTCGACTCGATAGATGACATGAACGAGCGCTCAGAGGAGCTGATTCAAAAGACGTCGACATCGTACGAGTCCTGGCGCAGGCTGCGAAAGATACGCGAGAACCTCCGGATCATCGAAGAGACGGAGAAGAGCAGGGATACGCTCACCAAGAAGGAGCAGGAGTGGTCGACTTACTGCGACGTCTTGAAGGCGCAGCTGCAAGATGCGCGTCCGGGAGTGCAGATTCCAACGCTGGAAGAGGTCAACGGAATCACAGGCAACGACTCCGACGACGAGGACGACTCGGGCAAGAACCTCCCCAACGTCGTCAAGGCGGAAGTCTGCCCCATGAGCTGGACGGCGTTCAAGTTCCAGCAGCACGGCGACTCGAGCCGCGATCTCTGCGTCATCGAGGTGCTCACGGAGGAGCCGTCCATTACCTTTGACGGCTACAACAACCCCTGGTTCATGCGGTACACAGAAAAGTCGCTCAACATCTCGACCAACGGCAACACCCAAAAGGTAGAGCAAAAGGTGGCCTCGTGGGCGGACATTGTCAACAGTCCCAACAGGGGCAAGCAGCTCATGCCGGAGCGGATCCGCATCAGATCGATCAACATCATCAAGATCCTCAACAACATCTTCAAGACAAAGGCCAAGGACTACCGCATGAACGGTGCCGTGGTCATGATTCGGCCGTTCCGAGCTCTTGTGCATTACAACCGGGAGATTCGCGCCAAGTTTGCCGAGCTCAAGGACAAGTTTGGGGATGATGCTCTCAAGGTGCAGGACACGGATGGAGCAAAGGCCTCGGCAGCAGATCAAGACAACAAGCCTGCAGAAGCCAAAGACAAGCCTTCAACTGGTCAAGACAAACCTACAGATGCCAAACCCGACAAAGCCGACAAAGAAGCCAGCGACGAAGAGAAGCCAAGCGAAGGCAACGAAGCCGTCGAAGAAGACGAATTCACATCCTCCCTCACGGCCTACCAGCACCTCAGCTGCCTCATCGACTTCATGGACAACACCATCCAGGCCAAGATCGACTACCTCTCGGGCACGCAGCCGCGCACCATCTCCTTCAACCACCTCTGGTACCTCTTCAAGCCGGGCGACGACGTCGTCGGCCAGGGCCGACGCCAGGCGTACCGCGTCATCAGCATCACCAGCACCGGCCACAAGGTCACGCCCCCCTGGCGCAACTGGAAGCGCGACGAGAGCGAGCCGGCGGCGTCCATCACGCTGTTCTGCGTCTACATTGACTTTGACGGCAAGCAGCTCGGCCCCGTAAGCAAGTCCTTTGTCATCTCCAAGTTTGACGGCGAAAAGGCCATTACCGCGCTGGAGGTGTATCCCATCCGCTTCGCAGAGACTCCGACAGCAACCTACCAAGCCACCAGGGACGACTCCCCAAGGGACGCCGACCCCAAGGCGAGCTTCCAGCAGGAGCTCATCGACCGCGGCAACATGTTCATCGAGGTCGCCAACGTCAAGCACATGCACTACAACGGCTTCACCCTCGAGGCGCGCGACGAGGTCGACAGCCAGGTCATGGTCGACTTTGCCGAGGCCTTTGCCGCGACGCAGGGCAACGGCTGGCAGCCCGAGATCGAGTCCCTCATCGGAAAGGATCTGGGGGGCTCGGGGTCTTCCGAGGACGAGACCTGCTCTGCTGCGTGTTGCGCGGGGGAGTATATATACAACGACAACTATGTCGACAAGACGAGGAATGAGAATTATATCGCCGAGTTGATGCCTGGGCCGGATGAGCCGAACGACGAGCCTTCGGTGGCGATTTACCCGCGGCCGTTGAAGGAGATTACGGCGACCAAGGGGACCTTGACGAAGGACGACTTGATCATCATGTCGTATCGGGTGTTTGGGTTTGTGCTGAGGAGCCGTAAATGGGGTTCGTCACTTGTCCCTCCTATGATGGTCATGGAGATGAGCGTGTGCTGACTGTTGCCATAGCGAAACTCGACCTCAAGTATCTCAGCCCCGTCAGCGAGGGCTCAAAGGAACAGACGGCGTTTGACCAGCTGGTGCTTCCGAAGCAGCACAAGGACATTGTCTACTGTTTGGTTGACCAGCACTTTCGGAATAAGGAGGCGAGGGTCAGCGATAACGAGGAGGTGGACATTATTCGAGGCAAAGGTAGTTTCCCCCCTTGAATAAGACCTTTGAGCGCAGCTCGGCTGACTTGTTGATTCAGGAAAGGGTCTCATTCTTCTTCTACATGGAAGTCCAGGTGTTGGCAAGACGACGACTGCCGGTAAGCGCAATGGTTGAGCAAAACTCTTCTTGTACGTGTGCTGATATGCGGTTACAGAGGGTGTCGCCGAACGCTTCAACAAGCCGTTGTTCCAAATCACCTGCGGTACGTTGCCCTGGAATGTCTGCGTGGCTCACAGGGTTAGACGAGGGCTAACATGTGGACTCGACTTCCAGGAGATCTTGGTGCAACTGCCAGTGAGGTTGAAGCAGCCCTGGAGAGAAACTTTAGCCTCGCCAACCGATGGGGCTGCATCCTCCTCCTCGACGAAGCAGACGTCTTTCTCGCCCAGCGCTCCCCCAAGAACTTTGTTCGAAATGGTCTCGTGGCAGGTAAGTCTCACCTCCAATCTCCCCTTATCCTCCTATCATTCAGCCTCCCCCATATCTGTTACCCTCCCCCCCTATCTCTCCCTCTCCCCCTTTTTTTCACATCTCCCTTCCATCCTTCACCTCCCCCCCTATTCGCCCCTAATAAAGAAACACTCTGACTTTGTCAAAAGTCTTCCTCCGCGTCCTCGAATACTACGCAGGCATCCTCTTCCTAACAACCAACCGCATCGGCGACTTCGACGAGGCCTTCACCTCCCGCATCCACATCTCCCTCTACTACCCGCCCCTCGACAAGGCCTCGACGCGCGAAATCTTCCGCCTCAACCTGCGCATCATCAAGCAGCGCTTCCTCGACAAGGGCCGCGACATTGACATCCACGAAAAGGACATCTTGCGCTACGCCACCGCGTACTGGAAGAAGCACGAGAACATGCGCTGGAACGGCCGGCAGATCCGCAACGCCTGCCAGACGGCGCTGGCCATGGCCGAGTTTGACGCCCAGAATCAGAGCACCGCAGGAGGAGGAGGAGGAGGAGGAGGCGAGGGAGGAGGAGTGAAGAAGGGCGTGAGGGACGAGAATGCAAAGGTCGAGCTGACGCACTTGCACGTCCAGATCGTGTCGGATGCCTATCTCGAGTTCATGCGCTACCTGAAGAGCATATACGGCTTCAGCGCGGACGAGGTCGCCAAGAACATGCGTCTGCGCGCAAAGCACCCGAAGGCGAAAAAGGACGAAGAAGATGATGACGACGACACGGACGACACGAGCGACGACGAGGCCATCTACGGGCCCGTCAAGGCCGGTCTCCAGCGGTCGCCGTCCATGCCCCCAAACTCGGCCATGAGCGCCATGGCGCAGACGATGATGGGGATGCCTTCCATGATGAATCCCTCTTTGTCGAATACAAGCCATGCTGCTGTTTCCGCGGGAATGGCAACCCCTTCTTCGACGGCTGAATCTGCTGCTGCGGCTGCTGCTTCTCCTCAGCATATGATGCAGGCGCCGGGAGCATACATGATGGCCAATGGCCCGCAGGGCATGTACTGGATGCAAGGCAATCCACAGCAGTTCCAGCAGGGACAGAACCAGCAGGGGCATTACATGATGAGTAGCCAGCCGGGCATATTCAATCCGGGACAGCAGCAGCAGCAGCAGCAGCAGCAGCAAATGCCCGGCCAGAATTGGCCGCCGAATGGGAACGGGAACTGGCCCATGATGCAGAACCCGATGCCTTCCCACGGCATAAATCGTGGGAATGAGGGAGCTTCTCCGGTGGCACAATCGTAGAAAGACAGACTACGGGTCAGATGGCAAGATAGCCAAATCACAGCTCTCATATATGCCCATTCTTGATGCATTTGTAAAGGACCAAGACGGTCAGCCTGGCCTTTCTACTCCCCTTCTGGTGATGCTAGATAATCGCCCCCCCCTTTTTTTTGCTTGACATTTCATTTGTTTGATTCATTCTATATATTGAACAATTTCCCTTCCGCCATCAGCGTATGGCAGCTACTTTCATATCCTCTGCGGTGTTTCACACATCACCAGCATCCGACAGGTATCATCCTCATCAAAATCAACTCCATCACGCCGCCGCAATCAGCTCGTCAAACAGCGGCTTCAGGCTCTTCGCGCTCCTCTTCGGGAACCGCTGCTGCCCATTCTCATAGTCCACATACGTAACCCCAAACCTCGTCACGTAGCCATCCGCCCACTCAAAGTTGTCCATGAGCGACCAGGCAAAGTACCCCCGGACGTTGACGCCGTCCAGCTCCACGGCCGTGACCATGGCGCGGATGTAGTCGTCGTAGTACTTGACGCGGAAGTCGTCCTCGAGGATCTTCTCCTTGGGCAAGTCGTTCTCGCCCTTGATGCTCGTGCCGTTCTCCGTCACGTAGATGGGCGGGTAGCCGTAGCGCTTGCTGATCCAGACCAAGAAGTCGCGGAAGCCGGCGGCGCAGGGGCGCAGCCAGGCGGACTGCGTCTCGGGGCCGATGCAGTTGCCCTGCTTGTTGGTGAAGAGCACGTCGACGTTGCCGACGGTGTCGTCGGCGGCGGCGGGCGAGCTGCGGTGGCGGATGTAGTTGGACGTGTAGTGGTTCATGCCGTAGAAGTCGTTGGAGCCGTGGACGAGGGCGCGCTCCTCGGGCGTGAAGGTCGGCAGCCGGTCGCCCAGCTGCTTGCGCATCGACGCCGGGTAGTCGCCGAGGTAGATGGGGTCGGCGAACCAGGCCGTGAAGAACTCGAGCCGGCGCTCGGCCGCCTCCACGTCGGCCGGGTCCGCCGCGTCCCAGGGGTAGGTGAAGTCGCCGTTGAGCACGATGCCGATCTGGCCGTCGCCGGCCTTGAAGTCGTCGCGGTACGCCTTGACGGCGCGGCCGTGGGCGACGAGGATGTTGTGCCCGACGGCCCACGGCTCCGAGGTGCTCTGCCGGCCGGGCGCAAAGGTGCCGGAGCCGTAGCCCGGGATGGCCGAGCACAGCGGCTCGTTGAAGGTGATCCAGTTGCGCACCTTGGGCAGCGCCCTGAACATGACGCGGGCGTAGTGCTCGAAATCAAGCGGGAACTCAGTGCGGTTCAGCAGCCCGCCGTACCGCTGGTGCAGGCCCTCGGGCAGGTCCCAGTGGAAGAGGGTGATGAAGGGCGTGATGCCGGCGTCGAGCAGGTCGTCGACGAACCGGACGTAGTGGTCGATGCCGGCCTGGTTGACGGGGTCATGCCGGCCGCCCTCGGGGATGATGCGCGACCACGAGATGGAGAAGCGGTACGCCCGGGCGCCCAGCGACTTGAGCAGCGCAATGTCCTCGCCCGTGCGGTTGTACGAGTCGCACGCCGTCACGCCCGACGAGCCGTCGGCGATCTTGCCCGGCTGCGCGCAGAAGGTGTCCCAGATGCTGGGCCCGCGGCCGTCCTGGTCGACGGCGCCCTCGATCTGGTAGCTGTTTTTGTTTCGAGTGAGTCCCCCCGTGTAAGTGAGTTTGTTTCGTACATGCAACTGAGAGAGAGAGAGAGAGGACGAGAAAGAAGAACTTACGCAGCCGTGGCAAACCCCCACTGAAAGTCTTTGGGCAACATGTTTGCAATCTCTCTTCTTCTTTCTTCTTCTTCTTCTTCTCCTTCTTCTTCTTCTTTCTCCTCTTCTGCTTCGGCTGTATGCAAAGAACAAGACAAAACAGGTGCCAGTAACCAAGCTCGAACAGTGCAGCAGACTCAACCCACTCACAAAATCAACTTGCAAATCAGGCACAGGGTCCTTCTCCTTCAGCCAGAAAGGACAGATGGAAAGAATAGCGCTGGACCCCCGGATATATATATATGGTATATAAGTTATATATGCAGACACTAAACGATCGCTTCCCCCCCTTCCGCCCCTTCTCATCCCCCCCTCCCAACCTTCGGGAAATTATCATGGAGAAATACAAAAGGGCTGCTGCTATAGACCCTGCATTTTCCCGGACAGGCTGGATGGCGCCTTTTGCAATGCTGCGTATCACAGGTACCTGCGCATTTAGCCAATCTGGCTGTGGGCATTTTACCCAAGAAAATGGCTGTTGTTAGAGGGGACTCGACAACCTAATAAAGTAAAGGAACGGCAAGGGTCATATTGTCTTGTTTGTACATATGTACACTATGGGGGAAACCCTGGACAAGCCCCGTTAACCCCGGCTTTTATGTGGACTCTTGTTTAGCACTTGGGCTCCATCAGTAGGGAAATCATCAAAACGGACAAGAAATAGAGAGTAAGAGATAGTAGTTGTGAGATTACTACTAGCGGGAGAGAGAAGGCAGAAGGAATACATGTACACGGCGGGGATACCGAAACAGCCGCCTCCTCGTATCGTATAGCCTCCTCTATGTTCCAACCAACCAACCCCCCCTGACCGAAAAGCGAGTCACAAGGCAAAAGGCTAGCCCGCTCCTCAATGGGGAAGCTGGAGAAAGCGGAGGCGGGCGATCCGGACGGCTCCAAGCAGCTTAGCCCGGGGGAGGGGGGTATGGATGGGGTGAGTGAGTTTGACCACGGTGATACTCCGAAAGGTTGAGGAGAGCGAACTGCAAGCACTAGTGATGGTACGTGCAAGGTGAGAAGATGGGGAGATGCTGGCTAGTAGTAAGGTATGTAGTTCAAGTCATCGGGGAATGGCGGAGGAAGAGGATCAGCAAGGACAAGACAAGGAGTCTGGCTATTCTGTCTGGCTTCGTTCGTTTCTGGTAAGCCGACGGATAGATTCAGCCGAGAAACCACGTGTGATTTGTATAGTTGCATAGTATCGTCGAGAGGAAACTGCTTGCGAGAAGACAAAGTGTTGGAGTCGCCACATTCCAACCGAGTGCTACTTTTACAGTTGCATGCTTCGTATCACGAACTTGAGGATGACTGGGTGGTACTTTCAGTATCCGGTTCCACAAGGTAGACGCTACACGCCGATGGAGGTGGTATTTATGCATGATTGAGGCGAGAAGTAATGAGCGGTAACTCCAAAGGTTGCGTCGATTCCATATGGATCTCTATATAGCCTCTGCGATGAATGCGCCTAAAGGCAAGGTGCAAGGTGGACAGACAACCCCCCCGGCCAACTGTCTGCACAACAACGCCTGACCGAGAACAAAATGAACAGCAAAAACCAAATGAACAGAAGCGACAGCTCATATACAGACCGGCCCATCCCAACCATGCCAGGCACATTACCCTGAAAACACGACGGCGTATCGTTGCCCCTGCTTTTCGACAGCTGTTGTTGTACACACCACACCACTCACTCACTCATCCACTCATGCATTCACTCCTTCACTCACTCGCTCACACACTCAAACTCACTCACTTGCACACCCCCCCAAGCAAATCAGATTCGCCCAGTCATTCAAACGCCCCGTGAAACCTCGTGATGCTTCCTCTTGCCCGTCTGCTGCAGCGCCGCGTCGTCATCCCCTCCCCCCAAGTCCATCTCTCCGCCGCCGTCCGAAAACTCGACAATCTCCCACTCGATGCTCGCCTGCCCGTCGCGCGACCGCTGGGCGCCGTAGCTCCGGCGCATGCTGCCCAGGCGCGAGCCCTCAATCAGCGTCTCGAACCAGGGCACGCCAAACGACTGGCGCAGGGCGGCGCTCCGCTTGTTGGCCGGCGGCTGGTCGGCCGGCTCCATGTCGTCGTCGGGGATCAGGCCCAGGTCCTCGAGGTCGCGAATGTCCTCGCGCAGCAGGCTGCCCAGCGTCAGGTTGATGAAGTCGGCCTCGCTGCGCGGCTCCTCGGACCAGTAGGACAGGGGCGTGCCGCAGAAGCCGCAGAAGTGGCGTTTGGAGTAGTCCTGGCTCGGGTGCGTGTACACCCGCCGGATCATGGCGTGCGTCTCGTCGGGGAAGAAGGCGTAGGTGGTGCTGTGGTACCATGAGAGCGGCACCCGGATGTACGCGGCCAGCGGCGTCGCCAGGGGGATTTCTGCTTGTGGTTGCACACGCAGTCGTCAGCTTCAGGGCCAACACGGTAGATGATCAACAACAAACAAACAGACAGATACGAGTACAGCGCCAAAGGTGAGCTCCAAAGCTTCGTCTCGGTGTAGCTTCTGGATGGTGGGGTGAGAATCCCGGGATCGTCAAGCCAGACCGAATCCCATCCTCCCAACTCCAATCCCCTCCATTTCTTCACCAGACAAAGCCCCCAAAGGCCAGTGATTTCAGCAATTCAACGTAGAAACAAAAGAAAAACACCAGTTTTTTTTACTTACGATGCTGTGGTTCAGTGTTGAACAAGACCTGCGCCTCCTGAATGCCGTTCTCCGGAATGGCAATGATGTAACGATTCCGGCCGCATTGGCACCCGCCCCGCAGCGGCCGCGACCCGCTCAAGCTCATGATGGAAGCTGACAAGCTGAAGAAGAAGAAGAAGAAGAAGCTGAAGAGACTGAAGAGAGTGATGATGGGGAGAGAGAGAGAGAGAGAGGAAGAATTGAGTCGGAAAGGTGTTCGTCGATTCGTGTATCTTTCAGATCGAATTGCCGTTTCACAAAAACAAAAAAGCAAAAGAAATAAACACAGTGGAGGTGCGGGAAGATGGCAGAAAATAATAAGTTCAGACCGGATGACGGGGATGCAGGCAAATGATGCTTGGATGATACGATGGTCGGGACCGGCGCCGCACGTTATTGGCCGCCGCGGCAGTGCTGGAGGGGCGCCGCAGAGGAGCGAAGATGGTGCTGGAGCGTTCGCTGCTTTGCGCTGCGTTTCTAGAACCTCCACCAGCTGCTGCAGCTTGACAAGGGGGATTCGATTTGCTGGCTGGATTGCATGAAGAAGGCAATCAGTATCAGCAGATGCGAGATGCAGGATGATGATGCCATGATTCATTCAGTCCGATGGATTTCCCTACTACATATGCATGTATATACCGAGATAAGATCGTGCCACAGAAGAGCCAAAAAAAAAGAGGACAAAAAGAGTAGTCGAGCCGGGAGTCGAACCCGGGTCTGTCGCGCGCTCCGCATCTTCGTGAGAACATGTGAAGCGACTGTACTAACCGTTATACGACTCGACCTTTGGATGACAGATCGGCTTCAATATTTTTGCTATAAAGTGAGCTGTAGCATGACTCAACTGAATGTATGTAACTTCTTCAGTCTCCTTACCCTTGACTGTGCAACACACATGCCCCCAACTTGCACATGATTCACAAGCGTTTTTTTTTTCTTTTCTTTATTGAGAATGAGACTGTATCCTAAGTAGTTGTCAAACTTTTATTTATTCAGCACCATGGCTCCTTTATGCAACGGCTCAGCTTAGTGACAGCATTCGTTATCCCAACTCCCTTAAAAGGCTCAGACGCTATAGATCCAGACATCTATATACCAACTGAATAACACAACTACGCCGTCTTTCAAGTGCAAGCATCTTTTGCTGATTTATCCAACACCACCCTCAGTGGTTGCGCCCAGTCTTGGCCCATTTCCGCAACACATTCTTCTTAATCTTTCCCGTGCTCGTCTTGGGCAGCTCGTCCACAATCTCGACCTCTCTCGGCACCATAAACTTGCTAATGTTGCTCTGGTGCTTGGCCCAGTCGATCACGTCCTCGCCCACCAGGCTCTTGCCCTCCTTGACCGTAATGTAAGCCTTGGGCCGCTCGCCCCAGTGAGAGTCGGGAACAGACACCACGCCTGCCTCGAGAATGTCGGGGTGCTCGACCAGCATGCTCTCCAGGGCCACCGACGAAATGTTCTCACCGCCGGAGATGATGATGTCCTTGGCCCGATCCAGAATCTGGGCGCTGCCGTCGGGGTGCCAGACCGCCAAGTCTCCCGAATGCAGCCCGCCTCCCTCAAACAGCTTGCGCGTGGCCTCGGGATCTTTGTAGTACTCCTTGGCACAGATATTACCAAAGAAGACAATCTCGCCAATCTCTTTGCCGTTCTTGGCCACGTCTACCAGGACGCCGCCGGGCTGGTCGGGCTTGACGATCCGGATGGGAAGGCTGGTGATGAAGCCGTGGCCCTGGCGAGCCATCTTGGCGTACTTTTCGTGGGGAGGAAGATTATCCCACTCTGGCAACACGTAGCATCTCGTGAGAGGGCCGTACGTCTCTGTCGTCTGGTGAGCATAAAGCAGAAATGAAGAGTTTGAAGAGGCTTTACCTGTCATGCCATACACATGGACGGGAATGAGATTCAAGTTGGTCTGGTCATCTGGTTAGCCAGGCGATATAACCAGATTTAGGCTTTCTTGGAAAATACGTGCCATTTGTTCAAAGAGATGAGCACTTGGCGGGCTGGCCGCAACCGTTACTCGGCACTCGTGCGGCAGCTTCTCCGCCTCCTTTGATGCCACCAGGAGCGTGTTGACCGTGGGGGCCGCATTGAAATGAGTGATGCGCAACTCCTTCAGCAGCTTCCAGATGAGTGGGTAGTCAATCTTTCGCAGACAGACGTTTAAGCCGCGCACGGCGACAACAGCCCACGGCAATGTCCAGCCCATGGCATGGAACCTTTGGCAGAACAACCATAGTTAGCTTTTGGAACATGATAGATGTAGTGATAGGAGTGACTTGGCTTGACATACATGGGAAGCGTCCAGAGGTACTTGCAGCGGCCGTGGTTGAGCTCAGACTCAATAATGTTGCCCATGCAGGCCAGATACGCTCCTCGATTGGTAAAGACAACTCCCTTAGGACGAGATGTAGTGCCGGAGGTGAAGGGGATGGCAATCATGTCATCCTCGTTGGTGGCATGCGCATGGAGACCGGCCCAGCCTTCGTTGCCACTGGAGCCATCATAGTTGAGTCCCTCGAGCACGGCTTCGTCAAAGGGGCCGCATAGCTGGCCTTCTGTGGCGTCGGTGTCCTGGCTTCCGGTCAGTGTTTACCTTATACACAAATACAAAGAGACATCAGCCGTACGGAGTCAATGATCAAGGGCACCTTGGGGTGCTTCTGCTTGAACGAATCCAGCAAATGGACAAACTCGGCATCGACAATGATGCTGTCGACCTCGGCAAACTCGAAAATGTAGGCAATGTCGTCGGGCTTCAGCCTGTAGTTTGCCGGCACGACCACGGCCCCCGCCGCCGGAATGCCGTAGATGGCCTCGAGGAACGCTGGCGTGTTGGGCGCGAGGATGCCCACGCGCTTCAAGCCGTGCTTCTTCAGGTAATAAGCCAAGCCCCTGGCGCGGTCGGCAAATTCCTGATAGTTGCGGCGCAGGACGGCGCCGTTGGAGGTGATGTGGTAGATGGCCTCGGCATTGGGCTCAATGGACGCGGCGCGCTCGAGGAAGAAGGTTGGCGACAGGTGGTGGATGTGAGGAGGCGTGGGCTGGTTGGGGATGAGATGGCCGAGGATGGAGCGGATGCGAGACGGCGGGCCAGACATGGTGGGCGTGTTTGGATGAGGCCTTGACCTCGGATAAGAAGAGAGAGTACTGGGTATGTGATGAGAGACCCGTAACTTATAGCTGAGAAGGGAGAGGGGGCGAAGGAGGAGAAAGAGGAGAAGTGGCTATAAAGATGGGAATCGAAGCAGTGGGTGTCTAGACATACGGCGACTGCTGAGATTCTAACAAGACATGTCCCGAACAAAAGGAAGAAGACAAGAGAAGAGGAAAAAAGGAGGGAAAGGGGAAAAGGAAGAGAAGGCGGCCAGCGTCTTAAACAGACCATCGCCAGCTTGCCCTCGGTTCAAAGGCACCGGCTCCGGAGCGCGGCTCTCTGTGCCTGGCGATGCGACTCGCGGGACGGGACGGCTAATACATGTCGGGTACATGCCCTGTAGACCTCGAGTACCCGGCTAGCGCTAGAGCAGCACTAAGACCGCTGGGCTACGGGGGAGAATCTGGGGACTCCTCCGCATTTTCGGGACATTAGTACCATGGTGAGAATAACATGAGCCAATGAGGCTGCTCCTGTTTACGGCCTGAGTAATACCTGGGTAATGTTGGTCAAAGGCACCTACATATGAATGAGGTGCGAAGTAAAAGGCATTGGGCATCATTATTCGGACGAGAGTAACACGAGTACTCAGCCGAGATGACTTGTTTGCTTGCATGCTGTGGCGCTTCGGGTTGCCTATCAGTGGCTCATCCCTCGCTGATCATGTCACCCGTCTAAGCAAAGCCGATCAGATGCAGAATGAAACGGCACAAAATGTGACTACCTATGCAAACTTGATCATTCGCCAATTGCCTTTGTACCCTAATGCTTTCTTCATACTCTCTTCCTGTCCACTGGCACTTTTCACACCAAGTCATAATGATAATATGTTTGTTCCGTGTACCTTAACCTCGACTTCGAAGATGCCCAAGGACGGAGGTACTAGGCTGCCTGCGTATCGATAAGCCGATAGGTACTAAGTATGTATGACCTTTGATAACACAGTGGAGGCTCCAGCTCTCTTGGTGGCGCGCCGCATCTGAGCTTCAACTCCAAAATCGTCTCTATTCTCTCCCGTCCTGTCAAACAGCTGTCGTCATCTCACCAGCTAATCCAAGTGCGGCCGCGGCTCTCTTGCACTGCGTCTCCTCTCAGTTCCCTCCCAGCATCTCTTACGCACGAAACATCAGCATTTTGTCTTGAATATCACCGCCGCATCTCCCTATTTGAAGCCATCTATCGACCGCTATTCAGCATCTTTATCTATCTTATCTTACCTGCCCGCCGCCCAAGCACTCCAGACTTGACAGCTTCCTCTACTTCGACTGTTCCTCCTCCGTGCCATCCTCTCTTGTTTCGAGGACATCTTCATCACCGTCTACCCAGAAGCTCGATGATTATACCTTAGCCTATCTACCTTACCTATCCTATCAAGTACGTACGTGCCCTGCAAGTGTGGTCACAGTTGAAACCCCCCCATCAGCCCCTGGGAGCGCAACCGATTGCTTCAGCCCAAAGCGCCCCCCCTCCGATTTTCAGGAGAGTACTGGCCGGGTATCTCTCAATGGACCATCTCCCTAAACTATACTGGTCATCTCCATCACAGTCCTCAAGCGGCAGAAGCTTACCATCGCACCAATAGCCCGTCACCGTCGTCTTGCAGCTCATGGCTTCTCAGCAACCCACCGACGCTCCCTCACCAGCTCGACCAGCTCCAGAGAGAGGCGCCTCCTACTCGCACCAGCCGAACACGACCACTGCACCCAGCATCGAACCCCCCAAGCGGGCGCATACCTTCCACTCCGCATCGCCCTCGGAGAAGCTTGGAACTGCCGGAACCGACGCCGAGGCTCCCGATACCTTTGACACCGCCGACAATTCCGACAATGAAGACTTCCCCGAGATCACGCGAAACTCGATTGAGCTTGACGACCTCCCGATCGAGCTGATTACCTTGACCGATAGGTGAGGAGATGGATGGCTACACTTGATCCAACCCCAAGTCCTTGTCTGACCGACTCATGTAGCTTCGTCGAGTCACTCTCTGCCAAGGTCCACTCCACGCCGCCGAATATTGCCAAGCTATCGCAGCTGTTCCAGGAGTTTTATGCCCAGGCATCCTCTCACATCGCTACCCATGTTAGCGCCCTTGCTTCACGCCAGAGCCGCGAGACTTTCCAGCCCCCGCCACCAGCATCCTCCGTCGCCAGCCGCCTTCGGTCAAAAGCAGCCTCATTAGGCTCAAAGGACAAAACGAAGACGGAAATTGAACAGCAGATGATCACGCCCGAGGAACTAGCAAATCGCAAGAAAGCAAGGCGAGCTCTAGAGGTGAAGCGAAGCTTGCTCGAGGAGGCCGTGGAAAGGAGGCTATGCGAGGGTATCTACGAGCGAATCTACCGCCACAGGAGTACGCAGGATGAAGCCCAGGATGCGAAGCTGCGGTCCAAGACGGCCGCCTTGTCCCTTGTGGGCATCGGGCCTTCAGACCTGGGGATAGATTTGGGTGAAGCAGAAGCGGAAAAGGAAAAGTCAACAGCTGAGAAGACAGAGGTCATCCGTGCTCAGCTCGAGCCCGCACGAAAACAACTGATTCAAATGGCAGAGTCAAGGTACCCGCTTGGCAAATTAAATCGCCTCAAGGCCGCACATAAGAGCATCGTCGATACACTGGCCCAGTTTCATCCTTCGGCTTCGGCGGACGAGATCATGCCGATGCTCATCTACACACTCATCACGCTTCCCCCGGAGCATCTTCACGTCATCAGCGACCTCCACTTCATCCAAAACTTCCGTTGGGAACAGAAGCTCACAGGCGAAGAGGCCTACTGTTTGACAAATCTCGAGGCTGCCATCAGCTTCCTGCAGACCGTCGACCTCGCCACACTGAGGGAGGATGAGAGCCCATCAGGGCCCGTCAAGACACCCGGCCAACCTGCGACTCCCAAAGTGGAAACTTTTCCGCCGGCATACTCTCAGGGGCTGACGACCTCACCGCAGAGTACTTCTGCTGTCAATACTGAAAACGCCACAGCCTCCAAGCCCGAGGCATCGCCCTCAAGCCTCAAGCCAGCGACGACTGTCAAGAACAGGAGATTGAGCGACTTGGTCAACACCCCCGCACAGGCATTTGGCGCTGCTAGCGACGCTGTCTTCACGACGGCCGATCAAGGGCTCAAGACCATCTCCAACAGCCTGGGCGAGAGCTACAGCTTCCTCCTCGGCAAGCTTAAAGAGCGCCAGGAGGACCCCAAGGAGCCCATAGCCGTCCCCAAGACCCTTGACGAAGCTCGCAAGCTCGTGAGCACGCCGCCCCCGGAAGACGAAGACAGCACTATATCCATAGCGGCGCCAGAGCCAGACCAGGCCAAACCCCAGAGTGGGCGCCGGGATGAGCGCGTCTTGAGCATCATCGGCGGCCGTCGTGACCGCAGCACGGACAGCACTCGCAGCGGCCGTAGCGCGAGTTCATCGAAGAAAGTGCTCTTTGCAGAGGATCCAAAGGCCGCGGCCGCTACCCCTGTGCCGGCGCCCGCCAGCCCGGCCATGCTGGACCAGATGCGCAACTTGAGCAACACGTTCAACCCCATGGCACGCCTTTCCGGCATCAGCTTGGTCCGAGGCTTCGGTAGAAGCGCATCCGGCCCCGTGAACCCTCCTGCCAAGGATGCAAAGGATAACAACAAGGACGCAAAAGACTCTAAAGATGCCGTGAAGCCAACTGATGGGGGCGATTTAGCAACAGTAAGTCCCTTCCTACCTAACCCGCCTTTTTACGATTTACTGACTTTGAAACTGTCAAAGGCCTTCCCAGACATCGCAGCCGTCCTCCCACCAAAAGAAACCCCCAAGATCCCTCCTCCAAACAAGCGCTTCATGGAGCTCCAGAATCCGGGCGATTTGCGCCTCAGCGAGGTCCTCGACCTACTCAAAGACTATCGTCGGCTTGCCGGCGCCTTGAAGAACATGGGCGCCTTTGAGGACAAATAAGCAAGCAGGCGTCCGTGATTTAGATTCACCTACCTTACTTACACTGCCATTTTTGGATAAATTTCCTCGCTTTGTTTCCTTGTCTCTTTCATTCCCTTGGCCTTTTGGAGCTAGAAGTAGATGGGCAACAGTGGCGGAATATGCATGGCTTCATTCATTTACAGGGCAATCACGGATAGACAGCATTTCGGCGTTTACAGGCGTTACAGCGGAACAAGATGTCGAGTTTAGCAAATTTCGTATTCGTTCGTGTTTATTCACAAGCATCAATAGATACATCATCAGACCAACTGCCCGCTATGTAAAAAAGCTGTTGATACCACCAGAAGCTCCAACCGTGAGCAGGCGCACCGCCAGGTATCACTCGACGAGGCTTCTGTTTTCGCCACCCCAAGCCAATCATATTTTCGTTCAACAAATAAGAGAACAATGGAAAGGAAAATATAGGAAAGCAACAAATAAATATGTACAGTGGTAATATAGCCATCGTTGAGGGCTCGTTAGAAAGGAAATAGAAATGTCCACGGATTTCTCTAAAAAGCAGAAGATTCAATACGTCGTGGCTTGTGTGGAAAGTCATAGCTCGACATTTGTCGCAGCTCGTCGTCTTCCTCAATCCGAGGCTGTAAGTGGGCGCTTGAGGGTTCTGGTAGAGCGCCAGTAACGTCCACAGACCGGCTCCTCTGGTGTCCCTCGACTGATCTTCCCCTTGGACGGAGGGCCTCTTGGGGGACGACGGGACCCGGGTGCAGTAATTGTGTTATAAGGCTGCTATTGGCCCGCTCACGACTCCTGCTGCGGCTGCGTCCAGTAGTCGCCTGGCGCTGCAAGCCCGTGGTGGCACCAGTAGATACGACGGTGTTTGTCCGAGCAAGGGCAGCCTCGGATTCTTCTTGTTCCCTCTTCAGGCGGGCTTCGCTCGGGAGGATGACAGCGCGATCAAGGCCATACGGTAACCCACGATGTCGACCACGTATTTGCATAGCCACGATGATGAGCTTCCCAGGAACCGAGAACTGCGAGGAGAGTGACGCATTGACACCGGGTACGCCCATGCTGAGGCCGACGGTTCCATAGGCACTGACGATTTCGAAGAGGACAGCGAACAAGTCGAACCGGCCCCCAACAATCTTGCCGCCTTCGGTAATGGCGAGAAGGAAGAAGCCCAAAAAGACATACCACAAATCAAAAGATAGCTGGCGCCGCAAGTGAGTCCCAACATAATCGAGAGCGCTTGCTTCCGAATCGTCATCGTCGCTTCGGTCATGATATACGCCCAAAGATCTCTCCTCGTAGACGTTGGTTCGTCGAATAGAAATGGCGATGGGAAACACGGATATGTACATCATTATCATATACAGAACCGGCATGGCAGGGTGCAGGTCAGACATGCTGACGGCCGAGAAGCCGGCTGTTCGGGTTGACGCAGCTTGGAAGAGGCCGATGACAACTCTGTTCCTAAGAGGCAACCTGGTGATGGGTTCTGCGCCAAGCTAAGAGAAGTCAGCATCCAAGGTCGACGGTAAAGGGCCCAAATGAGCGGAAACTTACATCGAGAACGATAAAGAAGACAAGGTCTATAACGTTGAGCAAGACGAGAATCCAAAACAGCCACCAGTTTGCATTTGACGGGAAGAGCAGCGTGAAGCATCGACGGGGATGGTCAAGCAAGAACCTAAACTCTTCCCAAAGGCCAGTGCCTCTGGAGGTGAACTTGGAAGCCACCCATATCATGAAGCGCAGCATGACGGGGAAGCCCGTGTTTCCAATGATGATGAAAAACCACATGGCCATGAGAACCCATTCGGAAGTGGCAAACGAGTTCATGCTGTCCGGCGTCAGGGTAAATCCCACATCCATAAAAGCCATGTTGGAGGTCCAAAACGCCCACCAGGTCTTGCCGATAGCATCCTGGGCAAGGACGTTTCCGAAGTGTTGGTTGGCATAAATGTACGGGAGCAGACAGACAACGGCCAGGATGTGGAAGGCGAAGAAATAGAACATCAGCACAATGGCCAGAGTTCTCAGCGACCGGTATTCAATACCGCCAAGCTCCTCACGCTGTTCGAGGGTCAGGCCGAGGAAGTTTGAGTTACGTCCCATGGTGGGCGTATAGCTGAGGTACGGCATGTCAACCTCCTTTTCTCGGGTCAAGACGGAGCGGATAGTGTCCATGGTTTTGGTTCGCACCGGGCGCGGGTTTGGCGTCCTCGACCTTTGTCTGGATGAGCTATCTTCGTGCAGCTTGTCTTGTGAACGGTTGAAGATGCGCGGCTTTCGAAACCTCAGGGTATCCAGGGTGCTACCAACGGCTCTAACGTCTTCTTCGATTTCGTCTCGCCTACGATGCTCGGGCTCAGCGATGGTAATGGTGGGCTGTCGCCCATGAATATTATTCGACTCGCCATTGCGAGAGTCGGCAGTGGTCTGGCGACCAATCGGCCTATCCTCGTCTTCCTGCTGGTCATCCTCTTCAAGACGTCGAGGACCCAGACCTCGTTCTGTTTCCCGCGGCCCAGGAATGCGAAGCACTTCGTTGTCCTGGTTTCGCTGCCTCTCAAGAATGGCAATGTGTTCGGCATTGGAGCGTCGCTGGGGAAACTTTGTAGCTTCACTGCCAACGCCGTCACTTCTCTTAACAGTGTCGGCAAACGTGATGGCTGTTGTGAGTGGGTGATGCTCTGGCCGCCCGTCGGGTGCAGAGCTATTATCCTCGGGATTCACGTGTGAATTGTCTCTCTGATGTGGCTGTTCGAGGGGGCTGATATCATCAAGGTCATCGCCCTTGTGCAAATCGTCGGACACTGTCGTCGTATCACTTTCGTCGCTCCTGCCAACGGGCTTGGGATCGCCCTCTGGAATCTTATCCAAGAGAATGCCATCATTGGTAATTCGGTTTGTCCTCTCATTCCGCGGTACAATTGTGATGTGCCTTCCGTTCACACCTTGACCGTTTTCAGCCTGGCTCAGATCATTTCGCGCCTTTGATTTGGACTTGCTGAGAGTTCGGCGACGCAGTCGGGCTTCCTGGACCCAGTGCTGAAACCGCTTCTCGAACCAGTACAGCCGGAGGAACACGACGCATGTGTGTAGTGTGATGGGGTTAGAGAGTAAGGAAAATGTGTAAATCCAGGACTGTTGGAATCCGTTGAGATTGTTGACATCCACAGGGTTGAGTCCAGCTTGAGTATTTGCACCACTGCCGAACATGAGAGCATCTATAAAGTGAAGCTGGCCCTTGCCACCGGCATAGATGAGAATAGAAGAGAGCAGTGTTGCAAAGATAATCCAAAAGTCTAAGCGTGCAACAGTCAGTACAAACGTGTTCGCGATGAGACGAGAAGCGTCAGAGATGAAGTGAGTCACTCACAATGAACAGTGATGAAGTTGAAATGAGGTGTCTTTGACACAAAAGCGGGTTTGGCAGCCTTGAGCTGCGCCGCTATAAAGGCGCGAGTGTCGTCCAACATTTTCGTTTAGGGAGATGGAGAGAGGCTCCGAATATTGTCGGGGGTAGATGCAGGTGGCTGCTCTCGAGAAGTAAAGGAGGGTTTAACTCCAACTGCGCCGGATGAATCGCGATGCCAAGTCAAGATAAGATATGAAGCTGGCGAAAGAAAAATGTATGTGGGTGAGCGAGGTGGGTGTTGGCAAGATGATGCTTTCTTGCAGCCGCTGGTGAGAGCGAAAGAGATTTCGTTCGTGTCGTGTTAGGCGTGAGTCCAATCGAAGGACGTCACAAGCAATAGAGGGCAAAAAGTCATGATCGAGGACAATGCAAGTGGCGAGATGTGATTATCGTGAGGTGACCATGTCTGGTCAGGGGGGCAGCAAAACTCGTAGTATAAGGGGAAGGCTCACTTGCAGCTGTTCCGGGAAATAAAGAGCTGGAACAGGGGAGAAGAAGTGGGTTAAAAGGAAAGGAAAAAAGAGGAGTATCGATAGAGAGGTAGCAGTCGAAATGCGGGTGCAATGCTCGACACTAATGTGGGTGTTGCTGGAAGTGATGATGAGGAAAATGGAGAGAGGATAGCGGCTGCCCGAGGAACGAACAACTATACCAGCCAGTGGCGGGAGGGAAGCAAGGAGGCCTGGGCCGGTCTGATATCGACAACAGCTTATCAGGAGGGCCAACAGCCTATGCACTCGTGCTGGCAGCAGTGCTGACGGGTTTTATGCTTGCAAGGAAGCTCTGGTTTGCGACAGCGAGGACTAGGATGGCACTGATGGTGCTGAGAGATTGGCGAGAAGGAAGATCGTAATTGGCGACTCCTCTTGCGAATTGGCCAGGCGTGCCTGCGACTTGTTGACTGGTGTGCAGACACCTCGACGCCTCAAATCGATCTATTGGAGGAGGGTGACTATCGTCCCAGGGCACAATCCCACGCGGCTGGAGAAGATGGTACAGGCCGAGCAAAAGACGGTGAAGCTGCTGGAAGACGAAGAATAACCAATGCAATGATAGCCGATGCAAAGGTATACAAGTTTCTGCTGCAAACGTCGGCAGCAAAAACAGGGAGCCGGGATCCCCTTTCTCGCAGAGGGCCCGTGGGCTGATGTGATGCGCAGGCCCGTGGTTGCAAGGCGCCCTCGCTCTAGGGTCTGGGGAGTTGTCTGCCGGGCAACCGGGGTCTCGCTGGATGTACTTGGTGTACTCCGTACGTGTGCCTGTCCTGTTGTGCCGCGTTACGCTGCGTTGCGCTGCGTGCAGTATTATCCCTTTTGTAGCACCCGACAATCAATCCTGTGCAGCAGCGTCGACGGAGCACCAGCTGCAAGGTCGCCGTACTTGTACCGTCAGAGCAGCAGTGCGATTGTGCTTCGCAACGGCCACCGCAAGTGACTGCTGGGTGATGCCGGGCCTCGCTGGATCAATTCCCGCGGCTGCGGCAAGATGCCAAGCCCCTTTGGCGGCGATTGGTGGTACGGAGCACGGCGAGCCAAGGACGAATGGAGCACAGCCAGACGCAGACGGTTCAAGACGCGCCGCCGCCTGCGAGCGTTCGGGCGTGTTTGTTCCGTTTCGAGACGCTGTTTCTTTCGGATTCGGGAGGGTTGATGGGAGTGGAAGCCTTGAAGATGGACAGAAGACTGGGAGAAGAGAAAGAAGTTGAAGTTTCTCCCTCTGCCCTTTGCCTCTATTTGCCTACTAGGTAAGAACAGGGAAGGGGGCAACAGCAAGAATCGACGACCTGCGCCTTCGTGCGACTTGCTGGCTGCTGCCGATTTTTTTGCGCCTCCCCCGTTGCTTCTTTCCCTGCCCGACCAAACGGGGCTCCATGCCGGGACAGGCTTAGCCGAATGCTTAGCCCAGCGTACTTTTTGGCTTTTACCTGCGTATTTTCTGGTGACTGGGAAGGTGCAAGGCAAGAAGGCAAGAAGGCTAGAACGACCCGAGCCCCCACATACGTCAGTCCGTCCAGTCCAGTCCAGTCGGGCAGTCCAGTGCATGGCTGGGCTGGGTGAATGGGGTCCATGCGTGCTGCAGTGGTACCTGTAGTATCTCGTGTGCTGGGGACGGAGTAGCGGCTGCTAAGACGAGGCCGGACCGCTGCTGCGGGATCTGCCACGGGGAAGGTACCGAACTAACAGCGGTACCTTTAGTACGTAGAGGGAGCCGACGCAGTTGTTCCATCTCTGCGGAGTCCAAGTTGCTTCCATGAGCTCATTCAACTGCAGTGTCTTCTTCCGGTTCTTCATCAACCTCAGCGGCGGTCTCGCTTGTAATACCAGGTTCTTCCATCTACAACTCAACTCCAATTATCACTTGCAATCAGCGTATGTACGATCAATCGAAACATGTGATCCAACCAAGGAAACATCTCACACAGTGCCTCGACCGACCAACACTAGGAGCCCTCTGATGGCAATTCAGCATCAGCCACGCGTGTTCCAGCACCTCAGTGGGCTGCCCCCCTAGATCTAAGGGTCAAGGTAAAGGAGCGTCAGCCAACGCCGAACAGCGAATCTTGCCGCTCACACAGAGGCTTGTTGGAGGCCCTCTGTCCTCTGGCAGCGTTGTTTTGCTTTTCTGATGGAGAAACATCCCCTTGTTCCTCCGTCAGGTTCATTAGTACCTCTCGAGTCGTACGGGTAATACGAGTACAACGGCCATGCCGCACTGCCGGGATGATGGCTTATTCCACTACTATTCCACTTGATGATCCGTATACTATTACTATACTAGATGACAAGACTCGCAGTATCCTTTCAAGCCCACTCAACAGCCCGCCATTTACCAGCTTATATTATTGACTGGGACGACAAGATAATATCACTACTCTTCACAATTCTATCATCAAACAGCCAATGCCCCTGCTATCAGACTAAACCCCCGGCTCAAATCAACGCATCACCAGCATCACCATTGGGCATCATCCAAACCGCCAACAATGATGTCACTGCCCTTTATGCTCGGACCCTCATGCACAGCCGCCGATCCCCCAACATCCACATCCATCCATCCATTGCCGCGCAACAATCTCTCTCTCTCTGTGCCACTGCGGCACTTTGTTCAAACCCTTTTTCTCTAGTCTTCTTTAATTCCCTAGACTTCCATTCCGTCCTTGTCCTTCGCTCCCTGTCCCTCCCCGGCCGGATGCAACATCCGTCCCAGAAAAAATAGCCCGTGGTTTCTCACGGACTTTCAACAAGTGCACCATTACCACAACCCTCCACCCAAGTGAAAGGAAAAGTCTCGTGTAACAGCCGTAACACGAACACATGAACTAATACCGTAATACCGGTCCTGGGTCAGTCATGACGGAGACCAGCAGATAGTAGGGCAGGCCGATTGCAATGCAAAGGCACGATATCAATCCCTAGTTCCGTGAAACCCATCCAGCGTTACACAGGACAAACACACCGAAAGAAGATGTAATTCCCTCAATATCAAAACTCGAAAATTCCAATTCAACGTCTTCCCTCCCCTCCCCTCGACCCAATTTTCTGGAACCAGAGCGCACAGCTGATACCATCTATACCTGCCATCCGCTCCGCTGGTGCAACACCCCCCCACGAGGCAACATACCGGCCACCAACAGCAAAACTCACAAACACACGATACCAACGAAGCACCACATCAAATAGATATTGATGGTTGTCTGTAGCAAAAGCCTCGCACTGCATATGCATGCTCTCACAAGAAATCCCGACGCAACGCACGCAGCACCCCATAAGCAAAGCCAGCTCATGCGAACTTACACTGCTGGCATACTCGTTGCCGGTTTCAATACATGTCATATCATGCACGAAACGGCGATGCCTCATCCATTCCAATCCTCCTAGACATGCAACCCTCTCCCTCCAAAAGTGTTTGCTAATAAGACGCCGCCGATTTCGCAGCAGTGATATGACATCCATCGTGATGAGTCGTAACCAATGAGAATAACAACACTGTGCCCTCTTTTGCTCTTTGGGCTCTGAATGCTACGCCGGGTGGGAAAGCTTGGGGCATCTCCTCCCTCCTCAAAATTCCTCCTCCTCTCATTGTCAGCCCAACGCCCGCTCGACCTGCCGACGGCCCCCATACCGATCAGCATACGATGGCTGTCACGAGACGCTCACGGAATGGATGCCCAGCATGCATGCAGCCCAATCCACTCGCGAGCAGAAACTATATTCCAAAAAATGTACTCATCTCTGTTTGTATTGAATGCTGCCTATCATCATTTGATACTGTAACAACTCCCATGAACCCGGCGCCATGAGTACAATCTTTCGCACTCTGGTGTATAATCCAAGGATAACGCCATCCACCAAGCGGGAATCCCTTTTCTTGCTTTGCGTCCCTGCAAAGCCATCTGATATATATGTAGCCTGTAACGCCTTTCCCAAATCAACCATTGGTAGTACCCAGCCATCCACTCTGTGCTCTTGAGCAATATTAAGAGTCAAAATGAAGAGAAAGCAAAAGAAAATCAACCAGGAAGAGAAACGTAGAGGGCGGAAGGGGGGGGAAACAGTGCAGGACTCGACAAAGGTCGCCATCTCAGCCCAAGGCAGCGCGCCTGGCATTCTCTCGCCCAATCTTCTTGAAGAACGCACTGCTCTCCTTCTTTCCCTTTTTGACATTCATCTTCTTATTCTGCTCAATGTAGGCCATGTCTTGGCCGCCGCTGAGCTCGCCCAGAGTGCCTGCGGTGCGGCGGGCAGCTCCCTTCTTCTTCTTCCGGCCCATTGTTCCGCTGTGGAACAAGTCGTCCGTGATGTCTTCATCGTCCATCGTCTCGTTCTCAACCAGCACCTTCTGCAGCAGCTCGCGGCGCTCAGCAGCGGTTGCAAAGGCCAGGCCAGGCGTCTTCTCAATGTTTGCCAGCTGGGTGATAACCTTGAAGGCGTAGCCTTGATCAACCAAAAAGGCCTGGCGCTTCGACGAAAAGTACATTTCCTGCGTGTCCTTGGAGACAAGCGAGTAGAAAAACGCATTGAAGCCCTCGTCATTCCTACGCTTGGCCCGCAGAATGCGGCCCAGTCTCTGCGCCTCTTGACGTCGGGAACCGTAATGCGATGAAATCTGAATCAAGCAGGTGGCCTCGGGCAAATCCAACGACGTGTCTCCAATCTTGGATAGGAACAGAGTGTTGACCTGGGGGTTATGTTGAAAATTTTCCAGCACCTGCAGTCGTTCCGCCTGGCCGGTTCCACCGTAGATGAACGCTTTACCCAGCTTCAAGGCGTACGCTTTCAGAGCGTACACGTTGTCCGAAAAGACAATGATCTTGTCGCCCCTGGATTCGTGATAGTTGATTAGGTACTGGCAGGCCTGAAACTTGCGCGGGTTCATGATGTAGAGCAGATTCTTCTTGCGCGATGGCGCCCGAAGATACTCGTCGTAGAACTCGGTGGGCATTGGACACCACACTTCGGCGCACTGAACGCGGGCAATGTGGCCCTGCTTGGACAGCTCCATCCAGTTGGCCTCGAAGAGCTTTGGCCCAATGAGGAAGTTCAAATCAGAAATCTTGTCGTCCTCTCTAAGCAGCGTGGCTGTCAAGCCCAGTTTGGAATGCGTCTTGATGGAAGATGTGACCTTTCGGAAAATGTTGGCGGGCACAACGTGCACCTCGTCCAAAAGCATCAGACCCCATTCTCGGCCGGTGAGGAACCTCATCATCTTCTCGGCGTCGTACGATCTGGCCCTCGATTGGGTGACCATGGAATAGGTCGTGACGATGATGCCGGTGCTTCCCGTGAAGACGCTGTTCTTGGAGTCGGACGTGAAGGCGACAATATCGTCCGGGTTGATGTTGGACCATTTCAAGAACTCGTTTCGCCATTGCACCACGGACATGGAACTCGTGCACAGCACAATGACACCCTTCTTGATCGTGCACGCTGCAGTAATACCGACCAGCGTCTTTCCAGCGCCGCAGGGCAGCACGATCAGGCCGCTCTTGGCACGTCCGTTTCCAAACATTTTGCTAAGGCTCTTCTCCTGATACGGACGAATCTGAGTGCCGGGCTTCAGATCGATGTCGAGCGTCGCGTTTACTTCGTCTCGTCGGAAGTCGTACTCCTCAAGGACCGGGAATCCCAGGTTGAGGCACTCCTTCTGCACCGTCTCAACGTCTTTATCGGCAATCTCAAAGGCGTGCGTCACCTCTTGGTCGTCATCATCCTCCTCGCCGAGCCGAGGCCCAATTTCACTTGCTGGCAAGGCTGACTGGCCGTCGCTCAGCGGCTCGCCGCTGGCTGGCTGCAGTCCATTCGCCTGCTTGGCACCTGCAGCATTTTTCGTACCGGGAATGACGAGACTACCGAGCTTGGGCGCGGCTGATGTAGTGATTTCCTCGGTCCCCTGAACGCGCAGAGGACCAATCTTGGGGTTCTTGAGCAGCATCTGCAGCATATTGGGATCCGGACTCTCGACGTAGTACTTTGTGTTCTTCAGGACGAGCTTGACCTTGCCGTAGCTCTGGGTGCAGCTCTCGATGAAGGACTGGATCTCTTCTGGCAGCGGCGTCTTGAGAAAGCGATCGAGGGTGTTGATGATGTCCTTGGGCGACAGGCCGACGGAAACCGCGGCGTAGAGACTGTGCGTAGTGAGGGCATATTCATGCATAAACGTCGGGCGAGACAGGGGCTCGGCAATGGTGATGAGGAAGTCTTGGGCCTGCTCCGCCAGCGGATTGAAGCTCTCCAGGATGATCCTCCCCTTCTGAGGATCGATCCAGAGCGGCCGATTCCTGTGATCTTTCTTGAGCTCGAGGTACGAGAAATCGTTGTTGCCGAAGATGTGCGGGAGAGGCTCCCGGATATGGTGCTTCTTCTGATATCGCCCCAGCGAGAAGCGATCTATGTTCTTGTCGATCTCCTGCTCCAGCTCCTCGTCGACGGGCGCATCGTCCTCTTCCACTACTTCGTCGCCGCTATCGATGCTGCGGGGCGTCGTGCCCCCGGGCGTAGATATGCGTGAGGACCGGCCAGCCTTGATTCCTCCCTGCGCGGCGCTGGTGCCTGCCTTTCGCTTCGGAGGCATCGTGAGATTCTGATGTGAAGATGTGAAGGATTAGAGAGATACTGTCTGCGAAAAGCAGCCGATGTTGTGAAAAAAGAGAATGGCACGTCGTCGCTGTGAAAAGAACGAGAAATAGGGAGCAAGACAAAACGACCTGAGAAGACTGAGAAGAATAAAGAGGAGAAGAAGATGGTTGAGTTTTAACGTTTGTCACTGGAATCAAAGATGGACCTTCAAGGCAGAGCATCGAAGCTGACTAAGGGAAGGTGACAAACTCAACGCTAGGCACGCCACCGAACGAGAGTTCAAGGACGGCTCCGATAAGATAAGCATCTATAGTACTAGGTAAGGCGGGTAATCAGCTGCTTGAGGTAATCAGGGGAGGCCAATCGAATGCTGTCAACAGCCCCCGCCAATAGCACTTGACCGAAGACCGAACCCAATACCTTACAAGAAGAAGAATGCACCACGATCTCTACTGAACGCTCGAGAACAGGAGGAATTTTGACTTGATCTCGCTGTCGTTTTCCAATCTTTCAAGTCTACAAACGCGCACTTCAAAGAAGAAACCACCGCCTCAACGGTTATTCCCTGTGTCCAAAGCTTGTATAGCTTCCACGACTTCCACAACCTTCTATCCAACCATCCACGATGTGGTACGCACGAACAAGCGCAAAATCAACGATGCTCCAAGTTAACCAAAAGTCAACAGCAAACACATTCTCAACGCCCAAGTCGCCATCCGGTCACCATGCTGTACGTCTACATGCCAGCATCCACACCTAACAAACCACCAACAACACCAACAACCCGAACCCTCAATCCCTTTCCCTCCAACGAACCGAACAACCTCCCCCCCCCCTACCTAAAAGCGCCATCTCCCTCCCATCAAAGCTCCAGCTAACAAAAAAACCACAACACACAAAACAGGCCGGAAATGGTTCGACTGCGCCGAGTGCCACGCAGAGCAGGAGAGCCACCCCCTCCTCCAGAGCTTCGAAATGACCTTTGCCTGCAAAAAGTGCAAAAAGGCCTTCCGCAAGGACGCCCAGGAGTTCGACGAGAGCGACGAGTACTGCCCCCACTGCGACAACCACTTCGTCATCGAGGCCAAGACGCCCAAGGCCGCCCTCACCATCGAGGGCGAGGACGTCCGCATGAACAACAAGCTGCTCAAGGACGAGAGGGTCCGGCAGGATGGCCGGAGGACCATTTTCGATCCGACGCCGGATGCTGACAAGCTCGGTTAGGAGGGGGGAATAGGCGTGGATATTACTTTAGTAGTTAGTTGGGAGACATGGTTGTGAGTATATTTCAAGGTGCATATATGCATGGGCCTTGTCTGAAAAGGGCATGTAACGGCGTTGCACGGCATCAGATTGATTGGAGTTTCTTTTCTTTGCTTTACTTTTGTTTTTTCGTGTGTTATTCATAGCATCCCTCTTCATTCAATGCTTGCATCTGTTGATACAGCAAGGCAGCAGCATCGCATCCGCGCTCTAAGTTTGCACTCCATGAAATACCATTCTTTCTGTGTCTTCTCGTACTCTCTATTCAGCAGCAGAGTCATCGCCGCTCCTCGTCAGAATGGCAGCGCTTCCCGTGCCCGGCGTTCGTCCCGTCTTCTTCCTGGCAGCCTCCTCCTGCTTCTCCTGCTCAATCTCCTTGACGTAGCCCTCGATCTCGTCCGTCGGCAGCAGCTCCATATGCGCGCCGGGAGCCATGAGGGCAATCTCAATGTTCTTCGCGCCGGTCTGCACCACCTCGAGGAGTGACTTGATTGCTAGCCGGATGGTCGTTTCCCGGTCCATGTCCTCCTTGTAGTTTCGCTCCAGGAATTCTCGAACAGTCTTGCTAGAGCGGCCAATAGCATTCGCCTTCCTATAGCGGGGTCAAAAGAAGTTAGCCATCATGACCACACAAATCAAGCCTTCCACGATACAAAGAAAAGAGGAAGGAGGAGGGGGGGGAGTCCCACCAAGCTGAGTAGATACCAGAAGGCTCAGTCTGATACAACCTCGGCACCTTGCTCCCATTGTCAAACCCAACCACCAGGGTGCTGATGCCAAACGGCCGCACGCCTCCCGCCTGGGTGTAGCGCTGCTGCACGCCGGCGACGTATTTCGTAATGTACTCGATCGTGACGGGGTCCTCCACCGACAGCCGGTGCGACTGGGCCTCTAACCGCGCCTTGTCGACCAGGATCCGGGCATCTGCGTTGAGGCCGGCAAAGGCCAGCGCGACGTGGTGGTCCAGCACCTGGATCTTGGACGGCGTGATCCTCGTGTCCTGCAGCTTCATGGCGGACCGCTTCTCGCATCCCAGCACCACGACGTCCTTGCCCTTGACGCCGACTGCGCATGTGCCTGTATTCGAGAGAAAGGGTCAGTCGAGGCTCTGGGGGGAGAGAGGTGGGCAGATAGGTTCGGGCTTGTCGAAAACGGACCTCTCTTGACAGCTTCGCCGGCATATTCAACCTGGAAAACGTGTCCGTCGGGGCTAAAGTAAACGTCAGATCGAGGCATTTGTCATGGACAAGATGGGCCGCAGCGGCACAAACCTGAAGACTATAACACAACGGCAAATGTCAGCGACAGCACATCAGATATCGATATCAGCCAGACAATGGCGGAACAACCTACCCGACAGAGCTCTGTCGTAACCAGACGCCATGGCTGGTGATTATCGCAGATAAAAAGTCACACTCTCTCTGGCGTGCAAAAATGCAATGCAAGCGGCAGGTCAATGCTGTGAGAAGCCAAAAGCTGCTTGGTGTTTGGTGTTGTTTGTTCTGCCGCTTCGACGTCGATAGTTGGGGGGGGGTTTGTTTCCGATATGCTGCAGCGGAGCTTCGTCAGAGTGGCAGCCTACCTCACTAACCAACTCATGGCGGGACACTCGCAAAAGGCTGGAGCTGGGCCTGGCTGGAGCTTCCCTGTGGCGTGTGGACGGAGAAACGTGATGGCGGGGCCCGGGCGAGGTACGTACTCGAGATCACATGACGCTCGCGCTCTGCTGAGGACTCACTTACACGACATTGATCCATCAAGAAAAGAGCTTAATCGAGAGACAATGTTATGGTACAAACTTGTTCAAAATGAGCAATTGGAGCAATTGAAGCATATAATCCTGCTTTCAAGCTCCCTGTAATACCCACAGCTGAAGTATAGTCGGGCGCATTCTACACCGAGTCAGTTCACTACTTGGCTTCCTCATCATCCAAGCCTCAAAGCAACCATATCATTCAACGCACACGCCTACTCACAACTTACGACCAGATAAGATGTCAAGATATTTATGATCTTGTCCCTCCTACAGTACAATCTTCAAAAGCCCCCCCTGCCATCACGAAACATGACATCTTAATACATGCAATAATATGTAGTCCAACTATCCCCCAGTTCTCCGGCCAGCATCCACCGTAACTAAGCCTTCCATATCCGCACTGTCCCACCCAGCAAAGTTCGCCCACAAACCCGCGTCCTCCCACACTGTATCCCCTTATGTCGCCTGGCAGCGCTATTCTTAGCCACGACTTACACAGCCATCACCAGCAGTATTACCAAGACGGTCAAGCATCAACCCCAGGGAAAAGGGAAAAAGGAGACATGGGCAAGATATAAAAAGTTGACTATGGAAGTTATTGTACAAATTCTTGTTTTCTGTTTCTTTTCCCCCCTTTGGCCAATTCCCCTTCCTGAAGGGGACGCCTTGAATTTCAGTCCAGAATGTGTCCGTCTCCCCCAGTATCTCTTTGCCTCCTCTCCTCAGCAGACCAGCTGCCTGCCCTGTAAGTGTCTATCAAGTCTATCTCGGTTTTCTTTCAAAAAAGGTTCCAAATGCCGCTGCTATACAAGTCTTCTTCACACAAGATATTATCATCGTTCTCTTTCTCCACTTTCCAAACTCTGGTATTCCTTCAAAGCTCCCCCTTTCGTCAACACAAACTCACGCATTCATTAGAACTTGGCCACTTCAGCCCACTTGTGAGACTGCAAGACACTAGTCACAGCTTGTGCCTTCGCCCACAGTCTCTTCTTGAAGCCATCCAGCCAAAGAATTTCAAGCACGCCATCCTGCGACGCGGCATTGACTTCTCGGTAAAAGTCCATGGCAACCGTCATCGGCCCCAGGAGCAGGTCCGGCTGGACAGTCAACTCAAGCGCCGAGTCCAGCCCTCGACAAATATTGGCCGCCAGCTCTCGTCCGTCCTGATAGTGCGTCGGGTCGATCTGCAAGCTCGGAGGCAGCTCCGGCCATGGGGGCGGATAGGCGTCAACAACAGGTTGGAAAAAGGCCATGTATATGTGCTCGATGCAACGGTGGAAGGGGATCATGGCCATCCAGTAGTACACGAACATCAGGCCGGTGACTCCATCTCGGAACGTGTACGCGTTGGCAAAGGGAATGGCGCCTCCAGGGCTCCTGAGCTCCTCGGCCCAGAACGGGTACGGGTGCTCTTCCGTTCCCCTATATGCCTCCTGCAACCACTGGCGAAACTGGCCCTCCAAGACGAGACAGTGATGGAGAAGCTCTTGCGCTCGCGTGCGTCGGGCAAGTGTTGCATCGAGGAGAAGAATTCGGTCGACCTGCTCGAAGAGTGCCGGAAGCTGAAGGATAATATCAAACAGGTGGTCGAGAGTTGACTTCGGATGCTGTTCCCATGGTATGGCCGTCCATTCCGGTCTTCTCAAGAAGGTGTCTCTTCGGCTCAGGAGAGCAATGCTCATCTGTCGTCCAGCTTATCAGCATCAGGGGGCAAAGAAACGGGGGCAAAGATGACCGGAAAAGCACGTCGGAAAAGCACATCGGAAAAGCGATCGAGGAAAGCTTACAGCTACGGGGCGATACACCCTCACAAAGAAGTGATGATTCGGGAAGGAGGCGAAATAGTGCGGGCCCAGCCGAGTCATTTGCTCGGCCGTGAGCCTCCATGACGCACCGGAGGAGTCGTGCTGTATAAATATCTCGGATTAGCACAACCGGACATGAAGGGATGGGAGGAGAGGCAGAGAGGGCAACCTCCGAGAAAATCCCGCGGAGAGAACAACAACACCACGGAGAGCATCCCTGAACACACAGAAAGGCAAAGAATCGAAAACTCACCTCGAAAAGGAACGCGCAGTAGCTCTCTGTCGAGTCATGCTCGGCACTGGCAGCCTTTTGGCGCACAAAGCATTGCGCATTCATACCAAAGGCATCGTCCGCCACCGGCAGCAACTCAGCCGCCGCATAGGGAGGGAATTGTATAGCACTCAACAGTCCCGCGGGCAATCCGTCATTGCCTTCGCTGCCGGCCGGTATTTCGAGTCTGGTCACGCTCTGCAGGCTCGTCTGCAGCGCCGTGATGAGGGCCGGGAATCCGGCGCCCCCTTGGCCGCCGGACGACAGTCGGATGTAGTCGTCCCACGCGGAGGTGAGCGGTGCCAGAGGCTGGAAGAGAGGTGAAGCGCTGAATACGCTGCTGCTCCTGCTGCTCTGTGGCTCGTCCGCCTTGACGCTCGGGCTGGGGCTCGCTTTGGGCTTCTTGGAAGGCGTCGTCTTCTTCGGGTGCGAGGCAACGCGGCCTTTGTTCTCCGGAGTGCCGGTGATGAAGACTCGCTCTCTCTCGTAGCCCTCGCAGGTCCTGCCGCTGCTGATGCAGTTTTGGCAGAATGGTCGTTCGTTGCTACACTATTGACTCGCCGTGTTAGTTCTTGCCTGATGCTGTGCGTATCTCTCCGCCTTGGACTCTCTCTTTTCTCTCATTCTCCTTCTTCTCCTTCACCTGCAGCATATCCAACCCCCTTTTGCCGAATTCAATGCGAGAGCAGAGGGAAGGGGAAAGACAAACCTTGACACGACGCCTGCGGCACGTCTCGCACCCCTTATACTTGCCGGGAACGCCAACCATATCGTCGATGTTCGCGATCGCGTATTTATAAGGATTATATATATATATACGCGTATATAAGTGTGGTGGCGATGTGTAAGTGACTGCCTTAGTCCGTGTGTGCGCGTGTAAGACTGAGAATTGGGCCTATGTATGTCGAGTCCGTCGGTATAGGCGCGCGTGTGCGTCTGTCTGCGTTGCGTGTGTCTGGCCTTTGTGGGGGGGGAACGGCGCTTGTTTCCTCAGCCGGTTCCAGAAGGGAAATTAAGAAGGAGACGCGAAACAAGGCAAAAGAGAAAATGTTCCGGTGCGGGCTCCTCGCAAGTAAGCCGTTTGGTCGGTTGCCGTCTGGTCTTTGTCTGTCTGTCAAACTCGGCCCGCAGTTCGCTGCTCTGCTTTGCCACCGCTTATCCTCTTTGCATCATCTTCGGGCCAGTTATATATTTGAAGGAAGAGAGATGAGGACTCGCGTTGGCCATAGGCCTCCTGGACAAGCATGTCGTGGGTGTACGGAAGCTATTCCGGCTAACAAGGTACGGAGGTGGTAGATGGGGGAGCAGAGGTAAGGGTCGGGACATTAGTATACGGAGGTGAGGTAAGGAACAGGCCCAAATCGGGCCAGAACCACATGGCAGCAAGCGTCCCATACTGGAGGGGCGAACGAGGAGAGAATAAAAATGGAATAGATAGATGATCTCCACAGGCGATATGTCCAATCTCGAGCGTCAAACGGTCTCTCAACATTTGGCTCTGGGACAGGTCGGGAGACACACAACTCCGCCTTTGGTCAAGGGCTTTTCCGTGTGGATTGTGGATTGGTGGCATCCCACACAAAGGCCCGGCAACCACCGAAGCACAAACATACGAACGTCGACCAGGCGTCCGGCGAATGGGAAGGCTGAGATAGCCCTTCTCGGCCTCAGCCCCACGGACGACCATGAGGTGCAAGGCTAACACCAGCCCATTGCCGGCCGGTTCAAGGATCAGGGGTTCCGAGGCCTCTTGGGATGCTGTCTCTCGGTCCTGTTTGAGTCGTTCATCCCCTCTCTCTGGGTCTCTCTTGACTTTTCTCCCTCCCTTTCTAGTGTCCCGAGCAGGGCAACTTCCGAGGGAAAGGGCAGGTCTTCGACCGCCCGGCGTGACGCCAGGACGGGCAGCCCTCTCTTCTGCAGTCCCACCATCTTCTTTCTGGCACTAAGTTTCGTAGGGCTGACGCGGAGGGCCTGCTATACTCCTGGTTGGCTGGCCCACCGATACGGCTGAGAGCGGTCGCCCAAGACGTCGTGTGTCAGCGATCAGACGTACGAACAAGGCGCGCGCTGCCATTGGCCGGCTCCCTGAAATGAGAGGAATATGACCTATGAGAAGCATCGGCCGAGCGTGCTGCTGTGGCCTCTTGGGACGCATTCGTGCCTCTTTGGGCGCTCGTGTGGCTCCCTCGACCTGTCCGCCGCTCACCCTGTCCGGCAATCTGATAGGCCGTCCGGGGGGGGGCCCTTGGGCCCGTACCCGTCAAAACCCCCAGGAACCATCCGAAGCCCAGCAGCCTCGCCAAAGCCGGCTGCGTGACGATGCCTGTAAGTCAAGTACGGACGGAGCAAAACACGTCGTGCAAACAACCCACAACCCACTCGACAGACCGCCGGGGGAAGAGAAAACACCGCGTGACAAATAGGGGACTTGCAAAATACTACTTCTCATGGTGCTCTTGATGCGGACCAGTTCTTCCTTGCTCGCCTTTGGCCGTCCACGGAATCCCGGTGTCGGCCGATTCGGAGCCAGATCGGGAAATGGCGCCATGCTCAAACGAGTTACAAGATGTGAGCAGTCTGCCTAAGGGGATCCAGGGGAGGGGATGGGCCCTCCCACGCCCGAAGCCGTCCGCATCTGCCATGACTTACATACATGCAAAAGGCCCAAATGGCAGCCTGCCTGCTCTTAGGACCGACCGCAGAAAAAAGGTACATACTGGCATTACTATCGCATCCCCGCCGCCACCGCTTGCTGCTCGACCCCAGACCCCGGTCAGATGTATTTGTACGGATTCATAATGCCATTCTGCCATCAGCCAGTGTCAGTAGTCAGCCCTACAGCTTCGCAATGGGTGTAGAGCGCTGCATAAAGGTGCATCGAAAAGGGAAGAGGATGCATATGCGCGGGTGAGCGTGAGCGCGAGTAGTATGTATGTGAGTGGTGATATGTGTATGTGTGTGTAGGTATGTGTGCATGCGCGTGCATGTGCGCGTTGTATGAGTGCTCAGGCGCGGGGCGAGGAGGATTCTGCAACCACCAAGTCGGACCCCCTACAACAGACATGTGATAGGCAAGGTATGCCACCAAGGGCCGGCATGGCCAGCAGAGGGTCAGAGCAATCAGATCATGCAGGAGAGGGTCGAGGGGATGGGGAAGACGCCTAGGCAATCATGAAACAGAAGCAGAGGTTGAAACCAGGCACCAGGCTTGGGCAGCAGACGACAGCCGGCAAACGACAGCTGGACAAGGGGGGAAGATGCGAGGATGCGAAGATTTGGCGAAGGGGGGCTTACCGGATCATAGAGATTCTTAATCTGCTTCATCAGACCAATCACCGTGTCGTTCCGGCTATACTGCACAAACTTCTTCTTGGCCAGGCCCAGCCCATGCTCGGCGCTGATGCTGCCATTGCGCTTCGCAATCCATTCGTACACAAAGGGCTCCAAGGCCTGCTCGACCTTGGCGTCATACCGTCTTACGGCCACGTTGAGGTGCAGGTTCGAATCGCCCATGTGGCCGTAGCCCACCACTGCACTCACCGGATGCTCCTCGGTTTCGCCGATCAAGCCGAGCTCCCCCATGCGCGCCTTGACGTCCTCGACGAGCGTGTACATCTCGGCCAGCGGTATCGAGACGTCGTACTTGTAGACTCCACCGCCGTGGCCAATGCATTCCGTGATGCTCTCGCGCCAGCTCCACAGCGCCTTGGCCTGCGACTCGCCCTGAGCGACGACGCCGTCGATGACGATCTCCTTGGTCAGCACGTCCTCGAGGAACTTTTCCAGCTTCTCGTAGTCATGGTCGCCGTTGGAGCCGCTGGTCTCGATGAGGCAGTAGAAGGGGTGTTCGCCCTCCAGCGGCCGGTCCTCGCCCTTGATCTGGTGCACAATCTCCTGGCTGCGAGAGTCCATGAGCTCAAAGGCAGAGAGGATCTCCCCCAGCTGCTTCTTCGCCTCCCGGAAGGCCAGCTGTGCCTTTTCGTACGACTCCAGGCCGAAGAAGGCCACGTTGACGGCGGATGAGCGCTGCGGGCACTGGATGACCAGCTTGGTGATGATGCCAAGGGTGCCCTCGCCGCCGATGAAGAGCTGCTTCAGGTCGTAGCCCGTGTTGTTCTTGCGCAAGGCACACAGGTCGTTCATCACGGTGCCGTCTGGCAGCACGGCTTCCATTCCGAGCACATTTCCGTGCAGGCTTCCGTAGCGCAGGAGTCGCAGGCCGCCAGCGTTAGTAGCCACATTCCCACCCACTTGGCACGATCCCTTGGCTCCCAAGTCGAGAGGAAAGATGTATCCCCTTTCAGCAAGGTACTGATCGGCGACCTCCAGAATGACTCCAGCGTCCAACACGAGGGAACCGCTGACATCGTCGAAGGAATGGATCTGGTTCATGCGACTCATGTTGATGATGATTTCGTCAAAGATGGGCACCGAGCCCCCAACAAGCCCCGTGTTGCCACCCTGTGGCACCACGGCAAGCTTCCGCTCGTTGCAGTACTTGAGGATCTGGCTGACTTCGTCGGTCGATGCCGGCTTGAGCACCAGCCGGCTCTGTCCCCGGTACTTGTGCATCCAATCCTCGTTGAAGGGCTTGAGGTCGTCCTCCGCCGCCGCCTTTGCGCCGTCAATCACGGCATGCTCGCCTCCCAGCAGCTGCTTGAAATGAGCGACATCATCTGCGGTCAGCGTTGCAAATTTATCGTCTCTCTTCAGGCCTGGATATGTCTCGGACGTGAGCTTGGCCAGATGCTGCACTGCGGGAGACCTCGCCAGCAATTTGGGAGCCGAAGTCGCAAGGCATCGAACTGGCGAGATGGACATGCGAGGCGCAATGCTAGCGCTACCAATGGCGCCAATTCGCCTGCTGGGCGCCCGCAGGACCTGCGAGAGCCTCGTTCGTGTCACCATGTTCGGCCAAGTGTGAGGGGAGATGCGTTGTCGTGAGGCAAAGGATGGAGGAGGAGAGAAAAAGCGTGAGCGAGAAAGAAGAGGTTGAAGCTTCCCGTTTGTTAGCACCTGCGATCGGCTGTCGAGTTCCGGGTAGGCAAGTGCCGGAGCTTACCTTTTTTTTTTCTCTCTCCCTCTTTTGATAGGTTACAGCCAAAGTATTTCCTGCTTATAGGCGCCATAATATCGCAGTTAGGCGTCACTATCGACGACACTAAGACGCCTCTGGTTAAATTCTCAGCTGCTTCTTGGGCAATCAAAGGCTTCAAAAGCTGTAGAGCTGCTGATGCCCATATCCTCGGGTGGACCAATTCGCCTCCGACTGCGGAACCCTGCATATGGACAACCAACAGATTCGATACGACAAGCATCAAACGAACCATTACCTAGGACTAACGGAAGACGAGATTATTTGAAAGGAGGCCAATTGCCAATTAATCTGGTTACCTAGTATCTAACGTTGTCGTACAATTAATTCAACGTGAGGAACTGACTACTATAAGATGGTGTCCAATTTTTATCCGCTCAGCTCCATCACCAGACAAATTATAAGAGACAAAGAAAAGAAGAGTATAAAAGAAGAGTCGGACAAGAGTAAAAACACCATGGCATGCATCGGGGGTACCAAGTAAAAACACCGCTGCCTCTCCAACCAGTATCCAGACAACATAGGAGACAGGGACTCCGCGTAAGGCGCCTGTGTATGCGCGACAGGGAGAAAGGGGAGGGGGAAGGGGGGGGAGAGTATACAAAGAAATATACGAGAGGCCTGAACAAAATGACAGTGGGCCATGCGCAGAAGATGACGATCAAGTGACCGCGGCCTACTTCCGCTCATCCCCGGATCACTGTCATCCATGCACGCCGTTCACCTTGGAGTCCCTTCGGGGCCGATTGTCGCCGATGTTCGTTCTATCCTGGAGCACACCGGCTTCTATATCGTCGTCCGCATCGTCGCCGCCTATCATCTTCTCCATGAAGGAGATGTAGTCGTACTGGGCCTTTCCTCTGTCGCGTGACATGTCGGGGCCGTTGTGAGGCGGCATCATATTAAGGAGCGTCTCGATAACCTCCTCCGGTACGAGACTGTGGCGCAGATCCATTTCGGTAACGTACGGTTTCCCATCTGCAACCTCCCGGAACGACTGGAACACTTGCTCGGCGGTGTTTTGGTCCTCGGTGACATCGACCATGAAGCGAATAAACTGCTCGAAGGTGACATATTGATTGCCCCCAGAGGTTTCGACAAAGTAGTCGTGCATCTCCTCTTCGGAGAATACTAAACCTAGTGAGGCCAATGCTGCGCTGAACTCGAGTTCCTGCAAGGAATTTGAAGCGTCGCGGTCGAAATGCCGGAACACACTTTCGAACTCTTCCAGCTGGATGGGCGTCAAGTTGGTCATGTTGCGGGCAACCATCTGATTCTCCAGGAAGGACAGCTTCTTCTGAACCGACGACCTTACTAGCGTCAATTCGTACGCCAACTCGTCGTATGTGTATGTGGTGAAGTCATTCTCCTCAATGTTTGCTTCCTCGCACATGGCATCCACCTCCGCAATGGTACTGAGATACCGATCAAGGGGCTGCAAGTTGTCGCTGAGTTTCTTGACATGATGCAACTGGTCTTCAATATCACCGTCCAGGCCTGAAATGGCAAGCTGCATAGTGTTGAGGGCCATTGCAAAGTCGTTGGCTTTATCGGCAAACGACTTCCTCAGCGCGTTTTTGATGCTGTGATGTTGTTAGCCGGCTTCTTCCGCTGTGTCACACAGATGGGTGTTGACCTACTCTCGGATGGTTTCGTTGATGAGTTGTGCGCGTGCCATCTCACTTTTCGTGAGACCCTTCCAGTCTCTTTCAAGGACCTCTTGGCTGACTTCTGCAGGAGGCTCATAGGGCCGCAACCGATAGGTACTGAGCTTCGTCTTGATATTGCCCAATAATGTGGCGAGCTCGCTCTTCTCGGCAACCCACTCGCGCTTCTTGCCCCTCTTGTAGTCCGAGAACTCGGCCGCCTGGGCCTTTGCATCGGCGTAAGTGCCTTCGAACTTGGCCGTGTGCCACTGGTCAACCTGGCCGCGGATGTTCTTGAGGAGCTCCCGCATTCGTTTCTCGTAGGCGTTCTGCATCTCCCACGCGCCCTGCATGTTGTTGAAGAACTTTTCCACTCGTCGGCCTGCATTCTCGACCTTTTCCATTTGGGAAAAGGCATGGAACCAGTAGGCAATGTACGTCATCAAACTTCGCTCATCGGGCTTCGCCACGTCGCAAACATCTTCCACGTCCAGCAGCTTGGGGATGCCAATCTCCTCGTGGGCAATGTCAAAGGCGAGCTGCATGTTGCCGCGGTGGTCCGACTTGTCCAGGGTATCGAAGTCGATGAGGTCCGGGCGGTGAATGTCCAGCAAGGCGCAAAAGGCAAGGCCGTCGTTCCAGCTGCTACTAAAGTCGCGAACTTCGACCTCGTTGTAGCACGCTGTCTTTCGTTGACACCACAGGAGCAGGCCCTCCTTGGCGGACATGCCCTCCTCGTTAATGTCACTGATGGTGAAGCGCAGAATCAGGGTCCAGATAAGACCGAGGATAATCTTGCGGTTTCCATCGACGACATCCTCGGCGCCAATATTCGTCATCTGAATGCCCCTGGATCGGATGAAGTCCAGCGACAGGTTGGCATTTTCGAACTTTTGGACGCGAAGCTTTGGGCGGGCGGCGTATCGACCGAGGGATTCGTGGGAGAGACATTCGAGCAAGTGAATCAACATGACCTAGTATTTCGAGCTCCATGTTAGTGGGGACAAGTGGAAGGGGGAAAAGGTCAAGCAGCATTGTGAGGAAGATAGGGTCGACTTACACCATCGCTAAGATCCGGTACCAGGTCCTTGACTTCGAGGTTTCGAGCTACAATCTTTGTGTTGAGCCTGGACTTTGTCAGCATGCTGCAGACGAGGGGGGTGGCCGAGAAAGCATCGAGTGTTTTCCAACTTTTTTTTCTTTTCCTTTTCGTGTGGCAGATAGGCAGGTAGGCAAGCAACATCAAGACGAAGAAATCAAAACATACCATTTGGTGAATGTCTTTTCCTGGACCGTGATCCATCTCTGCTGCTCCGAGTAGGTCATCCTGTTGAGGAACTGGTCATGGGCCCCTCGAATGGACGACGAATCGACTAGTACGTCGGCAGAAGATGCCTCGCTCTCGCTCTCGGCCTGGTTGAGGTCGAGGTCGCTGTCAAGATCAGAGTCGGTGTCGGTGTCGCTCTGGGTGTCTGCCGGACGCGGTCGTCTGGAAAACTTTGCAGGCTTGGGAGGTGGCTTTGGAGGACTGGAAAGCTTTGAGCGCGTCGGAGACTGGCTCAGGGTCTTGGTGCCCAATGACGAGCGACGATTCTCTGACCGCTGGAGTGCAGTGGTGGCAGTAATACCGGCACTGGTCTCCTCCTTGTCCCGCCCACTCCGCTGAGGGTCCGAGACGCAGCGTGGCCGGGGTAGCGATACCGAGAGGGGCGATTGCAGCGCCTGAGCAGAGACACGCACAGGGTCAGCCTCAGCCTTGACGGCACTGACCGGCGATGCGAGTCTGGAGACGGCCGGAGCGAAGACGGGAGAGCTGGGGGGCGTGCAGAGGCCTAGCGAGGTCACGCAGGTGGTGGTACTAGCAGCAGCAGAGGTGACACGAGCACCGTGAGACGAAGCAGTGGCAGTCGTGGTAGTCGTCGTGTGAGTACCTGTAAATGTCGTGGTGCCGCCAGCAGCCGTTGCAGTTGCAGTAGCACCAACAGCTGCAGAACCGGCAGCAGGAGCAGACGGGCCAGTTGTAGAGCTGTTATTGCTAGAGCTGGAGCTGGAGAGATGCTGATGCTGATGCTGATGCTGATGCTGGAGCTGGAGCTGGATCGAAGCGGATGAGGCGGCGAGCTTGGCGTCGATATTCAGGCCAGCAGAGGGGCGCTGGGGCGGCTGTAAACAGAACTCGGGGAACTGGTCGGCCAGCTCGTGGCTGCTGCCGGGCTGCTGCAGCTCCTTCCAGGGGGCGGTTCCAGCGGTGTTGATGGTAGCGGGCGCGCTGACTCCAGTGGCCTTGGCGCTAAAGCCGGCTCGGCCAGTGGGCGTGGGCGCCATCTTCTTGGGCGACTTTAGCGGCACGGCCCCTGTGGTGGCGCCCAGGTGCAGGCTCTGATAGGCCATGGCGAGGAGCGTGAGCAGCAACAGTAGCACTACAAGTGGCAGCGGTAACAGACGGTCGTCCTCTTGGTACCGGCACATGTACAGGTACTCGGGACGGGGGTTCGGTATCTTATCGATTAGACGGCTCGGGGTGGCTTTACTTCTAGCTCAGCCAAGAAGGAACAGTTTTGGAAGTTGCTTTTGACAACTCCAAAGGATCAACGATAAACGAAGGACGAATATTATATATTATGCTTCGAAGCTGGTCTATTTGGCGCTTCTTTTGCCTTGCTTCTGTCTCTTCTCTCTCCCATTCTCACCAGGAGCTGGTCTGTAATTATACCTTCCGGACGAGTACTTCATGAGATGTATCAGAAACTTTACTGGAGTTCCCTGCGGGCAACGCTCGACAGATGCTCCGTAACAGAAGACGTGGCACCGTTGAAGCATCGTCGCGGTCTGGGCGATTGGGTCCTCATGCGCCGTCTCCGCCGGGCCACATAGATGGACGGACAGGGCCAGCGCGTTGCATTCAGCCAAGGGGTTGATCCCGGGAATCGAGGCTTCTGGGCTGTCCGCCTGCAGCACAAGATTGGGGCAAAGTTCGCCTCGCCAACCGTCCGACGAGCATCCAGCTAGCATCTGGCCAGCATCCAGCTACTATGCATACCAACCACCTGAATTTCGAACAAGGACGAAGAGAGTGAGGGGAAGGAAAGAAAAAGAAATGGGGAGCCAACTCCAAGCACCCCCGGATCAGGACCCAGCGCGCTGCTGCTTTTGCATCTTCGTCCTCTGCGGTGGCTGCAGCTGCACCTCCATATACCGCGTACGTCGACTTACAGGTCGCAAAACGGTGATGGAACTCTATCAAGCACGGCCAGCAAAACCCCAGGCCTTCGCTGGCGGGCGCCTCGTCTATCGCTTCGCTGCAGGATTCCTCGTTACTGGCCCGTTTTCCTCCACTCTCGCATCCCATGATTGCGCGGCCGTCAGTCGATGCTGCAGAAAACCGGTTCGAGGATCTGCTTTGCTGTCAAGCGCGAACATGGACATTCAGCGTTGCCGCGTTACGCCTCAGCCGTGATGATCAATATCTGGCAGCCCAGATTCTCGTGGCCCGGCAGCGCTGGGTCCCCGCATGATCCCGGACTCTCACATTTGACCGCCTCCTCCGTACCGCGCACAGACAAAGACGGAGGGAATCCGGCCGGATCAAAGATATGCCTGGTATTACTGGTGGCGAAACACGTCCAGAGGAAAGCCTCGCCAGACAAACACGGCCCCTATACCACGCAGACCAAACCTGGCAGCTCCGGGGAACATGACAGGTCGTCTTTGACGCGATGCAGTCAAGGATTCTTGCCGAAGGCATCAAGCATTTCTATTTTCCCACATCAGGTCACATCGATATCTGACGGAGCTAACGTGATGCCAGTTGCCGTGGAGCTCGAAGCATCGAGAAATGCATACCAAGTCAATCGTACAGCACAGTTGCCACCCAAGTTCGAAAAGTCCGCATGGCCATTGGTGTGATGTGGCCCTCTGGACTGTCAACTGTCAGGATATTTGCCCTGATTATCACCCCAGGCTGCCGTTGGACCTGCCGACGGCTTACAGTTGGTCTTCAGCTTCTGTGAAGAGCTCGTCAGGATCTGAAGTGTGGAGGTCTCGGCGGATATTCGTCCTCGCATGACTTGGAGAGCCCGAACATGCGCAAGGCCGTGGTTTTCCTTGCGTTTCCCACTTTTACGGTGGGAGGAGACGCTGCTGCATGTTGCTGTCTGGAGATGCACGTTTATCCGAGGGTCGATGGGTATTGGAATACCGGATCCCTTGTGATTCCATTAGCAAACCGAGTCGGCGAACCCATGGACCATCCCGCTTGTTTCATGGGTTTGCACTTGTGAGAACGGGAAGAGTCTTGGCGAAGCATGTCGTGTGAATCCTTCAAGGCCTGCGGATAATGAAATGCATGATAAAGTTGAGAAGGTGAAGTCTCCATAAGGCCGAGTCAGGGATGGAATGTCAATCCACAAAGGCGCTTGACTTGATCATCTCCTCATGCCGCCGAGAAGGCCCATGCCATCGGCAATTGATGGTGGAGGTGTCGCCTTCTGCTGGGTCGTTGACGGGCCAAGCTTTTGCACTCTCGACTCTTGCTTTATGATGCCCTGTTGCTTGATTCTGACAGTTGGACCCCCTCGATGGAGAAGATAAGTGACTGTAATGTAGCAGAAGAGGTCGTATAGAACAGGCACTGTAGTAACTCCTCTGCTCTCTAAAATATTAGCCGCTTGAGACCGGCAACGTTGATATTGAATCAAACAATATTAAGTGTTACCCTATCATTTGACGCAAGCTTTGACGGCAAATCAGAATACCATCGTCCTTATTGTTGAATTTGGTCTTATCGATAGCATTGCCATAACTTCAGATTGTAAACCGTAGAGACACGCTCATGAGCCTGTCCCTCTCGAAAGATGAATATCCACAATGTGATGCAAGCACTCATCCAGCCAAAACTCTCCTTGAACAGTGCTCTATTGCATCATTTCAATTTGTACATTTTTCAAAGCCGTATCATACAAACAATGCCCCCATACAACGCCCGCCACTCTACCTTCGCAGCCCTCTCTACCTCGTAATCCTCTTCCCACCCGCCTGCTTCGCCTTGGAGCGCAGCGCATACCTCTCCTTCTTCCAAGCAGACACCAGGTTATCCACGCTCCCCATGTCATGCTTGGGCTGCCGCATGTACGTCAACCTGGCCCTCCTGGCCCTCTTGGGCCGGCGCCAGATGATGTCGATGCCCGTGACGGTCGGGCTGTAGATCTTGAACCACATCTCGACGCCGACCTTCATCATCTGGCCGCGCAGCAGGATGGCCGTGTCGACGCCGCGCCGCCGCAGCTGGATGAAGACGCCGGAGAAGGGCTCGCCGTTCTTGCTCGTCACCATGAGCACGTCGCCGACCTTTGCGCTGTCGGCGTGCTCGCGCGAGAAGAGGCGCGTGCGGGCGCCCGTCGGGTCGAGGCGGGCGATTTCCTGCTGCCGGAGGGCGGGCATCGGGTCCGGGTTCGTGGTTCGCGGGGAGGGCACCTGGGGCCAGATCTGGAACTTGGCCACCTTTTTCTGCTCCATGTCTGGAAAAGTGTGTGAAGAGACCCCCACGTTAGCAATGACTTGTCGCGCAAGATTGGGGGCTTTGAGCAAACATCAAGAAGGGACCATACGCTGTCTCTGACTGAAGGCATTCCGGGCCATGGAGGGGCTGCTCGTCGTCGTTGTCGGCGCAGCCTCTGTCGCCATGCACCGCTGCCACGACCTCTGGAATCTCGTCCTCCTCAGCGCCGCCTTGAGACAGCCCACGGGCTGCCTCGCAACAGCAGCAGCATTCATCGTGTGTTTGAAGAAAACAAATGGCCGTCCTTCAAACCGGAGATGGGTGTTTGCAACTCGTCCCGTAAAAAGCTTCAAATCGAGTTTGGGGGTTCCCGAGAAGCAGAGCAATTCGCCGCCGTGATTGGCCCGGCTCCTCTTTTTCTCCGACCCACCCAACCGTCTTGCCGCTTTACGGCAGTTTCAAGGTCGAAAATATTCAGACTCAACTGGTCTGCTTCTTGTATTAACCCATTTCTCTGGCAAGCATATGAGAGAAAACACCGGAAGATGGCGACAATATCAAATCGGTCGCTAAGACTGGCCGCCCGGTCGGTCGGGCGACTCAGCGGACGGCCAAGTCCCGCCCAGAGGCAATTCAGCACATCGCCAGTTCATGGTACGCATATCGAGACCATATGGAAAGATGCATCTTGATCCAGAAACCCCTAACAATTGAAGCGCAACAGGCGTCAGCGCCGTCTTCGCCGAGACCGAAAACGCCGAAATGAACAGGATCCTCGCCTCCATCCAGGAAACCATCATCCTCCCCGCCTACCTCCCCGAGAAGCAGCGCAAGCTCGTCTTCGACCCCAAGATGAAGACGTACCTCGAGCAGAACCCCATCATCATCGAGGTCGAGGGCCTCGAGCACAAGTTCTCCTCCATCGACCGCTTCCGCGACGTCGAAAACTCAAAGGCCGTCCTCGCAAAGGCCCTCGCCAGCATGCGCACCCGCGACGACTGGGCCAACCTGGGCACCCTGCTCGCGGGGTACAAGAAGGCTGGCATCCGGCTCAAGGCCAACCACTGGGGCAAGATTGTGCGCATGGCCGGCCAGAGCGGCAACGTCCTCGCCGTCATCGAGTGCGCCAAGCAAGCGGAGAAGACGGGCCTCTTGCTGACGAACCCGGAGACGGTCGTCCGCGTTCTCTCCTACGTCAACGACAAGATCACCGACAGCAAGTGGGACCCGGCCGAGACGAAGCAGGCGCAGAAGTGGGCGGACCAGGTCCTCGACCTCCTCCAGCGCAAGGAACACATGGTCGAGGGCCAGCCCACGCGCGAGAGGCTGCACTTTTCGCGCCTGGTCCGCGGCATGACGCTCTTCACGCGGGCGTCCGCCATCAAGGTCAAGCGAGACGCCGGCGAACCCATAGTCCTGGACATTGTCCTCCTCCGAGACGAGATCCAGCTGCTCAGCTCGCTGTGGAAGGACGCGACCGACGCCAACCTGGAGGAGCTGCCCGACTTTGCAAAGCTCAACCCCACGCTGGAGCGCAACTCGAGCCCCAAGGGCGTCAAGAACCCAAAGGCCCTCAACGGGAGCGCCTACGTGCAGGTGCTGGCGCAGAACATCAAGGGCATCGAGCTGGCGCGCGAGATTGTCGGCGGGGAGGCGCAGGTCCTGACGCCGGTGGAGGTTGCGCTGCAAAATCATCTGCGGCACTTTGTTCAGACGAGCAAGAGCTCGACAAAAGGCTGGGCTGAGGAGTACGAGAAGATTGTCGGAGAAGCCCCCAAGTGGTAATGCGCCTCTATGTATAAAAAAAGTAAGAGAGGGGAGGAGACCCAACAATGACTACCTTCGGGTTGCGAGGCACAGGGGAAAATGAAACGAATAAAGAGAAAACGGCCTCCAGAAGGAAAAACAACACGCCAGAGATCTATACCTTGTATGTATGATGTATATACGTGTACAATATATGAAGCAGAAAAAAAAAAGTCAAACCAACACAGAGCCTCTGACCGTTTTACGGCAACACAATGTACTTCTCCAGATGCTTCGGAATAGCCCCCAGCAGCTTCTTCTCCTCCAGCCACTTGCGCGAAAACAGCCGCTCGGCATAGCGATACGCCCCGTCGCACAGCATCGTCACCACGACGTGACCCTTGCCCAGCTTCTCGGCCACCTCCTTGGCGGCGACGACGTTGAGCGACGACGACGCGCCCAGGTACAGCCCCTCCTCGTCCAGGCAGCGGTACACCATCTCGATGCTCTTCTCGTCCGAGATGTTGAGCGACCCGTCCAGCAGGTCAATGTCCGGCCGCAGGTTGTCCGTCACGCGGCCCTGGCCGATGCCCTCGGTGATGCTCGAGCCGCTGCGCTCCGTCAGCTGGCCGCCCGACTGGATGTACGAGTGCAGCACGCTGCCCGGGGGGTCCGCCAGGAAGCTCTTGACGCGGCCGCCCGAGACCTCCTTGAGGTATCTCGTCGTGCCCGCGAGCGTGCCGGCGGTGCCCGTCGCGCACGTAAAGGCGTCCACCTTGCCGTCCGTCTGCGCCCAGATCTCGGGCCCCGTCGTCTCAATGTGCGCCCGCCGGTTGGCCGTGTTGTCGAACTGGTTCGTCCACACGGCGTTGTCCAGCGCCTCGGCGTGCCGCCGCGCCTGGTGGTTGTAGTTTTGCGGGTTGTCAAACGCCACAGCCGGCACGGGGTACACCTCGGCGCCCAGCAGCCGCAGCAGGTCAATCTTGCCCTGCGACTGCGTGTTGGGCATGTAGATGACCAGCTTGTAGCCGCGCGACCGGCACACGTGCGCCAGCCCGATGCCCGTGTTTCCCGCGGTGCCCTCGACCACGGTGCCGCCCGGCTTGAGCAGGCCGCGCTCCTCGGCGTCCTTGACCACGTACAGGGCTGCGCGGTCCTTGACGGAGCCGCCAGGATTCATGAACTCGGCCTTGCCAAGGATCTCGCAGCCCGTTTCTTCGGACAGGCGGTTGAGGCGGATCAGGGGCGTGTTTCCAATGGCTGTGCGTGGTGGAAGCAGGGAACAGGTCAGCGCTTGATCTCGACTCGATACCTCGTCCAAACCACATCGCATCTCCTCGTACCTCCAGTCAGCCCTCGAGCAACGCCCTGCGCCCGCGACACGGCAAGAGTGTATGCGCTGGGCTCAGCAGCTTTCGCCGCCGCAGCAGCCAAGCGCCGCGTCGTGTGTCGGAACATTGCTTTCAAAGGCCAGACGCTGTAGCCTCGCCCTGCTTGAAGAGAATGAGAAGAAAGACGCGGGAACGGCTTCAATTGGGAATCGGAAGCGGAAGAGTGAGGTTGTTTGTCAGCTTCAGGTCGGTTGTTCCTTCTGTCCTGCCGCTGCGGTTGCCGCCGATGGCCCGGAGGTGGGGCATTTCAGGCCGAGGGCCCGATCACGTCATTTTGCGCTTCGATTAGATGTTAGATGCCGTTCATCGGGGCAGTGAAGGGCGCTGGCAGAGGCCGTGGTACTTCGGTTGCTACTGTTGATGTCGCAATTATGTGAAAGAAGAATAGAGAATCTTGATAACGCGGTGCTATTGTATGTCGTGAGGTATTAATACGTCGTATCAAGTCCATCTCTACGTCTGCCTCATTGTCGACAACCTGAAGTATCCGACTATCTTAGGTAGACTGCCCTCTTGCTTGCAAGAGTTCCAACAACCCGGGTATATAAAACCATAAATCTCATCACATACGATCTTGCCGTGAAAATCGAAGAAAATAAGAGCATGAAGGCATCCAGCTATGTCGTCCACATGTTAACATGCTTGCTTCTCCTCATGGCTGTTGTGGCAGCTTCACATAGGGCGCCGGAAACACGCCCTTGGCCCCCATATACGTCCCAAAGAACCAGTCGCCGTTGAGATCCCGTATCTCCTGGATGTCGGCTCCGCGCGGAAACATCAGCTCGTCCTCGGCGCCAGGTTTGGGATACCACGCCCACATGGCATGGGCCGTCAAGCCAGAACCTCCATCCGGTGGGAAGTCGCGTGCATACACAATCTCGCCGAGCCTCTCTGGAGCTGTCGCCGACACATCTGTGGTGACGAGACGCTCACGCTTTTCATTCCCCTCATACCATGACCACTTCATAAAGTCGGGATGCGCAATGTTCTCGAGAGGCTCGGAACGGAGGGCCCTCCCGCCAACGACATCTTTTTCCACAAACCGCCAGTGTCCAAGCTTGCCTTCCATGAACCCAACAATAGCCATTCTGTGGCCACTGGGACACCTTCTCCAGCCCGACGAGCCGTTCTCTTCGCTAATGTCCCCCTTTGACTCGAGGCCGCTGTAGCACGAGGTGCATATATCATAGTCGCCAGGAGTGGCATCTTGCACAGCTGTGCTTGAGCAGCTGAAGCAGTGATATCTCAACTCGGAGGGCGGGACGGTATCCTTGCAAATGTCGCACCTGACCTTGAATGAGAGTGGCCTGAATGGACCAACTCCTGATAATTGCGACGCTGTGATTACAGTCGCTCTAGAGGGCCGACCGCCCGACCGCGGACTGCGAGGCACGTACGTGGACTTGAGCGTTGCTTCGTGAGCCAACGGCAGAAGCCTGTGGCTGCACGACTTGCCCTCGTTTACGCAGTTGTTGCAGAACCCCCAGTCGCCTTCGTTGCAGACGTCACAGCGCCAGAAGCACTCGTTGGTCCATGCAAAGCACCGCGCACAGAATGTGCCCGTCTCCAGCCTCGACCTTGGCTCATCGGTCGTCATTGTCTTCTTACCGTCAGCGCTGGCGGTTGTTGAGGCTGGCCGCATATAGCGACCGGCGTTCAGCATGTGAGGCATGGCAATCGTGTCGTCGGCCTGCTTGCGCTTCTCCCACTTCTTCCAGGCCCCATAGCCAAATCCGAACCAGTAAAGGCACCCCTTACCGGACCGGTAGCAGTCCACGCACAAATTCCAGTGCCCGTCGTTACACACCCTGCAGTTGTAGTGCACATCGTACTGGATGTTGGCTTTTCGGCAGCGCGAGCAGCTGATTGAAGGCTCTTCGAACAGCTGGGATTGTGTGCGCTGGTGCCTGGAGGGCGCCGCCATTGGGCTCTCGACAGGGCTAGATACCAGAGAGGCCGGTGGGCTTACCACTTCGGTTGGTCGGCTTTGCTTGGAGTTCCGTGCAGCTGTGATTTCCATCAATTCAGGGGGGATTGCATGCGACGGCGTGGATGTGGATGGGTAGCTCTGTGTACGGCTCGCAAACGACGCGATATTCCCATTGGGCCTTGGTGGAGTATCTGCTGGGTGAGCAGCAGCCGGTACGGCCGTTGAACTGGAGCTTCTACCGATCCTAAGAGCAGGGACGGATGCCGAAGGATCAAAATCGCTATGTTCTCTCCTCAGACCCAAATCGTTCTGAGAGTGAGCAGCAGGCCTAGCATCCATGGAAGAGAGCGAGGAGCCGTTGTTGGGCGGCACGGCGGTCGTCGAGTGATGGCCGCCGCTAGTTGTTCGTCTCCTTGCCCTCGTCTCCGGCTCCCGTACCCCGAGATTGGCTGATGGCGAAACTGGCGGTCTATTCCTGTCGCCCACCTCGCTCGTTGATCGTGAATGCGCCCGATGCCGGCTTTGCGGTCGAGCATTATCAGGTCGCAGCCTGTAATCTCTTGATCTGGATGAGGCGCTGTTCCGTGCCCGGGCTTCGGGTCGTCTCTCCGGCTGCTCCTGTCGCGAACGGCCCCTTTGGCGCCTCCTATACGCTTCCGTGATGCGTTGACTGAGCTCGTCATCTCGGCTCAAATCGATGTTGTCGAGATCGAGGCCATCCAAAAGCCCCTCTTCTTGGATTTGCCGTGCGAATTCCTCGATTTCCCTCTCAATGTCCCGCTCGCTCATCTCGGACCCGATCAGGGACCGCAGTGACGACTGATGCTCGACCTGGCGCTGCCGGGACTCGCTTCGTCTGCTCCGAGACTGCGACTCGCCTTCGGGAGACAGATATTCGGCGTTGCTCTGACCGTTTCTCCCCGTTCCGTCTCTTGCTCGTTGCGGATGGCCATCCGATCTATACTCGGAGTTGGATCGAGCCCGCCCATCGCTGCTTCGCCCATCTGCATGTCTCCGAGCGGACCTGGCCTGTTGGCTCTCTGGCATGGCTGCTTCAACAGCCTCCCTCAGGCTCATCTCCCTGACCTCGTCCATCAGCCTCCGGTCTTCCTCCTCGAGCCGCTTCTCCTCAGCCGTACGTTCCCGGGTCTTGACTTTGGGCAGAACCTGGTCGCCGGGCTTGTACTTTTCTTCCATCTCCCGCTTGTCGGCCTCGGGTCGTTGCTTGTTGGGATTCGCAGCAGTGTACATCTCAAGGAGGGTCGCGACGGTGGCATTGTGCCGCGTGTCCCGCACGGAGCTCCGACATGACGGGCATGTGAAGATGATTGCGTCTGGAGGTGGCGGCGTGCGTGCGCGGCCGACCTTTTCGGCCTGGAAGCGGAACCACTCCTTGAGACACGCGCCGCAGTATGTGTGAAGGCAGTCGAGCAGAGTCAGCGGCTGGTAGAGGAGCTCAGTGCATATCTGTGGGAACGATGCGTTTAACATGGGCTCTGCCTTGAGAGAATGGAACATGGAGGGGACACCGAAATGGCGGGATTCATACCGAGCACGTCAACTCCTTGCCGAGGTCGAGAGCGTGTGTGCGCGACTCCATTCATGTTCTGTTTCTGCTTGATGTCAGGGAGATGCCTGGATTATGTAGACCGCGCATGTGGACGAGATGGTTTTTGCATGGAAGAGAGTCGAGGTTCATGGAGGAAAAGAGCAGATTTGGAGCTTGGAGTCACTGGCCATTCAGGGCAAGACGGGCTGTGGGTACGTACCAACTTGACCAGCGGATGCCTCGTCACTCTTTTCGACCAGGTGCCATTTTCTCATCAATGAGACGAGAGGGCTCGTATAACCGGAACAGAGGTGCCAATTCGGGGTGGATAGCAACAAGCAAGGCGTGTGAATTAGAGGGCATGATCCTCGTGTTGGTGAATACACTGTGTAAATCTTTACCTCAGATGCCTCTCGCAGTATGCTGTTTTATCACTTACATTCTTACCTACCTTATTACTTTATATATACTTACTGAACAATATGATTGAGAATGCTTCATAAAGCTTCCCCAGAGAGAATCCATCCGATCTATTATACGGGGTACGGAGAAGCACCCCACCGATTATTCAGCGGCCCTTGCGGACGGCCCGCGCCTTGCTAAAGGTGCCTGTGCGGTTCGAGGCGTTAGAGTTGACCTATTGCTGAATCACTTTGCTTCGAGAATCACGCCCCCGTCGTCAAACTCCGTCCCAACATGTCCGAGCATGTCATAAGCTGATCTGAGGTACTCGTCAGGAGGCTATCGATATTATCGACCGAAGAAACGAGGGTTGCGCTCCTGAACGGAATCGGGGATATTCAGCAGTTACTACATGTAGGTAACGGAGCCATACGGCCGTCGACTTCCAACTGCGTAGCATACCTAGCAATAAGAAGAACGATGCCTTATAACAACAGCATTTAGCCCAAGTCGAAGAATCAGGATGTGCTTAGTAGATCAATAGTCATCCTAGCACAAGTACTTCGCTGCACGCACCCATGGTGTTAATAAGTCCGTTGGACTTTCAACGGTATGGTATATATAAGAAGTGTCGAGTATCAGTGACGCAACTCAGCACCCTCCACTCAAACTCCCATCAAACCAAGCATCAAACCATCGCCCATCATGAAGCTCATCGTCGTCGGAGCCAGCGGCTTCGTAGGCCAAGAAGTCGTCCGCCAAGCCCTCACCAACCCGACCATAACCTCCGTCGTGGGCCTTGCCCGGCGCGAGACCTCCGTCCCGGAGAGCCTCAAGGGCTCCAGCGACGCAGAAAAGTTCACCTCTGTCGTGGTCGACGACTTTCTGAATTATTCAGACACTGTCAAGAAACATCTTGCAAACGCCGATGCCTGCATCTGGTGAGTTTCTCTCTCTCTCTCTTTTCGACTGAAGATGAAGGCAGAGAAAGAGAGAGATTTGGTCGACTAATGTCGTGTGTTTTTGCAGGCTGATGGCTGTAACTCCGAATAACTCCGCGTCAATGCCCTGGGACGAGGTCCGCAAGATCTGTCTGGATTACACCATCTACGGACTGGAGCAGCTCTCCAAAGCTTCGAGAAAGGATGCGTCGAAGCCACTCCATTTCGTCTACGTCAGTGGTGCCATTGCTCAGCGCGATCCAGCCAAGAAGCCGTGGATGATGGGCGACTACGGTCTTTTGAGAGTAAGTTTCCGGTCCTTTCTTGCTCTTCTTCCTCCTTTCATTACGAGAAAGAATCTTGAACTGCATGAAACTATGGGTTGAAGGGAGAGCTAAAAAACGGACTCATTGCAGGGAGAGGTCGAAACTCGAATCCTGGACTTTGCCCAAAAGGCCAACGGTGCCATCGAAGTCTGCATCCTCAAACCGGGCTTCATCCGAGATGCTAAGAATGGCAACGGCCTGCTAAACCTCTTTCAGGGCGTCTTGAACACCATCGGTCTCCCCATTGTTTGGCTGCATGATGTCGTCGCGACGTTGCTCTCTCAGGCAACGGAGGAGATTGAGAAGGATACGCTGGAATGGCCCGACATTGTCAGGATTGGAAGCAGCAAGAAGCAGAAAACTTGAGGAACAGCTGCAGCATCAAGCACGATTGCTCCAATTAGTAACAATACTTCATGTCCGTACTGTTTGTTTGGCTTGTAGTGTGCTTTTGTTCATCGTATATGCCTATCTATTTCGCAGTGACATACAAATACCACCCCTTGCACACTTACGAGTGAGTCCACTCAGCCTTCTTCTTCTCAGCAAAAGCCTTCATCCCAATCTTCTGATCCTGGCTCCCAAACAAGCTATGGAACACCCGCCTCTCAAACTCAACACCATCACGCAGCCCGAGGTCCTGGCTCTTGTTCACCACCTCCTTGGCCGCCTGCACGGCGACCTTTGAGTACCCGGCAATCGTCTCCGCCAGCTTCAGCGTCTCCTCCATCAGCGCCTCGTACGAGGGGAACGCCTTGGCCGCGAGCCCCCACTTCTCGGCCTCGGCGCCGCTGAAGGACTTGCCCGTGAGGATGAGCTCCATGGCCTTGGACTTGCCGATGGCGCGCGTGAGCCGCTGGCTGCCGCCGGCGCCGGGGATGGTCCCCAGCTTGATCTCGGGCTGGCCAAAGTTGGCCGTCTCGGTGCAGTAGAGGAGGTCGCACATCATGGCGAGCTCGCAGCCGCCGCCGAGGGCGTGGCCGGAGACGGCGGCGATGATGGGCTTCTTGACCTGCGTCGTCAGCAGGGACCACGACTCGATGAAGGCCTTGGTGTAGGCCTCGGAGAAGGTCAGCGGCGCCATCTCCTTGATGTCGGCGCCGGCGGCAAAGGCCTTTTGCGAGCCGGTGAGGACGATGACGGACGTCTCCTCGGAGGCGTTGAAGTCGTTGAGGGCGTCGTTGAGCTCATGGATGAGGGGGGTGCACAGCGCGTTGAGCGCCTTTGGGCGGTTCAAGGTCACTGGGAATTGTTGAGAATGAAGGTATCAGTCAGCCTCTTGTTTTTATTTGCAGCTATCAGAGCCAATTGAAGAGTCTACATACCTTGCCCTACGCCTGGCTTCGGGGTGGAAGTCAGGATATATTCATACGTCTTGGAGCTGTAGGCCCGAGCGACTCGGGGCAGCGTGGACCGCTGGAACGGCACCTTGCCGACCGCGGGTCTCAGGAAGCGGAACGAGTTCATGGCGTCTGTATATGAAGGAGAGCTTAGAACAGAGAGTTTGAGCTTCTAATAAATCCGTAGAGCCTTCATCAATTGGTTCTGGAAGATGAAGACGAAGACGAAGCAGTCGGCTTGTGATGGCTAATGAGTGCTGGAAAGCATCGGCTCTCAGCCGAGGATAAACTGACAGCTCCCCGACCGGTGACGGAGTGCCTTGGCAGAAAAAGCGGCACAAAAAGCGCTGCAAGCATACACTTGCTTTAGTACGCGCACCTTTTTGGTGATTAGATCTCTACTAAAGGGTGCGCATATTGTTAGATGTGCGTGTGTATTTTCCCATGGAATGCCGTTTCTGGCACCCGCTTCCGGTGGACTTCTGTATTGCCGGTGACGACACCAGGAGGGGTGCTTACAAAAACACACACGGGCCGGGAATAGGATTCGCCGACCTCATGGTTTGAGGCTTTCAGGGGGCCTCAGTATTGAAGAGGAAATAGGGGGAAGAATGCAAAATAGAGCCTTCAACTATGAATTAGGGCAGAATTTACGCGAAGCCTCAGTTCGCACTGGAGACGCTCATATTACAAAGGAAGAGAAAGCCACTCTTTCATTCCTTCAAGATACCGAATACAGAATACATGCAACTCTAACAAACGTAACACTAAGGTAGACAGGAAGGCTACGGAAAAGGAGGACCGCAAAGTGAACGCCCACATAAATTGAGCCAACAAGTACAGTATCCCGGAATGTCGAACGGTCTTGTGTGCGAATAGTTTTTCGGCACTTTCTTTTCGTGCGAACCGCTTGCTAGAAAGGGGGGTTGACACCAAAAACCATCCGCAATTCCTAATGGGCTGCTAACCACTCTGATGTGCTCAAAGTCTTCTCTCGCTGTAAGCCACTCCGCTACGCTTATGACCTTCTTCCAGACTCAAAGCGGCGTAAATGAATTCTCGAGCTCGACAATTTCCTCTGTGCTAAGGGAGTCTTTGTACCGGCCCATGTGGGTGCTTTCATTGACAGGTGTCACACCAAGGAGCTTCAACTCTAAAAGTAGAGTTGTTGAATAGAGGCTCTTAGTCCCATAGCCACAATGATCGAACCCTCTGTTCTGTCAGATCTCGATGAGTTGTATGCCGTGGCTCCGAAAGTCCCCTTAGATCGTCAAAAATAACGACAAGGTTCTGGCGTTCAACGCCAAGTCTTCGTAAGTCTCCTGTTGAAACGGACACTTTCCGGCGGATTGTCTTGAGGCTGCTCCCACACACAGCTCAGTTTGCATTGATGTGGCCCGATTAACTTTGCGATCCCTTCGAAATGGCTTTGATCCTGTACACAATCCGTCTAGTAAAGTCGAGTAGTCTTCGGAGATTGGCTGTTCAGACAGACCTTGTCCGGTTGAGTTTGAGGCTCTCGTGAACCTTCTTTTTGTTGGCTTGAACAGAGATTCGTTTTGTTGGCGACAGCAATGGCAGCATGCCCCCCAGCCTGCCTATATAATGGAGGGATGCTCTCCAGAGTCCCTCGTTTTCCTCTCCATTTTCCGTGAATATTATCAGTAAAGCTTTTATTCTCTCTCATAAAAGCTTTACTACATCACTTTCCCAAGCACGAAGACCCCCAAACCAGGCACAAGATGTCTTCCGTGCTTCCCCTTGAGCTGCTGCTCATGATCGCCGAGTCCCTCAACTCGAGGGACTTACACGCCTTTGTACGTGGGGCCCCCTTCTTGGCGGGTGAACTCACGTACACCCGACATCTCCTGGCCGTCCCAGACGACGACGGCAACAACCTGGTGCATTTACTTGCACGAAACGGCGAGGACTCGTCGTTGGAGCTGATGTTCCCGGATAGGGGCATCGAAGAAAGCCGCTCCAATGACATCCTTCGGCAAAAGCAGGCGCTTCTCACGCGCTCTGCTAACTCGAAGGGTGCCACACCCCTCCTCCTGGCGGCAGAAGCCGGGCATATGGCCGTGGTGGAGAGGATCCTGCGGTGGCCGGGCGTGGACTTGAACCACGAGGACCGCGACGGGTGCACGGCCGTCGACTTGGCAGCGAGGGAAGGGCACACAGAGATTGTGAGCCTGCTGCTGGAAAGGCCCGAGTTGACGGTCGACTGGGACGCAAACCGGCGGGCAAACCCTCTTTGTCTGGCGGTAAAGAACGGCCACGAAGAGACCGTGAGGAGGATGCTCGAGCGACACGATGATCGCGTCAGCGTCAACTCGCGGGCCGCTAATGGCCGCACGCCCCTCTGCCATGCGATAGTCCATGGCCACGACACATTGATAGCGCTGCTGTTTGAGCATCCAGAGCTCGACGTCAATGTGCCAGTCGACTTCGCCGCCACTGCCCTCCACCTCGCCGTCAGGTACCAGAACCATGCGGCCATGAAAGCCATTCTGGACCATCCCAGCGTCGATCCCAACTGCCAAGACGTGTACGAGCAGACGGCCTTGCACGAGGCAGTCTACCTGGCAGACGAGGACATGCTCATCATGCTTCTCGAGGATCCCAGGATAGACGTCAACGTCGGCGACTGCTTTGGGGCCTCCTCACTCGTCAACGCGGTGAAGAAGGGATGCGACTGGGCGATACAGCTCGTCCTTCAGCGGCCTGACATCGAGCCCGACCAAAAGGACGGTGTAGGGATGAATGCTCTCTCGTGGGCGGCACACTTCGGCCGCCACGCCATCGTAGAGATGCTGCTCGACCGGCAGGACGTTGATCCCAACACCAGGGACGACGACGGCGTGACGCCTCTCCACTTGGCCGCGCAGAACGGATGGTACCAAGTGGCGGACCTTCTCCTGGGGAATCCCTCCGTCAGTATCGACGACGAGGACGACTTTGGCTGGACAGCACTCGCTCACGCCAGGTTCGATCCCGGGGGCCGGGGCGGGCCCGTGGTGGAGCTGTTGCTCTCACACGGAGCGACAATAGCGCTGTACCCGGAGATGACCGTCAGGTTGGACACACTGTCCCACGTCGCCATGGCACTGGACATTGTGAGATCCATGGTCGCCCACGAAGACGTGGAAGCGTACATGACCTATCGCTTTGGTCACGAAAGGACTCAGCTGGCCTATGCCCATGGCGAAATGGGGGTGCGAGCGCTGCTGTTCCGACAGACGAGAGCAGCTGCGAGGAGGCGTGGCGGGCAGTTAGGAGGCAGTTTCTTGTGGTAGCGCAAAGGCCTAGGATGATATTGGCGGATCTGTACAGCGGTTTGCGTGTGGAGGAGTCATCTCGTTGGGTTTGTTCTCGGGACATTTCGATGGATCATGTTTAAAGCCATCATGATTTGGGTTTTGTTTGGAAGAGGCGTTGACGTTTTTTGTTCAAATATGTATGTGTAAGATGGAGTCAGGATATACCCGGGGCAAAGCCCAATTGGTTCACTTTATTGACAGCACCTTCAATGAGGTTGAAATAGAGTAGAAATAGAACAAAGAAGTTCATCCATCATCGTCCGTTCAGAACAAGCGGGGTCCGAAGCTCAACACACATGCAAAGCGCGCTTAACCTAAACAGGACAGCACTCGCAACAGTACATACTGGGCACCTGCCGATAACGATAACGCAAAAAAGTTGAAGCCTTTCGTTGGTCGCAACCAAACCACACACCATCAGCGCCAAACCAAGGCTCTTCAACAACAACATACAGCTCGCATTCCCCAATCCCACAAAAATGGCCGTCCTCGGAAAGCGCAAGGCCACAGAGGAGCCGACAATATCGACAGAAGACGCACAGGAAATCTTCCGACGACACTTTGAAGCGCAGTTCCTTCCGCTGCCGGAGGCAGAGCGCAAGGCGCGAGAGGAGGAAGAGGAGGAGGACAGTGACGACGATAGCAATGGCAGTGACGGTGAAGGAGGCGAATGGGGTGGATTGTCGAATGAGGATGACGGCTCCGACGACGACGATGACGAGCTAGATGACGATGAGGACGACGGTAGGACCAGCTGCGCATCCCGTTGCCCAATGCATCATCCTCTTAACTGACAACACCGTCCAGACTCTCCCACCATCGAAGTCGTCGACCACTCCGTCTCCCAAGCCCCCAAAACGAGCACAATGTCCAAACGCGAACTCAAAGCCTTCATGGTAAACCCTCTCTCCACTCTCTTCTCCCATTTCGACACGAAAACGCTAACAATTCCAACCTCCAGTCCTCCCGCCCACCAGACCCAACCTCCTCCTCCTCATCTTCAAAGACTCCCCAGCCGTCCTCGAAATCCTCCTCCGCCCTCCCCGAAGACGCCCCCTCCCTCCTCGCGCAAGACCTCGAGCTCCGCCGCCTCATCGCAGAATCCCACCTCCTCAGCACCAACAAGCCCACCTCCCTCTCCTCCATCCTCTCGTCGTCGTCGTCGCAGTCCGAGCCAAAGACTTTCGCTGCAGGCCGCGTCCGCCAGAAAGCGCTCGACCTCCGCATCCAGGCCCTGGGCTCGAAAACGTCCATTCTCAAGCAGGAGAAGATGCCAATGCACATGCGCAAGGGCATCAATGCTGCCGCTGTGGAGAGGGAGGCTAAGCGGAGGCGCGAGGCCAAGGAGAGCGGTGTGATTCTGGAGCGGGAGACGGGGAAGAAGAAGAAGAGGGATCGGAAGAGCGGAGGAGGCGGTGGTGGATTTGGACCGGCCGTGGGTAGAATGAGGGGTGCTGAGCTGAGGATAAGCGAGAGGGATGTCAAGAAGATTGAAGGGGCGAGGGATACCTTCGGCAGGAGAGGCAAACGATGAGAAGCAATAGCGTTGATTTGAATTTCATGAATGTCTGATTCAAGACTGGCAGAGCCAAGCGGTACACCAATTTATAGAGCATAGGTGGAGGGTTTGGAGAGCTACCCAGACCAAGCACATCACCAATAGAAGCGGTTTTGTGTGTTAATTTGCAATTACTTTTCATGCCTATTGAGTCCTACACCTCAACAATAAAACAAAGGGAACCTCCGACAGTGGTAGTCCACCGACAAAAAGTCCCCCTATAATCTTGCCATTGAATAACAAAGAGTATATAACTGAATATATACAGATAGCGTCGTTTTCACTCCTGTCACATGCAAACCTCTTCTCTTTAGTTCGCTCAGAGAAGCCCAAACCAAGCAGATGTTACCCCGCTACTGGTTGGACTCCGAGCCCATGCGTGTGGAAAGAGCAAATATTGTGCGTTTTGCAGCCGTAAAAGAAAAAAAGAGGACAATCCGAGCATAAGACGCGTTAAAGAAAAAAGGGGGTTGTGAGATATAGGAAAGATGAAGGAGATGATATCAAGAAAGGAAAGAGAAAGGAAAGAGAAAAAAGACACACATGAAATCCCCTAAACCGAGATCCATAGAACGTGAAAATGTATCATGACGCAAACAGATAAGAGAAAAAAGGCAATAGAATGGAAAAAAGATCATATGAAGTACAGATAAAGAACAGGCGCATTACATGGCACCGCCCGCGTTGATAGCAGTTGGTTGGCTGATGGTCATCGGCATGCTGAGGGTCTGGAGGCTGTTATAGCTATGGCTGGACGTCATGGTCGTCTGAGGAGCAATGGTGCCGCTGGTGACGACGGCGTTGATAGAGCCGGGATGGAAAGCCGACTCAGACGTTGGCGAAGCTTCTTCGACAGATCCAAGATGCTCCTCGCCAGAGTACTCCTCCTCCTCCTCGGCAGACAGATGCAATGAGCCTTCACCACCATCCTCGCGGCTGTGGGTGCGCTTGTGCCTGTAGCAAACAGATTAGTCACCGACACGGTTTGAATTGGGGTTTGGAGCAACAGGGGAGAGACATACTGTGCCAGATTATCCGACCGAGAGAAAGCTTTGCTGCAATGAGGGCAGATGTAAGGCTTTTCTTGAGTGTGCGTTCGAACGTGCCTGAGGAGCGCTTCATTAGCCTGGTGGACCCATCTTGGCTCTGCTGAGAGAGAGAACTTACCGCTTAAGGTGCTCGAGGCGCTTGAAAAGCCGACCACAGGTGGGGATGGGGCAGGAGTGAGACTTGTGAGGGTAAGGACCCAGCTCCATCACAGTAGCTGACCGGGCGCGTCGGACAATGCCGCCGCCCATCATGGACCGTCCATCACCGGACATGTCGTCGCTGATGTGGGAAAAGTCGTGCTGCAGGGCCATGGGGTGGACGGCGGGGCTGCCGTGTCTTGACATGTCCATGAGATCCTTGTGCTGAGAGTTGGCGTACATGCTGTTAGGCGAGTTGCCGCTGGACTCCTCTCCCTCAACGACGGGTCCCATGGAGACGGACACTGACCTGCGCAGATCCGAAGGCCTGTGAGGGGCAGACGGAGTCGACGTGGGCGCAATGGCAGACATGGACGTGGGAATCGACGTGCGGCGTCTCCGCTGCTTGTAGGTGGGAGATCCCTCGATCACGGAGTAAATGTTGTTGGTGCCGTAGGAGCGAGGGAAATGCGGGCCTGCGAGGTGAGAGGGCATCTGCACCATGCCGCCCAGGCCTGACATGCCGGAGAGGTGGTCGGGGATGGCGGAGTAGAGTCCAGTCTCCTCGTTTGCGATGTAGGCGGGCTCGGCAGTCATGCCGAGGGCCTGCTGAGGAGGAGTGATGGGCTCAAAGGACAAGCCCCTGTTGCTGTAGTCCTCGTAGCCCGAAGACACGAAGGAGGGAGCAGGCGAATACTCCAGGCCGTAGGCGGGCATCGAGGAGTGGCGGTGATGGCTGTGAGTGATGGGAATGCCGTTCTGGTTGTAGTGCACGCGAGTGAAGTCAGCTTCCCTCTTGACTGCCGCGACCTGCTGGGGGACGGCGGGCGCCATGCTCATGGCGTCGTAGGAGACCATGGTCTCCATGCTCTCGGCCAAAGGGGCCATGCTGTGAGGGATCATGCTCGGGGGAGGCATGGAGTCCATGGCCCTGACGACGGGGGAGGTCGACTGGCCGGGGTGAAAGGAAGACTGCTGGGCGCTGAAGGAGGACGAGTTGGCCTGCTGGCTCTTGGTCAGCTGCTCGTACAGCGACTGCGACGAGTCGTACTGGAAGGACAGCGCAGGCTCGCTGACGGCGACAGTGGTGGCCTCCTGGCCCATCTTCTCCCGCTTCAGGTCACGCTCCAGAGCATCCAGAAAGAGACGGTCGTGGGGCACACTGTACCAGTAAAAGACCTTTTGCTTCTTCTGGGTACGGATGCAGTTGTTTTTGTAGAGAAAGTCGAGGAAAGCGCTCTTTGGTTCCTCCAGGGAGGCGTCAGTTCCGGACTTGAGGTTTCGGAGATCGGAGAAGATTCCCTCCTCGAACTTTTTGGAGTTCTTGACGGGGCGGCCAAAGGCCTGGAATCTGAAAGAAAGGCATCGCACAATGTCCGTGCCCGAGATGTGAAAGAGGTTGTTCCACAGGATGCAAGACACGTACTCGCCCGTCGGCAGCAGAAAGCGTCGGATGTACTGATCCGGCTGCCAGTCTACGGGAGCGGAGATGAGGAAGTACTTGAGGTTGTCGACTTGCTGGAGGGCGACCTGGGCATCATGAGGAAGCGCCTGCTGGGCCTCGGTGCTGAGCATGAACGTCTCAGGCTTCTGAGGCGCAATGGCCGGGTGCTGTGAATACATGGTGCGCGAGTTGTGGCGATGCTATTCTTTCTTTTGGTGAGTCAAGAGAGTCGGAGGGCGGGAGTACACCGGTCTGGGCGATGTGTGTGTGTGTATCTGCGGGCCAATACAATTGGCGAGGGCGGATGGGGTTGTCCTGTGGTTCCTGCGCGGGCGATAGTTGGCGAGTTCTGCGCGCAGATGCTGGTGCGAGACCAGAAGAGACTGAGAGACAAGGAAAGTATTTAATGAAAGGCGCTGCCCGAGGGTCGCGAGAAATGGCGATTTGACGCGATGGTGGTTGTGTGTGGTGTGTGTGTGTGTGTGGGAGAGACCAGCTCGAAACGACTGAAAGAGGTTGCACAGCAAGGGGGGAACGTCCCAGAACAACAGCGTCAAGCGAATGTATGGGCGCGTCCAAAAAGCGAACCGTCTAAGGCGAGGAGACGAAGCCGTCGGTCGGTCGCAGACGAATTAAATGCGTATAGAAACGGAGGGACCAGGAGAAGGAGCGTAGTCGGCAAAACCCCGCGACAAACGCTGGCGTGTTGTTGTTGTCTTGTCTTGTTCCTTGTCTTGCCTTTGAGGCGCTGGCGATGATGGCGTGGCGGAGCGGCGAGCGGGAGCGGCGACTGAGGCGCGCGATTGAGGGACAGCCTGGCCCAACGTTTGTGAGAAAATAAAAGAATAAAAAGGTGAAAAAGAGGGCACACGAGAGAGTCTGCGCGGCTCCGAAGAAGAACGGGAAAAACAGGAGGGAGAGGGTGGAGGCGGAGGAGGGAAGAAGCGAAAGGGCAGGAAAACGTTGAAATAAGAAACACAGGGAAGAGATTTCAGAAGAAGGGGAGCGCTGAGGATGGACGGCCGGGGGAAGGGCACGTTTAATGGGGTGGAGTGGCGGGCCTTGCTTGGTGCGCCTCCAGCGGATTGGATGCCTGTGCCTGAGCCTGTCTGTGCCTGTGCCTGGCCTGAGCCCGTACCTGAGCGAGCCTGTTGTGGGCGATGGACGTACAAGATCGAAAGAAACCGGCGAGCAGCCCGATGGGGGAGTACCTGGGTCTGCGCGGGTCGGTGGCTGCGGACGCAAGTACCTTTGTCGTCTCGTCTGGCTCGGCTTTGGTCTGATCTGGCTGTCGACTGGAGCCGGTGGTGCTGCTGGCTGGTGCTAGGAAGCGCCTCGATTCTGTTGGCGCGAGAGCTGGACGGTTCCTGGACGGTTCCTGGGACGGGCTGCTGGGCCGTGGAAGAGTTGCGAAGAGCCGTAATAAGCAGTGCTACTAGCGCAAGGTACAGGTACTGCGGCGGCACGGAGTAGAGGCGGCGTACTCTGTCGCGCGGGTGCTGGCGGCAGTGTACCTGGATGATACTTTGGACGAGGAAGCTGCCTTGGGCAGGAGAGAGGGGGGAGGGGGCACTAATAATACACGCGGAGGAAAAGAAATCATAATAAAAGGCGCCATTAGTGACAGAAATAAAAATAAAAGAGCGAGGGCGTGCAAGGGTCGGTGCGCACAAGAGCGAAGAGCTCGGAGCCAGCCAGAGGGTCGGGCGGGCGTGCGCTAAGCCGGATGGGGATGTGGGCGGTACGGGCAAGTGCGGCGGGGCGCGACTGCAGCGAGAGAGAGCAGAGAGAGGGAGTGGGGCTGGGAAACGAAGCACCTCAGTCAGTTGCTGTCATGGCGCATGAGCGGGCAGCATTGAGCCCACCGGGGCCAGGCCCTGCACAGTTGAGTGAGCCGTGGTACTCGTACCAGTGCTGCAGCCCTCGAGGTCCAGTGCTCGCAGCGGACGCCTGTAGCGGTACCTTGGTGGCTGCGTCCCCTTAGAGCGCCACCTAATCGCAGCGGTGCGGGCGGTGTTGGCACTGGAGGCTGTGGCGTGTAGGTGCCAGACGATAAGTCGGAAGAGAACAAAGCACCCGACCTGACAATAGAAACGCAAAAAGAGCGCAACTGATTTCACATGACAGCACGGCATTGCACAGCATAACAACTCGACGATAAGACGAATACTTGCTAAGTAGCAACAACGGAACAGCAACAGTCCTCGGCACGGCAGCTGCTCGCCGCGAGGACTCGCAGCGCACTGCTGGCGCCGTGGTTGGCGTTCGGAGCGCTCGTGGGCTGCGGCTCCACAGCCAACCACGGCCGGTAAGTACAGGTACACGGGCGTCTGTAAGTGCGTGACAGCTCCAGAGGACTTGTTTGGGTGCCTGAGCGCTTTGCTGCAGAGCCCAATCAGGGCCAAAGCAGATGCACGCATGCATTGAGGAGATCAAACACGCCCCAAAGGTGCCGGCATCGCGACCTCCAGATGCGCACCTGCACTCCATCCTACGGAGGCTCTACAGCGAATCGACATCTACCTTACCAGTAAAGGGAGCTGGAGACAAACAACAAACATCGAGTTTATGCATTCATCTGTGCGTTGTTTCTGGAAGAAATCCGTCCATACCGTAACTTGTACTCAGCCTTCGGAGTGTGGCTGCGAGGACTCGTACTTGTACATTCCATCTCAAGAACAAGCACTGATAGAATGGCAGCCGAGGGGGAACTTGAAGAACGCTGCGTGCAAAGGAGGGCCAAAACCGGGCCCCTTGATCTGGCCTGGCCTCCACACGAACCCAGTTCAAGCTCCCCTGCTCCAGAACCTCAAGGTTTTTGCACGACACTGTCAGAGAGTGGGTGTGCAGGTAGCGAGACAAAAATAGGATGGGCGTGTGTCGACAAATCACGCCTAGCAAAGGGGGGGTTGTGAAGGTGAAGAGAGCTGCAGGCCAGCCCAGTGAGTGACATTTTCGTTGGAGGTAGTATTACAGAGCTTTCATGATCCGACCCTTCACAGCGTCACCTCAACAGCTTTGGCAGGCCAATGCAACGACGTCTCTCTGTTCTCATTCGACCAACTGGAGTTGACGAGGCCGGATCTGGCTGTTGCTGCTTCGTCTGTATCCCATCGCCAAGGCTGGCTGCTTTGCTGCTCGCTCCCCTGCTCCCCCAAATACCGGCTCTCTCATACAAGTACCTTTGCAGGTATTTCGGCAATATACGGTAATGTAACTAATCTCCGCTAGCGACCACGCTGATGATGGCGGACAACCACATGGCAGCTTGGATACAGCCTCCAGGTGGCGATGCTCCTATTCCCATCGGTCTGCTTTGCATGAATGGCCTCTCACGGCTCAATGCTCATTCATGCCGCAGAGTCCGCCTCCTCGACCATTGCCATCAACAAAGGGGCAGCGAGAGTTGATGGCAGGGACAATGTCCGCATTGCTAGTCTCTTTGTTTGATTGAATAGTGTGGCTATCGCAGGTCTATTACTCTGCTGGGCACTAGCCTTGCGTACCCCTGACCGGATGCGTCGACCGCATAAACATGCAATCTAGGGCTCATTTGGTCCCTGAATCAGTACACGAAAGCCTCGGAGCCGATGAACAGACTGGGAATGGAGAGCTCATCGCCAGGAGCATGCTTTTTCGTGCCTCGCGGCCGGCCCCGCAGCATCTCTTTACCCGCCTTATCGAGGACGTCCCCTGAGCGCGACAGCTACTACCATGCCTTCTGGGCAGCGATATGAGGAGTACTGCAGCATGTAGGTGATTTGGCGGCTCATGAGACGACCGCATCTCGTGGCCATGCGAGCGAGGATATCTCATTGGGCCTCTTTCTGGCCTTGTCCTGGACGCAGCAGAAGCCCAGCGTTACCAAGAGATGGCTCCCACGCTCCCATTGCCGGTGTCTCGCCTCTCCTTGACCTGTCACTGCCGGCATGGAAACCAGGAACCCCCAAGACGGATGCGATAAACATTGTTTTCGATTCATCAATCCAAGACGCCAAACCCCTCTTCGTCCTGTCTTTTGCATATATGGCTCTTACCGGGGAAGAAAGGGGGACATCTGATGCCGACGTTCGAGATCATGATAGGTTTCAATCCAAGTCAGCCAAGGATAGGAGGGCCAGTACAAGCTCTCCGTTCAGACCTGGCTTGTCAAATCTTCCATGTCAACGGCTTCCGTGACTCCGAGTTCCGACAGCCCACTGGCTCCAATTCCGAATGCCAAGTCGTTGGCGAGCTGGCAGGATCCGTTCACTAGGCAAGCTCCTTCTTCATGCAGGCATATTCTCGAATGCAGAGCCCAGCCAGAGAACGTCCGAGTCGTTCACCTGTAACGCGGAAAAGAGGGAACAAAGGTCCATGTTTTGCGCAGTGATGTGATCTAGCTCCCCCACAGTGAGCTCCAGCCTGGAAGGATTGCCGCGGGTCGTCCGACATCTGTGCTCCTCGAATCGGCGACGATCAGATGGCATCTTGTTGGCAACGCGGAACGAGGATGGGCGGCAGAAGAAGGAAACACTTGCGCTGTCGCATCGCCAAAACAACCACCCAGGTCCCCTTGTCACATTCGAAACAGGGCAGCGGGAGGAGGTCGACGCTGTTTGAGTCCTGAAAGGGAGAAGCGCGAAAGCAGAAGCGTTCGACTCTGCTCGATCTGAAGCAGACGATGATAGAGGGCAGTCAGGGCGCAGCCACTTTCGCCCGAGGTCGCACGCTTTCTTGCGGTGATGACACCCAATGGTTATGGACCTTTAAATTCCTGCGTGGCATCAAAGCAACCAGTTCATCTCGGCCATGCCTCTGGGTAAGCAAATGCTTGTCTTTGCGATAGCCATCGTCTGCAATGCGACCTCGTAGGTGGTCAAGCGGTAGTAGCTGTACCAACTTGGAAGTCGCGTGTATGTACTGTGCTCGTGCTCGTGCTTTCTTCTTCCTGCGCCTGCCAAACCTTTTTCCGCTGCCGACGGACCAAGGCTCCAAGGCTCCAAGGCCACCAAGCCTTTCAACCTTTCCTCCAAGCAGCAGCTCCCGGCCAATCGCTGCACCAGCCTTGCAAAGCCCAGCATCGCCATGGCCAGCCTGCGGCCCGAGCTGCTGCACGAGAGGCTTTTCAAGATGAAACGCGCCTGGAGCGACACTGCAGTGGAGACGAGGCATTGCTAGAGACACGCGCGGCCGTGATTGGCGGCGTCAGAGTGCGTACGCCCTCGGATCCCATGGCCCCATGTCTTGCTTCACCTCACTAAGCAGCCGTCCTAGGCCAGACGCACTCTAGCCCTTCGACAGAGCACTCAAGGCCGAATCACGACTCTGGGCGACCCCTCATTGCCAATGCTGCAGCAGCAGGGATCGGTCGGTTGCTCGACAGCTTCCAATGCGACGTCGCTAAGCCTGATGCCGCCAGGCCGTGTTGACGATGAATGCAGGTGACCGCAGCTGGACCGGCCATGACTCTGCACCCAGGCGCCTTGTTGGAAAGCGACCCGCGGTCCGTTGTCTTTGCGCTCTCAGTCGTACCTCCTCGAGCGCATCTTGTCCGACGACGACAGCGCAGAAGCCATCGGCCCACGGGCTTTGGGGTAACCGCAGGATAAGGCCGGTGGCTTGCGGCTATGCCCTGCTCTCCAGAGATGCGCTGTCGGTCTGTCATACTGGCCAGGTTCTTCTGGAGCATGGAGGGAGAGCTGAGCCAAGCTGCTGCTACGGTTACCGGTCCGTGATATCGTACGAGCTTGAAGGCATCATCTATTCGTGGGTCCCTACCTTTCAGGGTACAGACTGTGTTGTGACGCTGTCACTTTTCGTCCCATGCAAGCAAGACATCTCGATGATTCAGCGCGCATCGGATCGTCCAGCCGCACTCGAGCTCAAGCGCATACAATACTACTACATACATACACGCTTGGGATCATGACGTGCTCCTACAGGCTACCTAGTATGAGGTATAGCCGTTGTATGTGCTTCACTCGCTTCTGCTTCGATCAAAGCCGATCGGCGCACAGAGCGGAGGATTAACAAAGCGAAGCTCGGCCTGCTCCACAAAGAGTCTGTGTGCCGACATCAAGTTACCAAACGCGGCATCAAGACCTTTCTGCCTCGTCCTTGTCCATTACCAATGCGCCGAGTCGAAAGCTCTCTAAAAGATTATATCACAAGCAGGACAGGACCTCTTCTCTCCCTACGGCCGGAGTACGAGTACATACTGACGACTCTGTAAGCGGGCAAGTGACGAGATCCTGCAGTTTCTGAGACGTTGAAGACTTCGTTTCCCAGCCAGGGTCTGAGGTAGTGGCCATCTGAAACATGAAGATACCAGGTGCTTGCGTGCTTGATCGTCCCGCCCGTTTGAACTGATAGCCCGGTACGCGCCGCGACCCTCACTGGCCATTCGGACTATCTTTGTGACGACGATGGCCATTCGCGAGAGGGAGCATGTAAGGGGTCGAGCGGGCCTTGCTCATGCGGTGACAGACAGGCGGCGTTGTCAGGATGCAAGAGCACACATGTCTTCACAAATCAGCATCGCCATCACTGCAGCTCAGAGAACCTCCTGGCGCTTCCGCTCGCAGCCAATGGACCACCTGCTCACTCGGCACTGGCTGGGACACGATGCGAAATATATTGCCCAGCCTTCAGGAAGTCATCACGGGCCCGGTATGAGCCTCTGGGCGTGGCAAACACTTGGCCTGCAAATCGGCCTCTGCGGGCCATTCATAGAGCTCTTTGTTGCTGCCAAGCTTCCCATTGGTAGTGAGCCTTGAACGGCACGCTGCGAGATGCCGCTTGACGCTCAGAATCCCCAGGGAACAACCCAAATTTAGATCAAGCTTAACGCTCCCTCGGCCAACCAGGAAGACGAGAATGCGATTTTGTTTAAAGGTACGACCTGGCAGGCCAGCCAAGTGCACACGCAGCTGACTGTTGATTGGCTTGCTGCACATTGTCCCTTGCATATCTAGTGCGATTGATAACTTGGCCTCTCTCTTCTCCGATACTATCGAGTGTACCAATCACCTTTCATGGGTCCCCCAGTGACAGCTTGTCTGTATACTCGATACTATCAGCATCGTACAACGTCTGCATTGCCGCTCAGAGGATCCCTCTAACTCGCGTGGTCTCGAGATTGGGCCTGGTGACGAGGGCAACAAAGGACGCATGAATGGACCCGCCTTGCTCGCCCAACTCGACGTGCCCGCTCGACCACGATTTCCATCAAAGAACTTGATTACCAGATACTGTGTGGCGTTTAAAACGAAACGGAAAAAAAGGCCCGTTTGATGAACGCCACACGGCTTCAGAAACGATGAAACGGAGCCAAGGACAAGAAGCGCGGGACTTGGTGCCGGCTAGTCATTCATCGCCAACCCCTGGCCCGCTCGTCTCTCTGTTGAGTCCGGAACCGCAGAGTTCGATTTGAGCCACGAAGTCTGTCTCTCTCAATCTCGTGTAGACAAAGGCTCTGTCAATCTCTCTTGGCCAGCAATGCTTTTCAGCCTGCCGTGCTACGATGACGCGAGATGAAGGCATTTCACGCTTTACCCAATACCTCCAAGGCTTTTGGAGCCCAGGTCGGACCTCGCATCGCATCGCACTCCGTTAGGCGAGGCTGGAGACTATCCAAGGTCCGAGTCGCTGTTGGACCTGAAACGAGGCTGTCGGTTGTCGAAAAGCGAAACTGCTCCGAGAGATAACCCGACTAGTGTGCTGCTATCGTTCCCATCACGGTTCGATCATACATAGCGCAGCACCCGCACGAGCCAAGGCCAGCAATGCTATGACTTCTCCGACGTTCGTGCACTGGCCTTTGGCGGGCGATCGATTGCAGGGTCATTTTCCTTCATCTGCCACCCTGGCATAGCTGACTCGATCGCTGGCTAACGCAAATAGAGTATAGCAGACCGATAGGCGTTGCGGTGGATCCGCCGGCGACGATGCCTTCAGCTCAACTCTGAGCATTGTGCGGACTGAGTGCCGACTGAGTGTTCGAGACTCGTTTCTTCCTCATACGACACGCCGTCTTAGTCTGCATGAACACGGGCAGATGTCGATGTTCGGAGCTTTCTCTATCGTACATGCAAGACTCTGAGCCCCGTTTCACCCTCTTCTAGAAGTGCGAGGAACACGCCCTTTGCGGAATCATGCCATTCTTGTTCTGTCCAGGACGGTCCATTCCTGGAAATTGTTCAGCCCGTGTTCCGTTTCGAAACCAACTATGAACGCATCTGTGATGATATGGAATTATTGATCATGAGCTCAACTAATGGTCTCCTATCTACCAAACGAGAAAGGAGCGCGCTGTTGGAGACTCCCGAGGCTGTGAGCTACGCTACGCAAGTCAAGCTAGACGTTGAAGCTGAATCGAGGCTTGACTCGTGAGAGACGGTTAACGCGCTTGGCGTGGCTGATGACTCTCTGTCGAGTTTGCATGCATGCCGAACCATGGCTTCTTCATCCCTTTGACGGGCCAAAGTCCAGCCACGGCTGCCAGCTGCAAATGCTACCCTTCGGCCCCAGATCTCCCGCCTCTTTGGGAACTCGTTCCTGTCATTTCCCTGGTGATGGTGGTGGCTGGTAAGATTTGCAGTGCGTAACAGCTGTGTTACCATCGGCGATGGAGACATGCGAGTCTTTAGGCGATTGGCAGGGCCCTCAGTTGCGAATGCTGGCCACCAAGGTCGCAGCGACCGTCGCTCGCTTTCCCTTATCCTTTGCAATGTCGCTACAGCGCCGGCATGCTGACTGCCTGCCGCAAATCCTCCTTGGAGGGCATTCCTTCGTATGCAGCTATCAGGTCCATCACATCCCAGGTTCATCTCCGCCTCCCGACCCCTGTCAACCGTCCAAGCCGGCACGTCTTCCGCACTCTCTTTTCCGTTAGAATTTGCGAGCAACCTACATCGTTACAGGCCTTTCCTAATGCCTGCTTCTCCGGTATAGTCTAGTAATAGTAGCGCCTAGTATTGCCGTTCAAGCCCTTGGCCTCTCTCTGCATCGCAAGTCATGGCGAGCTCGATGGACTATGACCCGATTGGCCGCATGGAAGAGCACAGCATTCTGAAACCGGGACTTTAAGCCTTGAAACAGAGGGCATCCAGCTTCGTGGGCACCGCCTATGCCTATTCTGCTCGTTTGGGAATCCGGGGGGGTTGAGGGATGTGACATCGGGCGGTGATGGCTCACATTTGGCTCTGCCATTCAGCCGCTTCGGTCAACTTGCTCTGCTCTGTCGATACGAAGTATTTCAGAATGCCAGTCCCTTCGACTGAGGAGGCGTCCGATGCCTGAGTTTCAGATAAGGTATCTTGTTTCTGTCCAAGAATAGGAACGGCTAAGCACGAAGTGGGAGGAGGACGACTGGGAAGTGTAGGGCTGACGACATGGTTCGGATCTGTTGGTGAACGCGAACATTGTGATTTGTCACAGCTGGCAGATTTCCCCGGTAATGGCGTCTTACACGTCCATACGAGTATGTACGTCCATGTCCGGCATTCTGTACGAGTATAGTACGAGCACATGTGAGCGAGAGAAGAGAGAACACAAAAAGAGTCATAACCCATGCCACTCTCCAGAGAAGCCCGATTACTAACAGCGGGAAGAGCAGATTCCGAAGCTGCGAACAGGGGGGTTGGTGGCATGGAGGGGGAGGGTGTCCCTGCTTGTCTGTGCTTGACCAAGCTGTCAAGCTGCCAATCCCGCCGTTTCGACTGCGGTGTTGCAGCCTGAGTGTAGTCACTGGGGGAAAACAAGAAAGAAAGAAAAACAAAAGACAAGAGGATTGCTGGGAGAAATGGCCTGATTCCGACCAAAGGTACGACCTTGGTGGAAATTGGGGTTGCAGATCGCCCTCTTGGCTGTGCAAAGCAAGTGTGTGCGTGTTTGTGTTCCCTTGGCTTTCCTTGTCGGATCTTTTGGATAGAGAGGGATGGCGTGTTGATGGGTTTGTCAAATCCGTGTGGCTTCATTTTTTTTTTTCATTTCGCATATATGCGAGGTTCTTTCTCGTCTGGCGGCATGTGCTTCCGAGGACGAGGACGAGGAAGAGTGACGAGGAGCGTCTGTACGACTACTAAAAGCAGCAAAGCCGAAGAGGGGAGAACAGAAAAAGATCAAGACGATCCAAGCTCGTGATGATGAGGAACAACGACTCCATAGGCCATGTCGATACGAACCTCACTCTAACGCTTTCACCACTACCAAGATAAAGACTCGGGGGATGCTTAAACAAGCAAGAAAACCAGGCCAACGGCCAATAAAAAAACAAAACTGATACATCATCTCCCCGTTCACGCAGAAACCGGGTTTAGAGCAGGTCTTTTCTCGTCCTTTACCCCTTGCCTATAGCCCCCAGCCCCTCCCCCCCCCAGCCAGCCTCGTCCTGATCTCGGGAACAAGGTTCTCGCTCATCAACAAGTCACATGAGAAAACAACGCTTGTAATTTGTTTTTCTTTTTCTTCTTTTTACCTTTCTTTTTCTCATTACCTATGTAAAAACAAAGCGACGTGAAAAACAAGATAAAAGCAAAGAAAAACACAAGACACATTGCGAACAAACTTCGTATCTTTGCGGAGAGTGCAGGACAAGCAATAGGGTAGGGTGCCTAGCCAAGGATGTATGCCTCACAAGGCAGCCCCCCGAGGAGAACAACACGGAGAAACAAGACATATCACGGTCTTACTTCTTCGTAATAGAGCCGTTGATACAAGCAAGATACAAAGGTAAAAAAGGTAAAGATCGATTAAACATGCTTCGTACAAGGTCCATCCTTCGATGAACCACAAACCCAACTCGTAGGTCTTGAAAGAGAGAAAGAGAGATAAGAGGAAGAAAAAGTCGAGATGGCTTCGTATTGAACAGATATAGACAGAATGGACAGATTTGCAACAAAAAACAAGCTACATATAGTAAAAGCCAAACATGATTTTTCTCCTCTCTCTTTTGCTCCAACACATGATACTAACGAAACGTCGCAAGAGAAGCAAATGCAGTTAAATACACCAGTCCGATTTTTTCCTCCGTCGCTCTCTTGTTTCGTTCCGATTCTTTCTTCACCAGAAAGATAGAACCAACCGCACGAAACGCAGAAACGGACGAAACAACAGACGAAGAAACAGCTTAATGGCTGGCCCCTTGCATCAAACGAATCCTCTCTCTCCCTTCCTTGGTTCTCCCTCGCCTCCGTTAGACGCCCTGTGCCTGACTTCATGCCGCGGCGGTCTACTCCCCTGCTGTGTTTTGCTTTTTCTCATACTCTCTTGTTGAGTTTTTGCTTTTTTCCAAGATTCCTCCCCCTATTCACTCTTCCTTATCCCTTGACCCCAGGCTCTCGACAAGACGACAAAAAGCGCGATTCTCAGAACAAGCAGGGAGAGAGACAGATTCGGATAGGCAAGGTATGTAGCAATAGTATACTAAAAAGACACACAAAGATTACGATCGTGCCTCCTCTAGCTCTAGCTCAAGCTGCCTGATTCGCTCGCTCTGGTCCTGGGACCCTGATCCAAGCCGCTTCTTGAGGGATTCGACTTCGGACGTCAACAGGCCAATCTGGTCGTTCTGGGCGCTGATCACCTTTGTCTGGTTCTCAATAAGCTCCTTGATCTCGCTCAAGGAGGTGGCGCTGGCAGCGGATGCCGGGGCAGCAGTAGCAGGAACAGGAACAGCGGGGGTGGATGATACCGCAGAGGCTGTGGGAGTGGCGGCTGCGGGAGCTGCAGGCTTCGCCTCGGTTCGGATAGGCAGAGGGTTTCGCTGGGCCGGCTTGACCTCCTCGTCAAAGCTGGACGGTTCCTCCTCCTTGGACTCCGCCTCGTCGGCGTCCTGGAACTTGTTGGCCATGGCGGCAATGGACGTCTTCTGGTCGCTGACACTCGGAGGAGGGGCTCGCGCCACTGGCTTGGGCTCCTCCTTGGGCTCCTCCTTCTTGGGCTCGACCTTGGGTACCACCGGGGCAGGTGGCTGGTAGTCGGCAGCAACCTCCTTAGGGGCAGTTCCCTCATAGATGCTCTCCAGGTCGATCTTGGGAGGGAGTCCAGTCTTGCCCTCGAGCCACTCCTTGGCGCTGACGGCAGGTCGGAGGCCAACGGCAGGGGGGAAGATGTCGGCCTGGAACGTCTCTGCCCGGCGGGGCACGGTGAAGGAGATGGGCTCGATGTAGCTGTCGTTGACCGTCTTGAAAGCGCGCATGACCTCGTTTTCGTGGACCTGGACGGATTAGCCCGGATTGTCCGTATCCATAAACTGCCGGAATACTCACGTTGATAGCGCGTCGCGGAAGGAAGGCGATACCTCGCTGCGGATCAACCGACTTGTACTCGCTCAGGTACTCGAACTTGTCGTTTTCGTACTCAAAGTAGCGGATGTTGCCATCACTGCAAGGCCAGTCAGTCAGCAGCTGTCGCCCAGGGACATACCGCATGTGTAAAGAGAAGCTGGTACTCACCCCTTGCCAGCAAGGTAAAGGCAGTTGGATCCCTCATCTACAAAGCAAACGTCAGCATTCGTATCCAGCTCATTTGGTCACGTTGCATGTCAACGAACCCCAGAACGGCATGCAGACACCAGAAATGGCATCCAGATGCGTGAATCCTCCAATGGGATCGCTGCGGCCAGGTTCCCACAGGGCAATCTGGCGCTCGCTCATCTTGGAGAAGCCCGTCGTGGCGAAGCGGTTGTGCTCTCCCAGCCAGACAGCTCTGCTGTTCTTGGCTCCCGTGTGGCCGGCGGCCTCGTGGACCGGCTTCTCCTGGCGGACGTCCCACACCCGGATCTTCTTGTCCCTCGACGTCGTCACCATGAGGCTGCCGCTCGCGTTCCATGACAGACTCTGTACGATGTCGGCGTGCTGGAGGGTGAGGTGGCTCTGACCGGTGCCGATGTCCCAGAGCTTGATTGTGAAGTCGCCCGAGGCGGAAGCGAGAATGTTTTCGGCCGCGGGGTTGAACAGGACCTGTCCGACTTTTCTATCGCGAGCTGGTCAGTCCTCCACGTGTTCAACAGGACTTTAGGGGGGAGCAGATGGAGTCGAGGCTTACCTCGTATGTCCCCCGAGCTTGCTGACGGGCGATACGTCAGGAATCACCTCGGCATCGGTGTACAGCGAAAAGCCCTCGGGAACCTCCCAGATGAAGACCTTGCCATCCTCCGAGGCAGACGCGATAATATGGTCGTTGAACGGGTTCCTAAATTGCGACAAGTCAGCGGGCCGAACTCACCTCCAAGGTCATCTAGGCGAAGAAAAAGCGGGCGTGACAAGGGTGCTTGGCAAAGGGAAAATAGGGGGGGAGGGGAGAGGAGGGGAGGATGACGAAGAGAGAGGATTTGGGGAGTCCAAGTGAACAGAAGGGGGGGAAGGGATCGTAGCTCACCAGTCGGTATCGAGCACCGTCGCGGTGTGGCCGCGAAACAGCGGGATCTGGTCGGGTGCCTTTCCCTTCTCGTTGAGAGGAATGACGGCAAAGGCGCCGCCGCCAGACGACTCCCAATTGACCGACAGGTACTCGGCGTTGGCCTAATCATATCCGGCTCGCGTCATCAGCAAATGGGTTCGTGTCTTGAAAAAGCGCACACATTTCCTTCTTCTTCTCTTCTCCCCCCTCAATAGTCGCAGCATGTTCGCGTCGACCGAAGGCTTTCTCCCGTCCGTTGGATTTGTCCGTACCTTTACCAGGTTCGTGTCCCAGGCATTCCGACTGATGCGCAGGTTATCGTAGCAGAACTCCTTCTTGGTGGGCTTGCCAAAGATGTGTCCTGCAGTAAGGAAGCGCAACCAAGCACGTCAGCCTTTCCTGTCCATCATTTCTCTCTCTCTCGCTCTGTCTGTGTGTGTGTGTTGTGTCTGTCTGTGTGCAGCTTTCGTGAGGGTTGGAGGGCGGAAAAGGGGAAGCGGGGTCCTGATAGAGGGCTGTGATGGCATCGTGTGTGTCTCGGCTGCGGTGTCGCGACTTCAAGGCTGCGCCATCTGGGGAAATAGGGATCGAAACATACGGTACTTGGACGCTCGAACAAATCGACCAGCCATTGCGGCGTCCTTGTTTGGCAAAACACGAGAAGCTGAAGGAAGAAGGAAAAGAGAAGGAGGAAGTAGAGGGGGAAAAAAAGAAAAGAAAAGGGGGGTGGTAGAGGTTGCGAGTGACGAGTTGACGCGGCTTAGGAAAGTGACGAGTTGAGGTGAGGCTTGCGGGAGCTGAGAGGGACTTGGAACGGGGAGGGAAAAGGGCGAGAAGGAAACGGTCCGCAGTTTCAATCAAATGAGTTGCTGCTGCAACTTGCGCTGCAACTGCACCCCTGGGCCCCAAGCACAGCACAGCACACCTCAGCAACTTACAGGTCCCACGGGTGACGATGCAGCTTCTGAGCCCGCTGGAACAAGCACCCGAGACCCACTGAACATGAACCCCACCTGCACCAGCAAAGGTGACGGACGGGACCTGCAATTAACGCGGGTGGGCATCAATGCGAGCATGGCGCAAGGGCGTCACGTGCCTCGGCTTCGATGCAAAGGGGAGAGAATGGATGATGGAGAGAGTCGCAATGTTAATTTCGAAATGAAAGGGAGGTGATATTAGGGGGGGAGCTGCGTTCTTTATGGCATGATGCTGAAGTCGTCACATTTGACATTCAGCATATGGGTATGAGTATGAATAGAGTCATCATTCATGTACAACTTCCTACAGCACCTTAAGGTATAACATGATATACCTTACAGGTACTAGGTAATATGCGGGCATACATGTACCCCCCTTAACGCCCCCCTTTCTGCCCATCCGTGCGGCACATCGTCACAGTCAACGAACCTCAACAACTCGTGCAAGAAAAAAAGTCAACCAGTTGCATCAAGAAACTGGCGCATTGGCTGCGTTGGTCTCATTATACTTGCTAAACAACGTTTTTTTAGTACAAATCAAAATCCATACGTACAGCGATCTCTGTCGCAAAAACGGCTATAGAACCAAATGCAGCAAGCAATGAAGAACAAGTAGACTCAGAAGTGAAGAAGAAAGAAGAGAGGTCGCAAAAGTGTCGAAAAGGAAGAAAACAGGAAAACCACCGGCAACGCCAATGAATGTGTGTGTAGTAGCAAAAAATGCGCCTTCCCTTCCTTCGCCCTCCCTTCCAACTCGTCGGCCATACTCCATAATCCAACACGTATTCATAACATGGCAAGTACATCGCGAGCTGTCGTCTTGCCCACTCCGCCCCTTAGTTGAACGTGCTCCTTGTCCGCGAGTGCACTCGGCGGCTGTCCGTTCGGCGTCGAATCTGCTCTTCGTGCTTGAAGACGAGCTCGCACCACTTCGCCCGCGATCGCACTCCACTGGCATCTTCTTCCAGTCCGGCATCACCACGGCCGATGACGTCGGAGAGCGCCTTCATCCAGCCCTCCTTGTCCTCGCGTGTATCGGCGTAGAAGTCAATTACCTCGCCGTTGTTGAACCGGATGCGGAAGCCCTCCTCCACAAACATGTACCCCTCTTCTTCCTCAGCAAAGGCAGACCTACGACGTTTGCCCCCCTTGCCAGTCGTCTCCTTCTCCATCAATGTTCTGCGATCATCAATCAATCGCTTGGCATTGGAGAGGTTGATCGTCGCTCGAGGCTGGCGGGTAGCCTCGTGGTAAGCCGTCAGCTTGGTGCCAACAAGCTTAAAGTATCGACGGCGCCAGTACTGAGACACGTGTTAGTCAAGCCATGAAGCTACTCAAGGGCGGGGGTCCAAGAAAAAAAAAACTTACGGGACAATCACCACCCTGCTGGCTCAAGACACCCTCCCAGTTGCGGGCCAGCCTCTCCTCGGCGGCCTTGAGCTCCCGGATGCACGAGTTCATGCTCTTGGGCATGTCGTCATCTGTCACGTTCTTGGGGCGAGGTACAAACAGAAGCTGAAGCTCCAGCTTCCCGATCTTGTACGGCGCCTTTCGGAGGATGCCAGCTGCGTTGCCGCGCTTACTCTTGATCGTCGAGGCGAAACTCTCCTCCTCGGTGGCCCACTCGTTGAAGCAGACAACCTCGACCGTGTACGGCCGACCAAAGCACCGGTTCTCATGCTCCTTCAGGGAGATGTACGCTCGAGCAAAGCTTCCGTCCTCGGCAGCCAGCGGCGACAGGAGCTCATAGGCCGAACCAGCATCCTTACGCTTTCGCGCCAGGGCTTCCTTTTGCTGCTGCGCAAAACGCTCCTCTTCCGCCTTCTTTTGGAGCTCAAGCTCCTTGCGCTTCTTGGGAGACGCAAACACCCGGCTAAAGGTTGACGTCTTGGGTTTCGCCATCTTGACAGCCGCGGGCTGCACGTTGGAGTATGTCGGCTTCTCCAGCTTCACGTTTAGCGTGAGCTGGAACTCGAGATCATTGGGAACGACGAGCTCAAACTCCTGCCCGATGGGTGCGTTGCGAGCCAATTCCAGCCAAGCTGTCGTCACACAGTGCACGCCGTTGTCCAGCGTCAGGCTAAACCAGCTGCGCTCATCTGCGAAGGAGAAAATAAGTTGTTAGAATCCGACAGCACAAAGCAGGGGGAAAAAAAAGGACGTGTTCAGGTACTTACTCTTCGGAATCGGCAGGTCAAGGTCCTTGACGCCAATGACCTTGACGAACAGGCGGCCCCTCTCACCCGCCTCCGGACCGGCTGCATCAACGGCATAGTCTTCTTCAACAACCTTGTTCAGCGTCGTCGAGTTGCTCTCCTGGCCCGGCAGCGGTGGCACCGGGCTCAGTACCGGCTGGCCCTTTCGAATACTGCGACGAGTTTGACTGTTCCACGGCTCGACAGTCCACGATTGGGGGCGGTTCGTCTTGATGGGCGAGTTGTTCGCGGACCGTCCTTTCCAGGGATCTTCGGCGTCCTTGTCGCTGGCCGACACGAGCTTGGTGTTTTGTCGCATGAGATATCCGCGCTGGGGACGAGACGTAATGTTAGTATCGAGTTGGTTCTGGGCTGGTGAGGTGAGCTGGTCTCTCGACACTTGTCGAGGCAAAGAGTGGGTGTCATTGGTGGTCATCTGTGCTGTCTCAACAAAGGAATGACTGAAAGCTACCTTTTGTGTTTCAATGACGCGTTCAAAGTCCTTGTCCAAGCTGAGGCCCATGTCCAGGTCCAGCGTCAGACTCCGGTTCTTAAAGCTAGGATGTCGAGCCAGGAAACTGTCATTCTCAAGTTCGCTGCCATCTCTCGACATGAGCGCGCGATGCTTGCTGGGGATTGAGGGGACACTAGGTATTTCGCCGCTGACGTGTCTGCGAGCCTCCCGCATGGCCACGATGTCTGAAGGCGTGTTGGAAACCCTCGTCTTGAGCTTGGAACCGGAAGCCTTGATGGTCGCGAGTCTTTCGGGGATTTCAGGAGAATCCCTGACCATGGTCTCATCTTCGTCATCGGACACCGGGTTGTGGATGACCGAATCGGGAGTCCCTGTTCTATCTTCGTACGAATCATCGCCCCAGCCAGTGCCGTCATACTCGGGCTTTGGGAGTAGTTTCTCTGGAGTCTTTGTCCGGAGAATCTCCGCCGACACCTGTGGCGACAAGTCATGCTCTTCCCCTTCCGGCTGTATTGACGACTCTTCTGGCTCCTCCGAAACCTCGCGAGTGGGCTCGGGAGCAGCTGGCTGAAGCGCAGCAGGTTCGAGAGCAGAATCCTCGAGGACAGACGGCTCGAGGGTTGAGGGCTCAAGGGTGGCTTCGGGAGTGGCATCCGAATCCAGATCGGAAACCGACGCATTTGACTCGCTGATCATGCTAGACTCGGCCTCTGTATGCGTGTCGGCTTTGCTTGTCGCTGGCGAAATGGCTCGCGGAGTCAGCACCTCATCGGTGAGGTCATGCTCCGGTGGCGACAGTTCTTTGACAGACTCCTTGGCGGGCTCCTTGGCAGCATCGGCCACGGGCTTCTCGGCCTGGTCAGCCTTCACCTCGGCCTCTGCGTAGTGGCCATCGTCGCCGCCGTAGTGAGATCCCGAAGCATCCAAATCATCGTCCGACTCGAAGTGTGAACCGTCCAGCTCGTCGTCATATTCGTCGTCGTAATCGGAGTCGTACATGTCGAGCTCGGAGTCGTCTTCGTGAATAACCCGGTGGATGATGACGCTACTCTCCACGGGGTCTTCATCGTCCTCGTCGTCGTAATGTTCGTCGTAGTTATCATCGCCTTCATCCTCCTCCTCGTCCTCCTCGTCGCCCATCAGAGAGTCCTCGGTCGATGGTATGGGAACATCAGGGTCGAGATTAAAGTGCTGCTCCCGAAGGGGGCTGCCGGGCGGTGAAGAAAAGTTATATTCCGACTCGCGATCTGCCATGATCTTGTTGCCGTTGACACGCTTCATGATGGCTTCACGGGATAAGGGCTGCGGCAGTTGATAATCCCCCAGTCCAGACATGTCGCCGATATTGTCGTCTTCTTCATGAGGCTCTGCCTCCTCGTCGTGCTGGGCGTCAAGGGCGATCTGGCTGTCGTGGGTATCAACGGTGTTGAGCGTATCGTCGCGAGACAGTGAGCTTCGACTGCGTCCGGAACTTCGTCGAAGGCGTCTCTCCCGCTGCTGTTCGGCAGCGGTCTTACCGCTGTTATCATCGGACAGCATCATGAGCTTGAGTCTTTCTTCAAGTGACATCTTGCCCGTGATGAAGCTTTCGATATCGGATTTTGTGGCCGAGGCTGGGGGTGGGACGGGCAAGCTTCTGTGCGAGCCCGCCGTCTTGTCCGGATTCTGAGAGAGAGACGGGGAAGAGGGCACTGAGCCGGTAGATTGGCTTCTGCCATGGCCTCCAGGGAGAGGGGGTAGAGGGCGATTCTCCGCGACAGAGCCCAGAGAGTCACCCCTGGCGCTACCCATGGACAGGCGGCCAGAACCAACTGCTCCTGGAGCGCCGTCGGGCATTGAACTTCCATCATACTCTTCCTGCTCGTGGTTCATCAGAGAACTGTCCCTTGCCCAGTCATCGGGGCCGACGACTGGAGTCTTGTCCGTATCCTCCAGCGACGCATCGAAACTCTCATCTTCACCACCCATGTGCCCGCCCTCATAGAGAAGATCCTCATCATCCTCCTCGTCCTCTTCCATGGAGTCATAGCTCCCCTCGCGCGAATTCGTTCCGATGGAAGAGAGATCCGGAGTGGCCATCTCATACTCGTTGATCTGGGGCGGCGCAGCGTCAAACGTCACGCTCTTCGTGTGGCGATGCGAGGAGCGGCCGCTGGGCGAGCCGTCGACGGCGGATGCGTCTGCAGACCACGTGCCCGTCTCGTGGTCGAAGCTGCTCTTGAACTTGGATGGCGATAGTGATGATTTTGTAGGCGAGGCCTGGTCTTTACTGGGCCCTCTGGGCGTGCTGGGACCGGAGTGGTCCGACTTTGCTGGACTCATGGGTGCAGACTTGTCTCCATCAGCAGCGTACGGGCCAGGGGAGCCGGTTTTCGGGAAAGCGAAGACGCTGTTCGGCGGCTTGGCCAAGGGTCTCTCGATCTGGGGAAGCCGGGTCGGGTCGTATTCCTGCTTCTGCTCCAGCGCCTTGATGTTGCTGTTTTTGACTCGGGAGGCCTTCTGGAGCCGCTCGATCGAGGAGCGCCGCGTAGGCGAGGGCGAGCCGGTGCCGTACATGTTCTCCGAGTTCCGGTTCTGCCAGAAGACTCGCGGCGATGTCACCGAGTCGGCGGGTGAGGACTGGAATGGAGACGAGTCATTGCTGAGCGTCGACTTCTAAAAAAGCGCACCCCCCCTGTCAGCGCGAGACACCACCAAGAGAAGCAACACACAATGTCGCTAAACAACTCGAATTCCACAAACCTTGGTAGGAGACATTTGGTTCCAGCTAGGAGAATTGCGTCTCCTTTCCGTGGGAGAGAGTTCAGAAAGGGGGCGGGGCTGGGGAAGGTTGGACGTCGACGACGTCGTCTTTGGCGGTGATGAGGCTGGCGTGCCCTTCGCGATGCGCAATGGGTGCACCTGTAGAGAGGAGAGGGAGGTTAGTCGCGGCGCCTCTTGTCGAGGACCAACTTGCTGGGCAGCGGGCCACGCTGATGAGCGTACCGGTTCAGATGACATATCGATCGAACTGGTTTGGCTAATCCTTGCACTCGAAGTCGGGCTAGGACGGTTGACGCATCAGCGCGCAGAAAGAGGCGATCAGCACAGCAAGCAGCAGCGATGAGACCCGAGCCCGAGCGAGGAATGCGAACGACTTGCCGGCGTCGTGTCTGCTTTCCTGGAGGGCGTGTGCTTTGTTTGTCGCAAAATGTGTATATATAACAAAAGGGAGGCCCGGCTTGGGGTTTGCAACAGGCAGCCTCGAAAACGAACGTTGGGAAGTGAAGGGGAAAGGGAAAGGGGGACGCGAGATATCAGAATGTTCGCCGGGTTAACTCTGCTCTCTTCTGGATGCCAGATAAAGAAGAAAAGAAGAAGAAAAGGAAGAAAGAAAATAAAAAAAGCGTTGCCTCGGAGCTGAAGTCGACTCGATCGCAGATTCGAACATCAAACGACGACAACTTGGCGAGGTCCAGGTCCAGAGAAGGGGGGCCGTTTCATTTGGCTTGGTTGGGCGAGTTTAAGGGAAGCAGCAAATGCACGGCCGGTCGGGCAGCCGTGATTGGCCCAACGCAAAACAAAACACGGCCCCTCAAAAGTGGCAGGGGTTGCCCGTGGCAACGCGCCCACTGCGCACTGCGCAACAGCCCACGGCCGCTAATTCTGCCCAGAGCTAGCAGCCTCTTGCGCTGGAGCTCCGGGGCGCATGGCAGCTGAGGAAGGGTTGGAGGCGCGCTAGAGAGGCCCGAAATCTTGCTTGCTACAGCGCTGGAGGCGGCCTGCAGGCGGCTTGCAGGGCCTCCAGCTCTGGGATTGAGGGCGGGAGGGGAACCACCGACGATGGATGGAACCTGGAAGCTTGTGGGATGCTAGCGGGCACCAGAGCCTCGCGGTGCTCGTACCGGCGGCCCTATGAGCGCTCGCGGGCTGCGACAGTTGCGAGAGTCGCCATGGCAGCCGGCAGGGATGTGAGACGAAGGCAAGATGCAAACAATCAGCAGCGGAGGGCTGAAGGATGCTGATTCGGCTGATATCGATCGTGTCATTACGTACAGATGGAGGTTTGCGATGCCCGAACGTTCATGCTTCTGCTCACCCGCATCCCGCGCTAGAGAGCGCGAGGCCCTGCAAAACATCCAGTTGTGCCCTGTTGCCTGTCGTCATCAGACACATGCAAAGCGGTCAGTTTCCGATAGATCGCTGGCCATCATAAATACTCCGCGCTTCCAGGCAGGGCTCTCAAAACAAGCTCAAGCTTTTTCCTCTCTGTTCTGCGCCTTTCCACTTCTTTGTTCTCGCCTTTTTTTCTGGCTAGCTGCGAACCTTGACCCATGTCTCTCCTCTCTACTAGCCTTTTCTCTGTGGATTCATCATGCAACCAAGGCTCGGGGATGGTTGCCAAGTGCCAGACGATGACGAAGTTGTAAGAAAACAGAAGACCCATATCCTTGATGTTTACCTTTTCTGGTTTGTTTACTTTGCCTGTTCGCTTTTCGCATGATGAAGGATGCGAGCAGTGGCTCTCTTCCCGCCAAACTCCTTTCTTGGTGCTATTCACCGGTATTATTATCGCCGCCCGTATGATTACCTGCAGGCAGATTGTGAAACACGACGACGCCACGGTTGCCGAGAGGGAACGGGGACCTGGGATGGTTGAATACGAAAGGAAGCTTGAGCCATCAATTTCCAGGCCCTGGCATGCGTGATCAAAGATGTGCGGTGCTGTCTGGTGTCTTGCAAACCACCCCCCGTTTGAAGTACAAAGCGGATGTACCTACTCGTACTTCACTCCCGTATGACCTCCTTTGGTCCACAGCGATCCCGTAAGGCTCATCTCAGGTGCTACCAGGGCTCTTGTTGATGAGGTACATAAGGTATTATGAAGTGATCCAATTCTACCTACCGGGTTGATGGGCAATTTTGTTGAGATCAGGGCGGTCAAACTCTTGCCTTACTTTCCACACGTACATGTACCTTACTCTTATGACGGCAAGGCGGCTACTTGCTTGCACGGGCATATCCATAAAGGCACAAGTCCGTCCATGCACACCACGATCTCATGTTGTTAGCGTCGGATCATATTCTCCTCTTCTTTCATAATTCGTTTGTATTTCATTTTCTTTGTTTTCATGTCAACAGCTCGGTCATGTCTCTCATCAGCTTTGGCTCCTGTTCCACCGCACACAATCCTCAAACTTGACGCCCGCCCCGCCGAAACAGTCCAGAGCACTCCCTATCGTGAGATCGACCTTGCCCCGGCTCAGCCTCTTGACCGTGTCCAAGTCCTCCAGGTGCCGCCCTCCGCCGGCATATGTGACGGGGATCGAGCACCACTCCGCCAGGCGCTCGACGAGCTCCTCGTCTATGCCCCCTTGCAGTCCTTCATTGTCTGCGGCATGGATGAGGAACTCTGAGCAGTATGGCTCCAGCTGCTTAATTGATTCTGTAGATTTTTGGTGCTGTTAGTCAAAAAATGCAAAAGGACGAGATATGTCGTCTTGACTTTTTTTTTACCTTGGTTGATTTCCATGTCTGTCAACGTCTGCCACTTGTTCATGGCGACAAACCATTTGTCTCCCTGACGACGACAGCTGAGGTCAATCACCAGCTTGTCCTTGTCGCCGTCAAGAGCCGCAAGCACGGCATCCAGTCTCTCCTGGCTGAAGTGGCCATCCGGGAAGAGGTAGGATGTGATGATGACCTAAAAGGAAGAAGCAGAATTCCCCAAGTCAGCAACCTCTCCAAGAAAAAGATATCTGGTGCGATCCCGAAAACGACGGCCCTTATCTCGCTCTCTCTCTCTCTCTTTCTCTCTCCCTCTCTTGTGTAATATACCTACCTTTTCCGCTCCCGCCTCAATCCACTCCTTTGCATTCGTATCCCTGATTCCGCCTCCCACCTGCAGCCGGCCAGGCCACGCCCGCAGCGCCTGTCTGGCTGCCTCGTCGTTGCCTCCGCCCAGCATAATCACATGCGCGCCCTCGAGCCCATTGTCCCTGTACAGCTGCGCAAAATACTCTGGCGGGTGCTGCGAGACGTGGTTCGTCTGGAGCGCCTCGGACGAGCTGTCGAGCGTGCCGCCGACAATCTGCTTGACCTGCCCGGCGTGGAGGTCGATGCAGGGCCGGAATCGGGTCATGGTGAGTGTGTCTCTGTGTCCAATTGGGTGAGGAAAAGAGTGAGGTAAGGGAAGATTTTCATATGTGACTCTTTTTCTGATCTATCAGATGGAAGAGACATTTGCCGCTATCCGCACAAGCTTGTGGGGCGATTAGTTGTAGTAGTGCTGCAACTGCTGTGGGTGAGTTGACGCCACAGTGCCACGGCAGTCAGCCATCATGTACTCACACGCAGTTTGTGCTGCGGCCTGAGACTTTGTGAGAGGCGAGAGGATGTGAAGCTGTCGGATAATGTCTTGTGTTGAAGCTCGAGAGTTTTGCATCTCAGATGGTGAATCGAGATTGATACAATCAGCCTTGGCTCGAGGGTACACCAACACTGGACATTGGAGCATGTGGCAGCGACACCGCTCAGCTGCCACCTCTCACGCATCTCGCACGAAGCAGACATAGTAAGACGACATGAATTTTTCATGTGAATCCTGTTCCGAGACATCACCCATATGCAAGATAGCGAACCAGCGGTGTAACAATAACAAGACAAGGCTCTCTCTCACTAATCCTATCCTATCACATCAGCTCTGATCTTATCAACGCACCGCTGCTATATTTAAACAGATCATCGAGATACGATGCTGCCAACACTTCGCCCTCGCGTTACCTTGCAGCAAGCAATCCTGACGCCGAGTTGCTGGATTCATCAATGTATGGTCCTTATCTGCGACTTTTCGCCCTTTGCAACGTAAAACATGCGAGTAAGCCCTCCCTCCCCCGCCCTTCCATCGAGATATCAACGTTTACATGAAACGGTGCATATGCCCTTATCGTTTAGATGCGGTGAGAGGCAGTCTTGTAATCACGACATAACATGGCCATCCTGCATGTTGTTGAGGTTCGACCGAAACTCGCAAGCCTTATGAGTGTCCGTTCGCCCACACCGGTTTCGTATGTAGGCCCCCTTCTTCCCGCCTCTGCATTCGATAATACACCGTCCAGTCAGTGACTGGAGTGGCTTGAACAAAGCTGTTGAGCAGCTGTGACAAGACTTGCCCATAATCCTCCTCCTCCTCCTCCCTCTCTACACATTTGCTCCAGCGTGGCCCTGGTGACTGGAATCATCATGTCCTCCTCACCTCCGACCTCACAGACTCCTCCGGACGAGGACCCCAGCTTGAACGAAAGCACCTGGGAAATCGCCTCCGTCGTCACAACAAACTCAATAGACGACTCTGACGACAGTCGAATGTCCGAAACCGTCCGCATCATAACCGAGGACGCGTCTTCCTTCTCCATCCGCCGAGCAGAGCACCACCCCAAGGCAAACAAGCACTTCATGATCCGCGAGAGACAGGCACCGCACCGCATCATCACCCTCTCCCACGGCAGAGTCAAGCTCATCGACAAGCCCACCATCGGAGGCGGCTGGCTCTGGCTGTGCGTCAAGAACGGCGGCTGGTACGGCTTCGTCAACACCGTCTCCAACACCTATCTCGGACACAACGGCGAGGGAGAAATCATCGCCGCCGGGCTGCAGCAATTGTCCCACGAATCCTTCGTCGTGGACAGACATGAGGACGGCGGCTATGTCCTATACATGACCAGGTTTAGCGAGGACCTCCGGCCCATGGCCATCTCCCAGGACGGGGAGGCGCTGGTCGAAGAAAGGGCGGATGCGGCGGGCACGGCCTGGGACTTTGTTGAAGACAGCCAAATCAATCACTTCCATGTGTAAACACGCACCATGTAGCTTCGCGGCGAAGCAATATCGCCCTTACTGGGGTCAAAAAGTCTGTTGAGACATGTCGCTTTGGGACGGGATGGGCAATCAGGAGTTAGGATTGATGAAAAATGTTTGGTATCTCAAAATATATTCGGTGCAAAAATCAACTTCGCTGCTAAATAGAACAAAAAAAAATCCCTAGAGAAGCCTATCACTTCTTCTCTGCAGAGATATCTTCGCGAACGCTATCCGATGGCGCTGCGGCATCCAACGCCTCCAGGCCATCCAGGCCATCAACAGGGCCGTGGAACATGCCTTGGATATCCACAACAGGTCCCTTGTAATTCTTTCGGCCGTCAATGATCCAAGTACTGCCCGCGATGAGAAGGATGACGCCAAAGGCAACAATGGCGTAGTTCATGTTGGCCGGCGTGACGGGAAGCTCCGGAGGGAAGACGAACAGGACGGTGGTCAAGATGGCCCACAGAATTCCAACCTTTCAATAAGAGTTAGCTTCTTGATCCTCCTTATCTTGATATATGAGTCAGCTAATGAATGAATGAAAAACTTACAATGTTCACAATCCAACCAAAGGGCTCGGGGACCTTGAAGTGACGGTCCTCCGGGAGCATCTTGCGGCCTCGGAGGACGTTGATGGTCGGGGGAATGGCATAGGTGACGCCAAGAGCCACGACCGAGGCGGACGTGATGGCGTTGAAAGTGCTGGTAGAGCCGAGGAAGATGCAGCCAAACACAATGACCCATGCCACCGTCCAGAGCAGGGCGTTGATGGGCACATCGAGGGTGGGGTGCACCTGGGCAAAGACGCTGCTAAAGGGCATTCCTCGGTCGCGGGCAAAGGCGTAGCTCATTCGGGTGCTGGTGCAAACCAGGGTGACGGTGGTGAAGAGCATACAGACCAGGGGGAACATGAGCAGACACACACTGCCAGCCTTGCTCTTGGTTGCGTCCATGAAGATCTGCAGCAGCGGGCCGTAAGCGGCGCTGATGACGTCGTCGACGTTGTTGACGCAGAAGAGCAGCGCCGTCAGGAAGATGAAGCCAGTGAACATGCCGATGCCGATGCAGTACAGCATGATCTTGGGGCCCTCCTTGTGAGGGTTCGGAATCTCCTCAATCATGTGTGCAACAGCATCAAAGCCTGACCAGTAAGTAGTTAGCAACGGTCCCCGACTGCTGATGGTCAACAGGGTAAGTTAATCGACATACCTGTCAGAGCAAAGGCTCCTTGCAGCAATCCGAGCAGCCAAGCCATTCCATCGGGCCAGCCAACCTCGTTGATGAAGTTGCCGTAGACAAACTCGCCGGACTGGTAATCAGGCGACGCGCATGCCAGAACCGTGATGCTGATGATGACGAAGCCGGCAACCGACCAGAAGAAGGCGGCCTTGGTGAAGAGAGGCAGGATTCTGGTAAGGAAGGCGTTGATAACCAAGGCAATGAGAGCGAATGCGATATAGATCAAGAACTGGTGCCACGCCTTGGGCTCAAAGTCAGGGTGGAGCAGCGAGATGATGTTCATGATGAACGTGCTGCCCAGCAGACCACCGGTGGCGCTGAGGGCAACCCATCCGGAGACGTTGATCCATCCTGTCACGTAGCTGATGCCGCGACTCCATCGCTTCCAGGAAACAATAGCGGCCCAGTGGTACTGGCCGCCGGCTGTGGGATAGGCGGAGAGAAATTCTGCGAGAGAAGCAGCCTGGCACAGGTTGCAGATACCGGCGACGATGAGGCCCCAGATGACCGAGCTTGAGCCTCCTGAAGGGAGAGCAAGTGTAATTGATGCGGCCAAGGCGGTCCATGTGTTGAGAATGGCAAAGGCAAGACCCAGCATGGAAATCAGGGAAAAGTTCCGCTTGAGTTCCTGCTTGTGGCCCAGTTGGGCCAGGGCAGCAGCCTCCGGAGTGAGGCCCTGCTTGGGATCGTTGCTGTAGTCTTCCATGGTTGTCTTTGAGGAATCGGACAACTTGAGGATGGAAAGTGGAAGGATTGACAAGGAAAGTCTGGAGTTTATGACCAGGAGGACCGGACCGGAACCGGGAACCGGAAGCCTTGGTGATCTTAGGTCGTCAGACTCCCGGGATCTGATGGGGGGCCCCAAGATGATAGCGCAGCGAACAGGATTCGGGATACCACACAACTTCTCAATGGGCGATAGATAAGTCGGGGGCCCCGAGAACGGCCCAAGATGGAGACGGGGACCTGGAGAAAAATGGGGTTACCTTCCCCCAGAAATGCCCGTTTTTGATAAGACGATGAAACTCTGCACCTCGGTGATTGGACGGTGAGATGCTGAAATCATCTGGTTCCAGCTTCTCCATCCCCACAGCGAGACGTGCGACGCTCCGAGTCAACGGCCAAATGGCCAAACGGGCGAAACTTCGAGATTCGCCATACCTACCAGAAGGTAGGTATGCAAAGCCTTTCGCCTCCAGCATTCCAAGTCACAGGGTCGCGGACTAGTACCAGCAATCCGGCTTTCACAAAAAACGAGCCCAAGTGGACCGCGTTAATGAAGGAAGTGAGACGCCGCTCAAGATAGTCTGGTGTTTGGGTTATCGGTGGTGGACCCAGTGCGCGTTGCATCGCAATCGTGGGAGTGGAAGCCTGGAGACAAAGCTGGTTGGAGCAGCCCTGATTGCCTGACTCGAGATCAGCTTGCAAGCGTGGTCCAGCCCCTGTCTTATCTGGAGATACGACGCTGATGCGTCCACTGAGCTGCCTCGGTAGTAATCGTCATGTATAATGAGATGGATACGGCCGCGGACGACCCGGTGCCTGCGCATATCGCCAACAGCCTTCTCAGATAAACTCAAGGCGTCTTCACGCTTGGAATCGTGCCTGCACGTATCCCGCTCTTCAGCTGGCACTGGGCACTTAGATAGTGCCTGGCGCGAAGAAAAGTCTGATGCATGGCACTGCAGATTTGGGCTGCATGCCGTAGATCCCGCTGACGACACGGCTGGGCTGGCTTCACCTGGGCGCCCAATGATCCAAGCCCCCAAAAGCCTCAGCAGTCAGCCATGTCGAGGACAAGGTCCGAGTCAAGTCGGCAGCGGCGATTTTTCCTTCTGCACATATTCTTCCCGACCTTCCTTGCCTTTCTCCACACCAACACCCAGGCACACACACTAACCCGCCACCGCTTCCCCTGCCGCTTGACGTTTTGCTCCGTCTTTGTCAAGCCTCCCCCAGATGTCGCCTCCGACATTTCCCACGAGATCTCGACGGTGATGGAGCAGCAACTGGCAACCTATTAGTCAAAGAAATGCAGACAAGGCGCCTTCTTGCGGGTTGACGGAATGTCACGGAGGCGAATCCTGGATACGAAGAGGGTCTTCTCCCCGCATGATCCAGCGCCAACATCGGAACAGGTTGGAGTGCTGACTGGGGGAACTTGGGGAAAGCAGAATCACGCCCCAAGCAGCCGGGACGACGCGCAACAAATCGTGCCATGAGCTGAACCCGCGTCTGTCAATGGTCACGATGCCATTGCACAATACCACCGTTCCATCGTCCCCCGCAAACGCTATTTCCCCAGCTTACGGGGCGCGCGCAGCTTCAACCTGGGGAAGCGAGGGCAGCGACATGAGTCTGGAGGCGGTGACGCTTCGGCCGCCTTGTGTTTACATCGTCACCGTCACACAGCAACGGCCCGAGGAGATGAAGGAGTGATTCGGTCATCGTGATTGCGTTTGATACGGCGGGTCTACGGTAGGTAGGTCTTATGGTGGCGTATTAATTGCCACCGCCTGCGTGCAAAACGCGTGTACTGGTCCTGGACGGCACGTGATCAGTGTGCCTTCCATACTCTCTTCTTCAGAGGCTTCAGGCACCAAGGCCACCAGATTGAGTTTATGGCGCCTCGTAGTCTACCTACAGTATCTTTCTGAACCTGTCAGTATCGTCAAACTGTGACCAATGCAGCCACCGTTCGGAGAGATTGATCCAAGGCTCGTGTTGGCCTTAGAGCGGTTGCTCCTTTGCGGACGAACATGCTATCGGTCATCCGAACCGCTATCCAATGGGGACAATGGGTGAAGGATATCCTTGGGCGACGCTGAGGCAGCGAGACATCGCCATACTGACTTTCTTATCCTTGGGTAGGATACTGGACTTTCCCACTCAGCGGTACTCCCTCCTGAACTGGATCCTGCATCCCACGACGGAGTGGTACTATAAGTCACTCCAGCAAGCGGCATCTTCCGAATTTACGCACTACTTGAGATATTGTCGGCATTAGTGGGTGATTATCACCTACCTAGTAACGGCGGCCAGTTCCACGGCGGTACGAGTACCTCGTGCTGCCCAAAGTAGGAGAGATAACAGCCCAGGTCCCGGCCCGGGTCCGACTCCAGTTGTGCTCAGCTTCCCCGGCTTCAGCTTCCCCGGTCTTCCTAAGACTTCAGCTTCCCCAACTTCCCCAAGACTCAGCTTCCCCAACTTTCCCACAGCTCAGCTTCCCCGGCTTTCCTGGACCCAGAAGCCCATGAGATGCCGAGGAGCAAGTGCCGGTTTCTCTGGGGACCTTCTCGTCCGAGCCACACCACCTTGAAGGCCTGATCTACAGCTGGGGTTATCGGTATGACAACCTTTTCCCGATGGGTTCCTGATTGACCTTCTCCCTGCGTTGCATTGCCATCTCGTACACTTCAGATGGTGTTGGTTACTCATCAATTAGCCTGCCGAGCTAATGCATCTCAGAGTGCGATCTTGGATGGGGAGCTCGACCTACTACCAGGTGGCTGGCCACATACCAAAGGCTGTGACATTGTGTCCATATATATAGTCACTTGGCCTTGGCGGTTGGCCATTTTCCGTACTATCACCTCGACGGTTGATAGAGAACAACATGTGTCTAGGCAGAATAACGGAGGAGCTGACTGCTTGACTCCCTGTATAACGACGTGGACTCATACACGATATGTTCGGCAGTTATGATGCTCTTCATGTGCAGAGTTGGCTCATCTCTACAACTCTCACGCTGTCGAGAAGACCCCCATTATGGGTCGCATCATACTTGGCTTTGTCTCGCGCGGCTTCTCATCTTGCTGTGCCTTCCACTCATCCTAGAACAGGTGTATGATATCTATAGCTTTCCGAATGAATAACTGAATGCGACTTGAACAGATCTGGCGACACCAACAGGAATTTGTTTCTTGATGCGATAGAAAAAGTTCTACATGAAAGGCGCTCCAATGGCCACGGCAATGTCCGCCATCCTAGTGCACTTCTCGATTACCTTAATGGCACTGGCCGCACCAAAAGCATGGTTCCGAATGGCCGGGCTCGTCATCTTATGCGCTCGGTCGATCGATCGAAGCCGACCGCAATACAGCTGACCAGACGGGGCAACTCGAAATCCAACGCGTATATCAGAGGCCTTGTGTAAGCTGTGCAGAGCAACTCGGTATCGTGTCCATCAGAGGTTCGCCCGTCCCAGGCTTTTAAACACCAGCAATATCTCGCATCGCTCGTTGTGCCGGCTCGGCGTAGACAGTCTACTGATTACGAGTGATCCCAACAGCTTGCGAGCGTTCAACAAAGGAGACATGTGGAAGAGCAGGAAACGAAGGACGTTCGGTATGGCTTCACTGTGTCTGGAGCGGGATGTCTGCTACGGATGCCACATCCGCATCCCACCAGCAGCCCGCGGCCCCGCGCGTTCATCTGCAATGCAACCCGAGGGGCTCGCCGGAACATGCCGTATCGGGCTGGTGAGCCTGATTCGGAGGAACTGCCGACCGACTGAAGAAACTCGATTCTGTTCGGCAACGAATGAGGCGCATCTGGCGCCCGTCTGGCTCCTTGGCCTGGAGAGCAGAGCGTCAGCTGTCCATCAACAGATTTGCTCGCGAGCCGTGGGACAACCAAAGCCGCTTCATCGCGTTTATCCGCCCGTGGCTGGCTTCAAACTGTCGCGCTCGTACGGTGACGCGGAAACCCATGTACGAAATATGTATGAAGCCCGGATGCCCTGCCAAATCCATCCCATGTCGCCGCGGAGCGATTCAGCAGCAGCTAATTCCCGGTCTGGCGGTGCGATCCGCTCCACTAAACCGGGCCATGAACCCAATTTCCAATGCCACCGAGGATGGATGAGTTCCCGTATAAGAGCAAGGGGGTTCGCTGATTTAGCCATGTCTGGCGGACACGAGAGTCTTGCCGTCAATACTGCGTGCGCAGCGGCGCATTCACGATGGCGCCTCGACACGGGCAGCGACCCGACGACATTGCGCTTGAGAGCCCGCCAGGGACGCCTCGATCCGACACCGAAAAGGCCCGCCGGCCGGACGAGATTGAAGACGACGACGACGGCAACGATGAAAATGCGCTCCGCCGCCCCGTGTCTGTCGCGGCATCGGCGCACTCGATGGCCAACAGGCCCGGGTCTCTGCTCCATGAGGCCTGCTTCCTCTTCGTTGTGTCCATGGCTCAATTCACCGGGCAGACGGGCCTGGCCCTCTCGGTCATCGCCGCGCACATCATCGGCCAGAGCTGGGAAAACGTGAGCAATAGCCAGCTGAGCTGGTTCGCGGCTGCGTTCGCCCTGACCAACGGCACCTTCATCCTCGTCGCGGGTCGACTGGGCGATTTGTACGGGCATCGACGGCTCTTCATCATTGGCTTCGCCTGGTACGGGCTATGGTTTCTGCTGGGCGGCTTCAGCGTTTATGCGACGACGACGACGCTGTTCATCTGTTGCCGCGCGTTTCAGGGCATCGGAGCAGGACTGGTGCTGCCAAATGCGGTGGCCATCCTGGGGAGAACCTATCCGCCCGGCCGACGAAAGGAGCTGGTGTTTAGTCTCTTTGGAGCCACGGCCCCTGCGGGATTCAATGTCGCTGGGCTCTTCATCGCACTGCTGGCACAGCGAGTGTGGTGGCCCTGGTCGTACTGGATCATGGCCATCTTCTGCTTTGGCCTCTCAATCGCCGGCATCTTCGTGATCCCGGCAACGCTGGATCCGCCGCCGACGACAAACAGTTCGAGCGAGAAGGGACCCGTATTCGACTTTATCGAACGAGTCGACGTTCCAGGCGCGCTTCTGGGCATCACCGGCCTCGCCCTCATCAACTTCTCTTGGAACCAGGCCCCCATTGTCGGGTGGGCAACCCCATACACCTATACCCTTCTCGTTGTGGGCTTCCTATTCTTGGGTGGCTTCGGCTTCGTCGAGCGCAAGGCAAAGTTTCCACTGCTTCCGACTTCGGTCTTTACGGGGGATCTTGGGTGGACTCTGAGCTGCATCGCGGCAGGCTGGGCCAGCTTTGGCATTGGCCTGTTTTACTACTACCAGTTCATGGAGGTCATCAAGGGCGACGAGCCGCTCATTGTTGTGGCGAAATGGGCTCCGGCTCCCATCATGGGTGTCATTGCGGGCCTCACGACTGCGTATCTTCTGAGTCGCGTGTCGCCGAGCGTCATCATGTTCATGGCCTTGTGCGGATTCCTCATTGCGAGCACGCTGCTGGCCACCATCCCGGTCCATCAGACGTACTGGGCACAAGCGTTTGTGCTGACGGTCGTATACCCCTTTGGCATGTAAGTGGGAGGAAGCAAGCGGACATGTCTATCCTGTCCTAGAAGATGAAAAGGTATCTCGACTTGAAGTGCTAACTTTGATCATTAGGGACATGTCGTTTCCTGCGGGATGCATTCTCCTAAGCAATGCCATGCCACGCGAGCATCAGGGCCTCGCGGCCTCTCTCATTGCCACGACAATCAACTATTCCATCTCTGTGAGTCTGGGATTCGCGGGGACGATTGAGACGCAACTGAACCGTCATGGGAAAGACTTGTTGAGAGGATATCGCTCGGCGCTGTACTTTAGTGTTGGTTTGGCGGGATTCGGGATGGTTTTGACGCTGCTCTTCATGTTTGTGTCCTGGCGACGGAGTCGGAGGCCGACCGGGTCAAGGACTCCGGTGCCTGCCTAGTCATGGCATATCGAATGATTTATGTCTATCACCACATGTGGAGCTGGTGATGCTGTCAATATAGGCATTAGTATATATCTTCCATTGGTCGAAGATTATATATGCATGGGTGAAGCATATATCTATGCTGGTGCAAGAGACGGCTGCACTCGGCCCAAGCCGGATTTCCCCACCAAAACCCACGTCCACCGTTCCCCACCATCGGATCACGCTTAGTATTACCATTCTTTTCCTCCTCAAGTGGTTCGTTTCTCCGAATTTCCCAATTCACTGCGTCATCCACCGCCGAAGCCGCCCTTCTTCTCGCCGTCTTCCTGCGTCTTTCAAACTTCACGTGAGTTGCGTGAATCAAATTTGGCAACTTCCTGTGACGATTCGAACTGATTCATCAAGCTCGAATCCGCAACACCAGCAAAAAAACATCTTCCCTCCTCGATGGCCTCGACGCCGATAACGCGCAGCCTCTCGCGGCGTCCCCTGCACGACTTCTCCTCCTTCTCCTCCTCCTCCCCAACCCGCATCTGTCGCAACTGCAAGCTCCCCCGCCGCCCATTCTCAAGCGCCGCCGCCGTCCCGTCATCATCATCACCACCGCCTCGGCCCCCAGCCTCGGGCATCGCACCCCTCTCCTCGAGACAGCTGCTCTCCGTGGCCGGCCCCGACGCGGCCAAGTTCCTGCAGGGCATCATCACCCAAAACGTCGTCTCCCGCATGGGCGAGCCCCGGACCGATCCGTTTTACACGGCGTTTCTGAACGCCACGGGGCGGGTGCTGCACGACGTCTTCATCTATCCCGTTCGGGGCGCTGCTGCTGCTGCGGGTGACTCGGCGGCGCAGGAGGGAGACGGCTTCTTGATCGAGGTGGATGCGGCGCAGATGAATGCGCTGATGAAATACATCAAGCGCTACAAGCTCAGAGCAAAAGTCGCCTTTCGAGCAATCGATCCGGGCGAGATTTCCGTCTGGCACGCATGGAACGACAACACCACCCCCAGCTCGACCCTCGACAACATCCCGCCAGACTCATCGAGGATCGTCTTCCAGGACCCCCGCGCCCCCGGCCTCGGCCACAGAATCATCCAGCTCGCCGGCCAAAAACCCCCCGAGATCGACATCGAGCGCGCCACGGAAGACGCCTACACGATCCGCCGGTACCTCCACGGCGTGCCCGAGGGCCAGGACGAGATCCTGCGCGAGCAGGCCCTGCCCCTCGAGAGCAACATGGAGCACATGAACGGCATCGACTTCCACAAGGGCTGCTACGTCGGCCAGGAGCTCACCATCCGCACCAAGCACCGCGGCGTCGTGCGCAAGCGCATCCTGCCCTGCGCCATCTACGACCCTGCCAAGGCGGCGCCCCCGAGCCTCGTCTACGACCCGGACTACTACTCCGAAAGCGCGGGAAGCCCCGAGGCGCTGACCGCGGACATGATTCCCGCCGAGACCAGCATCGGGCGCTCCGGCAAGCGCGGGCGCAGCGCCGGCAAGTGGCTCCGCGGCCTGGGCAACATCGGGCTGGGGCTGTGCCGCCTCGAGATCATGACGGACGTGGTGCTGCCCGGGGAGCAGGCGGCGGCCACGTTCCGCGACGGCGACGAGTTTGAGCTGGAGTGGGGGGAGGAGGACAACAAGAGCGGCGTCAAGGTCAAGGCGTTTGTGCCGGAGTGGCTGAGGCGGAATCTAGACGGACAGCAGCGATGAGGGGATGGGCATAGATTTGGACAGTTGATCAGTGTGCTATATATACCCTCGCAAGGAGGGCTGTATACTTGTTTGTATGGACGAACGAATCATGTACGATATCTAGACGGAGAATAATACCCTCCCTTGTTGTGCAAAAGGGTTGTCATCAAGGCCCTCAACTCACGCAGCGTCAGTCTCGGCGTTTGTTTGCCAAACACATTGTGGTGACGGCGAGTGAATCCTTCGCGATGTTATACAGGGACGCCGAGCCACAAAGCCTGCGCCTTATTCTCACTTCAAATGTACCGGCGCATTGGCACCAAGGCTTGTATTATGCAGTCAGCACTCTCTCGTCAACTCAATCACACATCGTCAGACAGGTTCAAAATCCTTTCGATGACGAGTAGTCGCCCAGCCAACTGCAAGGGGTGAGCCGCGAGGCTAACCTGAAAGGCGGAATCTGCGTCTAAAGCAATAGTGAGCCATTCTGACCAGACGTGGTTGGATCGTTCGATTCAGGAGCCGTCAGCATCGCGTCGCCGTTGGAGTTATGTACTACTACTGAAGCGTAGCAGTAGGGCTGAGAAATGTGCTCCACAACGGCCTGCAGCTGAAACCCCAGGCTGCTCTTTTGGCTGGGGAGGTCGTGATGGGATCACATGAGTGGTTGACGTCAAAATAAGAAACCATAGTTCTTTGGCCCTGGCCCCTGGCCCTTTCAAGCCATCGGCTGTGGTCATAGGTATTCTGGAGGTGCTAAAATGCATGGCGCATGGAGAAGGCTCTAAAAGAAAGAACTGAGCCTGAATCCACGGGCTGTCGCTGACCACCTCATGGGTTGCACACCATCACGGAGCTTATTGTGAAGCTGTGGTCATGCACCTTCCACCGCCAACACCCAAGTCCCTAATGTTTGCCAGCGGATGTAACCCTGCAGAGGTGAACCAGAGACCTGGGCTTTGCGGGGAGGCAGCCTCACAAGGAGACCTTGTATAAGTCAGAGTATCGTCCATGCCCTCTTTGCGTGTCGTGTCTCTCATGGTTTGCATCACTCGCGCAATCCCACACATAACAACCTTCAAAATAGATTTCCAAAATCTGCACTCATGGGCTCCCAGCCTCCCGTCAGCAAGCGTCTCATCGTCTGCTGCGATGGAACGTGGATGAATAGCGACAACGGCTATGAAGAGCCAACTCTCCAGCACCCTGAGCCGACGCTTCAAGTACCGTCGAATGTCACCCGAATCAGCCGCTGCTTCAAGCGGCGTTGCAACGATGGCACGCTGCAAGTGATCTCGTACGAGTCGGGAGTTGGCACTGGCAGTAATCTCATTGATCACCTCACCGGTGGTGCATTTGGCTTGGGTCTTTCTGAAGTAAGGATAGCTGCGAAGCCCTTTCCTGTCAATCATAGCGGCAGCGTGGTACCAAGAGGAAGAGGAGCTGACACGAGCATACAGCGAGTCCGCGAAGCGTATTCCTACCTTTGCGCGAACCATATCGACGGCGATGAAATTTTCCTCGTTGGGTTTTCGCGAGGCGCCTTCACAGCTCGATCGGTCGCGGGCATGGTCGGGAACTTGGGCCTTCTTACTAGAGAAGGCTTGGAGTACTTCTATCCCATCTTCAAGGACATGGAGAACTGGAACAATGACAAGTATGAAGACGAGTTTCCAGGACAGCCGTTCCCCAACAAGCCCAAAGGACCAAATGCGGCGGACGAATACCGAGCAAGACTCGAGAAGATGGGCTACACTCGTGTGTACCAGGAAAACGGCGAGTTGATCAAGATCAAGGCCGTCTGCGTTTGGGACACTGTTGGCAGCTTAGGCATCCCCAAGGTGTCGTGGTTGGATAAGATTGGCATCCATCCCTCAAATGAAGAATAAGTCTCCCCTTTCGTTGCATTCGACGCATGTTATCGCAAAGAGCTAACATCCACAGTACATATAAGTGGCATGACACGTCGCTTTCGGATCGCATCGAGCACGCCTTTCAAGCACTTGCTCTGGATGAGACTCGTGCTCCATTCTCCCCGGCTGTCTGGGAGAGGCTTCCTGAGAACAGGTTGACGACCGACCTCAGACAGGTCTGGTTCCCAGGCAATCATGCAAACTGCGGCGGTGGGTGGCCAGACCAAGAAGCCGCCGACGCCTCGCTTGCCTGTAAGTGGTCCCTTATGCTGGACAGCATCATTGAGGACGAATTTCCAATCAAGAGCTGACAGTGGTGCAAAATAGGGATGATGGACCAGATGGCATCTGTAGGAGTTGAATTCGACTTGTCATGCCTCGAGAGAGTTGCACAGAAGACCATCGGTTACTATAAGAGCCTGAAACCCGCAAAGAAGACGCTGAAATGGGCTGTTGAACCCATCTATAAGGAAAACCAACCAGTTCGGCCGTGGGCACTGGGATCCATCAACAAGGCTGGCGATTTCATATACAAGCTCTCGGGATTCGAAAACAGGACTCCCGGGTTGTATAAGCGAACCGACCCAGAGACTGACCGCGAGACCGGCATCTTTCTGCAAGACACCAACGAGCGCATTCATAGCTCGGCCAGAGTTCGGCTTGCTTGCAAGGGGCTTGGCTTGGACGATAAAGCCGTGTGGACCTGCCCATCCATGGCCAATTGGCAGCTGAAGCACACCGATGCAACATTCGAGGACCCGATCCCTCGCAACCCGAGCTGGTGGCAGGGTCCTCCGGATGAATCTGGGGTCGATAAGCAACAGGATGGGAGATGGATCTGGGAATATGCCGGACCGCAGCGCTCTGCGCCCACAGATCCCAAGCAGAGAATCATGGTGGAAGAGCCGCTAGGGCCATATGAGCGGTATCTCCTACAGCTGTCAGAGGGAACACCAAACGTTTACCTATTTGCCGAGACCCAGGATATCGACTGGCAAGGCAAGAAGATTCCCGCTCTAAGAAGCGGGAGGGATGTCGCCTGAGGAGCGCAACCTTGTTTGGGAATTTGTGATGTGATGTTGAAATAATGTATCTGAGCAGCATTTGTATCCATAGCCGGGAGTTCAGCATATAAATTTTGGATCGAAATTGAGTAGGCAGCATATAATAGATATAGTAGATGTTGAATGATACTTGAAGATCGAATTGGCCTTGAGATGGAGTGGCGAATACCTGAGGCTTTGGCGCATCACGTGATAGCGTATCGAGCGCTGTCTCGTTCAAGCGCGGAAGTCGCGACTCGAATTGAATCTGTCACTCATAAATCGTACAGGCATCAGGCAGGCACCCTTTTAGTCCACATCCAACCTCTGCATTTTTTCTCTCTTCTCGTCAAACTCCCGATCTCTACTCTCTTCTCACCGCGCTGCATTCATTCGAAAAGACAACTCAAAGGCCATCATCTCATAGAACTTGGAAGACCCCGACAGACTCTCACAATGAGCGACGACAAGGCGGACCTTTTACGGTTCGCAACTGAATATGCAGACAACAATATTGATCTCTACGAACTTCTCGGCGTGGATGCTCTCACCCCCAAGGAAGATGTCCACCGGGCTTGGAGAAAAGCGTCCTTGAACAACCACCCGGACAAGGCGCGTGAGAAGTTTGATGCGGCAAAATGGGAGCTATTCGAAAGAGCAAGGGACATTCTGTCCGATCCCAATGCTCGTGCGGCCTACGACCAGTCTCTTAAGGCCAAGCTGCTGCGCAAACAAGAGCGCGAGGCAATGGACAAGGAGCACCAAAGATTTGCCGACGACCTCGAGGCCCGCGAAAATGCCCACAGACAGCAGATGCAACAGCAGCAGCAGCGGGAACAGGAGAAGCTAGCCAAGGAGCGAGAGCGACTTGCAGAAGTGCAGCGTCTTCATGACGAAGAGAAGGAGCGGCAGGCTAAGGCAGCGCAGGACTTGGAGGACAGGGCCGAGGCTCTTCGTAGAGTGAGGGAGAATAGGGAGGAAAAGGCAAGGCGGAAGCAGATGAAGAAGTCAATCAAGGCCACAAAAGGTATCAAGAAGCAGCCAGGGCCTTCAAATGGCACTGTTCTTGTTCCCGGCGACTACCTCGTGGATCTCGGTTCGGTCAAGAAGAAGTACTGGGAACTGGTCTGCGACAAGCTGCGGGCCGTTCAAGCAGTGAGGAACCTGCAGAAGCTTGATGCTACGAACAGTCAGGAGCTCGAGGACGCGGAGAAGAAGATGATAGAGGCTCGACAACGCATTCACGATGCGGAGATGAAGTTTCAGCAGGACACAGCAGCCGTCTAACCCACGCCTAATTCGAACAAATAGCCATCATCACCGAGTCATTTCAACTCCTGTCTGCTATCTATCATCTATCCACCACCAAGCATAACTGCGCAAAAAGGGCAAGCTCGGCGGTCTTCAAACGTTTTGGTCAAGTCGAAGGATCCTTATAGCATTGCCTCCCATGATGGCCTTTGCCTCCCCCGACCCTTCGCCAACAGCCTTGGTCACCGCGTCGGCATTCAAGCTCACGCTCTCCCACTCTCCTTGCTCATCAGTTTCGAGAGGGGGGAAGAAGGGATGGTCGGTTCCAAACATCAACCTATCAGCACCGCTGGCGTCTATTGCTGCCTTGAGCCCAACCTCGGAATAAATGACGGCGTCGAGGTAGATTTGCTCCTTCAAGACATCCCAGATTGTTCGCCGACCCTTACCGGCCTTGCCCTCCCTGACCAGCTGTCCATCATGCATGATGCAGCTTTCAATCCTGCCTGCTAAGAAGGGCAGAGTCCCTCCGCTGTGGGCCAATATCATTCTCAGATCCCGTACTTTGTCAAACACGCCGGACAGGTACATCCGCGCCACTGCGATGGTGGTTTCCATGGGAAAGCCCAAGGCAAGGGGCAGAACGTGGCCGTACTCTGCGCTGGCTCTGGGCCCCCAAACTTCGTTGGGCAGTCCATAGTGCGGATGCAGGAATATGGCCAGGTTTGCCGCCGCCAAAGCTTCGAATATTGGCAGCAAAGCAGGATCGTCAAGTCCCTTGCCCAGACCTGAGGTGCCGAGGATGATGCCTCTGCAATATTGAAGGCTCTGCACATGGGATATCGCGGCGAGCACCGTCTCCAGAGGCGCAGTCAGGGGCAATGTCGCAAAGAAGAACAAGCGCCCGGGATGCTCGCTACACATGCGCGAGAACTCTTGGTTGACTGACTCCCCAATCTTTCCCGATTCAGATGCGCTGAGGAAGTCGAGCCATGGATTAGCCAGGGATATTACCGAAATGTCGATGCCATGGGTGTCCATGAAGTGGATTTTCTGAGCGAGTGATGCGAAGTGAGAAGTGAGCGGCCGTCCAGGAGGCTTAGCTGTCGGATCATTGGTGGCTTCCTCGAGCGCCTTCAGTTCAGCTTCGAGGAGTATCAGGCGCGGCTCTGGTGTCTGCGGAAACGTGCGGACGAGAGGGATTGTGGTGCGAGATTCGAGAATCTTGATGTAAGATGGCGGATACATGTGCGTGTGGATGTCCACAACGCGCATCTTGGAAGCTGCCATACCACAAGCCGGGGAAAGGTGAATCGTTCTGTCACGATGATGATCTCCGAGGTTTGTCTATGAGAAGAAGACTTCTTGTTGAGACAGGCTCATCCTCTCTCGTCTGAACAGCACGCGGGAGTATTGCGGGGAAGCGGCGATAGCCCTCAAGTGGCTTTCCGCCGCCCAAGGAGTCACTTAACGAACGGACATGTTACACTGAGACATGGGAGGTGATAGAACTGATACGCCTCTTCATGCGTTGTCTTTAAGAGGGGCACGGCACAGTAACGATCACAGCCCCGCACGATTCTCGACTCCCCACCGCGATTATCAGCCCGTTGCACCAGTCAGAGTCGAGCAGATCAGCCATCCCATGCATACAGCACAAGACTAAGCCGACTAGCTGCCGTCTCTTGGCCCAGCTTATCGCGGCCTCAAGCTTTGGCTCTAGATACGCATGTGTCGAAGGTCGGAGGAAGCTCTCACCAGTGGCGGTTCGAATTCGTCTGCCGGCACCCGCGCTATCCCGTGAGAACTTACGGCGCCGCCGACGAATGTAGCAATAATGATGTTGCATCGGAATGGAGAGATGTTTGTAGCTTGCGCTAGCTGAGCCTTTCCTTTTAGATATAAATACGAAGGACGACACATGTGCCTAAATCTTTCCTCAGCAGTATTATTCCGCATCTGTGAATCAAGCATTCTCTCGTCTCATCGGAGGCATAATGGCGGCTAATGCGGCAGTGAGCAAAGATGGGCTCTTCATCCCCGTGAGTGACCATACTAAGCTGCTGAAGATACGACTCTATGCCGATGCAAAGGCTCATGATTCATTCAGCTCATCGACTTCTCCGAGTTTCTAAATGGCAACGCATCTACTCGCCAAAAGACAGCCGAGGCCATCCTCAAAGGCTTCCAAGATGCCGGCTTCATCTATCTGAAGAACCACCCAATCTCCCAGGAAACCGTCAAGCACACCTTCGACATGTCGGCAAACTTCTTTGCCCAACCTCTGGAAAAGAAAGCGGCCCTGTCGTGGACCACTCCGCAGGCCAACCGCGGGTACGTGGCCCACGGGCGAGAAAAGGTGTCGCTGCTCAAGGACAATGCCGAGGTGGAAAAGGTGCGCAGCGCGGTGCCGGATCTGAAGGAAAGCCTTGAGATCGGCCGGGACGACGAAGAAGGGCATCCGAACAATTGGCCTAGCGAAGAGGGCTCCATTGTGGGCTTCCGGGCGGACATGGTGAGCTTCTTTGAGCAGTGCAAGGCGTTGCACGTGCAAGTCATGCGGGCCATTGCCATGGGGATGGGTTTCGAAGAGACTTTCTTTGATCGGTTTGTTGACGTGGGCGATAACAACTTGCGGCTGCTGCATTATCCGGAAGTCAAGTCGGATGTCTTTAATACGCCAGGCCAAGTTCGTGCCGGGGAGCACAGCGTAAGCAGGCCCGTTATATGTCATGTTACACACGGTGTTGTTTCCCCTCCTGACGAGTTTCTGATATAGGATTACGGATCTATTACTCTTCTGTTCCAGGATGACCGGGGCGGTCTTCAGGTGAAGAGTCCCAACGGAACGTTTGTTGATGCGACTCCTATCGAAGGTACCATCGTTGTCAATGCCGGCGACTTGTTGGCGAGATGGAGCAACGATACAATCAAGAGCACTATTCACAGAGTCGTTGAGCCGCCAAGGAAAGAGGGCACGACGTATCCTTCACGATATAGCATTGCGTAAGTGGCATGATGTAAAAAGGTTTTCGTTTGACGCTGTGCAAGTTCTAACGCGGGGATGTTAGCTACTTTTGCAACCCCAACTTCAAGGACCTGATTGAGGCGCTGCCGGGGACGTATGCTACCGAGCACGAGAAGAAGTATGCCGGCATCAACAGCGGCGATTACCTCGTCCAGAGACTCACGGCGACATATTGACGGGCTCATGAGAGCTGTCTGACATTCGATGACGAGGTGTGGTCATCGAGGAGCGCTCGTTTGATTACCATGTAGTATTGTGACCATGGCCTAACAGGCATCATGCCTCACCCGCTTGGGATATTCATCAAGTGACAAGCTTTTGACGACAGGCATCGATGTTCAGCCGCAGTCCAGGGAGTTCGAGAGGGGTCGCGTCATGTGCAGGTTTAGTAGAGCCATGGATGTGTGGGGGTGGCTTTTTGGGTAGCGATCCTTCGAAATGCGAGCTGTCATTACATGTGCTTCTCTTCTGCTTATAAAGGGGCTGCCCTGACCTTGTCCCGTCTCTCCTCATCTGAACAGACGTGTTCTCCAAATGTCTACTTCCTGTGGTGGAGCTATTCGTGCTGCGCAATAGCACTCAAAGACCATGATATTCACCTTTGCTTCTGAGTGACATAAGTCGTTCCCTTGCATCATGGCTTGGGGCAGCACCGAAAAGGCCAGCAGCTACACAGCCAATGCTGAGATCCGTCCAGATGACGACGAAGACATTGAAGCCTTCTTTACGCGCAACGGATTCGACGGAAAGACTAGAGAGGCGTGCGATGAATATGCTCGGATGCGCTTCCCCGGCGTAGAAGCCACGCCTTCGCCAACGCAGGGCTATTGCTCTTATACATTGAGTCTATCAAAGGACTATTTGCTGCAGTTTCGGCCTGTGGCGTTCATGCTGGATATGAATACCTGCAGGGAGGCCAAAGCTATTTACGGCAGATACGCTCCAACGACGACGTATTTGGGCGAGGTCCAGGGCATTCCTTCACAGGACCGTGATGGGCATGTAAGCCCACCAATGATGCACGTCTATCTGCACAAGAGAATTCCGGGAATCCCGCTATCGGAGTTTCGGAGGAGGAGGAAAGACGGGATGAAGGGGCGAGAGGCTGAAGCTGAGGATAGGATATACAAGAGGAGGCTAATGCGTGGGCTGGCCAAGGTGTTTGCCCTCGGTTTTCGTGCAAGACAGCCTTTCAAAGAGTGTATCTCCAAGGGTAGAATCGGCGAGTCGATGCAATGGCGGCTGAGTCTCTTGAACGGCCTGCCATCTGAAGACGCAGACCTGCAAAGACACGTTTCGGAAGCGCAGAGCCAGTTCCACGGCATCCAGGCGTCCGACTGGTGTCTCACCCACGGCGACCTCCTCCCGGCAAACATCCTCGTCCACCCAAAGACAGGCCGTCTCACGGGCCTCATCGACTGGGCCGAAGCGGAGTGGCTCCCCTTCGGCATGGCCCTCTACGGGATTGAGGAAATGCTCGGCGAGACTGTCGTTCCGTCGTCTCAGGGGTTCCGATATTACGCAGATCACCGAGAGCTGCGCCATCTCTTTTGGTGCGAGTTTCTAGCTTTGACGGGACAGAGGCGGATGAGTGCGGTTCAGGTACAAAGAGTGGAAGCGGCGCGGAAGCTGGGGATTTTGTTTTGGAGGGGGATTGCGTTTGATGATGGGAGGATGGATCGTGTTGTTGAGGAGGGGAGGGATGAGGAGGAGTTGCAGAAGCTGCGGCTGTTTCTTAGGGCGCCGGGGGTTTCTGAGGGATCTGGCAGAGTGCGCGATAAGAGGTAGTTTTGGCATCTTGGACATCTTGCGTGGTGGATGAAGAATACATGTAGATAGGGGGGAAGCATATCGGTAGAAGTTGAGGTTGGTGATATCGAATACTAGTAAGGTAGTACTTCGTACGAGTATCAACGTCAAAGGTGGAGTGACACCATGAAACCCATCAGCTCCGTTCCACGAGGTAGCGCCCTCTTCGCTGTGGGTCACCCGAATTTAGCGTACTGGATCGTGCGTTCAGCGGGGTCGCACCCCTGTAGCGCCCATTCCGTAGGGTATAAATACAGCGGTCCCCCCCGCCCACGACCTCCAACGTCACAGCGATACGACTTTTCGAACCAAAACGACAAGCCCAGGCCACGTCCCTATATAATCCAAAAGTGCGGCACTGATCATCGCGGAACAGTCGAGCGGACTCGAGACTCGTTGGAGGCAGGGCCCGCCGGTGAAGGCGACGATTCGACCCTCGGCTGCTTCCGCCTCTTCTTTTTTTTTTGTCCTTTTTTTTTTTTCCTCTTCTTTTTTTGCATGAGCTGGATGATACGTTCAGAGATTTGATTTCTCGATTTCTTTTCATAGCTCCTCTGCAATGATGGGTATGAGAGGTGTCTGTAGTTCGGAGACCTCGTACCCTGGCCCTTTTTCTTATTGCAGAAGTCTGCTGTAGATATCACGGAACAACCGAGGGGCACCGGACGTTGCTGGAGGCAGAACCAGTCAAACAAGGTCAATAGCGTGACGATATCGCCTTCGTCGCAACACAATATTCTCCTCTGCCTTCTATCCCCCCTTTTTCTAGTGGAACGGAATACTCTGTGAGAAGCTGGCCGATTCCTCACAAATATCTCTCCTCGATGCTGCAAAGAACACTGGCCATCGCCATCGTTGGCGCTCGGACCCTCGCACCGCAGACGTGCCAGCTGCAGGCCACACTCCTTTATAGGCCAGATTCTTGCTACCATATTCCAACAAACAGCCGGCTGGTGGAACAGTCGAGTGGTATCAGAGGCAGCTTAAAGGGCCAGTGGGCTGACCTTAGACGCGGCAGTTCGAATGCCCGTTGCAGCTGAGACCGCTCACTGCTCCACGATTTTTTTCGGCCTTTTTTTCCTTTTTGCCTCTGATTGTACAGAAATACTCCTCTGGCAGATACCGAGAAATTGATTCTCCTCGACGCGAATACGCACTTTCCAACTACTCACAGCTTCAGTGGAACGAGAAATCCAAATCTTTGGCTTCGTGGAGGAGGGCTCCTTTCTCCCACATACCGACAACTGCCGCCCACGCTGCCCTCCTCAGACTGACAGGTGCCAGCGCAGGCCACATCCCTTGATAGGCCAGAAACTCGCCTTGCTTTTCCAAACAGCCGGCTACTCAAGTGGGATAGTCGAGTGGAAGACTGTTCAGGCGAGGGGGCTTTCCTTAGACGCGGTAGGTTCGAGTGCCGATAAGTGCAGATTCCATTCGACTGTTCCACGATTTTTTTGGACATTGTCTGTTATTTTTTGCCTCTGCAACATTTCGATGAATCTGCAGAATACCGAGCAGCTTGATTCTCCTCGACACGAGTACGCTTTTCAACTACAGCTGCATTCAGAAAAAAGGGGGGAACCTCCAGGATTCCTTCCAGACCGACAGCTCCTCCCTCCCTCGGATGAGGCACACCCCTCAACACTCACGCACGCTCCTGCCTTTTTATCCAAAGCCCAGACCAGGCCACGCCTCCCTATAGGCCAGGGATTTCCTTCCCTTCTCCCAATAGCTGGTGGAATGGTCGAGTTGGTGAGCCTGACGAGGTACTACCTAGGTACGCCGACCGACGCCCGCGGAAGCGGAAGACGTCGTGTTCGAACGTTGTCAATGGCGGAACCGTTCGACTGGTCTGCCATTTTTTTTTTTTTTTTTTTTTTTTTTTTTTTTTGACGATTCCTTTTTTGCTCCTTTTCTTTTGGACTGTATAGAAGAAAAAAAGAGAGAGTCTGATTCTCTGCCAGACAGAAAGAAGTTGACTGATCGAGTCTCTTTTGGTATGAGGTATTCTCGAACAGCAGCCAAAAAGGAATAGGGGCAGCACAGGGAGAGGTAATGAACTCAGCCAGGCCCTCCACGGATGCTCCTTCCCGCGCAACCAGTGAACCCACACACACCATCACGCCCGCTCCTTCCCTCTTCATACCAAAATCCAGACCACACACAGGCCAGGCCACGCCCCTTGATAAGCCAGAAACTTCTTTCCCTTTCATAATAGCTGGCGGAACAGTCGAGTGGTAATTCGCAGCGAGGCGCATGCCGGCCGGCACAGAACGATGAGACGTCCCGTTCGAATTCCGCTGCATGTAGACACTCGACTGTTCTGTCAATTTTTTGCCAGTCTGTCTGTCTTTTTGTCTTCTTTTTCTTATTTGGTTTTTTCTCGTATGTGAGTGACATTCATTGTCTGCAGGAAATTTAAGAGAGATCTCTCTCGTGATATTTTATTGACGACGGTAATGTGATGGCTTCGTAACTGATGTAGGTAGACCTTGATAATTAGCGAGTATAATGAGTACCCGAATTTCCTTGACCCAGACTGTCATCACAAAGAAGCTCTGAAGGCAGAATCTCTTCATTCAAGCTTGATATGTTACATTTCTTCAAAAGAGGCTCAACTTCAAAGCTCGCAAAACTGTCCCTCTCAACATCAAATAACCCAATATCACCCCCACGGCAACACCAAGCACGTAACTCTCTACTTCTACACAATAAGCCCCTCCTCAGACGCCTCGTCCCTCTCCAAGCGCTCCAACCCGGTCCCGACCGCTCCGTACACGCGCAGAGGCACGGGCACGTCGAAGCTCTCGCACGTCAGGTTCTCGACAGCCACGAGGACCAAGCCCCCCTTGTCGTCCCTCGAGATCTGCTCCAGCAGCGGATACGGCGTTTGCTGCCCCTTGGACGCGTCGTGGCCCTGTGAGGGCACGACGAACTCGACGCGGATCTTCCATTCGAAACTGACGCCGCTGGTGACGAATTCGGGCGTGGCTGAGATGGGTATCGTAGGGGTGAAGACCACCCGCCGTGTGAAGAGCGTGGACTCGGACGAGGCAACGTACACCTTGCGCGTTACTCTATGTATGCTCGAGTCGGATCGCAGAGCTAGCGACGAGTCTATTCTTTCAGATGACTCCAGCGTCGCATGGACCGCATAGCAGGGAATGTCGGCATCGGCAAAGTCAATGACCATGGTCACAACCTCTCCCAAGCGGTAGGCAGGCCGAGTCAGCATCACCACGCCGACCCTCTGCCCGTTGCGCGCAATCTCGAAGCGACTGGCGCTCTGCTGTCCTTGGCCCGTCTGGTTGCTCTTCATGATCGCGAGACGAATCGCTTCTTTGGCCGAGGTCGTCTCTTCAAAGCTAGATGACGAAAGCCGCCGTAGATCCGGAGTCGCTGTTGGGGACAGCAGTGAGCCCCCTGTTTTGTCGCCAGGCCGATTCGTCAGGCTGTCGACGTATGATAAAAAGTCGCTCATGGCAGCAGATCCTCCCGACGCCTCGCGCTCTGCGTGGCTCTTCTGCTGCTTCCCAACCATCTTGACCAGAGCCTCATCGCGTAGTAAGATGTAAGGATTCATGAGGTCGTGTCCGAGAATCTCACCGTGGCTGTTGACGCTGCCTAGGACACGGAATGGCACCTCGACCGTGCGGACATGCTGCTCTCTAGCACCTCCTGGTCTCTGAGTGCCAATAACTAAGCTGTATGAAATCTTGATTGCCTTTCCCTTATGCGTAGGAGGCAAGCCTTTCGGGAGCTTGAAGGTGTACTCGAACGAACGGCTCTCGCCAGGAGCCAGCTGCAGGTCGACGAAGAGGATCGACTGTGGCGTGCTGAGCAACGGAACGGCCTTTGAGTTTGCAACCCCACGCATCTCCTTGATGGTGCTCAGCTCTCCGCCACCGAGGAAATCGCCCAGAGAATTACTTATGCTGCCCCAGCCAAAGCCGCGTAAAAGGCCATTCTCCCGACGTCCCGAGTCGAGTCCAACCACTCCACCGCCTCGCCCGCCAACAACGGCCTTCTTCTTGACTTGCTCAAAGGGCGCAAGGCTGATGAGGGACCCGTCCAGCGAGAAGGAGCCTTGGATTTGGGCAAAGCCCATCATCAGCGACTCGGTCCTCGACTGATGCGGAGAAAAGGCTGAGCCACGGCGCGGGTACGATGGTCTCCCGGAACCTCTCGTCAGAGGCGGCGCTACGTACTCCGAGGCCAACGTCTCGGACGAGTTGTTGCTGATGGAGTAAAATTCACCGCTGCTTCGAGGAGTCCCCCCAGCCATGCTCGTGCTGGAGAGTATGCGGGCGGTAAGGACTGGCCTGTCGGGCACAGGCGGAAGCTGTTCCTTTGAGCGTATGGGGATGTTGCCGTCAACCGGTCCTGTTCTCGGGCTCAGCATGCTGTTGCCAGACGCTTTTCGAGGGCTCGGAACCGTCTCCGAGTCTGGCGCAGGCGCAGCGGGGAACCGAAAGTCGGGCATGGGGCTGGGCATGGGGCTGGCCAAGGCCTTGGAGGACCTGCGCTGTACCGATAGAGTTGAAGACTGAGGGCTCCTCGGAACGGGTATGCGGCCAAATCGATCGGGGGGATACGAAGCGTTGAAAGGAGAGGAGGATGGCCTTTGTGAGAATGAGCCTAGGGAGAAGTCAGTCAGCCAATTGACGCCCGTGTAAACAGAACAGTTCGACGACTTGTCAAGTAGAGTTTCATACCAGACTGCGGAGTCGAGGGAATAGTGGGCGGGCCGCGAGACGCAATCTGCAAGCTGCTGGCGCGGTTATGCGAGTGCCGCTGCGCCCGTGGAGAGTTGTCATAGCGCGGCAACTGCGAATGCTCGTCGATGGTGCTGGTGGTCGATCCGATGGACACAATGGATATGGATCGCTTGTGCGCATGGCCGCGGGACTCGCCGGAAGCAACGGGCTGAGGCCATTGGATCGAGCCCTGCCGGCTTCTCGCGCTCGGCGAGGGCACGCTCAGCGACAGGGCGGCTCGTCGATGGCCTCTGGCCGACGCTGCCGCCTTGCCGCGGGTCTGAATGGGCGAGAATGAGAGTTGGATTGGGCGTGCGGGTGAGAGGAGAAGGGCTGCAGCTGCTGCTGTTGCTGCTGCTGGCTCGCCTCGGGGGCAATGTTTCGAAAGGTGACGGTGCATTGGACCGCCTCGCCCGCGAAGACGGTCTGGTCGCGCCAGTGGACAAAGACGCGGATGTTGCTGAAGCCGTCGGCCATGGTGAAGGTGCCTCGGTCTCAGCGCGAGGCGGGTGCAAGGCGGCGGCCAGGACAAGGCCGAGCCGACATCTCCAGCCCGCTGCTGCGTCTAGCCTTGCCGGGGAGCGCCGCACAGCTAGGCCGAGGTCTGGGGGCGAGAGAGGGAGGTGAGCTGGTGATGGCGGATTGCGGTTGAGGTGGCAACGTCATGGTGTTGAGGCCGAGCTGAGAGAAGGCGCCAAAAGCTGGCCATCGACACAGCGAACAGGTAGCGGGTACAAGGTACTTCGTCCGGCGGGCGGCCCTGTCACAGATCCCGTCCGCAGCCAATCAGCGCCGGCCTCCCCGCTGCTGCAAGGTCCCTGGAAGCTCTGCGCCCCTCACTGGCGAGCTTTTGACTTACGGGGCATGGGTGTCACTGCTTGGTACTCTTGACTATGTACCTGTCCAGTTCTGTTTGTTGGCCGATATCTCGACTCAGCCGGACACCTTGCCTTTAATGTTCAGTGTCATGCGTTACTGGACCTAAAATTCAGATGTTTGCAAGACACAAATTCCGTCCGTCTATTCGATTGGACGATGCACCCAATTGAAGAAAGATGCACGTCAGCAGAAAGAAGATGCACTGGTGGTTCTCAAATGTCGGCACTCGCTCGCATGCCGGACGGATCATCTGAGAGCTGCTGACTGTGGAACGTCTATGATGGAAAAACAAAACTTATGGCAAAGAGAAGTCAGTGGCAGAGACCACGAATAGCTATCGGGTACCCGTGGGGAGGTGAAGCCGAGGGCTCGATGTATCACGAGTGGAATACAAAGGGGCAAATCTACCAAGTTATACGTTCACCTCATAGAGGAACGTTGCCGGGCTTCACAATCTCATTGCCTTGACCCTATCACCGGTTCGTCATAAGACCAAGCAACAAGATATATGCAATGAAAGGGGCTCCGAGACTCTCCAGAACAAGTCCAATGGCAAGCAATGCATCGAATGCCCGATCCCGTCACCAGTCATCAAACGCGAAAATATAAGTAGTTCACTTACTATTTTCCAGCGCCGACACAATGGCTTTGGCCGTCGCTCGTGTCGCGGGTTTCGGTTCAAGCATCCGAAACACCAACTTTTCAATCTCGTCCTCTTGATTCAACCCTTCTCTTAGTAGCCCAAAAGACTTCATCAACGTTCCCACCTGTGGCGGCCGACCGAATTTGTACAAGTCACGCAGAGGAATATCCAGCCGTAAGCTGGGCATTGGGGTTTTGCCTAGCACATACAGCATTGTAACGCCGAATGCCCACACATCTCCTGCATGACCGCGGTCACCGTGGTCAAAGAATTCAGGAGGCAGGAAGGCAGGCGTTCCGCCGTGTGGCTCGTAAGATTTGGCTGCTGCAGCCTGTCCAAAATCCAGGAGTACAGCGCCCCGGGCAGGAGAATGTGCAATGTTGTGTGGCTTGATGTCGTGATGCACGATGCCTTTCCTCTCCAAGTAAACGAGAGCGGACGATATGTCGTATAGAATCGCCCTCACGCTTGACGAGTCTAGCTTAGTAGTAGAACCGCGGTCAAGAGAAGGGGGGAGCTTCTCCATGTAAAGGGCCAACAAACGGCCATCAAAGGCCTTGAGCGAAACGATGTGGTTCTGCTGGGTGTGAGAGAAGAACATGTGCGACCAACGACGCAAGGGGACCAATAGCTTACATGGTTGAATGTTTGCAAGAAAGTCAACTCCCGATTCCAGGCTGCCACAAGGGCAGTCAGATGGGCGGCTGCTCTTCTGTTGAACCGGTTGACGGATTCAGTGTCATAGTCGATAACCTTGACAGCCAAAGGCCCAGCCACTTTGGAGTGCCGGCACGCAAAGACATATGCGGACGCCGTCGAGGCAATGTGCTTGATGCGCTGCAACTCATAATCTGCCGTGTCGCCTGGCACACGCCGAATACGCATGGACTGCCCATCTCCAAGATCCCTGATGAGGATTGCTGTATCCTGGTGTTTCCGAACCCGACGGGTCTCGCTGAGCTTCTGTCGTTTGGTCGATTCGCCATCGGCTGAAGCAGTGAATTTTCTCGGCAGTATCAACCACTGAACTAGGCTGTACTCCTCATCCTCGTGCGGCTTCTCACTACGCGTCAGGATCCTCCACATGCCAGGGAGTAAGACGTGGCACTGCATGCTATCAATTGTGTTTCGAGTGCATGCACATGCCGCTTCCAGGTGCTCCAAGTAGAATTTCGCACCACCGCGGTTGGACAAGACACAGTTGTCGCTGGCTGGCTGGAAGATGAGTTGGAGAGAGAGAGAGTACGGGATAAAGCGACGAACGGCTTCTTCAACAGGGCGGTTGTGATATGACAGGTTGATCATAAAGTCGGCATGTTTTGCGCTTTGGACAACGCTGATCAAGTCCCATCCAGTGGCAGTCCTCGGATGGCGTACGACATCTTTGCTCAGATCTTTGTCGTTGGCAATGAAACGGCGATTGTACGCGATGGTGAGCCGAGCACTCGGCACAGTCGTGGAGGCACTGATGATTTCTTTGCTGATTTCTGGCCGCTGTTCGTCGTCTTTCTTCGGTATCTCAGTGTTTCGTGCTTCGGTCCGCACTTCAGACGAGGAGGAAGTAGCAGCAACTTCGTGGATCGAAGCGGCATAAGAAGCAGGGCCCGCACGGCAAGGTTGGCTGTCCTCTTGGCGAGCTTCCATGGCATGCGTACCAGTGGCGTGCGTAAGAGCGGTGGATGGCAGAGGTGTTATGGTGAACGGAGGTACAGGAGTGAGGGCATCAGCTTCAACAACTTGTCTATCAGGGAGGTTTGCGGCAAAGGAAGTCGAGATAGGGACTTCTTGAGCTGTCTCCTGGGTCTCAGCGGCGTGTCTACCAGAGTTGTGCGTCGATGATGAGGCGGTGGATTCATGATCTGACTTTGAATCATCTGTATTGCGTTCTGAAGCAATGTGACCTTGGGCCGTCTCCTCGTGTTCAATAGCTGGTCGTTCAGCAACTTGTGTCGCATTTGGAGCAGTATGTTCTTCGGTTCTCTCTTCGTCGCCAAAGGCCTGTTGATCAGGAATCTGTATGATGGTCGAAGCAGTAAATTCTTGAGTTGTCTCGTCACAATCCAAAGCTTGTCGATCAGGAACATCTGTTGAAGCTGAAGCAGTCAATTTCTGAGCAGCTTCTTGACCTTCTATAGCTGGCCCATTGGGAACGTGTGTGATAGTTGAAGCAGTAAATTCTTGAGTGGTCTCATCATCTCCGATGACTTGTCTATCAGGAATATCCGTTGAAGCTGAAGCAATAACTTCACGTAAGGCATCTTGGAACCGGGGGGCGTGTGGCGGGACCGTGAATTCTTGGGTCGACTCTTCATCTTCGATGGCTTGTGTTTCCGGAGCGTGCGTTGATGAATTGGTATATTGTGTCGTCTGTGGACCTTGGAGTCCTTGTCGGTTAACAATATGCGTCATAGGAGTCTTTTCTCGCGTCGAGTCTGCATCTTCAATGGCTTGTTGAATCGGAACATGCACGAATGCACCGAGTTCTACAGTGGCAGTGGATCCCTGCTCTTCGATGTATTGTTGGTTAGGCACACGCGTGATAGAACGGGACTCTTGGGTTGACCCCGTCCCTCGAGACACCATTGTAGATTGCGGTTTTAGAAAAGAGTAGGAGGCAGGGTCGTGAGGTATTAGCTAGGATGCTGGCCGTCTGTCCAGCATTACGCAGATGGGAAGCCGAGAGAGTACGAGTATTTATCAATCACGCCAAGTGCCACAGCTGAGCTGCAGGAGATGCGGTTTCCTGACCAACCGGGAGTCAACACGTCTTACAGCCTACGCGGGTTTTTCGCACAGGGGTATGCATGGAGGAGTGAGTGTGGCATGCACGGGTTTTCCGTCATGGGCGTACCGTTCATTGATACAAGATCATGTGAACCACGCCGCTGCACCCAGCCCTGCTAGGATAACGACCACGCTCACAGAAACTGTATGGAGGCTGAGTCCAGCTGTTGCTTGTCTGAACTACGCCGCTGTACCCAGCCCACGTTGGTGATACAGACCCAGCAGCCATGAGCTTCCTGGGAACTACGTCGCTGCACCCAGCCCTGCCAGGATAACGACCATGTCCCCAGAGATACTCGACAGCCATGTGCCTCTTATGAACTACGCCGCTGCACCCAGCCCTGCCAGGATAACGACCATGTCCTTAAGAGACACTCAGCCGCCATGTGCTTCCTGAGAACTACGCCGCTGCACCCAGCCCTGCCAGGATAGCGACCATGTTCTCAGAGACACCAAGATACCGAACAGCTGTTCATCAAATACGGATAGAAGCCTTGCCAGTATGATCCAGTTCCCAAAAGGTAGAGGGCCTGACTCTGTTCAAAGACCGAGTCTTGATGTCTGCAGGCGCGCGGTTGGCGTTGCTTCGTTTTCGACGGCTGCGTCCAGAACGCTGCTTACTGCTGACCCTCGGTTCGTTCACATTTGCCTCTGCTTGTTGCCGGGAAGAAGCGTCGCGTCTTTGACGTTTGTGCCTATGCTCATCATTATCATTATCATCATGATCATGAGTTTCATTATCATCATCGCATATAGGTCGTTTGTTGATCCTGGATGCATTGGTTTCTGCCCCAGCGTGATTTTGCTGGAAAGAGCTGACTTTCTGACGTTTATGCCTTTGCTCACCATCACCGTCATCATCATCATCATCATCATCATCATCACGTATAGGCCTTTTCTTTAGGGTGCTTTGATCATGCTGACAGGAAGGGTTAGTATGTGATCCTGTAGTAGAGTCGTCCAGTTTTTGACGTTTAGATGCTCGATCGTTGCCATCGCCAGGGAGTTGTCTTTCGCCTGTTACGCTTCCATCGTCCGCGGAACGTGGACTAGAAGCTTGATTGGGCTCAGGAACCTGGACAATATCATCGCTGAATCGTAGTCTCTTGCTAAGCGAAATATTAGCATCCTAGTCTCCAACCCGGGAAGGACTTCCTTACCGCTTCCGCTGTAGACGTTGGGCTTCCTTTGATCCGTCATCTTCTGAACTAGACGCCATTCCTGAAGGCGCAGCATCTTGCTGCATTGAAAGGACATCGCCGTCAGCACAGAGAGCCGCATCAGGAGCCTTTGACGCAGGCTCAGAAGCTGGGAAGTATGTGTAAGTCCCGTGAAAAATCACAGAGTCGCTATAATCACCGCGCAGTGCCTGTTCTTCTTCCCAGTCGAGATCCTCCAACTCGGGAAATACTTCCTCTTGGCCAGTGTATTCCGCGCCAGCGGGCGCCTCCTCGCCGCTTAGAGGGTTATCAACTTGTGTTTCGCGGACCTCATCCGCTTCCCACCCAAAAGCAACGCCCTTCAATAGCCTGACGAAATCCATCAAAGAGCCTGTTTGAGACGCTTTGCGCGTTTTCCACCAAGCATCACGACATGGAAAGACGTCTCTTTCGTCATTATAGAGAGTATGTCTTGTGATGTCAGACATCAAATCCAACAGCTCCGCCCAGTCCTTTGCGTTTCTCTCCCTAAAGCTTCTCTCAAAATCTTCTCTGTCTTTGGCACCCTTTGCAATTTCCAGTGCGCGCTCGAAATATTCGTCCTCCTCCAGAACGGGAATCCGAACAGTGTTGAAGCGCTCCCAGTCCATACCCCAAAGAAGCTCCGGGTCGCGCAGGTCCGGCCCAACTTGGTTATTCCATATGCGAAGTGTTCTGCGCTTGTAGTGTGGTCGTGCATTTTGGAAAGGAGGCATGGTTGCTGCGCGTGTCAGTCGGCTCGTGGCGTTCGCAATGGAGGAGGTGTTAGTCGCGATCGCGGTCGCGGACGCGGCTGGTGAAAGAGGTGGGAAATTGTCGTGAGCGATGCGATGTCAATGAATGGAAAGACTGGACTTCTGTCAGCTCGCGGCCAGTTACAAGTACATGTATGTCACTTGCACGTGACGAGCACTGGACGGCAGAGAGATCCGACCTGACAGGGGGTGCATTAGATACTTAAGTACCTATGTAACTTGGAATGATTCTCTTTGAATAAGGTAGCCGCTTGCTCCAAAAATATCGTGAGAAAAGTTGGTGGAAAAGATGGAAGAAAAAGAGGAAGAAAGGCAAGTATCTTGGCTACCTACCTAGGTAGTATACTAGTAATATCTTACCTGACTTATCAATCTGCTAGTATTCTAATTCTAAACAGATCTAATTCTATGGTCACGTTTAGTAAGTCATCTTTGCGTTTACAGTATGTGACTTAGTAGTACTCTTAAGCTCTCTAAATGATTGTACTAGATGCGCTTTTGCCGTTAGCACAAGGTACCTTGAGGCTACTTTAATCTAAGGTTCAATTCAACTCTAAATTGACATGTAGCTAACGGTTATTCGTTCTTCGAGACCAAAAAGCCCAAGAGGAACAGAAAAAGAAAACCCACCTGATTCTCTGTAAGACTCGACTCGAGGGTAACAGGTAGATCCGTCTTATACAAGCAGAGAATACCAGGTAGAAAATAGACCGTAATTGAAATTGGTTAAATAGTAAGGTGTCTCACTATTTGTTGACCGTAACCTTGGAAATTGAAAAACCGTGATGCGTGGCTGAAGGTCAGTGTCACAAGGTGCTGCTTCCAAGATTCTCAGTGAGGCGAATGCCAATAGGAAGCGTCCAAGCAGAAGGAAGATCCAATGGATCGCATTTATCTCTCGCTCTACAGGGACTGGCTCGAGGCTGTGTGGCGAGGCTCCCAGCCAAGGTGCATGCGGTGTCGCAGCACGAGGGGCTTTCCTTCCCAGCCTAAGGAGATTAGAGTAAGGATATACGCACAGGAGAGTATCTGCGGCTCATTCTTACGTCAGGTATTATATCTCGCCTTCCTCTCTTCTGCCTCCCTATGTACTCCATACGTCTCTTCACCTTGCCCTCCCAGCGTCCTGCTTGTGAGCCAAGAGAGGCGTGCAAAACTGCTGCTTCGTCACAGCGATACTGCTCGCCAAGTTATATATGAGCGTCCTACATTCCCTATGGCACAATCAAAACCCGCCTTCAAAATCGATGGGAAGCTTCTAAGAGCTGTGGAATGATGCACAAGCAAGTTTTCTTGCTTCGACTGCAGCAAATCGCAAGGTGAAAGAAGATGCCGAGTATGAGCCAATGCCCGAAGAATGGCTCAAGTCCTTCAGACGCCACAGGCACGACGAGTTCAAGAGGTTTCTCACTGCTTGCAGTAAAGTCGGGTCTCATTTGCACGTTATTCAGACGTTTGTGCGAGTCGCCGGGTTTTCCGTGAGCTCTGCGTCGTCGGTATGTCATAAACATCAACATCATGACATGTAGCTTTCTTGCTCTACCGGAGATGCGTGCTTGGATCCGTGGAAACTTACCGCAATGTCTAGATGGATGCCGTTCCTGCTGTGTCACCGGCATCGTTGGTTGTGAATGCTTTCGCCTGGCTGTTCGATTCCTTTGCCAAAGTCTCCACCGATTATGACAAGATTGAAATGTTCTTTGGCACGATCTCCAAGATATTCGGGAACCTCTCCATCATCAACAGCCACTTCGGCCGATTACAAGAGTCAGAAGAGTTGCATCAGTGCGTTGTCGAGCTCTTCATATGCTGCCTGAGCATTTGCAAGCTCGCATCTGAACAAGTGCAGGACAGGATCAGTATGATTTACCTTTGAAACCCCATACCTCGAAATGACTAAGTTCCTTGGCAGAAAAATGGCTTCGACAGCTGAACGGCAACGACAGACTGGACGGCGAGATTGCAAAGCTGGCCGCGGCTGACAAGCAGCTGCGCGACTGTATCAGCATCATGACCCTCAAGGTCGGTCTCGATGTAAGATCGGGAGTGGGCAAACTTATTGGCAACAGCGATCGTTCCGAACGGGACGATATACTCGATTGGCTTTCACCCTTGAACTTTTCTGGAGTCCATAGAGAGTTGGAAGAGAGAGTGTCCGCAACCAGTATAGCTGGCAGATGGCTTCTTAGATCCGAGCTGTTCAAACGCTGGAGAGATCAAGATGTCAATATGCTTTGGTACGCTGGGAAACGTGAGTTGACCGATCAAGCATTTACCGACTCCAAAACTGACTTATCTACGTATGACAGCCGGCGCCGGCAAGAGTGTTCTCGCGTGAGTTGGCTGCACACCTGCTCTTGTTACTGCATGATGAAACTGAAGTCCTACCGCATAGCTCGATCATTGTCAATCATTTGGAGCAACGGGCACACAAGACATCATCTATTCCTGGCGATATCCTAGTTGCTCGTCTATATCTTTCCTACAAGTCAAACTTCGACATGCCAGACCTTCTGGGAAGCGTCTTACGCCAATTCCAAGAGGGGCATGATATTCATCCCGAGATTTTCAATCGATATTCAGAATACGAACAGAGAGGAAAGTACAGCGGCAAGGTTCAAAGACCATCCCTGAACGAAATCAAGGAGCTACTGTCCGAATATACGAGGAATAAGACAGTATCCGTCGTTGTCGACGCCATGGATGAGTTTTCGTACAACAGTCGGGAACCCCTCATAAGAGATCTCCAGGGCTTCAAACCCGACGCGAAGATATTGGTCACATCTCGAGATCTTAATCACCTAGGCATGCTTCAGAAAGGCTTCGAAACAGCGGAAATCGAGGCGCATGGTGACGACATGGACGAATACATTCAGAATTTTATCAGAAGCTGTCCCAACCGTGAACGCTTGAAGGAATATCAGGATGAAATCAAGTCGCAGGTTAAAAGAAAGTCGGGAAAGATGTAAGCAGCGACCAAATGTTTGGTAGACGCAAATACGCGCTACCTTACATCTACTGTTCTAAAAGGTTCTGATGCTAATCTGAGGCCGAATGCCCAGGTTTTTGATTGTACGACTCCATATGGACGCTCTTGCCGACGACGAGGTAGAAGCTGAGGTAGAAGAAGTGTTGCATAAGTTGCCGGATACCATTGACGGCGGCTATGAGAACACAATGGAGCGCATCCGCAACAGGGGAGGGCTGAGAAGGGGACGCGCCGAGTCTACCTTGGCGTGGGTAGCCCATGCTCGGCGACCACTCTCGATTCATGAGCTTTAACACGCGCTCGCAATTAGTGGGAGCCCAGGTGGGATTGAGAAGAAGTATCTGCGCCAGCAAGACGAGATCATTTCGGACTGCTGCGGTCTCCTCATACAAGACTTGGATGGCACCGTCCGCTACGTTCACTATTCGGCCCAGGAGTACTTTCACCGCATAAGAGCAAAAAGGTATCCCAACTTCGACAGACAAATCACCATTGCCTGCGCCAAGTATTTGTCTATTTCGGAGATTCAGCAGCTCATCGAGCCCAACACTTTTTGCAGCTCCAGTTCGTCTGGGGCGAGGAACCCTGGAGACTATCCGTTGCTGAAATACGCGGGACAGTATCTGCATACACATCACCGTAGCGTCCAGACCTTGCAGGACGGTGAAGATGCGGATCTCCAGGAAGTGATTCGTGAGCTCGTCACGAGCGAGCCTAGCCGGGCGCTATACAGCCGCCTTCTTTTCTCCTTGAATGTTTACGATACCAGTTCGACGGTCCTGGATGATGCATACCAGTACCAGAATGCGAAAAAGCGTCCCAGAACCCCCCTTCAGCCCCTTCATGTTGCAGTTTTCTTAGCGAGCTCCCAGCTAGTCAGCTCGCTGATTGATGAGGATGGCGCCGATGTCAACGCACTGGATCCGTACCATCAGTCAGCCCTGATTGTTGCCATCAAGAGCGGCCTCGATGACGTTGCCAGCATTTTGCTGGGCCATGGTGCCAAAATCGACCTCTCAACCAAGAAGGGTCACGTCATCCTTCTCTACGCGATGCAGAGAGACTACATGAAGATGGTCCAGCAGGTGATCGGAAGCCCCGTCGGTGGTCCTCTAGATGAGGGTTTTCTCCGAATCATCGGTCTTCTGATGCTATACTTGTTGGCAGTCCTACAAGTGCTCCTGTCTCAACTCTCTTCTAGACCAAAGCAACAAGAATCACCAGTCGGTCATGTACAGCCTCTTGATGCTGACGGCAAAGACCAGTTCGACTTTGACAGATCAGTAGAGAAATACAGGAGGCTTCTCCACTTGGCCCATACAGGCGACCAGGACAGCCTGCTACTCATCCTTGAGTCTTCAACCACGGACCCAATCGACCTACGGGATATACCCGTGGAAGATGAGCCAATCCAGAGTACTTTTAGTCATCTTGACACGGAAGACTCAGGAACAGAAGCTTGGTACGATTCCGATTCTGACGATGGCGAGATTGTACCCTCGGTGGACCATTCGTCGTCCAATGATGATGCTCAAGTAGAACTTCATTCTGATTACGATTACGGAGCATCCTGGTACTTTAAACCAGACGCTGGAGAGGGCAACGGAGTGGACTTGACGCGTGAGGACAGCTACGCGGACGATCCAGAAGACAGTCCAGCAAATGATGAGTCACCTCAAGACAGACTAGCAGAGTTCGATGAGCTCCCCCCCGAATCCTTCAGACTGGAAAATTCGGCCAGCATTCGCGAGTACCAACGTAGACTGAGAATAAAGCAACGACATCTCAGGTCCTCTGGGACTATTCTCGCGTTCAGCCGTGGGTATAGACACGGTTCCAACAAAGACCTTAGCCACGAGAAGAGAGCAGAATCTACGGCAAGACTCAACAGCATCAAGGAGACTTTTGTCAGGACAGCCTGCTTCGTGGCCATCGAGCAGGGCCACCATGAAGTCCTCAAATTGTTCTTGGACTTTGGGATCTCGCCGGACTTGAGTAACTATCACGGACAATCATTGCTTCATCGAGCCACGGCAAGGAACGACCTCAACATGGTCAAACTTCTCCTAGTCCGAGGCGTGTCTGTGGATCAGAGAGACCGCAATGGACGGACAGCCTTGATGGCGAATGCAGACATGAAGAGAAAGAAAGGTAACAACTTGGGACTCTTCCAGAATGCAGCTCCTTAAGTAACTTCCGCTAACATAACCCCCACAGTCCTTGAGCTACTCGTCAAGCATGGTGCAAACATGAATCTCAAACATCGCGCGGGCTGCCATGAGTTGTACGAGGCAGCAGTGTTTGGCGCGACGGAGGTGGTCAGGTTCTTTCTAGAAAACGGCACAGATCCATCAATTACGAACCGTTACGGATGGACACCCCTTCACGGCGCTGCTGCCAACGGACATTTGGAATGCGTCAAGCTCCTGCTGGACAAAGGGGCCAACCCTTCGCCAATATCAGACACGGGGTTAACTCCCCTCGACTTTGTCAAGCAAGGCCGAAAGCATTATGACCGGATACTGACAGGTGAAGAGCATTACAAGGCTCAAGTTCTGGACACGAAGAAAATGGGGGTAGAGAAGGAGCAACGGTGCAGAGACGACAAGATGGAATTGCTCGTCAAGAAAGGCGCACTGACGTCTGATGCGCTTTACGAGAAGATTGGTGAAAAGAAGTTTCTGTTTGGAAAAGGTGGGAAATACACTCATCCGGGTTGGGTGTATGATGAGATTAGTGATAGGGACACTTATATTGAAGAGGACAATGAGGGGGAAGAAGATGGGGAAGAAGAAGGGGAGGAAGGGGAAAAGGATAAGGGGGAAGGGGAAGAGGACGAGGACGAGGACGAGGATGCTAACGAGAGAAGGGTGCGGAGGATGATTAAGAGGAGGACGAGGAGAAGGATCAGGAGAATGGAGAGGCTGATGAGGGAATGGGAGATGAACGAGGACGGGGATAGGAGAAATGAAGGGGAAGTTGAGGCTGGTGAGGGAGAAGCGAATGGAGAGATGGACAATGAGGGCCCATAGTGCGAGAGCTGCCTATAATTTGTAGTTTTCTGAGAACGCACAGCAACGACACCACATCAAAAAGCAGTAGTCGTCGAGAACAAACAATCAAAGGCAGGGACACTTTGTTTCTGGCATCCGTAACGCAGTCAATTATACAGTTCTCGCGCCCTCCAGGGCCTTCTGTTCTATCTGAATCTGTTGCAACGAGATGGGCCGAATGACCTGACTTGAAAGCATTAACTGGCGAATAGCATCACCATGAGACTTGATATCATTTTCATCCAGCCATTCCTGAACCACGCCAAGTTCCCAGCCAGGATATCTTTGATTAACGAGGGCTTCCCAAGCCTGAATTGTAGATGGTTCCATGGTCAATTTCCATGTGCCTCTCCAAGTAATTCTGGCTTGCTGTTTATTGCGAAATACCCGATACTGAAAGAGCGCCGCCAGCCCCTTCCGCCCGTTCCAGAGTTCCATTGTTTCCAGCTGTGGCATCTTGAGGGCCGCTGCCGCCGCCTTCTGAAGCATTGCTCCGACCTCGGTCGAGTCCGCTCCTAGAGCGAGTAATCTGGAAGTAAGCGCAAGCGAGGTGAGGTTTGGCCACTCCCAAGAAGATTGGATATCCATGAAGTGCCGAGCATCTACCATGAAGGATGCTGCGAGATGCTCGAGCTTGAGGCTGGTGGCTGCCATGATCCGGCTAATTGATGGGCTTGGATTGCGAATAGGGTGGCATTCGGCCATGTCATCCCCATTCAGGATTCTCTGCATGATAGCTGGGTACTGTTGGTTGAAGTTTTCAAAGACGACAAGCCTCTTCAGATTGTCATTGAAATGGTGGATAGACTCCAACAAATATTCGTATTCTAAATACCGGATATGGATTATTAGCAGCGGAGCATTGACATGACTAAGAGCGAAGGATGACTTGGGCAGGTTAGGTATGCAGCAATACTCAACTCTGTCTGTATCTCTCTGGATAGATCCCCATTCTCTCCAAGGCTCGTAGTGGAGTTCCTGAAGCCGGGGGAAGCGAGCAAACATATGTGCAAGCGACGTCGGCATCCACCTCCGGCGGAAGCTGATCCCACCATTGGAGCTCCAACTGCTTGCTATCGAACGGACCTTCCTCCATAACTGAATGGAAAATCTTGTTGATAGCCGCCCTCGTTGGAGCGGAATGTCGAAACCCAGCAATCCAGCCATGTTGAGGATCATCACCGACTTGGCTTAGCATCGTCTGCTCCGTACCACTGCCCACCATACCCGCAGGAGTATCTGGCATAAAGGTCAGATACTTGAACCAATGCTTTGAGTCGCTAGGCGAGTAGATACTGATATCGAGTGTCAGATCGCCATTGGGTTCCCATCTGCTGAGAGCCGAGAAGAGATTCTGGAATGCAGTGGTGATGGGGCAGTGAGCTGTATCGGTGACAGCATACGCATCTTCCAACTCCTCGTCTATGCTTCCACTAGGCGGTGCGCACTTGGTGCAGTCGTAGTCGTCGAGTTCCAAGCAGAGCCAGATATGCTCAACGAGAGCTCGATTGCGATGGGCCATGGAACCAAAATCAACGAGGCGGGATGGCGTCAGTCTGAGCCGCGTGAAGTGGTGCCGCTCAATCTCTGTTTGCCACTCTCGAGACACTGTGACCGCGCGACTCAGTTTGAAGTCGTCGTCTTCCATCAGGAACCTGAGGATGAGGAGCCTGATTTCCCTGGGCAAGTCATGCCACGTCCCCTCACATTGTATGTTGCCAAGGGATGATGGAGTCATGATGCGGAAGGCGAGGAGCCCTGGTGTGACGGGCAATACAGAGGTGACTTGCTGGTCGATAACCAATAGTTCCGTTGTTGGTGGTGCCAGGTCAATGTTGGCGAGCGAACTTCGGGTTGCTGGGTTTTTAAAAGCGAGCTGATGCGGTGGTGGGAGGACGTTGGAGTGGCTTATGAAGGTCATCAAATGACGTACCTTATCTTCTCGTCCGTTAAGGTAAGGTAGGTAGGTATGGCTACCTACGCACCTGCCGAAGGTGGCTTTTATTACATCATGATAACAGCTTTCTCAGCTCTATACCCCATAGCCGAGCAATGGATGAATCTGAGGGAAACCAAACAAGTGCTCTGCCACGGCAACAATCACCATCCAAGGGCTAGCTTGATCGCTCAAGTCTTGGAAGGGATGACCAAAAATCACCCTCGGCCTGTTCGATTACGCCTCTCAAGGTAGAAACGCTTGGTGACGGTTTGACGCGTTGGATACTCGGGATTGTGGGCTGTTGGGATCCAAGCGATGACATGTGTAGCTCGTGTTGTTTAACCCCTTCGAATTGAAGTTGAGATTTGAAGTACTAACCACCCTCATACTACAGTGCAGCCCGAAAGCAATGCCCTTCCCCAGAACCATCATGAAAACTTATGAAGCATAATACATGGTATCTCTATAACATACACCGAAACAGAAAAAACGCCTCCTTTCGCGCATACAAAACACACCAAAATTGCAGACAGCTTTTTTTTTTTACAAGTTCAAGCGAACAAAAAAAATGGAAGAAGAAGAAGAGGGGTATCAGGTCGTCCTCTTCCCTTTTCTCCCCATTACAGCAAACACATAAACTCATACGCTCGCATATTACAAAGAAAATAGTTCGCACGTTTCGTCTCCGGGAGGGGCAAGGAGAGGGGGGCGGTTTACAGCCCCAGCTCCCATGATTCGCCCCAGATTTCATTGAGATTGAGACCGAGCAGCTCCAGGCTTGGGTCGAGGTTGAAGGGCTGCGTAGTGTCACTGACGTTCCATGCTGGCTCCACGGGGACAGTCGACAGTGCTGGGAAGGAGAATGGAGTAACGGACTAGGTATCTAAACGTTAGCATGATCCCAATGGAATACAACAAGGTAATACGGGGAGTGCAAAAAAAAGAAAGAAAGAAAAAAAGAGAGCAAAAAGAGACTGATGCTCACCTTTGTTCCGTCAGGCATCTCCAACCCAGGCACAGGCCCAATCCCCGGCCCAGCAATCGGCCCAATGGGAGGGGGATGAAGGGGCGTCCCCGGCAACGGCACCGACGACAGCGGCGGCTCCTGGTTCGCAAGCAACTTGTAATGCAGACTGACGAACCGCTCCGCCGACGTCGACTTGGCCGCCTCGGTCGTCTTGGTCCCCAGATGCGCCTCGAGGAGCCCCAAGGCGGCGCACATGATGGAGTATCCCCACGGCTCGTTGTTTCCGCAACGCAGCAGCCGGTCCTCCTTCATGGCGATGCACTTCTCGATGAGCTTCACCGTGTGGTGCGAGTTGATCATGATCATGTTGGTCGAGCCGCGGGGCTGCAGCATCGTCACGCTGCACAGGTTGATGGCCGTCGTGAGGGCGTCTTCTCGCAAGAAGTTGAGCGCCCGCACGCCCTGCTCGTACAGCTTGTCGTGCAGGAGGACCATGTCCCGCGCGGCGTTGTAGTAGATGATTTCAGAGTACTGGTACTTGGAGTTTTGCTTGCGCAGCTTGAGGTAGGGCTGATGTAAGGGGGTGATGTACTGCCGCAGCTGGACGTGTAGCAGCGTGTATGCTATGAGAGGGTTCTTCTTGGAATCAGCGTTGCCTTCGGGGCTCATGTCCCAAGACGGCAGGGCATCGATCTCGTGAGTCAAATCATTTGTATAGCGAATGACCTGGTCGTAATCTATCTCAGATACGGGACCGGTAAGGAGACGGCTGAGCTCTAGCCTGAGGGGCAAGCTTCGCCGCGCCAGGTTCTGGAACGAGGAAAAGGTATACTCCTTGGCCGGCTTCGAGGGCGGCAGCTGCGTGGTGCTCTCGTCAAATTCCTCGTCGTCGAGATTCCGCGGAGGGTTAGTGTCAAAGTGAAGCTGGCTCACCAGCGTCGGCAAGCCGTGGTCAAACGACGCCTGCATGTCAAACTCTTGAATGGTAGCCCATATCCTGCGCCGCATCTCCTGGTTATACACGGTGATCTTACCGCCCATGTGGCTTGGCTCGCGGTGGAGCCCAACGGCGATGCCGTCGCGGATCAGCTGGCCCGAGCTGGTCCAGAAGCGCTTCTTCTTGATGGTGTTGACGCGCTTGCCGAGGTATAGCAGGCACGCGATCTGATAGTGAATGAGCCGCCGGTGCTTCTGGCTCTGCCTCCCCGCCCAGTCGTCGCAGGCCACGATCCACTTCTCAGCCTTGTGCCGTGCAGTCGACATCATGCCGACGAACTTGAGCGACTCGTGCGTGTGCACGCAGCTTGCCACGGCCATCATCGACAACACCAGAGCCGTAAAGGCCGCGTACCGCTGCTTGGTTCCGGGCACCCAGAACTCGGCATACTCCTTGCGGAAGGTGGGCACGTGTACAATGCGGTGGATCTGCTCGAACTGGTCGAGATAGACGGATATCAGGGCATCCGTCTCTTCCTTGGAGGGGAGAAGAGCCTCGAGCTCCGGGTCCGGCTGCTCAAAGATGGTCTCCCGCTCCTCCTGGCGGCGCTTGCGGTCCTTGCGATCGTGGAGTATCACCGGCCGCAGCCACTCGTCCGCCGTCTCGCGCATAAAAGGACACAGGCCCGTCAGCTCGACAAAGGCCATGCTGGCGTTGTGAGGGCCAAAGTAGCGAGTGCGGAAGCCCTTGCCGCGGAAGAAGCGCAGCTCGCCGTTCTCGCCGGCCATGCCGCTCCTCTGGATGATCTCCTGCTCTTCCGCGCGGGGCCGGGCCTCGGCCTCGGCGCCCTCCTCCTTCTGCGTCGACGGCGAGTTGGTACTGCCCACGACGGTGCTGCCGTCGAGCGACGCCGCGCCGGGCCTCGTCAGCAGGTTCTTGAGCTGGGCGATTTCCAGCTCCAGCCGGCGGATGCGATCGTGGTCCTGGCGGGCGAGCTCCGTGTCCCGCGACGAGAAGCCGGCGACGGCGTCGGCGATGCCGAAGCGGCGCGAGTCGAGCTGCGCAAAGGACGGCGGGATGCCGGAGGAGGCGTTGACGACCTCGCCGTTGCGCGACTCGTAGCTGCAGCGGTCCGGGGTGCCGCTCTTGATGCAGCGCTCGCAGGGAAAGCCCCGATCGCACGACAGCTTGCGGCGGCGGCACTCGAGGCAGCTCAGGCGCACGCGCTGCCTCTTGCGCGCCGGCGGTTGATCAGGGTCGTGTCTGGAGCCCGAGCCGGTGTCGGACTCCGGGGTCTCGCTGCGATCAGCCATGGGGGCGACGATGTGGTCGGAGTTACGACCGAGATGTTGGAGAGATGGCGGGAGGCGATGCGCAGGGCGAGATGGAGGGGTCCCTGGGGGGGTCAAGAAGTGTCTGTGGTTGAAGAATTTTTATCAATCTGATCTGATAAGCGCAGCTGGGGAGCTTATGTCATGGGCGCCTTTGCACGCCAAAGTCCGAGCCGAGGTCCGAGGGCGCTATTCCGGATATAGCGTGTAGAAGATTGCTTAGTCATTCGCCGCGTCTCTGCACGCCTCGGAGCTCCGAATTCAACGAGCATAAAAGCCAGGGGACGCGGGTGTTGTTACTTCTCGTTATATATAAACAAGTACGTGCATCGTCATTGTACTCGTAAGGGGTGTCAGATTCGGCTCCTTTTCCCGGTGTTCGTGGCTTTCAGTCGTATTCGCTCGTGCCCGTCAAATCTGACGAAACGGGGTTTGACGATTATCGAATATTGTTTGAATAACTCTTCTGTTCCTTGACCAAGATGATATCAGAATAAACTACGACGAACAGAATCGGCTGCCTTTGCTGCTCTGGACTATTATATCTTCTGCGTCGTCTGCAATCTAGAAATGACAGGTTTTTCAGCCATGATGGGCAGCTCGCTCAGAGTTTCCAAACTGGCTAAGCGCGGCCGCTCGCATCGCCTATGTACCTTACCGGTAGTCCTCGGCAGCGAAACCAAAACCCACCGGCTCAACCCACTCACTCAGCGATTCCTCCGGGTTCCGGGTCCGGGACTTGTGTCTTTGATTTAACCATTCGGCGATCTATTGGTGCAGAAAGTCGCTACTGACCTGTGGTCCAAGGGCACGCGAGTGCTGCCTACGCGAATTGTGCCATCCAGATGTCATGCATCTACTGAACGGCGCTTCCTTCGTATAATGGCGCCGTGAAACTACAAGTCAATTCTCTCTCGGCTTGTGATACTCCAACTAAAGATGGATATAGTTTCTAATTCCGCGACTCCGTTGCACGGGTCTCCACCAGAAATCGACTCCTTAGCACAAAATACTACTAATATGTACCAAGGTGACTCACGGACGGCCGGTGACATTGCGGGACCGAAAGGCCGAAGCTTGCACCTTTGCCCGCTCTCAAGTCGCAACCACTACGTTTCCGATGTCAACTATCGGGCCGCGTAAATGGCGCTCTTGTGTGGGAAATTTGGTCGTCACTCCCGTATAGAATACGTAATTGGTGATGAAGGTTGCGACAAGTCTGAGCCTTGGAACCGCGAGTTGGCAGGTCGTGCCATTCGCCTCAAGAACTGGGGGAAAGACAATTAACAGAACGTAACGGGTTGACAACTTACAGCATCTTGTGCATAGTTCGTCGTAGAATCGTTTT